CATCCTGGATTGGGAATAATCGAGGTGTATTAGACTGGAGGTTTTGGAAGGATTCACGGCGCTGAGGGCTTGCATTGATGAAGATAGCGAGGTTTCGGATCTAAGCAATTGTATAATTAGTATATGTTTGATAGGTAGAAAGAATAGTTTAAGATCAAACCTTCTTAAGTGTATTCGCCATACTATACTCTCTTGCTGTTTGGCGAGCTATTTTCGTATGCTCTTCAGTCCAGACCGTATCGACATTCTCATTCACTGGGTTGGCTTTCATTTGACCAAGGAGCTGCTTTAGGCTCAACTGAATCACATGGGCGAGGCATGGTACTCGGATAATAAGAGTATCAGAACGAAGGCCCTGAGACTGAAGAGAGTCTTGCAGAGATGAAATAAGAGTCGAATTGTTAGACGCATTATCAGTTGTGACAGCTAACACTCGCTCTTTGATCCTATGCTTTTCAAGCAGGTCTAGGACAACTGTGCTTAGATAAGCCCCAGTATGAACACCAGACAGAGGCTCAAATCCTAGTAAAACCTCCCGATATTCCCAATCAGCGTCAATAAAGTAACCAGACACTGCCATAAAGGCCTGTAGGAAAGGGGACGTCCAACAATCTAAGCTTATTGAGAGCTTTGCCTTTGGTGGAAGCTTCTGAAGTATTTCTTTCTGCTGATCTTGTGCTTTTGTTTGAATTCGACGCTGTAAGGTTCTTCGAGAGGGAAGGCTTATAGCTGTTGGCGATTTCTGAGCTAGTTGTAGAAGCTTAAGGAACTCGGGATGTTCAACAGTCGTAAAGGGAAGCCGTAAGGTAGTAATTGTAGAAACTAATTGGTGTTCCCAACGGGACTCGCTGAACGGCTCTGGTGCGATTTTTGCCTATTAAGTAGCAAAATTAGCTTTGATCTAGGAATAAATAAATGAGAGACTTGCCTGCTTCTGTAGTAGCCGCCGGATGCTTGATTGACCCTTTGTTTTACATATTGCCCGTTCTAGGTGTCTTCGTAGAGCAGTTGTTCCTTGCTTCCCTGCCGTCCCTGCTTTGGTATGAACTAGAGAGTTCGGATGGTTCAAAATTGCTCCGCAGTTCTTGCACATCACCTTAGGTTGTCCAGTAATAAAATGGGCAACCTGTTCGAAGTCTGCCCATATATCTGCTCGCTGGCCCTTTCGATCCCAGAAAGTAGATTGGTGCTCAGAGTGCCCACTCTGGGTCTGAATCCACCAATCCACGAAATCCTCTTTATTCATATCTTCGCACAGAACGTAGGTTTGTGCTGGATCTGTGGAGCGTCTGAGAGAGGTGGGAACAGAGAGAGGGGGAGGAAGCTGCGTTTGGCTTGCGGAGTGCTCGGGCGCGACGCTATCCGTTAAAAGATAGGATGAATCATCAAATTCCCCACTCTCTGAAAAGGGTACTGAGTAGATATCCGATAGTTGAGACATGATAGTTTGGTAAGAAAGCTCAATAATCCCAACGTTAGAGAGAAATCATCGTTGACTATAAAGAGGAGATAGGTTGGCCTATATTTAAGCTAGAATACAGAGTCCGTAGATAGCCTGGGCTATCATGCCAGGCGCAGATATCCCGGGATAACGCGTCTCCTATGTTCGCGATAATTGGCTATTTAGTCACTAAGTCCCACATCTGAATATCTTTTATTAGTTAGTTCCATGGGCCGGCCCATGGGCCGGCCCATTCGCCTTCGAAATTCGTGCTACGGCATCCCCCGCAGTTTTTATCTCATCGATAACTTTTTTTTTCACCCTTCCACGTTCACTATATAAAAGATTTATTCCATCCCTACATCTAATTCGTAAACAAGAAAGCCTTTAAACATACATAAAGTTATATTTTATTATACGATACTTTAAAAATCCAAGCAAAAATGACCTGCGTCGAGATTTCAGAAAATAAACATCAAGAGCTGAAGGACAATTTGAATTAATTGATCGTGAACACTTCAATATATATATATATTCAAGTTAGAAGAGATTACGCTGTGCGTAATCTATTCTGTAATTCGGTATAAGATTTAAGACAGCTATAAATTACGCTAGTAATTCTGGATATTTTATATATTTATTATGCAGATTTGGGGGCCAAATGGGCCAAATGGGCCAAATCGTGGGCCGACTGACCCATTCGTGGGCCAGCCCAAATGGGCCGACCCACGAGGTTTTTGTCCATGGGCCGGCCCATGCCCAGGTCTAGTGAGGAGCACCTTAATCTGGTTATCGCCCACGCTGCCGATCATGGTGAGTTAGCCCCCGCCAACGTCTGAGAGAATGGATCATTAACGGTCGCTTTAGTTTACAAAGCTCGACTCGTGATTGCTGGAGGTGCGACCGAGCCTATTTCTCAGGCTAAGGAAGCGACTATAGAAACCCCTCCAACTCCACCACATGACACTCGTGGGTCCTATCGACTTATGAAACAGACAGGGAAAGAGGGTCCTACAACCTACAGTGATATGGCCAGCACGGAAGAGAAGAGGAAAAAGAAGAGGAAAAGAAGCGACAGGTCGGAGTTGATGGATCAACCGCCCGGAGCGTCGGTAGTTGGTGGAAATGGAACAGCCAAAGATAAGGCTCCCGAGAAATCAATTTCGCCAGGAGTACAAACAACGGTATGTTATTTTAACCTCCATATTGAAGAAAGTCTAATGGATACATGGTTCATGTCTAGTCCGAAGTCGAGGACCCCGAATCTTTGTGTGCCCCGAATCGCCGTAACAGCTCTTTGCCATTATACCTAGACTCAGCCTACGAGATGAAGATCATGACAACAATATTGACGCAATGTGTCAAATTCAACTCTGATATCGCACAATATGGGCAGCGCGACTGCATGGCCCTGGCAACAACTAGGCTCGAGAGGATGCGGGAGCATGTCAAAGATGTCTCTCAATACAATTATGAGCAGGCAATTCACGCCATTCGAAGAGACACTGCTTTAACTGCGGGCAAAGCAATACAGACAAGATACAACGAAACTATCTTCTGGCCTATCATTCTTAAGTGCGCGGCGCTGATCGACCCTGCCACGCTGCCACCCGCCAAGGGCCCGGCTGATGGATTCACCATGGCGGAAAAAGCTGCCACAAAGAAATTCATGGAGGACACCGGGTATAGCGTGGGTGCAGAAAACCAGCGACAGTGCCGCATTTTCTGGAAAAACATATACGATATGCGTGAGGCTGGCGTTGACAAAATTCTCTTCTACCGTACAAAAGAATTCGACAATTTCTGCAGGGGCTATTGCAAGACATCGGAAACTCCACTCTTGGATAAAGTTTTGAGATGGGAAAACGAGTATCGATCTCATATCGAACAATTGGAAGTGCGGATTACCAAATTGAAGACAGGAGACTCGAAGTGTCTTAGCTACCTCAGCAATCATCAGGTGCTAGAACGACTGAAAGTGCCAGAGCCCTCGTGGAATAATGCTTCAAACGAGTGGGCCGTCAACGCTGAAGAAATCTTCAGGCAACGCAGCTCAAAGTCAATCTCGACTGATATTCTTGGCATACCACACGATGAATCAGGATACGAAGGTGGGTCAGACAAGTCCGCATTCATCACTCTTCTGCCCAAAGACGATGAGACTCTGTTCGTCTCTTCTATTGTGCCGATCTGCGAGGGAGACTTCCTGGGTATGTTTGCTGGCACCATCCGTTTGTCGGAGGATTTCAGTGTCACCCACGGTATCTCTGGTCCCGCCGAGAATTTGTGGCTTGACTATTCTCAGGTCACTGGGGTGCTGAATCAGATGCAGGTATCTGAACCAGGCGGTAACGCAAACGTGTGCCTTTTCTGGGAGGCATTCCATGGTGGCAATGCGACGGAGCCGTGCATCTCGTGGCGAGTCTCCGTCAAAGCCACCAAGCACATCATGCCATTTGATCCTATCGTTCGCGCAGCTGCTCAACAAGAACAATACCATTTGCATTCGTCACCTGGAAATGCCAAAAGAGGCTTTCTCGAATCTGCTACTAACTAGTGGTCTGCTATTGGGGCTCCCTTTGCTTTTTCAGGTAATTTTAGATGCGTTCCGTTCCAAATACGAGCAAAGAATTCCAGCCAGTAACAAATTCATGCCTAATTACATCTTATCTTTTGTCCGTAATGCAAATATATGCTACAAGAATCCATCCATGTATTTACTTCCATGGTACGATGAATAGGCCTTTTTCCAGAGCGGTTAGAACCGAGTGCGTCGCAGTCGATCAGGACAGGCAGCTGCCCACTGGTCCATTTCAGTCACAAAGTTTGCTGTATTTAATTGGCGAGTGGTCCTTGCTAGTCCTGCACTACTCTTTAGTCGTGGCCGAACACCCCAGTCGTGGGCAATTCTCCTAGTCTCTCCGCTCCCGCGCTACACGCTATATGAGCTGGCTCTTCGTAGTATTTCCTCCTAGTCCAATCATTCTAAGTCTACACCTTGAGACAGTCTAGAGGCGACCAGGGGGTTCTCAGCCAAGACAGTCACGCTGCCCCAGTGAATATCGATTTCATTGGCTTATCAGTTGTGCTGAAGGAGTGGGTCCCCGCAGTGGCCTTCAATTTCGGTGGTGGTCCTTGCCGCACCGCTCCTCCGCGGCTAATCTCTCTTCTACATTGTGAAACAGTCTTCGGTGGTCTAGGAACAGAGATTTCAGAGCTTGCAGCAGCCTCAGTGATGCGGCCATAGCCTGAACGACACGTGCTAGCTTGACTATTTCACATCTGCATGCCATGACTCACGTACTCCAAAGCCACATACTCGAGAACACGTCGCAAAATTACCCTGCGCTTGCATGCATGAACAGCATCACTGTTCCTTCCCATCATCATGAGGCTCGGTTGGTTGGCTTCGCGATTGATGCATAGAGATCGAACGCATTTGCTAGGTAATCACGAATATATAAATCCGATCTTTTCTGACATAACTTTAAGACCGATAAGTTTTTTCTTAAGGCCTTCCAGTTTCTCTCGAGCGATATTACCAAAGTCGTCTCTAGTTATGTCTCCTACCGAGTCACCGTCTTTGAATTCAGGAAATCATGATGCCACGCCTGTGGTCAATAGTGGCAGCCTGGAGGGATTTATCAGGTACATCGGTGTACTGGCGTCCAGCTCTGAATCTCAATTTGCATCCGCCGTACTTGGCGAGATCACCCAGCAGCGTGAAAAGATTCAGTATCAGGATGTAGAGTTGAAGAGACTTCAAAAGGAGATCCATGATATCAAGGAGAGAAAAAGAATTACTATCGAAGATATGTATGCTGTCAACGAGAACGAAAAGGCAAAACAGAGAGACTCCGCTACGCATATCGAAAACCTCCGTGCTACTGTCGATGAAAAGGAAAACAAGATCGCCGAATACTCTCAAACTCTGAGAGCTACTCAGGAAGAAATAGCGAAGCTAGAATCGACTTGCTCGCAGGAGCTCGCTAAAGTCTCACAGTCCGCCAAAGATATCGGTACACTGCAAACCAATTTGAAAGACAAAGACAGGATGATCGACCAAATGAAGACAGCTGGATCGAAATTAAAATCAATATTATCGTCGGAGCAGAAGAAGAAAGAAGAGCTGGAAGCTGCTAATGCCTCAATGAACAGAGAGCTACAGGCAGTCAAAGCAAATATCCAAAGATTGGAATCCTTCGCTGCCCAATCCTCGGATATTGAGGAAGACTCCGTGTAAGTCGTGCAAATAATTGCAACCATTCATAGATTGACTGTTCCCGTGTCATATGACAGGTCGACGAAATTTGCGAGCCTTTGGGCCTCTGCTATAAACGAGTTATCTCCATTGCTCGAGCAGGATGTTCCGGTAGATACTTTGAAGGTTCGTTCTCAAACTTCTTTTGCCACGCACCCCTCGCTGATAAGATTAAAAGGAGAAGTCCATCTGGGAGAAACTTAGAAAAGCAGACAATGTCATCCTACCACCGAACTTTCCTCTGATTGCTTCAAACTCCCCGGGAGCCAAAGCGATACGCTTTGCATTGATCCTGGCTGTTTTATCTAGAGAGATCGATCGACGTATATTTCGACCGACCTACTTTCTTTCAGGGGACAACCATCTTCGTGAGGCTCTCGGTCATCTTTCAGAATGTGATAGCGAGAAAGAAGCTTTTTGCCGTCGTATACTTCTCTCCATTGATCCTGGCGCCGAAGACGAGACTCTCAAAGCTGAAATTCGAGCTGTGATCCTGAGAATGTCCTCGTATGTGAGAGGGCTATTTTCTGAAGCGCAGCATGATTTGTTTTGCACAAAAATCAAGAGTATAGTTCAAAACGCGGCCGAAGTTTGGCTTCCAATTCAACGATCGCAACAGAAGTTCGAGACGGACTTTGAACTAATTGATCTCGAGGACGATGAATGGGGTCATTTTTCTTTGGCTGGTAACAATACAGCACCAGAAGCACAGGACCTCCCAGACCTTAATATTCTCATTGTTTTCCCGTGTATTTCTCTGGTGGAAGGCGGCGACCATGAGCCATTGACCGATATAATTCAACTCCGCAGTTCCCAGGAATTATACGTGGCAGCACAGCATGAAGCCACTCAAGTGGCAAGCTCTACCATCGCCCGAAGGTCTTCGACTCGCCCCAGGAGGCAATCAACCGCAGGCTCAACTGGGAAGTCTTTTTTAGGTGGAAATTCAACCAAGGGATAACTGTTCGGCTGTGGAAAAGGCTTCAGCAACGCTGATAGCTCGTAGGACTGAAAGAGAGTAGATGAGGATGGTAGCCAATGATTAATAGCGATGAAAGTCTTTACATATCTTTCTCGTCATACTCTTTTAATAGTTTGCATTTCCGTTGCATGGTATGATGTCTACGGTGACCTTCAACTGTAGCTGTGCGAACAAAATGCCACAATGGTTTTGGCAGATCATAAATCGAGAAGGAAGACGTGAGTCTAAGAACACCATTCATCCTATTCTTCTCTTCCGGAATACGTATACTCAGGCTATGTGACGCCACAGTCGACTATGTGTATATACAAGTGTGCATTTCCTCGTTGCCGAATCTCTTTAGCCCGACACTCTAGTCGTGCTCGACACTCCCGCACAAGATTCTGCCCTCTTCTCCTCGGTCTCATACGGGGGTATCAACTGCAATTTTGTGGAAATGTTGACGAAATTTGCGGTGATAACGTTTTGTCTTCACATTTTCTAATCTAAGCTGTCTCGAGCAATTCAGGTGGATTACTTTTAGTCGACTTTTGGAACCTGATTCCACCATCCGAACCGCACCATTATCAACTTTTCAGTCTCTTTGACCGACGCAGCAAAGGCTTGATGCTGGAGGCTTTAGGTATTTCTGGTCGTGCTTTTGCCCCCTTTCTTACTCCCGGCTGCTCTTTCGAGTGATCGCGATGTTGAGATGAGCGCGTCGTATATTGTCTTCGAGGCCCCGGCTCGGATTGTGCCGCCTTTGCTGCACGCTTCGTCGTTTTTCGCCCTGTAGCAATTTCCGTTGAGCATAAAGCGCTATTTGTCACCCCAGAACCAACAGAAGGCATGAGAGTATCGGTGACAGGCCGGTTCGACAGGGGCTCCGTGTGGACAGTTTGGGGTTCCAACAAGCGTGGGTCGATATTTGTTATCTCAAAGCCGACAGAGGAGGCTGGAGTCTCGGTCCTTGGCCGACTCTCGCATTCTGACGACACCTCTGAGCTATCTATGGATGAGATAGCGTTGCAAGTAACCAGTGGACTTTGTGGCAGATGACAAAGTTTAATTTTGACGTCATATTTGTGCACCTGTGCAGCGTGGGCCAGAAATTCAGTGACTTTACTGAACTTGGACACGTTATGACAGGCTTCCCAATTGCAGCTAATCCCGTCGTGTGCATGGACCAGATGAGATTCAATGAGGTGGCGACGAAGAGAATCCATTCGCTTGTAAGGAAATTTATGCGGAGGGGGATTCGATGCTGAGCGACGAGATACACCATAACAAATGATGCAGATATCAGTTGGACAGACCAGATTATCTTCTCCAGAAGATGAAGACGCGGGTTCTTCTGGCTGTTCAAGTACTCCATCATCCCAGCCATCGAGATTCCAATTGACTCGGTTGCCTCGTCGGGGCGGCTCACAGAGCCGTAAAAGTGCAACCATGTCCTTGGTAACCTGGATGCGTCGAGCAAGCAGCTTGTCCTCATCGAAGTTCTCTGCGTCGGGTCCGTAAAAGTTTTCCACAAGTCGTGCCCGTTCAGAAAATACATATTTCGGGGTGGGTAACTCCCAGTCTTCATCGGCAAGGCTATCAGCATCACATCCTCCAACATCAGATTCGCCGAGAAGTAGCTTAATCTGTCTGTCGACTTCGAGCACAGGTGCACTCTGAAAATGGTCCTTTCTGGCTGTCTCTCGAGTGTCGGTTGCCAATTTTTTCCGAAGCTTGGCCAGATCTTTTTTGACTGCTTCGTGTCTCTGATAGAGGTGCGGAAAGGGTTCTCGGGCATTCTTAACAGTGCCGATCAGAGATCGCATCTCAGCCATGAGCTCTCTCTTCTCTCGTCTAAGCTGCAAGACCTCGGGGTGTTGGCAGATAGCACGTTTGTGCGCATCGGTAAGATCGGACGGTGCTAATGGATCTCTTTTCCTGAGCATGCTTCCAGCGGCGAGTAATAGACCTTCCTGAGACGGCCGAAGAAGAACGACATGCTGGAGGTCGCGCCCGATGAATTGTGATTGGTAATGCTTTTCGAAGACCGCGTCGCCAGACTGGCCAAGCACCCTTTGCCGCTCCTGGCTAGTAAAATTCCCTGTGAGATGATAGTCAGACCCAATATAAGAAAATTTTCGTTATCAAAGTGGAAAGGTGTTCATCAAATTGCGTTCAACGAGTAACATACGATTGACTTCGTTTGCTGTCCAGCGGCGGAAGTTGTAATGTCCGATATCATTTTCGAATCTAGCATCTCGACCCAGCTCCCGGAGCGCCTGCCGACTTGATTCATAAGTCATCGGCAAAGACTCATGGAGTTCGTAGTCGCATGGAGTGCGCTCAAGACGCCGAAGAAGAGGCATATTTAGGACCTCCGGCTTCCATCGGAGGGGGAGGGACAGACTGCGATGTGGAACTTGCAGCCGCCAAATGAGCTCTGGTGTGAGCTCTGTATTGACAAAAGCGCCATCGCGGAAAGCAAACGAAATAATTTGAGCGATAGGGCAATATGCTAGTTGGTAATCACCGTGCATGAAGAATTTTGTTCTGACGCCAGAGGTTAGTATCAGATCAGCTCGGAGGGATTTTAGATAAAGAAAATTCCCCTTACCCATCAGCGCCTTCTGGTCGACCTTTGAGATTACGAAACTCGATGATGGCACAAAGGACGTCGCGTTTGCTTTGAGGGCCTTTCAGGTAGAAAAGTTCGATATCACGATAGCAGACTGAGTCCGGAAGATCTTTCAGGGAAACGTTTTTGGGAAGATCACTCTGGAAAGCATGAGCCCGTTTGCGTTTACCCAAGGACGAGTCAGGCAGCGAGGTATTCTGTGGGAGTAGGACGCCAGGTCGGGTCCCGGTAATGGCGGACCAGAGCTGGACGGTCGAAAATTGGACGATCATACTTCCATGGCGAAAAAACCTCTAATGGACCCAATGATGACGGTAGATCACACAAAAGACATCCACATCGAGAGTATTCTTTTCCTTCGTTCGTCGGGCGATCCTGCGCTCGGCGGGGAATACACCATTAAGAAACTATACTCTAATTAGCCTTCTACTTGCGAGAACTAGGAAGCACCCTTACTCGTCGCATCTGTTTGTGAACGTCTTCATTGACGCGGCGACGGGCGAAGAGCTCGAAGTATTGACAAAGGCGGCGCCAGTATTCGTCATACGACTGAAGCACTTTCTCTCGTGATGTTTTGAACATCCAGTCAAAAAAGTTCATATAGATCGCTTGATCCTCCAGAAGAAGATAGTCCACGTAGTCCTCGTTCGACTGAATGCAATATCTAGTCTCGTATGTTATTTCCTATCATAAGGCTTTTCGCGACCAAGCGAATACTCACTTCCGCCAATAACGTTCGACAACGGCGATACCTTCCAAAGTCTTTGGCTTGAAGTTTGGAGGGAGCCATCCAAGGCTGCGAAAATGTTCTAGTCTGGCTCGAGTTTCCTCGCAAAGAATAGGATCGGTCCAGTATTGGTGCTCATCAGCCTGAGCCGGAGGTACGGGCGTCGGTGCCATGGGGACGGCCAGATACCAAGACTAGGATGCAAAATTTTGGTGTAGGAAACGTCAAGGTTGGCTTAGGGCGAGGGCAATGGGGACGAGGAGCGAGAATCGGAGTGTGCAATGACACCGGAAGAGAGGGAAGACGAAGCATCTTATAGGCACACGACCAGGCCGGGCGAAGAGGTGGGGGGGAACTTGGATTTGGCTGCAGAGGGGAGCCATTTTCGGCGTCGTTTTGGTCGCCAGTGGAAACAAGGGGAACAACTGTTGAAGTCGAGCGCTAACATCAGGAGTGGATGATGACATAACAGTGCTGGGCGGGTGCAGAATAGTGGTGTTCTAGGGTCGTGGGCGGTCAAGCGGCGGCTCGACGTCCAAAGTTACGGGTGGAAAGGCGGCCGTTTCTGGCGTCGAAAGCGGTCATTTTCGGCGTCAATTCCACAGGTCCTCATATTCTATATGTAATTTAATTAACGCGATCTTCGCGCGTTAAAACACGAAAATCACACCAATTCCTGGCATATTTGTCCTGCTTATTATCTATGGATATCTATGCATATCTCTATGGATATAGGTCTACTATATATATATATATGCTATGGATAATGGATACTGTACTCTAGGTGGCCAGGGAGGCCTAGGGTGGGGTTGGGGAGCATAAGCATCAGTAAGAATTAGTTATATTATTATAGATGTACCTTGTGGCTGAGGCTAGGTTGGGCTGTCATTTCATCTATGAGAACACCCGTGGTGTAATGATATTAGGTAGTCCCTTCTATTCTTGAAACTCTAGTCGGTGGCCAAATTCGACTCATGGGTCACATGATCAACAATACAACCTGATCGACACCCCCTGAATATCACTACCAGGGCACCCTCAACTTCAACAGGATATTAGTGGGTGGTTCTGGATAAACATCATAGATTAGTAATTTGTTTTACCTCTTAGTTATAAATTGTTAGCTCAGGGGTTGTACTCGAAATCAGACTTGTTCATCTACATCCACTGGTTGCCATCACATTATGCGGTTCCACCGCCTTCCAACTACTATTCCCAACCTGCGGCAGAAACTCGGTGAACGCGTCACGTGTTCACACCGCTCTGCAACCGGGTCCTTAAGGTCACCGGGGTACTCAGTCAGGGGAACAATAATCAACTTCTGTTTACTATAACTATTGATTCAACCTTACCTAACCGACAGTCCTTCTACGCTGCTATAGTAGATCATAACACGTGGAGAGTATTTAATTCTGACAAAGCATGCCCATAGGCAACAAGAGTTACTTGGCCGATATGATTTAGTGTCTGTCGGTTTGGTCTGTTGTCTGTCGAAATGTAATCGCCCTTCTATCAAATTGGAAGGATTCCAAAGCCCAATTGGCCACCGACCTGAAGTTCGGCCCCCAAGAACCTGATGTTGATCTGGAAGTAACCAACTTCTTTTGGTTAGATCCGATGCGGCTCAATACGAATTGTAAAATTATGATGAGCGATAACAAATGGATTGTTATCTTCAAAGGGGCAGGATCGCTGAACGAAAAGTCCTGAAATGTGGAGCCGGAGACAGCCTGCATAAGAACACGAATGTTGCCGCGTCTTGCCGTCTGCCCCTGCCAAGGTTTGAGGCATTGAGCCCTATTATTGGCTACAAAAGTATGCATTAGATCTCGCCAAGAATGGCTTCTCATGCCCACGAGAGAAATATCCTCAGCCCTTTGAAGACGACGATCACATGAGAAGGAATACGAGACTGTAACATTCACAAGATAAAGTCCGGGGAGCCGCAACATGATATCTCGAGGAAAAACAGATCACTCGCGGCTCTCACTCGTGGCTGGGCCTTAGAAACCGTTATATCAGGCAGCAGACTTCATCTTCGCCTTACGATGGTGAATATCCGGCGATTTTGGCTGTCTTCCAGCCTGGTCCTGTCCCTTCTCGCTCAGCAAGGCTTGTCTATGGTTTTTGAAGATACAGACGCCCCTGATGCCGTCAACCACCTTCTCGAAAGTCGAGACCAATCGAACGAAGATGCTGCCTTTTCGGTTTTTGATCGACTGAGCAAAGACTCTTACTATTGGAGCGGTATGGTTTCCCCTGGATAGAGCATGTTCCTCGAGTCATGGCAAGATAAATAACATTGCACAACAGGTTCCCAGAATGGTCATAAGACTCTGGCGAACCTCACAGTCGACGTCGGCGACGACGAAGCAAACATCGTCTCTATGGAGAAGTTTCGACACCTACTGAAATCCGTTGACTGTACCGCTAATGGCATTGTCGTGGAGTTTGAGGACACTCGTGCGTTCGGGTACACCCAGCGTGGATGGCAGTGGGTCAATGATGACGATGATCGTAAATTGATCCTTGTGACTGGCAGTAAGCACTGTGGCTGGAACCCTCACAGGATGCCATTTGTCGTCTCATCAATTGTGTTCGACAAGCCATCACTGAAGGCGAAATTGAGCAGCGTGGCATCGGAGTGGAAACAACTCTTCCGTAACTACGAGGTCACGGTGGGCAATGTTCCAGAATCATCCACAGCCAGGCGAGGCTGGGACGACTACGACGAGGAGGCTTCTCTAAGCTTCAACCATGAAATACCCCTCAGCCAGTCGATACCTATTCCCGGCACGGATGTCTCCGTGGACATTTCATGTGAGGGATGTGAAACAAAAGGATCGTTCGATTTTGGTGTCCACATCAAGACAAACTATGGCATTCCCGAGTCCGCCTCATTAACACTCTCGCCTAATAGCGTCTCTGCAAGCTTCACGCCACGCCTAGGACTGAGTGGGAACATGACCAATGAGATCTCCGACGAGTACGAGCTCGTAAAGATCCCTATCGATGGTATCTCAATTCCAGGGGGTGTTATTGACCTTGGCCCGGAAATTGTATTTAGTTTTGGATATCAAATTGGTCCTATCAAAGGCTCCGCAGGCATTACATCTGGAGTAACCCTCAGTCTACAGGACTCTGCAGAGCTCGAAATTGATTTTCTGTCTCCGGATGTATCCGCTGGCGGGTGGACTCCTCAAGTTGACACGCAGCCGGTGAAGATCGATGCCAAGATCGAGGCTGGGGCTGAGGTTTACGCCAAAGCTGAAATTCAATTTTCTGCGTCAGTTTTTGGTATGTATGACCGTGCCAGCATGTATTCAATGTACTAACATCATCTAGATCAGGGCTATGAAGCCGGTGTCAATCTGAGACCCTATCTCGGAGCCAATGTAGCAGTCTCTACCGGTAAGTCAAGTTCTCAAACAAGAATCCGATGTACTAATGTCATCTAGACAAGGGTTTGGGAGTCGATGTCAATCTTGGAGACGATCTCGGAGCTCATATCGCGGCTGGTGGTAAGTTGGTCTTCAATTATAGGTTTTAGCATTCCCTGACGAAGTCACGTAGGCTCTAAGGCTTGCATCACCCCAAAGGCTGGAGTCAGCCTTAACGTGGATATTGCACAGGCTGATACACCTGAAGACCCTATGGTGGAGAAGACAATTACGGTATGTCAACTAAACCTGTGAATGGATCCCTGAAACCACCACTGACTTCTGTACAGGAGATCAAAGCGCCAATGTCACCGTCTTGTGTCAATTTCGGCCCGGTCGGGTCCATAAGTTTAGGTGGTGACAAAAACGAGCCAACTTCATCCAGAAAGGCGTCTACTTCCTCGATCAAATATACATCCACACCTTCAACTACACCAGTCACCTCGTCAAAGCCCATCACCACCTCATCCTCGACATCGAAGCCGTCGTCTGCTACCTCGACCCCATCTGCTAGCTCGACCTCGTCTCACCGCAGACATAACCACCGACGGTATCACGAGATGCGAGGACACTGAATGCAAAGACTCCTCGTATAATGACTACTGCATCAAGCGCAGTACGTGATTGAAAATGCGGCAAGTTGCATTCAAAAAGAAGCACACACACCGACTAAACTTCGATTCTTTTTCCTTATATCTACTCTTCCCTGAACAGCTTACATTCATTTCGAACTATTACCTTTCTTTCTTTCTTCCTGTCTCATTCATACATATATATACAAGTTTATAATTATTAGCATTTCTTTCAGGATAATCCAAACTCTTCCGACCCACCTATAGTCTGCAACGCAATTTTTTTGTTTGTCGATGCCCAAGTAGGAAGAGAAAATTAACTAGAATCTCCAGGTGTTCAATTCATAGTCCACAAAGTAGAACCTGGTTATAACGAATAATTAATTTCAGCATCTGAATTCGTTATATCAAGGAATTCGTTATATCCAGTATTACCCCCCCCCCAGAATAGCCTCGAATGTCAACCTGACGCCTATTTTGAATCTCCTGCCCCTGTATATCGATTTCTAGCCTATTTAGGAGCCGAACTAGGCCTGTATCGCCTACTTCTTGCTGATCCTGGTTAGACCTGTGCATGGCCGATGGCCCGGCCCAAGGCCCAAACGGCCCAAAAATTAGCGTCTAAGTGACTTGCATTAATTATGAAGCGTAAGCAAGGTCTTGGCTGTAACGGCTTTGTTACAGTAACTATAATAATGGACTGGACAGAGGTTATAGTAGGCAATGCATAGAATTGAATGCAAAAAGGATAATACGTAGTAAACCAGACAGGTAAATCAAATTTCATATCCATCTAATAATCGTGAACGCTTCCGAATTCTCCCTGAGACCCTCTGGGTGTTGAGATCTGGTAATCAGGTTTCTTGATCCGTCCGAGCATCTTCAATTGCATTGTCCACTTCACCCCTAGTACCTTCAACATTCTCATTTTGACATCTTATATTCAGTTGCGTTGTCTCGGATAAACGCAAAGCCGCTCTTCTTCTAGATCAAACCGATTTGCACACATAAGCAGCATAAGATCTTGGATAGTGCTTGGGTTTATTGAGCCACAACAATAATGGCAAATATCACGGGCGAAATTGAATAAACGCTCCACACCCAGTGGCTAGCACAGAGAGTATATCACGGGCAATTGATGCAAGAATTGGAAATTTGTGTTCATGATCTCTCCAAAATATACGAGGACGGGTTCGCATGGTGTTTATTATACCGCAAAAAAGTTAGTGATTATATTAGACAATCAAAGAAATGTCCTAAAAGGAGATGGTTTTCAGTTGAAAACGATGGCAAAGAAACACATACTGCTTTTGAGATACTGATCAAGCTTAGATGTTGGTGCTGTAAGCTGGATCTTGCTACCATCAAGGAGTAGTAGATCAATCTCACTCTGAGGATTTAGATGCTGTAGCCCTTGTGTCTGAGATTGAACTATAGATCATATCCTACTAAGTTATAACTTTTAGTCTGTGCCTCAAGCATTTGCTTATATTAGGCAGCATAGTCTTCATCCTCCCAGCTAGGGGTTTGAAAGAACTCCCGTTTGTATGCTGGTGCAAGAATGGTCCCAGCAGTATACATAGTGATAAGACCTGTAGTCTCAGTCTCTGCATAGTACTCCCTGAGTTTGTTTTCAGCTGCCTTAGGAGCATCTAGCATCCACCCAATCTTCTTCCGTAACAGCTGCCCAATAGAGCTCTCAAGATGTTCAAAGAGACGGTTGTAAATACTGAAAACAGTATGAATTATCACATCCTTTGTTTTTGAGAGAGCAGTGGTGAATTAGTAGAATGGTTGAGTCATGCAAATCAAAACCTGTCGCCGTTTATCTTGGTTATCTCAACACGAGAGTGGTGAAATGCATCATAGAAGGCCTTGAATACTTGCTATAGTCATTTGGCCCGGCGTAGCATCAAAAATGTTGAATTCCAAAACCCTTAAACGCTAAAACGCTAAAACCCTAAGATCTTGGTGAAGATCTTTATAGAGTCTCACCACACATTGACACTCTCAAAGAGCTGTTTCCCCGATTAATCGTACAGGCGATGATGAAAACAGATTCCCCTGTGGACAATCACACATTGTTTCTCAGCCCGTATCCGAAACCACCCTAAACCATATTGGGCTACTCTATGTAAAACAAATCCCTGTTTAGCCGTATCGCGGCTTATACGTACTAATATCCGTAGAATGTTCTAGGTAGGTTCTTGACGGGCGAGGGCGGGGTCGATCTGACGATCTGGCTTCATCCACGCTCACGCTATGGGGACAAGAGAAACGTGATTTCTTTTCGAGTACTGTAAGTCCTCTTCAATATCGCAGTAGTCATCGACCGCTAACTTCCGCTGGTAATACAAAGGAAAGAAACCATAGGCCGCGCCGTCAAATGTTGCCTAGCGTGGATTAGGCCGAACAGCATGGACTCAAACGCATTCGCATATTCATGGCTCAAAGCCATCACCTACAATGGCCATGCCTTGTTAAGGCACCTGAGCTGGAAACTTACCTCGCTGGGGGGCACCAAAGGACGCCAAATCCGCGTTATTTGCCTCGCTGATACCCATTCGCAGCGGTGTGACATTCCATATGGTGAACTGCTGATACATGCAGGTGATCTGAGCCTGAACGGAAGTGCAACGGAAATTCAAGAAACCATCGATTGGCTCAAGTCACTGCCCCATAAACATAAAGTGGTGGTGGCCGGAAATAGCGATCGTTTCTTCGATGCTCGCTCTCGATTACCAGAGGATATGTCGACGATTGGCCTCTCTTCCGGCAGGGAAGAATCAAAGAACCTACGAAGTCAACTCGAAATGCCATTCGATTGGGGCGAGATACATTATCTCCAGGGAACTTCTGTGACTTTGGATTGTTCCCGCGTCTCATCTACTGTCCCGAAATATGTTAATATCTATGGCGCACCATTTGTCCCTGAGTGTGGCCCTGATACGGAGAATGCCTTCCAATATCCAGTGAGCCATAATCCGTGGGCTGGCAAGATTCCTGAGTCCACTGATATTCTAGTCACACATACGCCCCCCAAGTTTCACCGGGACTGGTATTGCGGGTCTCCAGAAGGATGTCCCTGGTTACTTCAAGAGTTGTGGAAAGTTCGACCACTGCTGCATGTGTTTGGACATGTGCATACTTCATATGGTACTGAGCGTGTTGTTTGGAATGATGCCCAGTCGAGATGGGAGGAATTCTGCTCAGGCGTTCAAGAACTACTGAGTCAAAATGAGCACCCTATTACGCTTGCAGGAATCCTTCGACCCAAATTATGGCTAGATGCAGCGATGGTAATGCTATGTGGATTACAGAATCTACTTACCATCGTGATTGCCCCGCGGCGTCCTGGATGGCAATCTACTCTTATGGTAAATGCTGCATGCATGAGCGATGACGGGCAACTGGGAAAAGCCCCTCACACGATAATCTTATAAACCAAAATATAGTTTATCGAATCTTATACTAATAACGTAGGCGAAATTCTGTGCCACTATTACAATCGGGCTTCTTTTGCGTTCTCTTCAGTTATTTGAGACGTGGCAAGCGACTGGTTATGTATTGTATCATATAATCGTAGGAAAAGAGAAATGAATAACCCATCAGCTACTGTCTAGGACATCCCAGATTGTTTAAAAAATAAGAAATGTAGCCAGCCCTCATAGGTCGCCAGCCAGTCCCTATCGCAAGCCACCCCGGGTTGTAGGGCAGGGCACCAATGTATAAACACATTAATTTAATTCCTGGATACATACCTTACGGTTACGGACTGGACCAGCATTCGCTGTCCCACCAACAATGCTACGACGCCGACCGGTGGACGAGAGAGATTTGGTCTGGATGGACACCGATGGAGGCGCAAGCCTGGAAAACGGGCGGATGCCTTACGGCTCCCCGGGAACTTTGGCGAGGGACTGGGAGAGTCGGAAGGCATTCGTCCAGGCACCATGGCAAGCGCCGCCAGAAGTGTTCATCGAGGACAGAGAGATGGCAGTGAAAACTCACGACCACATTCTATCCAAAGACCCAAGCGAAAGACCCTTGATTCTCTACACCGACGGGAGTGGGATCGAGGGAAAAATTGGAGCAGCAGTAGTCGTTGATCTCGAGAATCACCACGCTCACAGCCAAATGGGCGGCGAAGAAACGTCCACTGTATACGCTGCCGAGCTCAGTGCCATCGAAATGGCACTCAAATTAATCTTGGAGACCACGGAACCGTGGGCGGCACAGGCGAGAAACGGGCTTGTCATCTTTGCAGACAGCCAAGGGGTATTGAAGGCGCTCCGCCAACCACGGATGCCATCAGCACAGGTCTACCTGGAAGAATGCCTCCACCTGGTAAGGCAACACGCAGCCAATGGTCGTCAAATCCACCTCAGGTGGATACCTGCTCATCAAGGAGTGGCCGGCAATGAACGTGTCGACCGACACGCAAAGGAGGCGGCCCAGGAACCAGGACCACAAAACCCAAACAATCGTTATATTCGCCATGCAGCTGCAGCTAAAAGCCGCATTCGCCGCGAGGCAAGAATCGAGTGGGAAAGGTCATGGTCTATAGAGAGAACAGGTCGACCGACGAAACGCTTAGTCGAACGACCAACAAAGAAGACCCTCGAATACTGGTCCGACCTGCGGAAAGCGACAGCGTCCATTCTGATGCAGCTTCGTACTGGACGAATTGACCTTGCTGCCTACTTGACTCACATCAATCGGCGCGAGTCAGCGGGATGTGGTTGCGATCTGGGGAACCAGACGGTCAATCGTATCTTGCTTGAATGCCCGCTACTCCAAGACGAGCGCAACTGGATGAGAAACGCTCTGTCCGACCGCGGAGTTGCTCTTCGACGCGACGAGCTCCTGACGCGGCCAGAGGCTCGCATAATTGTGGCCGAATTCATGGTCCGGACAGGGGTCTTAAACCCATTTCAAGCAGTCAACCCATTGGCTCTCGGCATGGAAGAGGCGACGAAAAAGGATGACCCCTCAGGACAGTGTGACGGAAGGAGAAGGATGGTGCCCGTTAGGAGTGCAGTGCCAGGTCCACTGTACTCCCTTGATGCAAGCAAGCGCAGGAGCGGCAGCCGACGGCCCAGAGGGCCGCGCAGATGAAGGCGGTGGGGGATGAAGTAGATCAGAGAATGAAGTCTGATTGTGGAAAGGAGGGTGGGTAGAGGGGAGACGACGTTGATTGATTGATTGATTGATTGATTTGTCATTCTCGGATCTGTCAGCCCATTGGCCGATTTGCCGGCAGGTCACGTTGGGGTAGCCGGGTCAACTACATCACTATCTACACTGGCTTGCCATCAATCTCAACCCTCCGCAATTTACACCTGCCGGGAAAGAGGTATATGCCTGAGGGTTCTCCCAAAATCATGGCGTATTGTCCAATGCTCCCGTACGGTCCTTATTTGCGGTTGATCCTCGACGGCCGAGGCCGTTTCGGCAGGTTGGCAGCTGCGAGTCTGAAGGCCCGAAGGCAAGCGAATAGGTCACGAGTCCGCCACGTTGTGGTAAACTCGGTATGTGTCTACTATACTCCCGAACTGGCCGAGGAGTCTCGTCTGCAGCATGAAATTGGCCGCTCTTGCCACCAATTCTGGTTCTGTGAGCCACCGCTGCCACTGCGGGGCGGTGGTTCTGACGGTGTCTAGAATACGGGCTCGAGCATTAACATGTCGCGTACAGCTAAAGAGCACATGTCGTACGGTCTGCCTGCCGCGATCGCACGGGCAGAGCGTGGGGTCCCTGATGGCTGCTTCTTGCGCTCCGGCAAATGTGCCCAAATAGCTAGCGAGTGCTATCTTGGCTGTCTGCATCTGGATGACGACGGAGCTTGCCGCTCGTCGGAGTTTCTCGTGAATACGGAAGATAGCCTTCGTAGGTGCTGGAAAGAGAGACTTTGTAGCGGCGCCGCTTCGGCCGGTGGCCCATTCTCTTTCCCACTGTTGCTTCGCAATTGAGCGTAGCTTTGTGCGGCTGCTTGAGGTGAGTATGATGGGGGCCCCTTGATCGTCTGCCGTTGGTGAGTTAGCCGCATCTCTTGCCAGTACGTCGGCCCTTTCGTTCCCATAGACTCCATTGTGTCCCGGGATCCATTGTAGTCGGATCTTCCATCCCTTGCGGTTTAGGTTATCGACGAATTGTACGATACTGCGCAGTATACATTGCCCGGAGCCCCGCCGGGGTTCCGCGCACGCTCGAATAGCTGCTTGATTGTCCGTAAAGATCGTGGCCGTCCGCAATGCAGGTTGGATGTTAGGGATGCCGCTCTGGGCACGGTGGAACTCTCGGAGCACGAGAAAGGCAAGTGCGGCTTGGATCCCTTGAAGCTCAGCCGCGTAGACGGTGTGCGTATCGCGGGTGCCGACGCGCGCGACCGTCTTGCCGCCTGGGTAGATCGCGGCTACGCCAACCCCTTTGTCGGTAGCACTGCCGTCTGTATAGGCGATATATCCGTTTGGGCCGTGGCGTAAGACGTCGTGATGGGCGTGGGTAGCTGCATCCTTAGTGGATGAGATGACCGTCTCGGGTCCCTTCCACCATGGAGCAACTGCAAATGGTTGGATTGGCTCGAGGCGGCTGCACTCCACCCCTTTCTGCCGGAGCCGGATCTCGAGCCGCTCTAGAGGGGATGTGAGCGGGTCCTGAAGAAGATCATCATACCTCCGCCGCGCGTAGGGGGTTCGTCCGATAAGGTTGTCAGAGTGGCGGCGTCTGCGGTGTGATTGCGGTGCTCGGCCTCTGTAAATCTCAGGTCGTTTTCCAGACTCGCGGATATGGCGAAGTGTGCCCATGAACGGTGATGAGCAGAGACGGATACAGGCCTCTTCCGCGAGACGGGTAAGGCTGATCATTGGTGGCGGGATGTAGAGGCACACTTCGAGCGCGGCGCGTGCGGTTGTGCGGAATGCGCCTGCGATCCGGTAAAGTGCCTGGTGCTGGATAGATTCGAGTGTCCTGCGGAGCTCGTTCAAGGGGCCTGTGAAGCCCCAAGGGCCCCATGTGAACCAGCTAGAGCACGCGAAGCTGATCTGCGGCCATAAGACTGCTGTATACATACGGCGGAGATCGAGGAGGTTGACACCCCATGTCATCCCTGCTATCGATCGTAAGGCGGAAACGAGTTCGGACGCTTTCCCGTGGCATTTCCGGATCTGGGTTAGACCAGTGAGGTGCTCATCGAGATATACTCCGAGGTAGCGGAGAGTTTTTGTTGGCCGTATTGTCTCTCCGCGTAACTCAAGGTCGGCATCAAGATCCTCTGGAGGGACACTGCCTCGCGTGCGGTACATATGCATGAGACCGTATTTAGCGGGCGCGAACCTTGATGCATGCCGTTTCTCCCACGTCTCGGCGATCTGGTGTAGGTGTTGGAGGAGACGGCAGTTCTTCCTCGAGGACTTGCTCCAGACTAGGATGCAAATGTCGTTGATGTACCCCGTTACCAGGACCTGTCCCGGGGCCGCATGGTGGATCTCGTCTATAAGATCTGCATTATAAAAGAGGTATAGGATCGGTGAGATCGGTGACCCTTGCGGGATGCCCGTAGCCACGCCAAATCGTCCCATATCGCCTTCCTGCATGAGTAGTGAGGTCTGCCGGTCACGCAGGAAACTCCCCACCCAGCGGATGATACACTGGGGGACCCGCCGTTTTCTAAGGTTATGGAGCAGCCGTCGGTGCGATGCATTATCGAAGGCCCCGCTCACATCTAATGTGAGCAGAGATGCAACCCGATCATCGTTTCTCCATGACGCGTGGATCTGTTCAAGAAGTAGATGGATTGCATGGTCGCACGAGCGGCCCTTCCGGCCTCCGATGTGGGTTTCCGGAAGTAACTGGTGTTCTTCAACGAGGAAGCTTAATCGAGCTGCGATGACTGCCTCCATGGCTTTCCCAAACGTATTAAGTAGTGCGATTGGGCGGTATGCTTTCGGCACTGTGTAGTCTGGCTTTCCAGGTTTCCGGAGAACGACAGTGGTCGACTCACGGAAGTGGCGTGGGCAGTAACCGTGGCGGAGGCATTCGTTAAAGAGGCTTGTCAGAAAGGCCGCGAAGTGCGGGACTTCGAGCGCCTTCTTTAGCACAGCATTTGGGATGCCGTCTGGTCCGGGTGCTTTGTGCGATGCGGTCCTAAGGACTACCCTGGTCACTTCGTCCTGTGTGATTGCTGGCATGTCGATCGACGTGGGGTAGATGAACCCCTGTAAGTCTCCAAGGTCTGCGTCCGGCGCTGGGGGAAGGAGCGTCTCCTGGAGGATCTGCGCCTTTTCGACTGCCGTTTCATATGTGCGATCCCCTGCCTGGAGTGTTGGCGTGAAGGTTGCCTGAGGCGTCCCTCGGCTACGCGCCCATTTGGCGAGATTCCAGAACCCTTGGATATCTTGCGTGGCTTCTTCCACGCGTTCTCGATGAGCAGTTCGGGCGATTTTAGCGCTCTGGCGGCCGAGCTTATGCCTAAGCTGTCGAAACTCCTCCAAGGCCTCCGGGTCCTCCGCCTTCGCGTGCCTACGAGCGCGGCGGACCTCTGCCCTGAGTGGTGCGAGCTGCTTCGTGTATCCCGGTATAGACCATTCATTCACGCTGGTTCGGGGAACGTTGTCTTGGGCTGCTTGGAGAATGTCGGTAACCATAAGTTCCACGGCCGCGTCGATCTGTTCTGTTGTCTCGTACGGTCCCGCTTTCCAGGTCTGGCTTCGCGGCGTGAGAGCTGCCAGCCAGGCTTTCCAATCTGCGTTCTTCCAGGGGAGACGACGTTCGTTTTGGATTTCTTTGTTTATTTTGTCTATTTTGTCATGTTTGCATACATTCTCGGGTGACCAATCAGGGGCTTGCGTTGCAACCCATGGAAACAATCGTTCAGTGGGCTGGCGACCACCTTCAAGCTGTCGGCAGGCCTGACAGCACTCCCGCATAGCAGCATATATTTATAGCAAGCTGCATCGGGCAAATGAATTCATCATCATATTGTGCAGCAAGAGAGAAAGAGAGTCAAGGCCTACAAAAAAATCCACAAGTCCTTGAGATTCAGCTCGCTTGCGGGTGCATTCGTGGTCGCGTTGTAAATAGATATATCATATTTTGACCCACTTCTACTCTGAACTATTCTTATAATTGGTTATATTTTGAGGGTCGTTGAGGGCCGCCCTCTAATAAACCCTCGAAATATGTGTGCGGCCCTCGAAACACTAATCCGCCCTCGATTCTTCGTTGAGTTGAAGGCCCCCTGAATTTAATGCCAATTCCGCGGGATTTTCCCGAATTGAAATATTCAAATATAAATTACGCACAAACAAATAATAATTAGGGGAAAGGATAATGGTTCCAGATAAAAGAATGCAAAGGCTGTTTATTAATCCTAATCACTTTCGAGAAATCTCAAAGTAAATGGTGTATTAAAAAAAAAGGATGCATCATCCTTGTAGTGTAGCGAATATATATTTCTTGAAGTCTACCTCAACAACTTCTATAATTACTACTATCAATCACACTTTGAGCTAATAAGAGTCTTGTCAAATTATTATTATCTACTATGATTATTAATAATACAACGGATTTCTCAAAATTTCTATAAGATCATACAGGAATAGCTTAAGGAAACGACCTATGAACCGATACAGCGTTAAATAACAGTAATTAAATAGAATGAATCAGCAACTTTATCTACCCTAATTAGGAAAGGTCGCCTTTTTTTATGCAAACGAGGGCAGGTGAGAGCCGGTCCCCCCGGCCCTCCAAATGTTTGTGCCGAGGTCTAATTAGAAGTGAGGAGTGTTCAATGCCATCAAGCACAACAATCCACTCATCAGACCGGCGCAAGGCAAGGTCATAACCCAGCCTAAGAAGATAAAAGCCAATTGTTTCCAGTTGACTGCCCCCAGGTCATAGTTCATTAGGGCAACGCCCATAGAAGCGCCGGTCAGACACTGCGTGGTCGACACTGGCAGACCAAAATGCGAAGCGAGAAGAACAGTGATGGCGGCGCCTAGCTCAATCGAGAATCCACGGGTAGGCGACATTTGGGTGATCTTGTTGCCGAGTGCGCGCACAATATTGAAACCATAAAACCAGAAGCCAGCACCCAAGAGGAGACCGGCGACGACCAAGAACCAAACAGGCGTGGGAGCGTCGGTGCTAACCTCACCAGCAAGGTAGGTGCTGTATGTTGCCGCCCAGGGACCAACAGCATTGGCAACATCGTTAGAACCATGAGCAATAGACATCATCATGGCGGAGACAACCTGGCAGTAGGTCCACATGTGCTCCACACGGTCATCGTATCTGTGGGCTCGGGCGTGAATGTCGCGGATTTGCTGGGAGTCATGGGTAACAACATCGCGAGTCACACCTTGAAGGAGACAGTATTTGACGTAGCCCCAAGGCTTGAGGGGGTTGTACCAGGGTAAGTCTCGGACAGGGTCGAGGAAGCGTTGTTCCGGTTCAACGTGCTTAGACTTTGGCAGAATCTGCGGGCTCGATTCAACAGACTCGGGATTTTGCTCGACGTCGGCTGCATCTTTGAGAACCTTGGAATCGGATGTGTGCTGGGTTTCCGGGGATTTCAGTGCATCCTTCTGCCCGGCCAGCACCTGGCCATACGAATCCTCATAATAGTTGACAACGACAGTATCGCCTTTGGCGGGGAAGTATAATGGACAATTATCCTTCAACAACAAAGGTCCAAGAGGAAGATGGTAGGCTCTAATGCGGGTGTCACCCTTGACCAAACGACGATGGAAGTAGGGCATGAAGAAAACAACGGCGACGAGCAGGCAGCCAGCAAACACGCCCAAAATGATTCCAACACCGCTGTCCACTCCGAATGTCGAGAAGGGCTCGCTGGGAGCTTCAATGACGATGAAGAGGGCGAGGATAGCGCCGGTTGCGGCAAGGTAGACGGGAATCAGGCGCATGGCCCACTTGAATGAGTCCTGTCGTTCAAGGACCGAGTATTTGAGAGTAGCGAAGATGACGGCAGCGAAACCGGCAGCAATAGCAGGAGCGATACCCCAGGACGCAGCAACCTGCGAGACACTACCATCGGTCCATTCCCAGTGGATATTAGCCTGCGCAGCTAACCCAACACCAACAAGAGCACCGACGATGGTCTGTGTGGTCGACACCGGCCAGCCCATGTAGTTAGCTATGGCCAGCCAGGCAGCACTGCCAAACTCAGCACAACCCATGGCAAGCATGAGAGTTCCAGGCTTGCCCTGGAACCGGTCGATGTCGATGATGCCGTCTTTGATGGTATCTGTAACACGTTGTCCAAGAGCCACAGCACCAACGAATTCGGTACAGGCAGCGAGTATGCCGGCCTGGTACATTTCTAGAGTTCGAGCACCCACTGAAGTGGCGTAGGAGTTGGCGACATCGTTGGCTCCATTACCAAAAGCACTGAAAACGAAGGCAATGCTGATAAGGGCAAGGATCCATTCGTACTTGGCGGTGGCAACGGGAATCATACTGGCGCCTATCACTCAAAAAAGGCAGAGTAAGGGCTCGTAGATTGTTCGAAGAGGTTGGATGTCGTGAATTGCAAAGAAAAAAAAGGAGGAAATAAATTCGTTAATGTAGGCTTCTATCGACTTATGTATTAATTCGCTTTGTGACTCGGACTCCTTGCCAAGGCCTGCCCGCTGGCAAAACTTTGTATAGAACACTCCATGTGGATGACGGCAAGCCGACCCTTCTCTCGAATGACAGCGACCACGAGGACCATCGTGTTCCGATACTAGACTCGCATTGGCTCAGGGCACCCGCTCATGCGCGGCGGGAGAGTACTTGGCGCCAAGCAAAATTCCAAGTTAATTTCCGATCAAGGTTCATCGATGCCTGGCCAATCACGAAATCTTATATGAGCACATTCCCAGACAGCCGATGGCACGTGAGGGTCCGTTTGCGGAGCAGCAATGATTGATCGTCCGGAGGTTCTGATCGAAGAAACAGAACACATGCCTAAATCGACATACAAATGGGTACGGGTACCTAACTCAGGAGAGCCTGTTGCAACGATTACGGCCTTTAGATAAAGAGCAGAGGGATTGTAGTGCTCATACTGCAAAGCACTGCATAATAAGTGAGTGGTGAAAAAGAGAGGGTGGTATAAAAAGACGGTGGCAGAGCGGAATTGGAGGTGGCGAAGCTGCCAAGAGCAAAAAGTTGCCCGTTTCTAGGGAATCACCGGGCGTTGAACAATGTCTTGAATTACACCATTCATTCGTTCAACGATTTCCTAGAAGGATTTTGACTTCCTAACAGCTCGCTCAATAGCTCGCTAAAATTGATTTGTCGGACTCCAACGATTCCTTTCCATGGCTCCTTCGATTTAATTTTTCCGTATTTCTGCAGATGGTTCTACGGCAGAGAGGGTGGTCAAAAGTATAGGGAGGTGAAAATCCTTGCTATCCTTTTGAACTTATACCCATTTCCTTTATTCCAAATCTACTCTCTGGAGTGAGGTGTTGAAATACTATGGGGTCTGTTTGAAATTTATCAATAAAATTCTGTCGCGCAATTGCGATATTGAATGCAAACTGATCTGCTTTGTCCAACGCCACGTTTTACGTGCTTTAGTCCCGATACCTTACATTTCTTTCATCGCATTCAGCCGTAAGGCAAACTCATCGTAGGATGTAGACCCTCTGCTTATCTAAAGGGCTTACTGTCTTGGAGTTCCCAGGAGCCTTGATAAAAGTTTGGATAGATTTAAAGATTGATCAAACGTCAAAACTCCTCGGAGCAAGTAAGCCGTCAGGACAAGATGGCTTTGCTCATTGTTTTCAAGATATCCAGATCCCAGATACGAACGCTTTGCAATTCTGTTTGACGCCAATACTCTCCGGTTAAGCTCAGGAGAAGTGGATGCCTATGCTCATTAATACCGCGGACGAACAAAGGCCAACCACTGGGAATATTAATGCATATTCGACTTTCCGCGTGCGACGTTTAAGAGGGACTGCCACGGATTACATCCAATCTCCCGATCTCCCGGGTCACGACTTCATGGCAAAAAAATCGCATTTTGCTGCCTTCTTCCCCGACGAGGAGATCGGACAAGAAGAATGGGAGAAACTACTACCAGTCGAAGAGATGAACGGCCGCTAACTTGGCGGTAAAGCGGCCAGTGGCGCTACTAGTCCCCGAGGTGAGCGAGGGCGATGGGTCTCGCATAGTGACCTGATCACTGAAGTGGCCCTGATTAGTCACCGATAGATCACATGACTCTACTGACTAACGTGATCACTGAGTCTGAGCCCGTGCTGACATCTACTCGTTAAGCCTGAGCATATCAAAAGAATTAAAAGAGAATTTTTTTACACGTTCACAACGGCGTTGACACCCTTGACTGGGATGAAGATTATTCTTTGTTTGTCTATCAGGTCTCGTTTCTCCGAGCCCTCATAAAAGCGGCCCCAGCCAAAACAGGAAAGCATCACTCGTCAGACATTATCCTGTCTATACGGTGGCATATATATAGAATGGGTGTAAGACAATGCACACTCATCGATTCTGCATCTGTATATAATTGCGTAGCTCCGCCGTGGCCTTTCCATCCGGCTGCCACTGAAGGCCCTGATCCAAGGCCGTCAGACCCTCGGCACACCGTAACGAAGGGTCGGCGCCACACTCCAACAGAACGGCGACAAGCTCGGAATGACCCTGCAACACGGCAGTGAACAGTGGCGTCTGACCATGCGTATCCGTCGCATTGACATCCGCCGTCCGCGAACCCGACAATAACGTCCGCACAATAGATATATTGTTCCGCTCCACAGCCGCATGAAGCGGCGACGTCCCCGCCACATCCGGATTCTGGAGATCTACCCGCGAGCAACTCTTCAAGACAGCGACCATCTCGTCATTCCCCGATATGGCCGCTACCAGCAGCGGCGAATGATGCATCCAGGAATCACTCAGATTCGGGTCAGTTTTCTCCCAGGTCAGCAAGTACCGCACCACGTCGATGTGGTTCCGATCCACCGCAATGGAGAAGGCGCCGCGGCCGTGCCCCCGCACTCGCGCCGTTCGGATCCAGTCGGTCCCCAAAATAGGAGACGAGGTATTCGACAATGTCGAGGTGGCCCGAGATAGCCGCGTAGAAGAAGACATGCTGGCAATGGGCCGGGGATTGGTCCCCGTTCAAGATAAATCGTAAATGGGAGGCGAGGATGAGGTCGACTTCAATGCCTTTTGGGATGCGCGGGAGAGGGCTGTTGCACCTTGGGTATTGGATACGCGGGGATCCACGCGGTTCCCGCTTAGGAGGACGGGGATCATATCGGGCCGTAATGTCACGGCGGTCATGAGGGCTGTGTCGCCGAATTTATCCTGGAGGTTGGGATCGGTGCGTTCGTCTTTGAGGAGGGCACGGGCGACGCCGGCGTGGCCGTGTTTTACGGCCCAGGTGATTGGGGGCCGGATGTACTTTCGATCGCGCGAATTGGGGTTTGTGTCGAATTGGGCGAGGAGGAGCGTGAGGACTGTGAGGCTGCCGTGGTAGGCGGCCAGCATCAGAGGGGTGCATCCTTTGATGAGATCATCTTGGTCAGTGACGGTGGTGACGTCGGCGCCGGCGGCGATGGATTTCGAGGCGGTGGTGAGGTTGTTGTGGATGGCGGCCCAGCAGAGAGCCTGAGAGAAGAGCTTTGCGTCGAGCTTGAAGAGCGATGAGGTGAGAAGGGCGAGGGTGGAGTGGTTCAGTTGGGCGAAGGCATTGAGGGCCGGGAGGTCGAGATAGCCGGCGATCTGGAGGACGATTTCCTTAGGCAAGTGACCAAGGCTGCAGCGGTGGTCGTCGGAGTCATCGGCCATGATGTGTGCGAGTCGAACATGGGCAGGTGGTCGTTGAAAAGCTCCGGGCCGTGGCGCTCAGCTGGACAGGCTGCGGAAATTTAGGGCGCAGGTGCGTTCATGTTCGAGGCGATGCCGCTGCGATGGGGAGGACAGCTTCAAGATATGCACCCGATACTCGGCGCATGTCTCCTTGCTGCGCGGCTTGCATGCACCCGGAGGTCAGGTCAGGTCAGGTCAGGGTTGTGCAAGTTGTGCAGCGGGCTTGCGATGGTGGGCCCCGCCCGGCGTCGTTCGCATGTGGGATGTGGGGGGGGGATTGCGGCGGGCGATCGACGTGAAACCCGGCTTGGGCGATCGCGATGGGCCATGAAACCGGCAGTCGTCTCACGACTGTCGCAGTGGTAGGCATCACGATTTTGATTATTCGAGTTGTATAAAAGAGGGGCAGGGATGCTATTTTAAAGTCGGATTGTCTAAGTATACACCACTGTGCTACTCCTGCCCCAGATTCCTTCCATGAATGTTTGTCGCCGATAAGATAAGCGTTTCCCGGGCGACTGGTCACGTTCCGCCGGTCACGTTGACACTTTGTTCCTCTCAAAGATCAATGGGGGAATGCGCAGGTCGTTCGCTCTTCCTTCTCTGGGACTGTCGAGCCAGCAAGATGTCGCAATACCAGCGCAGCCCGACTAAATATAAGAGCCAGCCCGGGTTGTTCAAAGACGGCCTGTGGCACTGCGATTGCCACCTTCGCCCGCCCGCTGTCAAGTTCCAGGTCAAGAAGGAGGGGAAAAACCATGGCCGATGGTGTATGTGTTGACCAACTCCGAAATAGTAGATAACGGACGAAACTGAAAGTATCAGTCTATACCTGTCAAAAACAACCGCCTCAGAAATGCGGCTTCTTTCTATGGGAGAACGACGCAGAGATTCGCGCAAAGTCCGTCAACCTCTCTAACTCTCGCTCTGAACATGATCCCCGCGATTCCACCCCACGAACCCCATCGAAGAGCACTCAAAGCCAAGGCGGTCTCCTCACTCCACAGACCGGCCATCGCGACTACTACGGCACTCCGCCCCGCCCCGCGCAGTCCTCCCCGAGGAGCGCCCGAGTAGCCCAGATGATGGCAGAGGATACGGGAGACTACAGCGACACCGAGGATAGCGATGAGATAGCCCAGCTGTTACTGTCCACGCAAGCCGCCGAGCAATACCAGTCACAGTCCGACGTTGTCTACCCGGAGTTGCCAAACAAAGTACAGCGAACACCGACAACGTTCTCACCCGGCAAGCGCAAGCTCTTCGCCGCCCACGGAAGTCCGAATGGCCGCGAAGATCTGTTCAGCTCAACAGTGATTCCAACGACTTCCTCGTCTCGGCCGACCTTGTCCAGCCGTGTGCCACCCTCTTCGGCGGAACTGTGCGTGACGCCCACGCCGACTAAATACCACAACGTCCTCAGCTCGACCTCCGTCCCCCACAAGTCTGAGCTGGCACGCGAGGCCACCGCAATTTTTGAAAAGCACGATGTAGTCCTATCGAACAAGGCCCTTGACGAGCTGGTCGAGCTGCTGAATCGCCATGACTTGAAACTGCAAGGTGTCAATCGCGGTCGAGAGATCACCCGGCTGGCTCTCAAGAAAAAGGAAGAGGAGCTTTCCAAGAAAGACGATGAGATTCGGTACTTGCATGAGAGAATCACGAATCTGCAGGCCCAGAGAGAATTGGATCAGAAGCTCTTGGACTCGATGAGCAGTGGGCTCAGCTGATAATGCGTCGGATGTGTGTTCGGATCACAGATTCAGCTTAACGATGTTATGAGATACGCTATTTTAGTCCCGAGCGATTGGACAATGCAACCAAATTGATTTTCGGCTTATACACAGCACTCTTGCAAAGCTGCCCTCTCGACCCCCTCGTACTTGATGACCGTTTGCATAATAGGATGGAGCCCGGGTCTCAACCTTATCACTATTTATCTATACCGCAAAACCACCATTTGTCCCTGAACAAATGTTACATTGATGAATACAGAGGGACAGGTGAAGACCTCTTCGGGACCAGGTTACAGGTCAGCTAACCCTCACTGAACCTCATCGCACCCTCAAGTCACGTGAAAAGTGGGTTTTCAGTAGCTCATCACACCCTAGACCCACTTATGTTGGTATTTATCCCTGTATTGCTGTAGTAACCATGTAAATAATCCTCATTTACCTTATAAATTAAAAACACGCCTGTTTTTATCCCGTCTTCGCCTTACGCAGACAACATGGAGCACCAACCAGTTGCTAACCAGTTCTGGTACCCCTGGAGGGAAATGCCTCTCAACCAACTGCTTAATCTTGATCCAAGCGCAGAGAATCAAGATAGGAGTGATGAGGACCTCTCTATCTTGAATCAAAGTAATGATACTCGTATCATACATGAACGAAATGAAGCAACAGCCGACCCCAATGAGGTAAATATATATCTCTTATACTCCAACTAGTTTTTACTTAGTCTCTAATCAATTAATCTCTAGCAACCCGAGCCACAGGTCACAATTCCACTCTCAGGTGGTACGCACGATGTAGTAGAAACTGCCAAGATCGAGCATGTTATTTCGCTCCCAGAATACCCACAAACCCATGATTAGGGCTGTTGCGAATACGAATATTCGCAGGAATCGGTATTATTCGTTATTCGTATTCGCAACACACGAACACTGCGAATATTATTCGCAGTTTTATTCGCAGTACTAAAAGTGTGCGAATAATTATTCGCACTAAGGCTGCGAATACGAATAATATTCGCAAGATGTCACGTGCAGCTAGAATAGTGGAGCAAAAAAATAATTCCTAGTCACCCAATGCAAAATCACTCTTCTGTACAATTCGTGCTATATTCTTGACTCTTTGCAGAGATATTTATCGCCCAAGATGCTGACTCGTGGGAACCATCCGAATTACCTTGCTCTAAACGATGGCTATGAAGATGAAGCCCCCTCTGAAGATTGGCTATCAAACCTAATAGAGAATCCGATAGCTCAGCATCCAGAAGAGCTTAGCCTACTGCCTCTACCGCATACCTCTGATCTGTCAGTGGTGACTGCAGATACCGATTCTTATCTTGATTCTCTGGATGAAGTGTTACCTTCAGAATCAGCCTCTCAACTACCTCCTCCAGCTACTGGTTCCCAAATTTCCCGCCCAAAAACACTGAAAAACGACTGGTTATGGGGTTTTCTTCATGTTAGAGAGTTCTCTAGCGAATGGATCGAAAAGAGAAGCAGAAAGAAGAGGCTCATCGATCGCGAAATCAGTTGTACGGCTATTGATAAAGCCACAGGGAAGAAATGCAACTGGTCTACAACAGATTCGAAGCGACAGACTTCTACCACTAATATTCGGCTCCATTTGAAGGAGAAACATGGGATTTTACCCCTAATGGCCCTGAGCAAGTGATTACTACACCTAAATCTACTCTTCTGAGCCTATGGGGTAGTAAGGCAAATATCACGATTCAACAAAGTCTTGAAAAGAACCTTCTTCGCTGGGTTGTGAGCAGTAAGCAGCCTTTCACAGTCATTGAATCACCAGACTTTCAGCAACTCTTTAAGGATATACCGGGGGTTTCGCTCCCTTTTTCCTCTCGCCATACCCTTCGACAGCGTCTCCTAGAAGATTTCGACCAACAACGCGCTAAATTGAAAGAGGAGCTTGCGGCGACGTGCAAAACAATTGCTTTATCTCTTGATGTCTGGACTAGCAAGAATCACCTACCAATCCTTGGTGTTATTGGTCATTGGCTCACAGAAGAATTTGATTATCGTGAGAGAGTCCTAGAGTTTACAGAGCTTCATGGACCACACAGTGGGGAGAATCTAGCTACGGCTATTGAAACATTACTTATTGAACTCAATCTTGAGCACAAATTACTCTCAATTACTGGTGATAACGCTAGCAATAATGAGCGGATGGTGCTACAACTCTTTGAAAAGTTACAGCAGTCCGGAGCGAATACCATATTCTGTGGTCTAGGAAGCTATGTGCGGTGTTTAGCGCACATTATCAACCTGATCGTGAAGGATATCCTTTCCGCTCTCAAGTCTGGTAATACAGAAGAGGCCACTTCTGTCTGTGATAACCTTGATAGAGGGGAACATCACTCATTCCATACACTTGAACCACTCGCTAAGCTTCGTATCCTGGCTATCTGGATCTACCGAAGTCCTCAACGCAGACAGGCGTGGAAAAACAATTGCAAGCGTATGAACCTTCCCGAAAAGTTCATTCAATATGATGTTGATACACGATGGAATTCTACCTTCCGCATGATAAGTGACGCTCTAAAGGTGAGCTACTAGCACTCAACGATACTTTAATAAGACTAAATACTAATGCTTCTAAGTCAAAGGACCAGCTTGAGAAGTTCATTCATTACGAGACAGAGTTTCTACCTTTCTCGACAAAAGATTGGGAACGACTTTCACAAATCCACTCTATTCTCTCAAAATTCGATGAGTTCACCTTGTTTGTCTCAGAGAAAAGGCCCCAGATCAGTCTCACAGTGCCGGTCTATTATGAACTTCATGATTTACTACATGATGCTGCGGAGCGTAAGGAGGATTTTGCAGACATTGATGAGGATATTGCAAGTGCGGTTAGGCAAAGTATCAAGAAGTATATGAAGTACTATACTTTTATGGATATCTCTGATACATACTATACTGCTCTGATTCTGGATCCTCGTGTGAAAGGAGACCTCCTCCTATACGAATTGGAAGATAAAGCCACTAGCAGGGAGATTCTTCAATCTCTCCGTGATGACCTTTATTCCAAATATCCAGAGACTTCAGACCTACTTAGTATAGCAGAGCCCTCAGAGCCCAGTCACAAGAAGCAAAAAGTTGGAAGCCGGATGTTACGAAGGCTACAGCCTCACGATAAGCCTCAAGTATCTGATATTGATCGATATTTTGACAGTGCTCGGGTTGATGCTAGTGATATGGAAGATCCAAACTGGTTATGTGATTGGTGGAGGGTTCATAAACATGACTACCCTCGGATGGCTGCTGCTGCTAGAGATTACCTAGCAATCCCAGCCTCTGAAGTTTCGGTTGAGAGATTGTTCAATGCAGGAAGAGATGTACTTGGAGTACGGAGATACTCTATGAAGGCAGAGACGATGAGGGTTTTAATGTTGTTGAATGATGTTTATAAGTAATAGTGATTCGACTGGACAACTATATAGAGAGCAGTCTCAATTTCTAGTGTTTCCTCTGGTGTTCTATAAATGATAATTCAATTTAACTCCGCAAATCCGTAATATATATACCCATAACATGCTAGCTTCAAGTACTTACTCTAAATCTGTATAACTACTTTGAACACGCACTTCTAAAAGTAAGATGAGTCTAGCAGTAGAATCTACTACACTCCTTATATTCCTACTCTACAAGACTTACAAGTATAGAAATCTTACCTTAACCCTCTACGTAACCAAGTAACTAACTAGTTAGCATATACTTAATTAACTAGTCAACCATCATCATCCTGGAGGATTACATAATAATTCGGGGATTGCGAATATTCGCCGAATATTCGCAGACTCGCGAATAATTTATTCGTAATCCCGATTTGCTGCGAATAATATTCGCAAAATTTATTCGCAAAGCAAAAATCTCGCGAATAATTATTCGTACGAATATTCGCACGAATAATATTCGCAATTACGAATATTCGCAGCAGCCCTACCCATGATCTTGGCTATGCATATGTGGTCAACCTCCGAGGACTATCGTATGAGCAAGCATCTCAGGTTCTCACTTCAGTATGTATCTCTAGAAACTAATACTAAACTACTTACTAACCAGTTACTTAGATACAGTACTCCTACGCTAAAGTTGGGACCGAAACAGTTGCGTTTAATCCATTCCTTGGTTGCAAGACTAGGAAACGAAGGTTAAAATGCACTGGGGTTTCTATCTGCACCTTCGCACATCCGTTAATTATGTCTTCGCAACATTACCTTGCTGATGAAGATCTATTCACATCGCTTTCAGAGACCCGGCGGCGAATCAAGCAAGAAGATAGCCTGACTTTGCAGCAAAAGGCTAGCATGAGGTAAGATAATTAGTTTGTAACTAAAATAGAACTAATCCTAACTTCTATTAGCTTCTACCAGGTCCATCAGGAGAGGTTTCACATGAAAACTGCATGTAAAAACTCTATAGACAGCTGTAAGCTAGTCTATGGGACCTACCATGAACCAGTAAGCTTGCTAAATAGGTCAAGGAAAGCCAATTGCTAACTAGTCAACAGACCATTGATGGGATCCATCATCCCTTCCTCGCATGCAGTAATCGCACCCTTGAAAATAGGACTCTGCACTTCCATCGAAGCCTAATAGGGAAAGAGACCTCTCTAGATATTAGATACCTCCAGTATCTAGTAGATGGAAATATACCCTCAAGCTTTGACCACTGCGGTGTGGTTGAGCCGCGCTCTACGCGGCGTAAGGACTGCGGTATGTCTTTGATAACTAGTTATACACTAGTTACTAACTCGTGTGTAGGTATTATGCACCCTCAAGGGCAGGGTAAATTAACCCAGCAACAGTGTGGCGTACAATTTCGCATATGGATCCCGATAGACTTAGCAGCGTGCCCATACGCTCTTTTCTACTCTCGCGGATGTCATAGTCACCCACCACCTCCTCCAAATAAGGCACCATACCTTATTATGGGTGATATATTGAATCTAATTTGTCGAAACCAGACCCCAGACTTAACCCTTAGTAAGTAATCTTATCCAGCTACTGACTAATATCTAACTAGTTAACAGCGTCGTTCCTACAAAGCCCAGCTCTTCGTGAATACTGCCAGGAGAGAAAATGCATGACACTCTCTCAGATCCATAAAAGCTTCGTGAATATGGACCGTTTTCGAGCCGTTCTCACTAAACAACGTGCCTTTCGATACCCCAAGGGTAGAGATATTGCAGGTATTCAACATGAACTTCACCGTGATCCAACTTTGCAGGTAGGACAACAGGAACTAGTTGTGATTTACTTACTAATTGATTATTAGTCATATATACGGGAGGTCTATGATAATGAGTATGGTCTTTTCGTCTTCTGCGCTCTTGAAGCCCAAATTCGATATTTAGCCTCACTTGACTCATTTGAGGTGGATATGTCGTATAAACGGGTTAAAGGCGACGTCATCGAAGTAATATTCGCAACCCTTATACAGGAGCATGGCAAGAGTAAGTATAACTACTCCCTAACTAGTTCTTTACTAATTTACGTCTTAGTCTTTACTCTATTCCGCGTCTTCACAGATCAAGAGTCACCAAATGCTTATGAGTTTATCTTTAGCCGAGTATTCTACTTGATCCAGAAGATTACGAACGAATCAGTGAGGTTTCATTATCTACATAACAAGGGCTTCAAGGCTATTGTTACAGATATGTGCCCTAATCAGATGACTGGTATAGTTTATTATTTTATTTTTACTAGCCTTTGACTAGCTTTTAACTAATTCAACCTAGGTCTCGGGCAGCACCTCCAGAGAATAGACCCTTTTCGTCGCGAGCGTGGCTGGCAACTACGGAATATTTTGATATTCTGCAAGGTGCACTTTATGCGCACTGTGGCAGAATTATTCCCTGAGACTTTAGATGGAACATATCATCTAGCCCGGGAACGATGTATGAGCTTGCTTAGCTCTCAGACGGAGAGGGAGTATCATGGGCTACTTGACTTAATTGCGGGTATGTCCATTATAAGTGGTTACAAAACGAGTTGCTAACTAATAAGTAGGACACTACCCAGACTTAGTTGACTGGGCAAACCACAAGCGACATCCAATTATCTCTGCTGGTTTATGTAGAGCGTGTTCGTTAATAAATCCGGATTTCTATAAGGATATCAGGAATCATACGAATGCGGTTGAACAGAGCCACTACAAGTCCTATTTTCTAGGCATACACGATAGCCTGCTTGGTGCAGTGATGAAGTAAGTTCAAAGTCAACTATTTATAATTTAGTTATTAACTAGTTTACAAGGTCCAGATTGCTAGATCTCCAAGACGTCGAGCAATATCATATTCGTGAGCGTTATGGTAGTAGGCATTCATATCGATGTGATAGCCAACAAGCGAGATGGAAGAGGAATCTACAGAGAGAAGGTAAGACATAACTAGCTAAAACCTAGTGATTAGTCTAGGTACTAATATTAACAATTTAACACAGACCGAAAGAGAGATTGTTTCTTACAAGAGCAGCAAGAGAAGATTAATGCAATAGTCTCTCAGGAGGATCTAATTCTCCATCAATCGAGCTCATCTGGTAGAATGATCAAACGGTCCCGTTCTACACGGGGAAGGTCATCATCAAGATGTAGTTCCCAGAGCCGTTCCCAAAGCCGTTCTCAGAGCCCTGCAGTGTAAGTGACTACGATAGCTAGATATTGATTAGAAACTAACTAGTTGATAGGACCCCATTCTCATTACCCTCTCGGTCTGACTCTCCAGACCTTCGCCGTACTGCCTCAGTGAACCTACATAACCAAGCATCTATTGACGAAAATCAACGTCAAGCGCAGCTTAGGTATCAGGAAGAGAAACAGCGGATAGAACTAAGGGTAGAATTTGAGAGAAAGGAGTATGAGGTAAGGCTTGAGGAGCAACGGAGGGTAATAGAAAGACAGAAAAGACAGGATGAACTTGCATTTGAGAAGAGTGTGATGGAAAATGAGTTATTAGCTATTCAGCTTGCTAATTTGAAGAAACAGTCAGGACAGAACTAGTATAAAACTAGTTCTAATCTGACATTTTTAATATTCTGCATTTAAAAAGTTGTTCTTGTTACGGGTCAAGAGAAAGATCAAAATCAAACTATACTATTCAAAGGAAAAGAAAGAACTAGTTCAAAGGTAGTTCAGGGATCCTTAATAGTATCAGAGGGATAAGGGGCAAACTCCTCAAAGATATCACACTGAGTACGGCGAGCATGACTGCAACATCCTGAAAGTTTTAAGTAAAGTAGTTCTGAACTAGTTAAGAATTGCTAAAGACTCACTTCGCGAAACATTATCGAGCTTACACTGCTCACAGGGAACGTCCACACCCATTTCCATAGCCTGGCGCTTTAGCTCAGACATATTGATCTATTAAGAAACTGTCATTTAGTTAAGAACGAGTAATATACTAGAGGATATCCACTCACAGTACCATCGCGCTTAAGAGGAAATGCGGGCTGAGGGGCACTAGCTACACGAGTGTCGTACCGAGATTTGAGGTCATTGTAAAAGGCTATAAATTAGTTAGAGACTAGTTTAGCATATCAAATATCTTTAACTTACCGATAGCAGCTGCATCACGCTCAGCTGTGATTGAACCTCCGCCCTCTCCCTCGCAAATCTCGTTATGCTTATCTCTGATATGAGCCTTAAGGGCGTTGGTGTTTTGGAAACGGTTCTATGACTAGTTAAAAACCAGACTTAGAAGATTATCGTTATGAATATAAAGTCATATACCATATTGGCACAGGGATAGTAACGACAGAGCAATTCGCCTGGGTGGATAATAAGAGTGTTCGCTTCCTGTGGCTATATCAGAACTAGTTTAGCATTAGTGGAGGCACTCACGGTCGCTACAGGCATGTCCAACTCATGTAATATGTCCTCCTTCTTCATCGTGGTATACCATAAATAGGTGTCCTACAACCAGTTCAGAGCTAGTCAGTTCTCTCATCTCTTCTCTCACTTTATTAAACTTTATTACTCACAGCTGTCTTGTACTTCGGCATGTTGTAAATTGAAGTTGAACTAGTTCGTGATGCGATAATCCAGCAGAAAAGAGCGGTCAGGGACGGCTCCTGAAGTGTTCAAGAACCAATAAGGGAGGCGGTGGGTTGAAGGAAGGAGGGTAAGGTTTTGTAAGGTGAAATGAGGTGTAAGGTATTTACAGTTGGAACCCACATGTCATGTGACTTGAGGGTGCGATGAGCTTTTTTGGAGGGTGGGCTGAGCTGTAGTCACCTTCGGGACTAGGACGACACTTTGCTGCCTCAGGCACCAATAACATGTCAACTTCCGTATAGTATCCGATCAATTGGAGATATCAATGACTCTGTATTTCCATTACCCCTTATTCACGCTTTTTATGGTCCAATTTAGTTACATAAGCAATGCCGTCGGATCATCCATAGACCCGGTTTCATGCAGTATTCGTAAGGTAATGCCGACACTCCGAATCATGACTCGCGGAAGTATACAAGAAAGTGTACGTGACTCCAGTGTTGACTTCCAGAAGTCACTCTCGGAGTAGGAGGAGCTAGATATATAAGGACATTCCTCCACGCACATGTATTTAGTTCTTCGCGATCAATTGCACATTGTTACTTGGATCTACTGTTGATTCACTTCACCGTTCGATATAAAGCCAAACATCCTACAAGTGGGGGAGCTCTTCGGACTGACCTACTTGGCGCACTCGGCTGGCGCACCTTTGCAAGCATCCTATAGGACCCGAGCCCGTATAAGGCGTCGTACGCAGCGGTACGGTTGTGGACAAGCTTGAAGGCACGCATACTTGAGGCAAGTATCACCCAGGAACCCACCAGTTCACCGCGCCCAGTTAGTAGCGCGTAACAGTTGAGAGGAGCAGTAAAACGCGCCATGTACCTTACGTTATATGCGGCGTAAGATGCCTTATGCGTACGCAAAAGGAACTCATGGAATTTCATGTATTCCTATGGTTTTGATCTTTGCAAGTCAGTGGGGAAGGCCGCCTAGCCCCAAGTAACTCGACGATCCGCTGGAATACCTCTAATCTCGTGGGCGACATATGCTAGGTATCATTCGCGAGGGCGTCTGTTTGTCTCAAAACAACCCAATAGGGTATTCCATCGGCAAATGATCATTTTGTCCGATCATCGGTTGTTTGTAAGGCGACCAAGGGCCTCAACAGCTGCTGATGGCTGTAGGTTTCGATATCTTGCAATGAGCCTGTTGTTATAGTGGCGGCCGTTATTGCCTTCCATATCGTGATATATAGAGATACCGATTCAAACCCTAGTCACATGTTATGCTAATCCTGTCTTTAGTTCTCCGCGAATGGCACATTGTTAGTGTACTTGGATCTACTGTTCATTCATACTTCACTGTTCGATATTAAGTCAAACATTCTACATGAGTGCGTGGTCATGGAGAAAAGAAGGGAGATAGGCAACGAGCTCGCAACGTCCCCAGGCCTTCCGTTCTCTCTTTCAGAGGCAAACCTTCCTCGGGGTTCCATTGAGGCTTACGGTTCAATAACGATGACTCATTTATTACTGTTCATACAGGACGATACACTTTGACAGGGGTTAGGAGACATCTGTCTAAATTGGGTCTAGCTAGTTTCGGAACAGGATTCAAGAAGTAATCTGCGAGTATGAACAAGGGAATCTGATTTCGAATTTGGCAGTATTGACGAACTTAGAGTTAAACGTCTTTTGCATCACTCAGGCGGGAAAAAAGGAATGCTAGGCTGAGGATTCATGAAATACACTGAAATCGAACGGCGTTACCACCCTTTTAGCCTTCTTATGCTTTGCTGAAATTCCTCTGTTCCAGCTCTCCCACTCTCGGATCTCTTCCTCCGCATGCCTGAGTAAGCAAGATTGTTCTTGAGCGCCCTGCTTCAGTCTGAGAAAATTCATTTCCAGTCCATCGATATGTTCTTCTAGAGATTGAATGGATGTTCCGCTCATTGATATTCTCCGGGCTAGCTTGCGGGTGACATCGATTGTAAAGTCACCGCCTTCAGCGATCAAGTTCCCCAGACTCTCCTTTGAACTCTCCTCTGATAGTTTGGTGTAATTTAGCGCTACGTACTGGGAGAGTAGTTCTCGAGCTGGATCTTCCATTTTTGATCTTATTGTTGAGTCGTATATGAGGCGTATGGCGTCCGCGAGATGCAGAAAAAATGGATCAGTTGGTGTATCGCATTTGAGAAGAAGCTGCGTTAGGCGCTGTAGGGCCAAAGTCTCGAGTCTGGAGAACAAGAATTGGTGTGCGAAACAATAAATCTTGGCGTGCATGAGGGCTATGTTTCCTAGGTGCCCGTCGCAGGCATGAGACATCTTGGTGAAAGAACCTGCCGCTGTCTGCATAGTCTCTAATGGCAGGCCAGCTTGCAAGCATCGACTCAAAGGGGTAAGCGGTCGTTCCAATTGTTGTTCCTCCGTAATTGCGGAGTCGGATGCCGAAAATCCTGCTTCGGGTTTATTGATCGCTTGTCCAGCTAAATGAAAACTCTATATTAGTCGACTGCAGATAGACGTATGACAGGGCCATGGGAATTACAATTGTTGTCATTTTCTTTATCTTCTAGGAGTTTTTCGCCAAATATTGGTTGACCTTGCACATCATAATCCTTCACGTAGAGATAGCTCAAGGCGCATTCAACGGTGTCTTCATCGAACTCAGTCCAGTCAATGGTCTCACTTGATCCATTTTTGATTCACTGATCGCTGACACGGGTTTTCAATACCGGTGAGCCGCTCGATAAAAGGACTCCGGGGTGGATGTAGTAAATAGTCTTCTGGGATCCGGCAATGATCTGGACTGGGCAGTCCTTGAATATACTCCGTCAATGTCAGTGCCAGAATGTGTGACTATTGACAGGCGCCTACCTAGGATCTTGTAGGAAATTCGTTCGTGAAGCCATCTTTCAGCGAATTCTTCGAGTTCTCGAGCCGATGATGACGTAGGGAGAAGCGCACGAAGTGGCCAAAGTGGTTTCGAGAAGGAGAAGGTGACAAACTGAGGGGGTGGTCAAATACCACTAGGACCCTTCGGGATGGGCTTATTCATCGTTCACCCAATTTCCACCTAGTTAGTATGGTGTCATAACACGCCATAGTTCAAATATAAAGACCCCTGAGATCGCTCAACCGATCTCAACAACCTGCAATCAATCATCTTATTCTGTTTGACATCTTCAGTACTAGCCAATACATCGATTCCTCATCCTGACAGAAGGCCTTATCCCGTAAGAGGGGTTTCAGAGGGTAAACCAAATCCAGGATTAGGTGACAGCAAATAGAGATTAGTCAGTGACGGCACACTCGCTGCATGAGGCTAGAATATCGATGATTGGTTGATTGCGCGAAGGAAATGCCACTTGGCAAAAGCAAGTGTCGGATTATATGGAAAAATAAAACTCCGAGTGAGTGAAAAACCGCTACAGTACAGTACAGACAGAATTAGGGAATTTCTGAACTCCTTCCTAGCATCGAGCCAAAGATCGGTGGGAAAACGCCAGTGGTCTAATTACTTTGAGGGAGTATCAAACTACTCGAGTTTGATATGTACTGTTCCGCAAGGCGACGAGAGAACCCAGACGTGTTATTGTTCCAAGATAGTGTTGTAATTCAAAGGAAGATTGCTTGTATTCCTTCTGGACAGAAAACTTGAGGGTTTATATACACATGCGACCTCCAGATTGATTTCCAATCAAAGCTGGTAATTCCGTGAGGTTAGGAATTGATTCCGTTACGATACGACATGTCACAACAAATTGACTTACTTGCTCACTACTCACGAACTTCCTTATCATATTGTGATATTTGGCACAGAATACGCGGTATGGTCTGGTACTGACAACCCTGGTTAGGTCAGTCAGTACAGTGTGGAACAGGCTTACTAAGTTCCATTCGGAATACTGAATCTCCGATTCAGTACGCTAATGTATATAAGACCGTATGCCCCAGATAGTTTTCAGAACCAGACAATCCCTTCTGTTGAGTTATCACAATATTACTAAACCCGTCAGCCACGACTTTCTCAATTTGACGCAACACTTGTGGAAGCAACATAACACATGACATATAATAGACTCCTAGTAGCTCAATCATTCTTCCGAACTTTGTTGGCCTAAGATCCGTCAGAGAAATATGGCTCAGGCGATTCATCCACGGTTGTCCTCGTCACCTGACGAGTTAGTAGTATCCCTCTTTCGCCAGCGATCCAATTGACTTCGTTGCTTCATGGAAATGACAAACCGCTCCTCAAAAACAGACCGCACTGCAATTCTCGTGCTCTTCTTGAAGGTGCCGGGGTGTGAGACAATGAAGAGCACCGCGTTATAAACCTTGGCATGTTCATTTCTTTCATCGCCGAATTCGCCTCGTATTATCAGGAATAAAAGCCGAAATGCCGCGTCCCGTGCTCGAGATTTATCGCCCCTTACACCTCGATAACTCTTATACCCGAGCTCGTAAACAGTTTTGCAGGCTCTCAAATCAACAAAGATATTTTCGATTGTCTTCCCGGCTGGTACGTCAATCCCAAGGAAATGATATGTCTCACAGAGAGTGTGATATCTGGGAATATTCCCTCGCAAACAGCGGAAACATTGCCGATAGCCTGATTCCAAGCCCTTGAGTGCAATATCAAACAAAGGAATATCGCGATGAATGAAATCTGTATTTTGCGGCTGGGCAAGACGTTGAAATCGGACAAAGGATGATAAATATGGTATCGTCAAGAGGTCAACATTGTGGAACGTATCCCCAATTTTCAGTGTTGTTCTGCGAGAAATCGATTCATTCGCTTGAGTCGATCCCTTTTTATCACCGAATTTCGAATAAAGATCAACCGGTAACATTCTGCTACCTTCTCTCTTCGAAACCGCAAGGCTATCACTTCGGCCGTCATATTTTATGATGGCATTCCCATCATTCTCTCTCACCACTCTAATAATCTCCTTGATCAATACCACCAAGCTCCAAATATCATGAGCATGGTCTTGCTCCCATCTATGAATATCACAGGTGACGTCTTCGACTTCCGGCGGTTCAAATGTGCCACTTTTGTGGTAGGCACGAACAAGATTTGGTGTTTGCGATACCCATAGCTGTGGAAGGACTTCTTGGATGTCGATTGGCTTATGGAACACACGTGTTTTGATCTCAAGAGTTAAATCGATTGGTATCCGTTTTCCTTTTTCTTGGATCGCCAATTTGGACTCGGTAGCACGCCGAGAGTAATTTTCGGATCGCGAAAGAGACAGGTTTTCCATCATGTTCAGAATATCCTCATTTCCCGAACTACGAGGTTGAAGTTTTGAAGCTACTTCGACATATGCGTCTGTCTCGTAACGTAGCATTAATTTCAAATCACCCAAGTTATAGGAGATAATCCGATGGTGTCCTGTGCTACCGGACACTTGGGCTGTGGTGAAAGCTTTTTCAAACTGGTGGCCGTAACCTCTGAAATCCAGTGGCCCGATGAATGTATGTGTTTCGGTTTCTGCCCTACAAAAAATCGCTGTATTGTCCTTGACCTCAATTTCAATGGTAAACGGCTCCGGCCCGTTCCTGGAGAGATTTGGATTGATATATGACAGAAGTTTGCGAACGTTGTTTCGATCAGTTATCACGTCAACTTCGTGTATATCGTACGAAGGGCGTTCGGTGTACAAGGAGCGGAAAAGTGGCTCGAGTGGACTTTCAGGAAGGCGAAACGCGTTTTGAGCAATGTAAATCAGCCCAGAGTCTTTGGTCACTTTTTTGGCGGCTTTGGGTGGAGACCAAAGAGGCGGGCAGCCGGGGACAGCGATAGTGGGGCTGGAAGATTCAATCCAATTATAAGAAGACAAATGCTCCACATTCGTGATGGATGGTCCGATCATCTCTGCATTTGCTAACTCGAAGCAAGGGCGAGGTATGTCTGTGATCCAGGTAGAATCCATTGCTGCCTTTCTTGCTTGATGAAATTATACTAGCCAAGGAGAACGAGATTTGGATTGAGTCTCTCACGGTATTTGAATCACCGAAAGTCATATATTACCCCGCACGGGCTAAGACAACGAGGACTTGCATAATCTGGCCTTCACTTTTACGCACTGCTAATATGGCTTGCACAAAACCTTCGAATTTCGAAGTTTCAGGTTCTCGAGTCACTGCATCAACCGTAGAAATAACGTAAAAACCAACCACTCCAAATCCCAAGCCCTAAGGCCTCTTATTCCCCTGTGTAACAACAGAGCACCCTGAAGGGGATAACGAGCCTTTCTCTGACCGACTTCTTTTGCGGCGTGGGAGGTTAGAAAGAGGAAAGAGGCAGGTAAAAATCCCTGCAGCAGGTAATGAGGAGAACGATGCCGTACGTGGCGTGAGATGTGATAGGAAGCTGCCTATAGAACTGTCAGTATCTTTCCACGCAGAGCATGCTCTGGGCTGTCATTTGATGCCATCAAAGGCACGAACGACACACAATCCTGTTGCTTATGGACTTGCTGCATTTAGTAGCATCATCTGCCTGATAGGTGGTGAACTCACCACTGGAACGCCCCAGCGCTAAAAAGAAACGATATGTGTCATGGACGTAATCTATTGGATGTGGCGACACCACGTCAGTTCACTCCTCACTGCTTAAAAGCATCATTTCCTTGGATGCAGTGACACGTTGCAAAATCAAAGGAAGCTTGTGACAATCGATATGATTCCGAAATCATCAGGGTGACACAGCCCGTCTCCAGTCTACTTGGGGTTGAGCGGCGCAAATGCTTCTTCGTAGGGTACGAATTGGCATAGCCACATGAATATGAGACAGATGAAACAGGATGAACCATTCGTGATGATTGGAGGAACAATAGGGGTACCCATTACGTCTACGGCAAGACGGGCCAGCCCGTGCGGGCCGGGGTGCGTTGCCAGGTCAGCCTCCACAAGCCAGGATCGCCAAATCAGCATCGCCAAGTCAACTTCGCCAGGATCGAGTTACGAAACACGAGGCTCAATCACAAGGGCTTTTACAACGATCTGTATAGTAACGGGTTACGCCCGATATGCGTCACCACGTAGGATTGCACACCTGGCCTGGCGTCCAGGCCCTTAACAGATTCCATTGGTTCAGTCTGACATACACCACCAAGAATCCTTCGGAATTCCTGACGGGAAACTTTTGCGAGATGATGTTATTCTGCAATGCCTAATACCTAATTCGCAATTATCTTCTGAGTATTCCAAATCCACTTCGCTTCCAACAAGTAACCTGATATGCGTAACATTGATGCGAGTAAAAATGACGCCGATTCCTGCTTCGCTTCATGTGGTTCGTAGCTGTCCGTACTTCCTGAAATGGTTGTCTCTTGGTGGCCCACCTGTAGGTCGTGGCCCCTCGTAAGGCAGAGACCATAACATTACCCTTCTCCTTTGCGGAGGACACAGCTTGCTTAGATTTTGGACGAATGGTGAGTCGAACACGTCGGTGATGCAAAGTGTTCTGGACTATGCATCTTGATGACAGGTTTTAATTGGTCGAATTCTTCCGATGATGCAATATAAGGCAACCGATTTTGTTGCCCGATTTACTTCCCCATCCGCCGAATTGATTGACGTTAGTGCACGTGGCGACTTTCAGGCTTTTAAATTTTTTAGACGGAAAGCTTGAGGCTTCGAATAGAAAGTTCTACCATCGATACCGATAATATGCCACACCGAGGTCAAAAGAGACCAAAGCCCGTCAAACTATGGTCATTGTTCCCGACGCTTCATACAGTGACGCCCGTTATTGCCTTCCATATGGGGGAACAGAGAGAGACTCTTTCGAACCCTGAGCACATGTGAAGCTAAACCTAATATGAATTTCGCGTAAGTCACGAGTTATAAATATACATGTAATAATACCTAGCTTCGTATCCCTTTGTATAGATACAAGACTCTGGAAGCCTAGACGACTAGAAGGCTCCATGCAAACCAAGCAAACTAGGCAACCGTTAGTAGTCTAGTAACTTCCCTCTTCCATCCCTCAGTTGCTTCACTGCAGAGGATCTAACGCTGTTCTGCGGACTCTCCGCGAATAAAGTAGTTACTCATCCATTTGTTGCTTACAGGCATTCTCTTGTTTTTATTCTTATCTCAGCTGTGCGTTTAGCGTCGTGTTACACCACATGAAATATATCTACCAATCAACTCGTGCTGCGGCAGCGATGCGTTGTCCTCAGGAGGTACGGCTGCTGCTTCGAAGCGGGGTAGCCTTTCTCCCAGAAATGTGTTCATAAGCCCATCCAAGGCCATATTCCGATCATATTCCGAGTTCTCAGCGCAAGCTTTTGACATCATTAACATTCTAAGATCCCACAACCGACACCCAGGTTTAAAATGCCACACAAGGGACGCAAAGCTACGAAATTGTGGTCGCTCCACCCAAAGCTTCATGACGACGTAGTACGGTTATTAGACGAGGAAGGGCTTCAAATAGACTTCTTTGACGCCGATGATGAGGAAACCAACATTGAGGAATGGGACACAAACGTTATGGGTCGATTTATATGCCAAAACAGCAGATGTTACTCCAGCGGTTGGTCGAGCAAAAAAGTCGCGATTACAATTCGCATGTACCCCCGACAGCGATATAATGCACGAGTGTATCATCAGCGATGCAGAAATTGCAGAGCAGTTGGTCGGCTAGTCCTGGATACCGGGTGCTATGCGGAAAGAGTGACATACTGGCTCAAAAAATGGAATGGAATTGAGGTACAGCGGTCCAGTTTTTCCGGCCAGAGCAAAGGACCGCACGATAGTGAACTGTGTGAAGGGTGTAAAGTTGGTCATTGTCCCAACTCGAATGAGGATTTAGCATTGGTGCTTGCGAGGTAAGTTTGGTACCAAAGGTTCTTATACAGTAACCAATTATTTTAGATTGTCTATCTGAGCGCTGCGCTACAAGGCATCCCATTCTTGGTACGCAGGCTATCCTCGATCTGAAAATCCTTGGGCCAACTATCCAGTCCGAGTGGGCACAGCTTTGAGATGGAAACACCAGGGTCGGAACTGCAACAAGATTGATCAGCAACCTGGTGTTACTCCTTGATCCCTGGTTTTGTGGTGTATGACGCTCAGGAAGAAAATCGGGCTAATATGTTTAAGACAATTTTTTTTACTCTTTTCTTTTTTCTTTTGAGTTATCTTCTGATCATGTACCCTGTAATTCTTGGTCTTTTCTTCTTCCGGCTTACACCGCCGGGAAGAAGGCGGAGAGGAGAGGCAGGTAATGTGTAATTGCGAAGGTCAATGTGGACGCTTGGAAATCAGGCGAGGCAAAGAGAAAAATGAAAATGACAAAGAAGTTAAACAGTTGTCCCAATGGAAGAGTGGTGGCCTAGTCGTGCGCTTGCGATCGCATGTGGATCTCTTCCACGGGGAGCCCATCTTCTGAGAGGACGTGCTGGTATGAGCGCGGCTTGCGCTTCTGGATCAGACGCCAGGCACCGGCGAGGATACCGCCGACGGAGCAAGCCACCAGAATGAAGATCAGGAGGCGGCCCACGCCGCGGATAACCTCGGAGGCCTGGTAGACGGCCTTGGCGACCTCCTTAGCGTCGGCGTAAGTCTGAGGGGAGTCGGAGTCAGAGTCCGATCCCATGTCCATGTCCATGTTCATGGAGTCGTCGTGGTCATGGCCATCGGTGGTCTCCGTGGTCTCCTTATCTGCGACCTCCTTATCGCCAGCTGCGCCAGTGGCACCTTCGGTGGTCTCGTTGACCTTGTTGATGATTGACGGGTCATCAGGGGAAGGTCTACTCTCAGAGCCTTGGAATCCGACAGCCTTCCAGTTGCTAGGTATCTCGCTACGCTGGACACGAGATTTACCCATGGCCTTTCCCTCAGCGTCGACAGCCTCGGCGGAGATCCAGTCCATGTATCCGTCGACAATGTACATGGTCTCGAAATCGGACTTCTTGGCGTGACCGATGAGCACATCGCCACCGCGGTAGTCAGCTTTGGCGTAGAAGTTCCATCCGGCAACATCGGTGGCACCGTTCCAGCTGACGTGGATGATGGTGGTGGTATCGTCATCATTGGTACCGTAGACAGAAGCAACAACATCCGGAGGAGCGGCAGGGCGGCCGATGAACTCGTATTTGTACGCCCGGTAGGTCGAGTAGCGTGTCGAGGCGAAGCGGGCAGTCATTAATACATCGCCGTTGGGTGCGTGCTCACTCTGGTAGCCGCGCTCACCCCAGCCGGCGAAGATGTTGCCGTTGGGAAGGGTCTGAGCGCTGCCACGGAGACGGGTCCGGCTGCTGTCAGGGCGGTTGATGCGGTTGATGACACGGGCAGTCATGGCAACGGTGTCCATCTCGATGTACAACACCGAGGAAATGTTCTCATCGTTACCCCGCTCGTCTGAGGCGTTGTTCAGCATTGAGATCACCTGGTGAGTGCCGTTGGAAGAGACGAATTTCACATCGTGCTGCTTGGAGAAAGTGAAGTCCATATCGAAATCACCCTCCGGACCGCTGGTAAGGCGCCACATAATCTGGCCAGTCTCACCGGAGATACCGTAGATGGTGTTGGTGAACCGCAGGGAGATAATGAAATCGCCCGCCTCGTTCTTGTCGACAGTGTTGATGTGGACGTAGTCCCAGCCGGGCTTACCCCATGGGGCGTCCCACGAGTGGAAGGGAACATGTTCGACTCGGTAAGCGCAATAGCGTCCTTGCTGTTCCACTGAGCCAGAACCTCGCTGGTCTTCATGTCCAATTCGACGAATCCACCAGTAACGACCCAGCTCTCCTCCATCGGGCGTCCGAAGTCGGCCAGGTTGGCCACCTGCGGATGGTATGTGCAGGCCACGGCGGACTTACCACCGGGCAAGATGTTGAACTCGTGCATGTTGAAGTCGTGCATCTCATCGGGCTGGTAAACGCGGGTCTGTTCCTTATAGTGTTTGTCTAAGACAATGCCACTTCCCTTGCCGCCTCCGTCAAGTTCCCAGTTCAAGATAAAAGACAGTTCAACCTCATCGTCGATATCGCTAACGGGTCGGAAGTCGAACACGTTCATGTAATCGTACTGGACGGGGCCGGCCCAGACAAGCTTGCCCTCGCCATCGTAGATATATGGACCGACCTGATACTGCTGGTACTTCTGGGTAGGTGCTTCGGGCGAGATCTGGCCGTACGGCGCGACGAACCAGTATCTGGGGCCCACTCGCTCGCGGTCATGATAGGTGACTTCCCACTTCAAGGCGCGGACTTCTGGGAGCTATAGGAATTGCAGATCATTGGCCTCTGTTCAGGACTTGGCTTGGCCAAGAAGGTGCGAAAAACAGGACACCAAGGGGGCTACCAACCGTCACGAATGACATCAAATCGCCATCTTCGCGCAGTGCGACGGCATTATGCAGGACCAATAGTAACAACGCGGCGGAAAACAACATGATCAAGCAGTGGTTAGGGAAGAGGACGATCTTCCCCGGGACGAAGTAGGCAACAACAAAATAAACGAGGGTGAAAGCAGGGGTGGGAAAAGAGAAGGAGAAAGGAGGGGACGATACAAGACAGACCAATGACGAAGCATTCGGACGTCCCGACTGTCAAAAAACGAGTGGAGAGCAGGCCGGGTCAGGGAGGGAAAAAGGCAGAAGACTCCACGCAGTTTTTTGCCCGCTCAGGCGGCGACGGGCCTCGGGGGAGCGCATGGAATCTGACGATCGCGGTGAAGGCTCTTGGCATTGTTTGGGACGGTGGAGCCGGGTAGGAGCAGCGACGCTGAGTGGCGCAAAGACGAGCGAGCGAAGCGGACGCTCGATTCCACTCGTATCGTTAGCCTAGTCGGGTTCCACAGGCGACACTCCCATAAGGTCGAGCGTTCGGTGTTGATTGCCCAAAGGCACGGGCAAGATCGGATCGCAACACGCGCAGCAGCATTCACATTGATTCATAGCTGATTGATTCGAACTCGTCAAGACGCTCTTGACTCGTCACGCGCCTGACAAGGCTAGCTAGTTGTACTCCGTAGACCGGCAAAACGGGGGCAAACGGGGATGGACACGAGGCCAGCCGGCTGGAATGGCGGACACACTCCACGTCCAAAGGGGAAAATCTTGGCACTCTAACTGTTGTCGGCGTGATAAGATCGCCATTCTGCAGACTACGCAGAGCTTTGCCTGCCTGTTATCTACTTTTGACAGCCGCACTATCCACTTTTCTAGCGTCGGCATCGGCTGTCCCTGGCTAGCAGGTGGAGACGTGGCAAAGGCAATTTGCACAGGCGAAGCCAGGGCTAGCTGTGAATACCATGAGGCTCTCACGGTTAAACATGGTGTCTACGATAGTGTGATTCGGGGGGTTGATGAGGAGACTGGGGCAGAAGGAGAATGGAAGCATTGGAAGTAGAAGTATCAAGTAGAGGACTAGCCCAATTAATCCGATTACTATTAAGGTTGACTGCTCCACATTATTCACAGCGGCTCAGGAGTAGCAGTGCCTTGTGTAATACGGGTTCGTTAGCCCCCCCACATGCCAGTGAGAGGGCGCCCCAGCGTAGCCACAATTTTCATTGTAATAGTCCACAATTTTCATCGTAATAGTCCCGTAGTTGAGCACACCGCTTCGGGTGTTCGGTGTGGGTCAACTACGGGACTATTAGTGTAGTGCTTGCATCAAGCCTTGCGAGCCTATCAATAATTCGTCTTCCCATTATGACTCTATATGGATACACTCGCCTCGCCCTATTACCAGTAGAACATCCCTCCTGGTTCAAGATTTTCTCTCTCCAGTATAGTTCCAAGTGTATGTTTCATTCGAGAAGCCGCCGCCCTGCAGTACTCCTCTGAACCTGGAGTAGGGCCTGCCTTCGTCTTGTTGAGATCCGCTTTCAACCAAGGCAACTTTACTGTTACTGGCGAGCTGGTAACAGCCTCGTGGAGTCGAGTGATAGCTTCCTCGTCGTATCCGCCTCCTAGAACGACAGCCTTGGGAAGAGCCGAGTAGTTTTTCGAGCCCAGACTGCCTTTGTCATTGACCGGGGTGGAACCGGACAGGATAAGAGGGAGGTCGCGTATACCATCCTCGACGCTCATGATGAAATGTGTTACTAATTCCCCTGTGAGATGCGAAAGAAACCACGTTGGTGTTTCGAGCTTTTCTTACCTTCATAGTCAGGTTCTAGCTCTGAGATCACAATGCAACCCACTTTCTCCAGCCGGCCACAAAGAACAATTGGGGTGGGCATATTAAATCCTTCGAACAGGAGAAACTCACGCTGCATTAAGGACGACGAAAAGCAGTGCCGAATCAGGTTGGCTTTTATAGAAGCAAGACGCAAACGACTTGCTAAGTCCCTGTGCGTCACTTGCAAAGAAGCTTTGTAAGCGCTCGGAATTTCGCCTGCGATCTTCCCGACCGTCTCAATTTCTAATCAGAACCTAAAACTCTCGTGTCAGAAACTTTATAAGCTCTGGGCTGTGAAAGACCCTGAAATTATAGGCTAACGAGTTGTGGATTAACATATTACTCAGTACAGAGTTCTCGGGGACCTTTTCCATCCCGAGAACACGGCAATGTACGAGTCCGAATACCGACGTCGGCCAAAAGAATTCCTGTCTGAGCGAGAATGCAGCACAAGCATAACATCGTCGACTCGGATATTTATTCACAACGATTCCCAACCGTTCCATTTTACTCTCATTCAGATCTTCACAGCCTGACAAATTTTCCGCTATGCCTTCCATCTCTACTATCATCTTTGGCCCCACCGGCCACGTCGGCTCTGCCGCAGCACTTTTCGCGCAACAACACGGTGCAAAAGTGACCCTTGCTCTGCGTGACACCGAAAAGCTCGTTCCAGGCCTCACTTTGGAGCAGGAAAAGGCAGCGGGCTTCGAAAGGGTCCAAGCTGATCTCACCAATCCTGAAACGGTTCATGCTGCCGTCCGAACGACTGGAGCCAAGCGGGCCTTCATATACCTTGTGCACGGCACAACAGACCACATGAGGCAAACTATCAAAGCTCTAAAGGCCTCTGGTATTGAGCTTGTTGTCTTTCTGAGCAGCATTAGCGTTCACGGTGACATTAGAAACATAACGCCGACAGACTTCATCGCGTACGCCCATGCACAGGTCGAGGTCAACCTTGACGAAGTCTTTGGCAGTGACGGCTACATAGCGATTCGGCCGGCATATTTTAGCACCAATGCGTGTTGGTGGGCGGGTATGATTCGCGAAGGAGAGGTGAAAATCGTGTATCCCGATTCTAAACTCGACTGGATTTCGCCCGAAGACATTGGTAGGGTGGCCGGAACGCTGCTTGTCAAAGGGATGCAGACGAGCGAAGGTGCCGAAGAACGCAACTCGATCTCTCTCTGTGGACCAAAGCTGGTATCCCAGAGAGACGCCGTGGGCATATTTGGCAAGGCGCTTGGCAAAGATATCAAGGTCACCGAATTGGATGAGAAGGAAGGGGTGGAAAACCTGTTGAAGATTGGTATACCAGAGTTTGTGGCTGGGAGGTTGGTTCAGTCGTTGAGGCCGAAGAGTATGCGCGGTGATGAATTTGACCCGTTCGAAGGAGAGACGTACGAACAGGCAGCCACTAATCTTCGAAAGTACGCGGGCCGGGCCTCAAGCTTGGAAGAGTGGACCGAGACAAACAAGGAGGTTTTCATTTCCTAGTGGAGCATTATATGTTTAATAGCAGTTTAGGTAGATTCATGCTCTTATGGCGATTCTCATACAGTATAGTACCTTCCATGAGTTCATGCCAAGCACAACGGTAGAAGCGCCCTAGTGTATGTTTGCGGGTTAATCCCTCCTCACACGTCCTCTGTGAAGCCCACCACTTAAACGATCACTACTGTGACAGAATGTCTCCTGGGAAATCTAAAATCGTGACAGAGATCGGTTACTTGGGAACACGTTACGAGGTTCCTGAAGCCTCAAATTTAGAGTCAATCGATGTTGGAAAAGCCTGTGTTTGTTTATTCAAATCACTCGCGGATGATAAATTCGAAAACAAGTGTAAGTGCATTAAATACACCAGAATTTTGAGGATTATAGGTCAATTGAACATGACCCACTGTGCATTTTGTCACAGAAGTTGGAGTGGGTACTGCCGGATCCAACAACGGCCACATGGATGACTCCAATTTCTTGTTGATGGGAGGGAGAGATAGAAGTTTAGCAAAGGGAAAACCGACTGCACGTAGATAGAGCTAGCATGGTGATTTTATTGGGGGTGGACTTGTTGGACTTACTCAAGTCGATTGTCTCTCATGCTCACTCAGGTCAGGCTCCGTGAGCAAATCAGGCGGATCAGTGAGTAGATCCGCTCAGGGTAGTGGCGGGCTCTACACAGGGAGGAAGGGGTGAGCACTAAAACTGAATAAGAAGTAACAGATGCTATATAAGATACTAGCCTATATATTAGCTCGGACGTAGGACGCTGCCCTAGATATCTAGACTCATTCACTTTAGATGCAGCGGGATTTCCTTGAATGACAAATAACCTATGTATAAATAATCGTCAGCCGATCCCATGCTCGGGACCTCTGCTCTTAATAGGAGATGTGACATTCTCATTCCTACACCAGTCACTAGCTAGAAAAGGGCAATAATAGAGGCACGAGTCTAGGCGCTGTGTCGCGGCATTTGGCCTTGCTAACCTTTAAGTACCTACCTGCCTTTGGGGCTTTTCATATTTAGAACGCCACAGTATGCCGAACACATCCCCTATCGAAGGGTAGCTGGCTCCGAAGTTCTACTGTACTGACCAAGGGAGAGACCCGACTGTATTGGCAGTCGAGAGAGTTTGATTGTGCCACGTGGTGACGGAACCGACTTCCGGTATCGATTTTGAACGATGGCGGGACGGACCGTGATGCAAACCCCTGAACCGCCCGACCGCGAAGATTCACCGCCACGATTGTCGAGACCGAGACGCACCACCAGACCAATAAATACGTATGCTCAGGAACAAGAGTTCAATAACGAGCAGAGGAATACACGCTCTCAACAGAGGAAGAAAATCCAGGACAAGCCAGTAAACCAACGTGACGCGGCAAGTTCGGACGACTCTTCGACAGAGAGCGACGACTTGAGTGCCACCAAACTCGTGAAGAAGCTCATCAAACTCAGCCGAGAGATCAGACGGCGAGATGAATTGCACAAGAAAGAGCTTCAGAAAGTTACAGAAGAATTTAGTGCCGCCCTCGCCGAAGTCCGACACGATCTGCAGGTGTTGTGACACCAGGCACTTGCTGCGCAGTAATAAAGCCGCAACATAGGAAATAATTCCCGCTCTATGTATGAGGAGAGCCAAGTTGATTGAAAATCAGCTTGAAATTCACGTTGTATATATACCCCCATGTATTCCCTCAAGAAGATGAATCAAGCTTCCTTCGAATTTGTTGTGATATGTCGTATCGTAACGGAATCAATTCCTAACCTCACGGAATTACCAGCTTTGATTGAAAATCAATCTGGAGGTCGCATGTGTATATAAACCCTCAAGTTTTCTGTCCAGAAGGAATACAAGCAATCTTCCTCTGAATTACAACAGAATTACAACAGAGCTTAATCTGACCGACATCGCAGGGGCGATGTCCATCCTCGCATAACCGGGTGTAGATCGAATTTATATGGAACTTAAGGGCTCCAAGAATGTGAAAGAGGTTATTAAGAGCGGAGCGGGAGAAACGACACCTTTGGGTCCAAACGGATTTTATGACGTTGCGAATGGAAAAGATCCCGGTATTTATCCGCTTTATTAGTAGGTGTTATCAAAGCTCCCGCATTAGAATGTTCATGGCAGCTTACGAGATTCAGCGGCGAAAACGGTGCTGAGAAGATAAACCGCCGATATAGTGTTCCAAAATGGACATCAGCTGACTCTAGCAATATGTATTCCAATTCTGTTTGCGGTGCTGTTTGCGCTACTGTTTGCGGTGTAGTTTCGAAAGACCATTGATTTTGGCGGGCCCTGATGCTCGATTCAACGTGGAAGACGGTGGATTGCGCGAACACATCAAACTGCGCACTGTAAGGGATTACGTCCTGAGGCAACACGGCTCTAGCCGCGATTCCCGGAACGGACAAACTATTGGCCCACTCCATTTCCTCTCGTTTTTGATCCTGACCTTTCCCCCGAGGCTAAGGGCATCCATTCTCAAGCCGAATATTTACCTATCTTGCCATCTATATCCGCCTTTGCAGAGACGTGGAATAATGCTATTGATGGACTGACACGCGAAAATCAACATGATGTGCTCGATGATTCGGAGAAAACCCCACTTCGGCTCGTTGCAAGCTATGGTTATTCTGAACGTGTGCACAAGCTATGTGGTGCTGGGGTCGACATCGATCGGCAAGATCGGTTGGGCCAGACTGCGCTCTTCCAAGCTTCAGCGGCTGGGCACACTGAGGTTGTGGAAATCCTTCTCAACCATGGCGCTGATCGCAATATCTGGACCGACAATGGTTTGTCGCCAATCTATCAAGCGATCTTGAATGGACATAAAGAAGTCGTTGAGCTACTTCTATCTCGCAACCCAACTATCCCGTCGACTGGACCTTCATCTACATGGCGAGCTGCTACACAACCCACTGTGGAGTTACTTTCGCAATATGGGATCACTCCTCAAAGGTAGCCTGGGAATGGACTATGTCAGCCCGTCACAGGGTATAGGCAACTGGTATATCCCCTACTTTTCAGATCTGTCCTTTCACGCCAGCTAAGGTAGTGCACTAGGTACGGCCTAGTGGACTGAATATAGCACAATGCCACATCCCTCGGCATGCTATAGTCAAGCCATTTTCACCCGCCTATGTTAGCTTCGGCGTGGGGTGTTCCCGACATTTTATGATATCGACAAAGGACACGACCAAGCGTTGTAACTTGTCCTTCTTGAAGAGGCAAGTTATTTCCAAATTGCCTGGCTCGAGTGGCTTGAGAACAAACGGTATCTCTATGCGCTATCTGTGGAGTGTTCCGTTGAAGAATTTGAAGGAACTCCATGTACTACAACACTGTGCACAGATACGGGAGCGGAGTACTACCCTGGATGGTGACCCAAAAAGGTGTATGTGTGTCCTTGGGGAATATATGCGCATAGCGGACAACCCGGAGCATGCGGTAGGCAAGGCACGAAGGCACAAGGAGATGCGGAAACTGTTTATGAACCAGCGTTGATGGTGCCGGTGGTGGAAAAACGGAGTCGTTGATATGCAGGATTGTGTGGTTGGCGGGTAAGCACTATCCATGCCCCAGGAGTTTCTTTGCTTAAGCCTGATTCCTAGGTTCAAGATGGACAACGGTATGACACCTTTGATCTCTCCCTTATAGTATGAAGTCATGGATGTTCAGCTGAGTGATTCCACAGAAAGCGAATTCCTTTGTGAAAGTGAAGTCTAAATCGAAACTCACAGGTACCCAAAAGAAGGATCACATTGGTGTCTAGAGCTGGAGGGATGGTATGACATTGATGAAGAGGCCGAACAAAATATTATCGACGACGACATAATCCACCTCATTGAAGAGAATAGCTTGTAGATTCGAGCATTATTGGTGATGGTATTATTATGTTCTCATAAATTTTTATGTTTACTATACTGAGCACTAGAACTATGACCACGATCAGACACGACGTTACTTGCAAGCATAACTTCCAGAGGACTTGTACCTCCCAGGTGAGAACCACGCAGACCTTGGAGACGGATATCTCGCGTGCTTTTAATGTGTCACGTCTCCAATGGAGAGTAACGACAGCTGGCCAATCATAGTCTTGATGAAAAATGTTAAATATCATTGGCTGGCTGCTACACCTTTCCCCACCATGGAGTAGCAAAGCGGTCGCCTCATCTGTGCGTTGAGGCTTCCGTTTCGAGGAGACAGGGATTGGTTAGCGTCACGTTTCAGATCATCACCCTGCAGGAGAGGCGGCACGTCTGGGAGTTATCTCCTTCCAGGCTCTCCATGTCTTCGTTTCAGGGCCGATGCGCGCGGCGCGCGTCTTCCAGTCGATACTGATACAGGAATATTGTCGGTATTAGTGGAGAATCAGTATTGTAAGGGATGGTCAGATTGTATCATTGTAACTTAGCCAAGAGTCTTAGTCATGCTCGGTCGCATGCAAATTCGTGTGTGGGAACGAACAGAACCAATGCAGATGACAAGGTATCTATGATTCGTCCAGGTGATTGGGCCTAAAGCGGTACCAACAAATATCGATATTCCGAGATTACTCCTATTATAGACTAGGAAGTCTCAGCATTAGGATTCGGGAAGCAACTGAAGGGTTTAGGTGGTTGCACCAGTTTCGGGACGTAGTGTACTGTTTGTTTGTTGGCGAGGAAAATAACAGAGTCGCAATGCACACACGAAAGATGCCCTGTGGCAAATAGCGTCTTCCTGGTACACGTACGACCTAGGATCATCGCCAGCGGGAATTGAACCGGAGAAGACTCATCGGAAGGACGAACCTTGCTTCAGATACAAACTACTAGGGGGGTAATCCCTCCCCGAGGGTTTAGAATGGGTTTCCAGGCTTATATGACACCATGTTAATAGACTTGATGGCCAGAAGCTTCTTTCGAACACGAGTTCCAAACCCACAAAGCGCAGGGCAGAAGAAATTCTACAGTCCCACAACTCAGTACCGACACAATCTCAGGTTAGCACCCAGGAAAATAGACAGAGCTGGGGGAAATCGAACCACACGTTTCCCACATACGAGATAGTGGTGATGACTAACCACCATTGCTTTTTAGCCAGACCGTGTCCAGCGCTATTCTCCGGGTTTATTCCACCAGCACTGGGAGTCAGCGATGGACCGTTGCCAACCGTAGTACTAGCAGAAGGAACCCCACTTGTGAAAGGGGGTCCATTCGTAGGTGAAGCATTCCCAAATGCAGGTGTCCCGGAATGCCCCGATGGGGTTTCAGTTAAAGTGGCATTTGGATTGAGGACGCTGTTTCTAGTGAGTATAGATATCCTGCTGTTAAAAATGTGCTAACTCACTTATCGATGACATGGAGGACACCATTTGCCACTAATACGTTAGGTCGGATAATAGCAGCGGAATTGACATATATGGTGCCGTCACTTGCCAAGTGAAGGTGATATTTGTGCCAGTCGTAGTGATCCAATCAGCATGGCTAATTCTTGTTGTATAAATAGGAAGAGTATCATTGATAACATGATACATTAATGTCGTATGAAGCTCCTCCTTTGTCATGTTTGCCAGCACTGACGAAACGGCGCGAAAAGCTTCATTGTTCGGGGCAAAATATGTGGCATTTCTCCATTCATTCCATTGGAATTCAGCCACACGAACTGCGCCAACAAGCGATGTAAGGCCAGCAGCGAGAGATGTTTCGGTAACATTGCGAGGAATAACGAGCATGGAATCTATGGTGTGAATCAGGCCGCCATCGAATCCGATGTCCTGTTGGGGAGTCAGCATAATAAGGAAGGTTGCGCTGGAAAAAACATACAGGATCCACCAAGGTTGATTTTGAGTTATAGCCTGAGTAAAATTCCACTTTATCTTCTGATATTTTAGACGCATTTTGTGAATGGCTGCTGGTTCTGACGGCTTGGACAACCTGCCCTCCACTGACATTGACATGTGCATCATCTGTCAACAATGTCGGAATAAATATCCCTGTTTCCCTTATACTGTCAAAAGGGTATCTGCCATTAAGGACATGATACTGCATCAAAGCTTGAGTGAGACGGCCATCGCGAAGGCGCGCCGAATTTCCCTCCTCGAAATCCTCGATAGCCTTGTTGGTGGGGGCAAGTATAGTGACATTGTCCACAGATTCAACTGTTCGAAGGAGCTCACTGTCGGTTGAAATAAGGGAGCTCAGAGTTGATAGATTGTCGTTAGAACCCAACGCAGACATCAAGTTTTGCGCAGTAGCCAAGGACACAAAGGCAGGAAGGAAATAGACTAGCCGCATTTTGTGGCTACTGTATTTCGCCCACTTGTCGTTAGCGAAAGCAAAGATCAGTGTACGGCCACTATCAGGAAGAAATAGAGATGTGTTTCAGAAACCCTATCAGCATTTACCCGGGGCAACCACCTTTCTATTTACCGCTAAAAGTTTGGACAACCGCCTAGTCATGATGTATGCTAAGATGTAGTGACGACCCTCGAAAGCCAGTCATTAAATCATTAAATTCTAGCAGACAGGAACTACGAGATACATTACGCATCCTGGTCATTGGGCGTGGCCGAACTTTATCCTTTCCCATAGGTGTGCGGGGCGAACGTGGAGGGTCTAGGTTTGTGATTCCCAGTCTGAATATATGTCTGTTTAAGCCCGATGTGGCTTTCTGCATATCTTTTTAGTTATTGGTCATTTTGGATCAAGCGTACTATAACTAATGAACTATGCCTACTCTCTTGGCAAATGATATTCATTTCATAGGGTGTATTTTCTCAATACTGTGGAAAGCTTGGCAGAAAACGTCATCCTTCTGGGCTAGATGAGTCGGTTATCGTACTTTGCGTGTGGGATGAAAGAAGAAAAGGGTTGATTCTGTGGTAAATGACGCGATGTCGGGCGCAGTTTCGTCCTGTTGTTTCCGTTTCCGTCTAGGAGTACGTAACGTATTCGGTAAGCGAGAGGCCCATGTAAACGAGTGGCGCACCCCACCCAAAACGCGTCCATGAATTAGCACTTAATTAATTCAACCACGCACTATGCCACCAATTTACTCCAAAACCTCCAGAAATTCAACAGAGAAAGGGTGAATGATGTTATTAGCCATCCAGGCTATAAACAACCAAGAAATTACCGCTATTCGTGAAGCAGCACGTCGGTCGGTTTGAAGTGCCGGAAACCTCTTTGCGCCGTCGCCTCCGTGGTATTCAAATCCGCGCGATTTCACGCGCTAATAACCATAAATTGACGGAAGTTGAAGAGGAATCTCTTCGAGAATGGATCCTCTCACTTGATGATCGTGGAGCAGCGCCCCGGCCTACTACCGTACGAGAAACTGCGAATATTCTTGCGGCGCGCGGAAAGTCACCTGTTCAAACGGTCGGGGAAAATTGGTTTATAACTTTGTGAAAAGGCATCCGGAGCTATCAAACCGATTCTCAAGACGCTATAATTACGCTCGGACAAAGTGCGAAGACCCAAAAATCATCAGTGAATGGTTTACGCTCGTTCAAAAAACCATCCTTCAATATGGCGTCGATCCCGACGATATAACTTCGACGAGACTGGTTTCGCGATGGGATTAACCGCGACCGCAAAAGCTGTTACGAGAGCTGAATACTACGGTCGGTGACCACCTTTACAACCTGGAAATCGTGAGTGGTTGACCGCTATTGAAGTACGAATGCTTCGGGGTAGGCTTTGCCTCCGTGCGTAATTTTTAAAGGAAGTTGTTTATTGAATCTTGGTTCGATAACCTTCCGGATGATTGGAAAATCGAAATTAGCCCGAACGGCTGGACGTCTGATGAGATCGGCCTTCGTTGGCTTGAAAAATTCTTTATTCCATCGACTTCTTCGCGAGTGAAGGGCGGGTATCGACTTTTGATCCTCGACTGTCACGGAAGCCATTTGACTCCGAATTTCGATCAAAGTTGTGAACAAAATAGTATCATTCCAGTCTGTATGCCCGCACACTCGTCGCATCTTTTATAGCCACTTGATATCGGTTGTTTTGCGGTGTTAAAAGCGCTCGTACAGTCGGATGGTTGAAATAAAGATGCGTCTCGGGATCAACCATATCGACAAACTTGATTTCATCAAGGCATATCCCCTCGCCCGAATCGAGGCATTTAAATCGGAGACTATTGAAGATAGCTTCGCAGCTGCTGGTTTAGTGCCGTTTTCCCCCGATCGGGTACTCTTAAAGCTCAATATTTGCCTTCGAACCCCGACACCCCACGCGAGCCGGGGTAGCGAATCAAGGCAGAATTTTACACCAAAACCCCTTTTACCGAGAAGCAACTTTATCGACAAGCTTCATCAATCAAAGCATTACTTCGTACGGGTTCACGAAGTCCACCGAGCCCGTCGGATCGCGCGTTAAATCAACTTTTCAAAGGCTGCCAACTCGCGATTCAAGGCGGTGCAATTTTAGCAAAGGAAAACAGCGATTTACGCGCCCGCTAACGAGAAGCAGAAGCCAAAACGGACTCGGTCGACTAGACAAATAGCTCACGAAGGTGACCTCTCGGTTGCAGAAGTTCGTGAGCTACGTGCGGAGCCATTTGATGCCCAAGTAGCCCGTATCAATAGCTGTCTGTCGTGAGCAGGTTTCGGAGGGTTTACAGCCGCGTACACGGGGCCAGCGAGGATGTGGGATATGCAGGCGCCCAGGGCATAGAAGGGAGACATGCCCAGATAGAGAAACTAGCTAGTTGGATTATTTTAATTGCGTTTTGGTTTGAGATAAAATTTAAATTTAATAGATGGGAGTAGGTGCGCCCTCATTTACTTGCTCCGCTCGCTTACCGAACATGTTATGTGCCAGAGTATCCGGGGAATGCCATTGTAGCTTCGCATGCTCAAGCAGGCACGATGCAACCGCCCATTGAACCCGGTTCTTCACTGGCATACTCTAGTACATATTTATCCCTAAGAGTGCCCCGAGTCGTCTAGAATCGTACAACGCATCATCACTTTTGCAACATTGGAAATTGACATTAATGCTGCTATTATATCAATTACGAGACAATGGAGCATCTTTCAATCGCCCCAAGAGACTCTGTTCCATCTGAAAGAAGATAATTCAAAAGAAGCTCCACCTGGATCATTCGGTTTGTCTCTTGTAACATCATGATTTCATGGTCATCCTAGTGCTTCATTAGCCACGGAAGAAATTGTTGCGACGAGCTCTTACCCAAAAATGACCGTTCCTTCATTTCTGTTCTTCTTCGCTTCCGTGATGATGTCGAGCCAGTCGTATTGATTGATTCAACAAACACGCTCTCACAATCCAGATATCTGAGATCACGCGGGGTACCTCTTTTAGGTCCTGTCTCGTGGCTTGGTTGTTCAAAGTCATCGGCTAACGATTGGGCTTGCCTGGTACCACTAGTCGCAATGCGAATATCATCTCGCAAGAGAGGAAATAGAGAAATTGAAGCTGGTGCCAAAGCTTTACGGCATCTAACCGAAAAAGCAGGTATATCCATCGTCTGAATCCATTATATGAACTTAAAAGTCCCGGACATGGGATGTTCTACTGGTTGAAAATCCACCAGGCGCTGAAGAAACGCTCTGAGTATAAATCCAGTGCATAGGGAATAAGGCATTGTGCACACTCATGCGCTTTTCGAGCAACGCGTAGACATTTCTTACTGTCGCACCTGGTAATAAATCTCGCGCATCAGGTCGCATCGCAGATATTAGACGGATACAAGCTGATTTTCTCCATGACGTCGTTCACCCTCTTTATCTTTTCCTCGGAATCAAGCCAAACAGCACCAAGAATTGCCTCCACCGTGGAAGCTAGTGCATGATCTGGCACGCTTCTCTCTAGGTCAAGTCTTTTGTGGATGAACTTCTGTAAGTCCAGAGCTCTAGCTCTAGAGGTCACCTGCCTATTGCAGGCGTAAGCCTGCAGCAGATTTGTCCCTTGCTCTATACTGTATCAGTACAATGTCTGTGATAGCAGGAGCAGACCTACCTGTAGTGTTACCTTCACCGTACCAACGTTGAAGCAGCATAAGCGCTAAAACCTTGTCTCCTAACAAGGCTAACCGCTCGTTTCCTGCGGTTTCTGGTTCGGCCTCTTCTAAAGCCTCCTCCATCAAGTCTCGATGCTGAAACTGATAGCCAATCAGGCACTCAAATTCTGGTTCCATGCTGCATCAATCGAATGTATTTAAATACCACTCAAAAATTGATGGATTGTCTCGGTTTGAATCTGTGTTAGCTTTGGAAGGTGATCATGAGCTATATAATACTCCTGTTCGCTGAGACATGGGTCTCTATAAATATTACGTCGGTATGACCGTTAGACCGAATTGAACGTTGATATGGTTTGTGAACCAGTTTATACATGCATGCGTGAGCGCCCGAGCAAATTGTATTCGAGAACCAGAGGCTGGAAGAGGGCTTTGATCAAGCCAGATTGCCAGATCTTGCCACCATTCTAGGCCCTCAGAAACAGTAATTTACAATGACTCATCAGGCACTGAAGCCCAGTACAGTGACGCAGCAAAAGGGTTAACACCCTGTAGATTACCGCCTTTTGACTTGGTATACCGCCCTCGATTTGCAATTTATGATAGCGGAAATTGAAATTGCCGTCATAAAATCGTAACTAGGAGGGATGCCAAAACTTCTGCGGTGTCACTGTATGGTTATGTTGGATCCTCTGTACTAATGGTATCGTCCTGTCACCATGATACTGGCGAGACAATGCCTCCTGTCGGACTTTAGGATATCGGTACCGACTAGTACTCGCGAGGGGCCAATTGAACCATCTCAGCGATCGATTGATTGACTGAAGAACTATCTCTCGGCTCCCGTTCAGGATGCCATCTATTCAGGGTTTTCAGTGTTACAGCGCTGCTTTTCCGAGAATACCCGATTACCATACAAAACAGGTAGGAGATTGGGTATCTGCTGAATCGTCCTGCTCCTGATTGTAATATCAGTCTCCGATCGACAAGTCATGTGTCAAACCCTGCGAAAAAATATTTGTGGGCTGCTAAGCGATGGGACCCAACGTACAGAAATTGATCGTCAGACTGTCGATGCCTACCTTCCTCCAGAGTTGCAATACGCCTGTCGATATTGGGCATATCATCTAGTTAAATGCACCGACTCCGGGAATATGGTATATAGTGCTCTATTGTTTCTCCAGAGGAGTTTTATACGGAAACATTTTCTACATTGGGTGGAAGCCATGAGTCTACTTGGTCTTATGTCTGAGATACTAAGCATTCTTGATCGACTCCAAACGGCTATGTCGGTAAGTTGCGCAGATAAGTCATATGTGATTCGCACTAACAGCTTTAGGGTAAATAACTTTTCCTCAGCTTCAGATTTTCTTCACGATGCAAAGCGATTTGTTCTGAAAAACTACCAGATTATTGATCAAGCGCCCCTTCAAATTTATTGTGCGGGACTTATATTTGCACCCCAGACAACAATGATCCGTACACAGTTCAAACAAGAGTTTCCAACTTGGATATGCCAGTTACCACAAGTTGAAGAACTAGTTATGGGGTGCAGAACTACAGACGCTCGAAGGTCATTCGCGTTCAGTTACGTCGGTGGCCTTCTCGCCTGACGGCCGGCTGCTGGCGTCCGGCTCTATGGATAATACAGTGCGCCTCTGGGACCCAGCGACGGGCGTCCTGATGCAAACTCAGGATATTGGAACAATAGTCACCACAATGGGATTTTCCGACGACAGTGTATCTCTTCATACTATGCTGGCATTCTTCTTATTCAATCCAGGAGTAACATTCCTATACCCAATCAGCCTCACACGAATCTAGCTATCTCTTTTTGTCACTACCAATGGATAAATTTGAATGGTGAGAAGGTTATCTGGCTTCCTGTCGAGTCACGGCCCAGCTGTTCCAAGATCAATAGTCATACGCTCGCCCTAGGACACACATCAGGGCGGATCTCTATCAGTTTTATTATATAGATACAAATTATGTCAGTTTCCTGTCCTTCCTTGAGTTTCTTATCTGTTTATTAAAAAGAAGTCTGGGAGAAGAGGGGGATCTATGCGGTTCCATCCACTCATAGAATGTTGCATAAAGCTCTGGTTATCTGGCGATTGTCCAAGAACCTGGGGTGGCGTAGGCATGCGCTTCTTCCAAAAAACTCCTTTATTCTTGAGCTTGGCCTCGGCATCATCAAGATGCGAGAATAGCTTGTTATAAATACTATAGATATTATGGGCAGTAATATCTTTAGTCTTTGATAACATGCTGGTAAAGTCGAAAAAGGGCTTTGTGAGAAGAAGAAGATATTCAACCTGTCGCCACTCTTCTTGATCAAGCCTGAAATAGAGATACTGATTATCTGCACAATACTGGTCATAGAAAGGCTGTAGGGTTTTGGCACGATTGAGCATCAGAAAGGTAGAGTTCCACCTAGTTTTGACGTCTTTAATAGGGATTAAGGCCGGCTCTTTGGTTTGCAGAGCCATGAATGCCTCCCGGCATTGTGGACTTGCGTTAATCAAGACTGCAAGACCCCGTATCTTTGTTATTTGAATTAGAACAGATCTATAAATATAAGAGTAGGATAAACTTACCTTTTTTAATATCTCTGTGATATGAGCTCGGTTGGAGCCATGCCTTTTGGTCTGAAATGAATGGGTTTTGTCATCAGACCATTCCAACTCAATCTCTTTGTTTTGTGGTGTTGCTTTCAATTTCCCAAGGAGCTCATTCAAGCTGAGCTGGATCACATGCGCAATACATGAAACTCGGAATACCATGATATCCGACCGATATTGTGACTGAAGGGTATCTTGGATATTCATCATCAAGGTATTGTTATTTGTTGCATTATCAGTGGTCACTGATAATACCCGGTCAGATATTTCATGATCAGCCAGTAGTTGAGTAACAGTCTTGCTGAGGTTTTCACCAGTATGAGATCCATGAAGAGGCTCAAATCCAAGGAGGACTTCACAGTAATTCCAATATTGATCGAGAAAGTAACCAGTAATAGCCATAAATGCCTGCTGAAATGGGGATGTCCAGCAATCCAGAGCTATTGACAAATTACTTCCGGTCGGAAGTCTTCTAATGACCTCCTTCTGGTTGTTTTGGACTGTCAATTCAAGGCAACGTCGGGATACTTCGCGTAGATGGAATTGTGATCTTGGTTGTGGCTTGCTGAATAACCTCGACTAGTTCATGAAACTGGGTATGCTCGATTATTCGGAAAGGGAGATGAGCAGTGGAGATAAAGTTCAGAATAGCTCTTGAGAGGCGTTCTTGGGAGAATGTATGGCTCTGTTGAAACCTGGGCTTTAATGTTTAGATTAGTATTAGTGGTAAGAGTCAAGATCATAAGGGTCAACAGTATACCATCTGCTTGATAAGCTGATCAATCCTGGGATTAGGGCTTCGGGCACAGGAGCCAGTCTTAATATGCGCATTCATTGGCGATGATCCTGCACGGCGAAATCTTGGATGACCAAGAGTACAGAGACATGATTTGCACATCACCTTTGGCTTTCCAGTCTTCTCATTTGCAACTTGCTGGAAACTCTCCCAAACTTTCGATTGGGTTTTTGTCTCCCAACGAATACTCTCTCTTATATCAGGCTTCGATCCAAACTCAGTAGTAAGCCACCAGCTTACAAACTTTTTTCGGGATTCCTCCATATCGCTGCTGCTAGAATCAACGGGGTAGAGGACCCAATGTTGTTGAAGAGGAAGGCCAACACGGGTGAGGGAGGGAGGTGCGGTCAAGGTTGAATCTGCAGTTAGAGTTAGATATTGAGATGCAGATATTGATATTATTTCGCTGCCAATAAAATCAGAAATATCGTCAGGATAAGGTCGATCCGAATTCAGACCTAAGTCTGAATCAGTATAGGAGCAGAAGGATTGAGACATTTGTTGTTGGGACATATTTCAATAGACTATAAGTTGTCTGTTGAAGTAGAGATTGGGAGAGACTTGGAACGTAGAGAGGAAGGCTTACATATGGGGCTGGAGAAGAATTTCAGGGGTGTCACAAACAGAGCACAAACTCACGACTTGAATATGTGTTTGTGGTTAGTGTCCTGATGATTGGCTAGATAAATTACTAGTGCGGATATTTCGTGGATATCCTATGGATATTGCGGATATTCTGTGGATAATTTGCGGATATCCGTTGGATATCCGCAGGAGTGGAAGCCATATCGCTAAGTCCCGAGAGTCAAGACTTCCGACTGTGGTTTCTCTAGGTTTTTGTAAGCAAATATTTTTTTAAAATTAGATAAAAATTATTGTAGACCTAGATGAATAATTTGGTCCTAAATTGAACCCGATAAATAATGGAATTATGTTTTTGTTTAAGTATTTTTCGTTTAACAAAAAGACGGACAGGAGGTACATAGGAAAACACCTGTGAAATATATAATCACTAGGTAACTTACCAAAAAAATAACCAAACATCGTTTCTAACCCCAGTACAGGAGTAATCACTAAATTCAAAGCGACAATATATAAGAAACTTATTATCAATTAATAGATACAAGATCATTTCTTAAAATTCCATTAAACGATGGGATGAGCTGGGTTGTTGGCGTGGTTAAGACCAAACATGTATTTCTTTCAACCTAAGCGAGAATATTTTATGCTATCCAAAGGCAATCTGACTATCTCTTTTCAGATAATTAAGCGAGTTTTATGCTAGTGCGGATATCTTGTGGATATCCTCAACTTGGACATGGATATGAAGTGATATCCAATATCCGCAGCATTGCGGATATGGTATTGATCTCATATCCAATGGAGCGGATATGCCGCAGTCTAGCTGCTGGACATGGGCTAGTTCAGCTTTGTGGCTCCTCCAACGGGCCAGCCAGACCCGGCCGTGCATAGACAATCTCAATGATCGGCTCCCACGTCCTCCATGGATCTTCGATCAACAGCTGGGCTTCAGCGGCCGTGCTTGGGCTTCGCGTTGCACGGGAGCTGGCGAGATAGGCCGCTACGACGCTGGACTGGGGGCTGGACGATGGCAAAGGCGGCTTTAGTGACTCGCTCACCCGGTACCAGTGAGGAGTATTATCGATCCACATGGTCCTCGGACGGTCAGCATATTCCATTGCTGATCGAGTAATATGTACTGTACCGAGCGCAACTAATGTCGATTCAACCGACGGCCGATAGGAGGCGGGGTCTGCTTTTATAGTTTCTCCTTGCGCCCCCGCCCCCGCCGCTGCACTCTCGCTTGCATTGCTACTCTGCTCGGATGAGCGTTGAGGACATTCACCATGGTCGAGGAAACTCCACCGATCCTACGTAGATGTACGCTACCGTCAATTGTCGCTCAGCTAGGGCCAAATAAACCTACTGGCAGTAGCTGTTCTGCGAATCTGCGCTGTAGGCGTGGCTACCAGTTAGGTGCTTCCCTATTAGGCAGTAGCGGAGATACTGTGAGACACGCACATACACATAGAGAGAGAGAGGGAGAAAAGAACGCAAATTGACCCGGAGTAGTTTCGTATCCTTGATTATGGCCGATTTGATTGAATCTGTTGGATCGCAGGATTCCACACGTGCTATACTGACGGGGCAACGACCTTAAGGCACTTGGTCGATCAAAAGACCGCTGTTGAGAGATCCTATACGTATCTAGGGACCAGTCTAGCATCATGGAAATGCGTTTACCGAGTTGATTCGGCTACCATACAATGGCGTTCGGAATGCCACTACGTCAGCCGGTCTTTGTGGCAGTACTTCCCCTCAGATGGCAAATTAGGAGACCCATCCACATCCCAGGAATGAGCAATCATACAATATTCGTGGATTTGTACCAAAACTATGAGAAGGCGATGAGAGAGCTGGAACAGACAAGAAACCGCAGTGGTCCGTTGCTCAGAATTAAAGAGTTATTTCAGTGCACAGTAAGATACAGTCTATTCGAGGGCCATGAGGCACTATAAATGCAAATCTCGAATCTTCTCTGATAAATAGTTCTTCTCCGTACTTTGAGTTGAGGCGTCTCATATCGCGAGTTCCGGCAATTTGGAGACTTTGGAAAGACAGCGTTCGATTGTATGCTGCTGAAACCTCGAGGGCTGACAATGACAGCGGTAGCCTCAATCAAGATAGGTCTGGCCTTTCTTAATCCAGAAGACGACCTTGTCACTTCGTTCGCATTCTCAGAGGAGTCCCAGTTTATTTAGCAACCATGCGCGTTTTGTACCCCTCATAGTTGCGCCGTTCTGTTTGAGGCATAATCTAGTAGTTTCGAGGCCTTTGCTTTCAGCGTGGCCGGCATTTCCAGCCATGACAGAGGTGACGTGTACATATAATCAAGGGTATTAACCTTAGCTCCATTTTTCAGCAGGATTTCGGCGGCGTTGTAAGAACCATACTCAGCGGCCCAAGAGAGGGGTGTTCGCTTATTCTGATCACGATCGTCAACCGGAGCACCAATGTCCAGCAGACTTTGAAGAAGCTCGGTGCAATCTCCCATCGCAGCGAAATGAATGAGAGATTTCTTGTACGGGCCTTTGGGGTTGCATATACCCCTAAATAGGATCGCCTTGTGTGTATCACCAAGGAATTCCATGATGTGTTTGTTCAGTTTGTTCTCTTGGATCTTCTTCAGGCGCTTGAATTCCTCATCGATGATGGTCATGGTAGTGCGGGAAGCCATTTGGGCCTTATATCGTTGAATGAAATGAGCTAGCACTGAAAGCGGAAGCGATATTATAGACGGCGACCAAGCCGGAGAACCAGTCAATTTTAGGTAGTTACATGGCGAGCTCCATGCGTATTTATGTTCAGTATCTTGGAATATGTGAGCATTCAAGATGGCGTTCCTCCCTACCTCTTTGTGCCTGTCAGCTTTGTGTGTTGATGGATTCATGACATCGTGCTATAAATGTCTTCACGCAGTTCCTCGTTGCATCAATAAATGTTTGACGATTCCCTTCCATCTCAATACTGATGCCGACTATTAGAGGCAAAGGCGAAGCAGTCAAACAGCGCCAGTCTCGCGAAGAGCGAAATAAATCTCAACAGTGTGACCCGGTGGAGAGCCAAATTTTGAGGACCACAAAAGGAGCTTTGAATAAAGAGGCTACCTCTTCTGGAGAGACAGCAAAAACGGTGCTACACTCTTGCAACCTATTCTATAGGGATCTCCACTGTGACGGATGACCCTGGGAATAGCCTCGTCTCGTGGAAGGATGCCTGAGGCATAATATTGGGTCGTTTGCACAACGCGTTTGCTGGGGACTTAACCCCTCTTTTTCTGGCGGACTTTCTTTCTTTCTCTTTCCTTCTTCATCTTCGAGATTCTCGTAAGTAGGCACCGAATGAATTTGTTTCTTTCGAACGGCCCGTAACATCCACCTGCTTTTTTTCCATGCTCAAATTTTCTTCTAATCCCGGTACTCGAGTTCTTCTTGTAGCCATTTGGTTCAACGTCCTTTTGGCGCTATTGAGTTTACGAGATTATACTAATGAGGTCGTTGACAATGATCATGCATCTGTTATGATAGCGTCTAGAGGATGATTTGTACCACAAGGCTCTCTCCTTCATCTGACTGTCTATGGTTTCATTGGCCAGTAAACGAACTCTCGAGTCCTAGAAGGAATCCGAAAGCTCAGACGAGGTTGATTCTCCAACATACAGCCGTTCTCGAAATCGGCTTGACCAGCACACACTCAATCACTCTTTTCCGGTCCCACCGCCAAGGCTTTAGCGCAGATCATTTATTGAGCCTGCCACTCTAAATTGAGGGCGCCGTAAAATGCGCTCGGCATGTTACAATGCATAACTCCGCAAGTATTACAACATGCTGCACAAAACTCAGTGGAATTCCATGGAAGCCAATGGTTGGTTCCTGGGCTCTCTAGACTGCAAAAAAGAAGCTCTCAAAGTATTATACTGCCACTGATCATGAACCTTACGGTGATATCTACGCTCTTGCAACAATCCTTTGTCCATCAAAGAAACTCCGATACTTTTCATCAAGTGATTGGCAAGGTGAAATTGACTATGTGCAACATTATCATGAAGTTCTGAAACGAGAGTTCAATCGATACAAAGAGTTACTTCACCACAACTCAGATCCTACAGCATTGGATGATATATTTAGTGAGGCTGTTGATGATAATAATGACTGTGATCTTGATGCTGCCTGTGCTTCCCAGAACCAGCTACCCGAGGAGCTCACAAAGCCTGAAGATGATGAGATCGCAAGATATCTTGCCCGTGGGATTGAGAGACAGAAGGCCCGAGTTTTCTGGAAGGAGCATGAGAATGAATTCCCTATCCTTGCAAAGATGGCACAGGATATTCTCTCTATCCCTGCCAGTGGTGCTGGTGTGGAGCGATTGTTCAATTGTGCCCGTGATATCTGCTACTATCGCCGCGGTCAGTTAAAGCCAGACACAATCCGGGAACTAATGCTTCATCATTTCGCAACCAACTTTGATGTCAGGCAAGATGAGCTCGGTGTTCTTAAAGAGCATCTTTCTAATGGGGAGGCTGCGCTATTGGATCACATCTTTCCGTCATCACCCTGCCAACTCTTGGCAGCAATGTTCACTCAAGCGCTAGAGTTATCCCATAGTGCACAAGTCAATACGTGATGGAAAGATCGTTTTGAGAAATTATCACATATGGCCGAATTTGTCACAGGATATAAACATTTGATATTCAAGTAGCTAGCTTATCTAGCCATTCAGACGTCGGCGCTCTCTTCCCCATTCCAGCAACGTTTCGGAATTGGATAAAGTGCCCGGATGGATTGGCCCTAATATCTGCTTCTGTTTGGCAATGCAGTCCCGTAGTAAAGTGTTGGCCTTGGAATCGTGCCCTAACGATTTCCAGGTGAAAGCGAGGTTGGCCATGCTTGACAGCGTGTCAGGATGGTACTCGCCGAGCTTCGTTTTACGAGCCTCCATCACCTGCACGTCAAGCTGCTCGGCCTCATCCCACCGGCCCTGCTTCCAATATGTCGATGCCAGATTGGCCATACTCGCCAGCGTAGAGGGATGAAACTCGCCCAGCTTCCTCTTGCGAGCCTCCATCACCTGCACGTCAAGCTTCTCGGCCTGTTCCCACCTGCCCTGGTTCCAATACGTCGATGCCAGGTTGCCCAAGCTTGACAGTGTGTCAGGATGGTACTCGCCGAGCTTCATCTTGCGAGTCTCCATCACCTGCACGTCAAGCTGCTCGGCCTGTTCCCACCGGCCCTGGTTGCAATACGTAGACGCCAGGTTGGCCATACTCGTCAGCGTAGAGGGATGATCCTCGCCAAGCTTCACCTTGCTCGTCTCCATCACCTGCACCTCGAGCTGCTCGGCCTCTTCCCATCGGTCCTTGTTCCGGTACGTGGATGCCAGGTTTGCCATACTCGCCAGCGTAGAGGGATGATCCTCGCCGAGCTTCGTCTTGCTCGTCTCCATCACCTGTACCTCGAGCTGCTCCGCCTCCTCCCATCGGCCCTGGTTGCGGTACGTAGACGCCAGATTGGCCATGCTTGACAGCGTGTCCGGATGGTCGTTGCCGAGCTTCATCTTGCTCGTCTCCATTACCTGAACGTTGAGCTTCTCGGCCTCCTCCCATCTCCCCTGGTTCCGGTAAGTCGACGCCAGGTTGGCCATACTCGTCAGCGTAGAGGGATGGTCCACGCCGAGCTTTGTCTTGCTCGTCTCCATTACCTGAACGTTGAGCCGCTCGGTCTCCTCCCATCGGCCTTGACTCGAGAACGTCAACGACAGGTTGGCCATGCTTGCCAGCGTGTCAGGATGGTACTCGCCCAGTCTCGTCTTGCTCGTTTCCATCACCTGCACCTCAAGCTGCTCCGCCTCTTCCCACCGGCCCTGGTTCCAATACGTCGATGCCAGGTTAGCCATGCTTGACAGCGTGTCCGGATGGTCCTCACCGAGCTTCATCTTGCTCGTCTTCATCACCTGCACCTCAAGCTGCTCCGCCTCCTCCCATCGGCCCTGGTTGCGGTACGCCGACGCCAGATTTGCCATGCTTGACAGCGTGTCAGGATGGTCGTCGCCGAGCTTCGACTTGCTCGTCTCCATTACGTGCACGTCAAGCTGCTCAGCTTCTTTCCATCTGCCCTGGTTCCAATACGTGGATGCCAGGTTGGCCATACTCGTCAGCGTGGAGGGATGATCTTCGCCAAGATTCGCCTTGCTCGTCTCCATCACCTGTACCTCAAGCTGCTCGGCTTCTTTCCATCGGCCCTGGTTCCGGTATGTCGACGCCAGGTTGGCCATACTCGTCAGCGTAGAGGTATGGCCCTCGCCAAGCTTCGCCTTGCTCGTTGCTTCACGGTCACACCTCTGGAAGTCTCTCAGGTATTGTGATACCGAATAGCGAGGAACCCGATTTTGGATATAGCTAGCGGCCTGTACGATCGCTAGCGGCATGAACTCGAGCTCTTCCACTAACTGTCGGCTCTCTTGGCTTTCCCCTGGTTGTGAAAGCTTTCGTTGCAGAAGCTCCAGCGCTTCAGGTCTTTCCATTGGTTTAACTTCAATGAGGCCCTTGTGATCGACCATTTTCAACGCAACTTCTCTGGCTCGGCTCGTGATGATGGTGGATCCATTTCGGCTTCTAGGAACGTATTCCAATATCGGTTTTGTCGATGATTTCCGGGGACCTTTCGTCGAATCTTCAGTCTCTACCGCTGAAAACGAGCAAAGCAACTTATCGTCATCGACATTATCAAGGATACAAATCCACTTCCCTATCTTCTCATCCCGGAGCCGGTTCTCGACCAGTCTGAATATGTTACTTTCCGGTTCCTGGCGACCGGGGATCTTGACCTGGTCCGCGATGTCCCGGAAACTTTGCTCAAACCGGGCTTCGTTACTGGCATGGACCCAGAAAACCCATGTCGCCGGCGATTCGGATCGGACCCGATAGGAGTATTCGATGGCCAGCTGTGATTTTCTTCGAGTTGTGAGCGAAATACCACGTCCTGGTCGCTCTACACTTACCCAACACCGCCGCGGCCGACTAGCGCTATTCTCGACCCTGGCACCGAGCTTTTTTCATGAATCTGATGCAGCAGCGTGTCACGAGAGACAAAGCCTGGATCGCGCGGGAATGGGACAGTTGATAACGGGCTAGGCGGGGTTTGCGGTCGCTCTAGGATGAGAAGCAGTGGTTAGCAAGTCGACCGTGGCTGTACGGCTCCTGATTACATACTTGGCGGCAGATGGAATTCCGCATTGATCGAGCCACGGTTATCTCCGATCTGGAGCCCATGATTGTTGCCAAGGAATGATGTTGATGCCATGATCAAGTAACTTTGCGTTGTATGAATTTCATTCGAAGGACCGTGGTCCAATCCCCAGCTGAAAGAGGCGCCAAGTCCTGAGCTTTAAGATCAGGTGACCTTGCGGCGCTAAGACAGGGAATCAAACTTGCGGAATCAAACTGAGATTGGCTCCTGCGGGTGGGATCGGCCCGAACCAGGACACCCAGATCACGCACAGCACGCGATAGACAGCCAGATCCCTCTAGCTAAAAGCACGCTTTGAAGTTCAAATATTGACATCCGGTGCTGTCGGTTATCAAACACATACTGGGAGTATCAAAATCAGTTTCACCACTTGCACACAGATATTCTTTCTCAAGACCCGCTCTGCAAAACGCTTGTCTAACTATATATCGCTTGTTCTAGTTTCAAGGGGCTGAGTCGTATCGAAAGACATCATGGAAGACTGGGTGAGCTAAATTACATGAAATACTACTACCATCGATACACCCATGACGTCATCATTCAGCTCGCTCCTACGACCTTACTACCGTCACTCTTGGCAACAATATCCGCCATGGCTCTGAAGACAGGCCTTTCCCTAAGTCCGCAACATAATAAGGTACGGTATTGAAAATGAAATAGAAATTGCTATATTAACATGTATTCAAGCATCTGTTCTACTTAGGCATTAACGTCCTGCGCCTCCGTTTCCCATTCCAGCAATGTTTCAGAATTCGATAAAATGGTCGGGTGATTCGGCCCAGTGTTTTTCCTGTTTGACTGTGCAGGTCCATAGTAGTTCGATGGATTCGGCATTGTAACCTCAAGTTTTCCAGGTGAACGCAAAATTGGCCATGCTCGTCAGCGTGTCGGGTTGTTCCGCGCCGAGCTTCGTCTTGCGAGTCTCCATGACCTGCACCTCGAGCTTCTCGGCCTCCTCCCACTGAACCTGATTCCGATATGTTGACGCGAGGTTGCATATGCTCGTCAGCGTGTCGAGGTTCTGCTGCCTGGGACAGTCCGTTCTGGTGAGTTTCCGGAGTGACGGCCTCGACCGATCGGCCAAGTTCCTTGCAAATTGCCCGAAAAAGACGCACGCTTTCGCTGCTCAGACAGATCTTCAGGAGCGAGCCGTGACCGACCATGCATATCCGTCCTCGATCGGTGGCTGGAGACGGACCTGGCTGGGCGCAATGATGAGACCAAGGCGGTCATCTATGCTGTTTAGCATTCCTTCGCGGCGCGAGTGTGACAAGACGAGCACTTACAAATGCGGAGCGACATAGCTTCTTGCCATTGCTGTTTTAGTTGAGCACGTCTCTCGTTGTTAGTCTTGGCCATGAATCCAGGAAATGCGACCTGCAATGGCAAGCCTTCTGAGGGACGATTTGCGTAGGAAGAAGGGCTCGGGATGGTTGTGAAACACTAGAGAACTTCCTTGACATCTGTCATCATTGAAGACTATCGCTGAAAGTCACCAAGGGGAAATACTGCGAAAATTCGTTGAAGGGCAAGATAGCAATCGGTGAAGGAGTTCATTGAGGGGGTAAGTAGGAATTATTTTTTAGGTTCGTTGAAGGTCAATTCCGACTAGCCGTTGGAAGGTTTATTTAATAGGGTCTTTGAAAAGGCATTAGTTCGAGAAGACGTTGGAGAGTACCGTTGTATAAAAAAAGCTCTACATCATCGTTGGGAAGATAGATTTTTGGATGTCATCGAGGAAAGAATTCAAAATAGTCGTTGAAGAGCATAATTGGACGGAGTCGTTGAAGTATCAAATCGAGTCGTTGAAGTATCAAATCTAGAATTGATTGAAGGAATAGAAAAGGAATATCATCGATGGAACTAACCGGGGATGGGGGATCTTGATGGGTCGTTGAAGACAGAATTTTAGAGCGTCGTTGAAAAAAGACGTTGAACAGATCAATTCTATGGAGAAGTTAAAGAAACAATCTAAAAGACCGTTGAATAAATTAATTGGGGAAATAGTGAAATAGTTAACAAAAACAATCTCAGGCAGTCGTTGAAAGGAGAGCCAAAAGGAAGTATTTGAGAGCATTTGTCGTGAAAGTCGTTGAAGTCGATCGTTGAAAGGCATCGTTAATGATTGACTCTTCCTGGCATTATCTTTCCCAAGAAACCAGAATTTCCGGGGACTAATTCTGACGAGGTAAGAAACCAATGCTCGGATTCAGAGATAGTCCTCTCGCTAGTACAACCCCCGTAGATTTCTTTCATTCAGCACGAATTTAGTTTCACCGTCTTATTCCCTTGGATTTCTTGTAAAAGGCTTGGCAAGGCCCACTTGAATCTTTATTTAGCTTAGCCTCGAGAATAGGGCGAAATCTCTTGTAGCATGTGTATGATTGTTGTTAGGCCTCGCCAAAACCCGCCCACGGCCCAAACCCGCCCACGAAAACCCGGCCCACGGGTTGGGTTGGGTCTTAGTCAGCAAACCCGTGGGCGGTGTTGATTTATAGTGATGCTTCAGTGTTCATGTTGTTTAGGGGAGTTGATTGTGTTAGATACAGGTAGACTGGTGAACAGGTATATAGGCATGCACGTGATCCCAGCCCCCATGATTATCCCAGTAACCGTGATATTTCAACACTCCCACTCGCTGATATCCTTCTGACGAAGGAGATTAGCGATCTTTTATCACGGTTGTCAAGCCCCATTAAAACCTCCCAAAACCAGTGGTAAAAAAGGAAGGAAAGGGTGCTTGCATGCCGGTCTTTTGTTTTGTTTTGTTTTCTTTTAGTTTGAAGGCTCGTGTCTGACCGGGCTATTATTCAATGCCGAGGCCTTCTCGAAACCATTCAAATCTGTCTCGTGCAAGGGGCTTCGTGAAACCATCCGCTATCTGTTCTGACGTTGGGATATACTTGAGTTCCACTGTCCCGGCATCTTGGACTTCTCCTTGCCACTTTCGCTGGATTTCCATATGCTTTGTGCGCGAATGATATTGAGGGTTTGAGGCCAGCGCAATGGCTCCCTGGTTGTCGCCGCAAATGATCGTTGCCCGTTGTCCCTGGCCCATATTCAGCTCGTGAAGGAGTCTTCTCAGCCAGATAGCTTCCTTGGTTGCTTGTGTCTGGCCTATGAATTCGGCCTCGCAGGTTGACAGGGCAACAACATTCTGGCGCTTTGATTGCCAGCTGATTGCTCCACTTCCAATGTTGAAAAGATATCCTGCCGTCGAGCGCCTTGTCTGGCGACAGCCGGCCCAATCTGCATCCGTGAAGCCACGGAGCATCTGGAGCTGGCCTTTATATGCGAGACTGAGAGATTTGGTGCCTTTGAGGTATCGAAGGATTCGACGCGCGAGCTTCAGATGTTGTGGGCCAGGATTTGTCAAGTGTCTGCTTGCCGCTGAGACAGCGTATGCAATATCGCCTCTGGTTCCAAGCATGACATACATCAGCGATCCGACCACGCGCTGGTACTCATTCTTTGTATTCGACGGGCAGATGTATTCAGGGCCGTTTTCTGGTAGAGGTGAGGTGTCGATGGGCGTGCTGACAGGAGCACAATCCAGCATCCCGAATTGCTGAAGGACTTTGCGCACGTAAGCCTCTTGGCTCAGATAGAGGATTCTGTTCTGCCGATCTCGTCGGATAGTCATGCCGAGATAGTAGCTGCAGGGGCCAAGGTCTGTCATATGAAAACGGTTTCTGAGGCTTCGCTTGATCTTCTTTATCTCTGCAATGCTTGGTCCGATGATCAAGAGGTCATCGACGTATACTGCGATGTACATGCTGCTCCGAACAAAGATACTGAGATCGGCGTTGATGGGCTCAAAGCCAAGATCTCGAAGGAAATTGGTCAGCGTCTGATACCAGATACGAGGTGCTTGCTTCAGGCCGTAGAGTGCCTTGCGAAGCTTGCAGACCCTCGATGTGCCGTCTGTAGCGTGATGAGGCTGTTCAACAAAGATCTCATGGTCTATCTCGCCATATAAGAACGCTGTTTTGACGTCCATTTGTTCGATCTCGAGATCCAGAGCTGCGGCAATTGCGAACAAGGCTTTGTAGCTCATTGGTTTGACTACGGAAGCAAATGTCTGATCATAATCGACACCTTCTTCCTGGGTGAAACCTCTGACTACCCATCTGCACTTGTGGCGGACGATTTCTCCGCCTGATCCTCGTTTGAGTTTAAAAATCCACTTCCCGCTCAGGATTCGGCGATCCCTGGGAGGGTCAACCATTTCCCAAGTTTTGTTTTGTTTGAGTGATTGTATCTCTTCGATCATTCCCTTTTCCCATTCGAGCCAGCGTGGATCATTCTTGGCCTGTCGAAGGGACTTTGGTTCGAAGGGTTCTATCTCTTCCGCCGCAACAGCCAAGAAGGTTGGAATGACGTTCTTGTCGGGGATATTCATCAATGCGAGTTCTTCTTGGTCATAACCGGATGTGTCTCGAAAAGTTTGTGTGTCACGGAGCTTGAGTTCAGGGTGGCGTTCCAGTGAGTCTTTTTGCACTAAGTGTTTTGCACCACCCTCTCGTAGCTCGGAATAATCTAGCCAATCTGGGATTCGCCCTTGCTGAGCATCGCCTTGTTGCTGGTCGCTACCGGGTGGTGAGTCAAACCTAAGGGCGGAATCCTGTGAAGCAGGTGATAAGGGCCCGAAGGTATCATCACTCCGTGTAGGCGAAAAGGTTATAGCTCCTTGGCCAGCAACAGCGGGCTGCGAGGTCTTATCACTCGACTGAGGCAGATGCACTTGCACTATGTCGTCCCATGATCCAGGCTGTGTTTGCTCTTGTGGCGCCAGGGATGCCTGACGCCCCGAGGCTGGCACGGATGCATGTCGCATACTGGCCGACGGTTGGTTTATTAGTCCCACCGTCTCACTCCCCCCTGCGGCAGCAGCCGTTGCCACAGGAAAGCTCTGCTGTTTGGCTCCCACGTCTTGTATGGTCTGCGTGGAGGGAGTGTTGAGGACTTCATAAAATTCTGCATTTGGCGTACCAATGATTCTGCCGTCTTCTAGCAGGATGCGATAGTTTGTATTACCTTCGTATCCCAATAGTAGACATGGCCTTGTTCTTGGTCCCGTCAGCTTCTTTCTTTGTTTGGGTGGAATTAGGTACTCTCCCTTGGATCCTATGACTCTCAGCCGTGACAGGTCAGGCTTGTCACCATACCAAGCTTGGTACGGAGTCATATTGCGTTTGGATGATGGGGATCGATTTGAGAGGAATGCCGCAGTTCGCGCAATCTCCGGCCAGAATTTGGGCGGTAGTTTCGCATGCCTGAGCGTTGGTCCGACTCGGTCGTAAATTGTCTTGTGGGCTCTTTCCGCTACCCCATTCTGCTGGTGCTGGTCGACGCCCGTGACTTCGGCTCGGATTGCCCTCGAGAAGAGGGTAAATTTCATTTCTTCTCCCACTTGTTCCGGGATCCGGTCAAGACGAATGCGCCTGCATTTGCGCTCAGGGCGCTCATTGTGGTCGAGGAAGTACCGCAAGGACTCCACGACGTATTCTTGCCGTTGTGGTATGGGGACGATCTCAACCCATCCAGTATGGTCGTCAACAATGGTTAGCCAGTAGCGACTACCATCAAGGCCCTCCTCAAAAGGTCCTGCAACATCGATATGGAGGAGTTCCATGGCGTATGTGGCTCTTTTGCACGCTTCTGAACGGCGATGGGGGGTTTCAATCATTCTTCCCTGAAGGCATGCGTTGCAAGGTTGGCGTGGTGTATCGTCCTGAATGCCGTGAGCTTGCTTTTTGAGTCGTTGTATGTTCGCACCGCTCATGTGAGCGAGCCTATTGTGCCAAAGTGCCGATTGCGGGCTGACATGGTAGGCTGGAAAAGCAGGTTTCGACCATAGGTCGAGTGCGTAGACTCCATGATATTGGCTCGCAGTGAACAGATTTCTCCCATCTGATTTGTTCCGAATAAAGGCGCCATTTCTCGAGAAATCAATCTTTGCCCCCCGATTGAGAAGCTGCAGCACGGATATGAGATTCGCATGCGCAGTCGGGACGAACAAGACGTCATCTAGAACAAGCCATTTCTTTCTTCCTCGTACATTGCACAAGATATTTGCCACTCCTATGCCGGAAGGAGCCGTTGAGGTATCGACGCTTCGCAATGGTGGACCGTCATATTTGTCCATCTTAACGAATCTCAAGGCATTGTTACAGACGTGCTGGGCACATCCGCTGTCCACGATCCAGGCCTCACTGATCGAGGGAGCCTTCGTGACCATCATGCTGGGAATGAAATCAAATGTGGCAACATTTCCTTCAACTTCGGCTCCGAATGCTGCATTGATATCCTGTTTTGAGGCTTGTGTCGCCATAAACGTCGGTCTTTTGGGGTCTCTCGGTCCTTCTGAATCGTCGTCTTCATGATCCGTACTGGCCCGCCTCTTTGATGAATTACGATGGTCCGCATGCGCATCTTTGGGGTTTGATCTGCGCGTCGTTCTCTCCTTTCCTTGGTCCCTCGGTTTAGGGTTCTTCTTGAAACACTGCGGCTCTCTGTGATAGGGTTTTCGACAGAAAAGACAGAAGGGGACATTGTTGATCTCGATCCGGCAAGTTTTCCCATCTGGAGACGGTATGACTTTCTTGTCTTCAAGTCTTCGACTGAGTGTGAAGGCAGGAAGGGCATTTGCATCTGCGGGTTGGTTGCCCAGCTGTCCTTTTCTGTGTTCCTCTTCAATGGCCTTGTTCTCAATGTAGTCGAATGTAGGAGCTGCTTTGGTGATATTTCCGTCCTCATCTCTATCATTGACAATGTCCATTTGCCGAAAGACATGGTCGCGGAAACTCTCATATTCTGGACCTAAGGCATGGAGGAAGAAGAAAGTTCGTTCAATCTCAGAAGTGACACATGCGGGGTCGAGTAAAAGTTTCTCGGCATGGATCTTTCTGATCTCGGCCCCGAGGGCTTGTGCACTCCCACATTTTGCCCGGGTAAGTGACATGTACCTCCTCTGAAGATTCACGTATGTTCCTGAACCTTCCGGCTTAAAGCTTTCTTTGACCGCTTTGATCAGTGACTGGACTCGGGTGATTTCGAAGGCGTTTATCCGCTGAGCCGCATTGTGGGTCAGCTTTGCCGCGATCATTGCCGAGTAGAACGTCTGGCGGTGAGACCATTGCTGCGCCTCCTCTTCTTCCAGAGGTGGGATGGCTTCATCCTTAGCCACAGGAGGTATTCGAAGAAACTCCTTGACTTTCTGGTTCCACTGTGACCAGTCGTTGGCATTATCGAGTGTTGGTATGGCATGATAGAATGTGCTCAAGCCTATTTGTTCAAATTTATTCGAATCCATCGTGGTGGTTTTCAGGGCTCTTCGGTGCTAAAGAATTCGGCACTTGACGAGCCACTTGAGTGAATTGAGTGGACAGAAGGCGTGCAGTTTGACAGCTCGGGAGACCGCGCCTCAAGACCGAATAGTTCCAGGCTTGATATCTCGCTGGGCGGACTAGAGCTGATGGAGTGGGAATAATCCGATGAGCCTGGAGTAGGCGTATGCGATGGAGGAATGTATTCACTGTCCGATAGGTCGTATGGTTTGAGGTGATTGCGATACGACTCGAAGAAATGAGGAAAGCGGACGCGGTCAACCATATATCGTGGCTTTCGCTCTTGAAAGGTTGTCGGTCTGTTTGGTCGGAGGTTGTACCGATTTGAGTTATTCCCATTTGAGGTCAACGGTGCATGTCCAATCTCAGTGCTTGTTGAGTTGAGGTGATTTGGACCCTGCTCTGGACTGGAGAACGAAGGTCGAACTTGACGTGGAGAACTGTGTCCTGTGGTATGCCGGGAGTTGGCGATAACAGGCGCAGCAGCGATCGCCCGGCGAGTGCGCTCTTCCAGAGGTAAACGCCTATAGGCCCCGCCGAGTGCGTGTCGGGAAAGTAATGGAAACTTCGCTTTTTGGATTTGCGAGAAGCGCCACTGGCGGATGTATCGAAGATAGCATACCAAGTTGAGCTCTTCTTCAGTCCATCTGTGTCCCTTGTATGATCCTTTCCTTCTCGTCATAGGTCAAAATAGTGGAATGTCCTTTTCCGAGAATGCCAGGGATTTGAGAGGAAATGGATTCCTAGCATGCTACAGAGAGCAGGTCGTTTCTGGTGGCAATGTGATACGTCTGGAGCGGTGTGACGTTTGTAGCGGTGTAAGACGATGTTGTCTGTTGTGAAACATGTCTATAGACCATCATTGGTCTAACGACTTTCTGTAGCGGTGTGGTGGCTTTGTCAGCCTTGTGAGACGATTTCGCACAATTCGTTTGCCTGTTGATCCTCAGAAAAAATGTCTTCTCGGTTGAAGAACTAAATGAGAAATTCCAGTTCAGTCAATATATGTATGAAGCTTTCACTTAAGGGGGAAACTTAGGAGTAGAAAGTATTCTCCAGTTTGAGGTGAGCATTGCCGGGCTCATAACCTGTTGATTTATAGTGATGCTTCAGTGTTCATGTTGTTTAGGGGAGTTGATTGTGTTAGATACAGGTAGACTGGTGAACAGGTATATAGGCATGCACGTGATCCCAGCCCCCATGATTATCCCAGTAACCGTGATATTTCAACAGGCGGGTTGTCATTTGGGCAACCCAACCCAAGACCCAAATGGGTACCCTTGATAACCCAAAAAGGCAAAAAAAGCTGACTTATCACTTTACATTAAATTATGCAGTAATTTTCGATTACATAATGGTATCGATTGTGTTCTCCTGGTCTACGGCTGAGAAGATTTGGAACAAATATGATGGACGAAGAAAATAAGATTGGCTAACTATAAAGACTAGTATATCTCATAACCTCGCAGTCGGCTCGAGGGCATTGTCACCCGACCAGAAGATCTCTTCTGGCTTCTCTCACCCAACTGCGTGATTGGAGGCGGAAGTAAATCTGCTTCCTCGGATTCAACCACCTCTTCCTCCATACCCTCTTCCTCCATACCCTCTTCCTCTTGTTCCAGGTCGTAAGTCTGGCTGTCCATGGTGCTCCGACCAGTCTCTGCCAGCGTACACTCCGCTTGATATGGCTCCTCGAGCTCAAAATTACCCTCGAAGTCCTCGCTCTCTTCAATTTCTTCATCGTCGCTGATCGGCTCTGCATCCTCTTCAATTGCCTTCAGCGCTTCATCCTCTTCAAGTGCCTCTTGGCTGTCGTTCTCCAATGGTTTCTCCAGACGGGTCAGTTGCTGTCCCTCTAGTGTGAACTTTTCTGAGCACATATACATCATCAAGTCTTGAATAGTCGCTTCATGAAGAGATCCTCGACGGTAATGACAAATGTCTCGTGCACTATTGAAAAGCCTTTCTACGCCCGCGCCGGTGGCAGGGACCGAAAGCAAGTCTCGTGCAAGCCGAGAGAGCACCGGGAACTCGTATTCGTGTTCCTTCCAATAAAGCCGCGGTGATACCGGGACATTTGCTATCAGAAGTCAGTCAGTCGTTCTAGTACAGTATGCCAGTTGCTCGTACCTTCTCTAAGATACTGGTCCACTTCGTCATACTCTGCCCCTTCGTGGAGCATCGATGCATCAGGTGGTTCAAGTAGCCGATCAAGCTCTGAGCTATGTAAAGTGGAAGAGCGCTGCACCGTGCGGAATAACAGCTCGGGGTTCTGCTGCTGATACTGTGTGAAACATGCTCTCAAGTATTCACAGTACCGTTTCGACGTATCTTCGTGGCAGGTAGAGTACTCTCTATCATCGAAAGCACTCAATTTATATTGAGGAGCGAGTAATGTTCCAGTGCCATAGAGAAAACCGTGGTCGCGGTAAGTCTTTTCATAGTACTCTTTCAGCTTCTGCCTCGCAACAAGCAAAGCGCCATACATGTCCTTCTTCCAGGGTGTTGCCTTTCTTTTCAATTTCCGATTCGACCTTTCAATATGCTCCAGCAGCTTCCTGTACACGAGGAACACACTATGAATTGTGATGTCTCTGGTCTTCATCAGAGCCATGGTGAACTGAAAGAACGGTTTAGTCAAATGAACCAGGTAGTCAATTTGCCTCCATTCAGCATCAGTAACCTTGAACTGCGAGTATTCATGATCGCAGCAGTATTTGTCGATAACGTTTCTTAGCCGGCGCGCACGGCGAAGCATCAAAAACGTCGAATTCCAGCGTATTTGAACGTCATGCAACGGGAACAGCCGAGTTCCACCTGATTGGAGACACAGAAAGGCATCTCGCCGTTGTGGGCTTGCGTTGACAAAAACAGCAAATGATCGAATCTAGTTCTATCAGTGCTCCATTTATATTGACAGCCAATCAGAGAGAATCTATGCTCACTTTGGTTAGAGTATGAGCCACATCTCCATGGTTGACCGAATCTTTCAACCCATTCGCTTGGGTGTCAGACCAAAACGTCTTTATCTCTTTGTTCCGGGGTGCTGCTTTCATATGCCCCAAAAGTTGTTTCAGGCAAAGTTGAATCACATGAGCCATACAAGGAACTCGAACTATTGATTCTCTGGAGCCAATCGCGCCGGTGGAGATCAGTCTTTCCTGCAAGGCTCGTATGAGAGTTTCGTTATTGGTCGCGTTATCGGTAGTGATGCTAAAGATGCGATCCAGGAGTTTCCGTTCCTTCAGTAGTTGGTGCAAAACATCACTGAGGTTGCTCCCCGTGTGAGGGCCATGCAGCGGTTCAAATCCAAGAAGCATTTCTCGATAGTTCCAGTCTTTGTCAATGAAGTATACCGTGATTGCCATGAAGGCCTGCTGGAATGGACTGGTCCAACAATCCAAGGCAAGTGACACCTTAGCATCTTCAGGCAGATCTTGTAACTGTGACTCCTGTTGAGCTGTAACTGCATCTCGAAGTCGCCGTCGTAGGGTTTTCGCTGATGGAATTTCCAGTTCCCCCGGACCAGAGTGTAAGATGTTCAGCAGTCTTTGGAACACGGGGTTCTCCACAGTCTGAAATGGCAGCCGAAGGCAGGTGATGGTTTTCAGCAGCTGCTCCTCAAGTTCAGATGTTGTGACCCTGTCTGCGGCGAGTGATGCACTAGTGGAATGATTTTGCAACGAATCTGAGAGTAAAGTTTGATGGGATCCTCTCTTTTTCCCCCGGCGACAAGTATTGGACTTCAGGTGTCTGCTCATGGCGCTTGTACCATTTTTCTTGTGCTGCGGATGATCAAGCAAAGTAAGACAGGCTTGACAGATGACTCGTGGACGCCCAGTATCGATGTCAGCTACTTGGTCGAAGTGCTTCCAAACGTCGGCATGCCGCGATTCGGTGGACCATTTTATCTGAGACTGACCATCTCCGTTCAGCTTTTGACCGTACTCCGTTTTTTCCCACCACCCTAGGAACTCTCTCTCTAGACTCGATTCGAACAAAATCCAATTCTTTCTTCGTTGGGGCACCACACGCCTCAGCGTTCCTGGGGGCCTTCGAGCGATTATATCGTAGCTACTGCGGGATCTAGTGAAAGGCTATAGGTCGTCTCAGCATACCTGTTGGTGGTCTCGCAATATTCAGGGGCAGGAGGGGCCATTCTCTTACAGAAGACTGAATGTCAGAGTCTAGGAAAGCGTCAGATGACGGCTCAATGGAAAGCAGAGGACTGAAAGCCTGATGCAATGATCGCGACGATGAGGAAGAAGAAGCCATATTCAAGAGGCGTGCTATCGGGCTTGGGAATAAATTTTCTCATTGTGAAAACTTGGAAATGGACTTTGTTGGGGGGTCGTGTCGTGCGTTTGGATCTATTAACTTTCGCTTCGCGTTAAACCCGCGGGTACCCAAAAACCCAACCCGACCCAACCCAGCCCAAAATGGACGTGACTTTGTATAGACGCTGAGAAAGTGTGTGTCGCCGATTTAATTTATTAATTTCCAAATAATCATTTCGAGGTGGCTCATAAAGCTCAAACTCATTGAATTCTCGTGAATTCATGGATGTGGCCCCTGATCGCTTGGGATGTAGAAGTGGTGGGATGAAGGAGGTGGTCCCTTTGCAGTAAATATATATTTCCATGCCGTCAGCGTACATTGTTTCGACGTAACACACACCTTAAGGCGTGACAGAAATAAATTACCAAAATTACACTAGGTGACTAATCGAGTTTATCCACGATTTATGCATATTTTTGGGTATTTTGGGCAACCCGTGGGTACCCGCCAAGAACCCACGGGCGGGTTCACCAAGGTCAAAACCCGCGATGGGTTACCCGTGGGCGGGTAAAGAAATTGAAAACCCAACCCAAACCCACGTTTGGCGAGGTCTAATTGTTGTATTGTGTGTGGATCTGTGGGTCTCGGACCCGGTTATATAGTGTAGTGGGGAGACACCCTCCCCCTACTACATGGGTGCCATCCAGGCTATGTGACATAGCCGGCAGTATACAGCGGCCGGATAGCTAGTTCTAGAATACACCTTCTTACACCTCCCCGACCTGACCCCTACGTTTGGGCTTCTCGCTATTTCCTGGTTGCTATGCGTGTGTTTTGTGGTGGTTTTTCTGCTGAATCGTCCCGCACGTCTCAGCGCATGCAGCCATCGAGCGTTCCCCTCTTCAATAGATATCTTTCTACCGCTAAAAAACTCTCCATATAATGCGGCCCGCATATCATAATTAAGTTTGCCTGCTTTTAGACAAAGATTGCTTTAGTCCCTAACAGTTGCGCAGAATCCTGCAATCTGATGTCGTTCACCTTTTCGTTGGTAAAAATCAAAAGCAATTCTCAATTCACCAGGCATTGGAAAGTTCATTCCAAGAAAGGCCCTTGAGCCAGCGATCCTCGAGGGAGTTGATGAGGAAGACTTTGTTCGTTGCTGTGAGTGTGTGTACTCTGGGGACTACTCTGCTCCATATCCTATTCCAGGATCATCCGAAGGTGATAAATCGCAGCCGATAGACGTGGAAAAGCAGTGCCAGAAGGCGGCAAAAAGATGGGATCCATCTTATCTAACTTGGAACCTCTTCCATCCGGTGTCACTTTTATTGAATTATGATATGCTGTTGGAAAGATTTGGCCGGGATCCAGGACAGGAATGTAAAGAAGGATCAAATATGAACCTTCCACTAGCTATGCAGCAGTGTTTTTGACTCACACTGAAATTCATCGCTTTGCATTCAGAACAGGCTGGTATCCCCTGAGGGTTCTATCTTACTGCCGGTTTCTCCGATTGCTTGAGAAATTCACAGTATTTAAAGCACGGACGGGAGACATCGTTCAGCTATTGGAATTTGTTTTCGAAGATAGTGAGTATATGCAGAATCTGGCAAGTATGGCGCGAGACTACATGGTCTGGAATGTGGAGATGATTATGCGGAAAGCCGACTTCAAAAGTTTTCTGCAGCGGAACTCCTTAGAACAGACTGTCTTTCGTTCAATGTGGTACAGTCGTTCTTGAAGTTGGCTTGACCAGTTCACACTCAATCACTCTTTCCTGGGCCCACCGCCAAGACCTTAGCGCAGGATCCACATTAATTTTGGTGCAACGTAACATGCATATCGTAGAGATAGTACGGTATCTTCCTATGTACGATAATTTACACACCGCGTAGATACCTCAATGGAATTGCAGGGAAGCCGATACTGGGTCTCTGCACATCATCCGAATGAGGTCTGCCGTGCACCTGGACGATCAGCTGGGCGACTTCGATTAGCTTTTGCTCTGGAGATATTTTCTGATGAGCTCACTTTTGAGCCTGAGAGTAAGACCATGCTCCGCTTTTGCTAGTCTCGGGCTGACTTTAGTTTTTTCGTACCTTACTGGTCTTTCCATGGATTGGAATTGGGACAAGCTCGGGAACCGCCCGGTGGGAAGAAGCAAACAGCGATCAGCTGGGTGTTCGGGGACGATTTGTTCTCGCAAATCGGATTAAAAGCCGGGTGGGGCTGCTTTCTTTGTTTGCTATTCAGGCACACATGCGTTAGCACTGGTCATTGACTTGTGGATCGCTTAATAGTGATTGCGCCACCGAACAGGTTTCTTTGTTTGACAAACATTTCAGCAATAAAGAATGCGATCCCAACATTAAAAGGGAAACAACATAAAAGCCAGTAAACCATTCCCATGCCATTCGGCTTTGATCACTCCTATTCCGTTCATAATCCCATTATATTTGAACAGTTGAGAAATGCCGGGAGAGAAGCCTTTTCACCCACTGCTTCCTGTTCAGGAAGCTATTTCCATTGGTTCTAAAGATCATCTACCCCAAGCAAAAAAGAAAAAGGTGTCACTCGCGTGTAAGGAGTGTCGAAAAAGGCGGATCAAGGTTAGAACGCGCCACGTTTCACACAGACATAGAGCTAATCATTTCAGTGTTCCGGAGAGATGCCATGTACACAGTGCACATCAAAGGCTCATGTATGTGCTTTCGATCCTAGGACCGATCGCCGGCGCCGACGCGGAAGCCATTTCCTCGAATTATCCCAGCTTCATAGAGTCCTTCAAAGCATTGTGGCTCAATTACGACTTGGAACATCCGATGAAGTTAGAACGTTGGTATTGGCAATACGCAGCTTCAAAACAGACCGTGAAGCAATAAAATATCTTACCCAAATGAATGGATAGAGCTAGGAATTCATGATTCTTTTGAACCTATCATTCTGTCGGCAAGTGACTGTACTGGACTGGGCAGTCAAAAATATGGCATGTACGGTAGCAGGCTTGATGTTTTGGAATATATCTCTAGAATACACGGCCACTATGATAGACCAACAGCACACAGTGTTACGCCAGAACCACCTTGACGAAGGATACGCCTAGGCCCTATTCCCACAGCCTGTTGTACTCTAACAGCAGACTTATTGTAGATATCGAAACCTACAGACATCAGCAGCTGTTGAGGCCCTTAGTCGCCTTACAAATAACCGACGACGGGACAAAATGATCATTTGCCGATGGAATACCCCATTTAGTTGCTTTGAGCCAAAGAGACACCCTCACGAACGTTAACTAGCACATGTTGCACACGAGATTAGGGACCTTCCAGCAGGTCGCCGAGTTATTGGGGCCAGGTGGCCCTCCTCAACTGATTTGCAAAGCTCAACGACCATAGGAATACATGAAATTCCATGAGTTTTGCGTACACATAAGGTATTTTACGCCGCATGGTAATGTACCATGCATGGCGCGTTTTACTGTACCCCTCAACGCAATGCGAGTAGCTCAATAAATGATCCGCGCTAAGGCCTTGGGTGGTGGGGCCAGGAAGTAGATTCTCAGTGTATGTTGGTCAACGCGATTTCGAGATTGACTGTAGTATGGGCTGGCTTAGTTCCAGTACGTCCCGAAACTGACGCGACAACCTACACACTTCGAATCACTTTTTAGCACGCTGCCAAGACGCACTAGACTACATGGGGAATTCCTCCAGAGGGCCCCTGTAAGTTGCTGTGTATTTCTTCGTCCGTAAATTATTCAGTTGTTTCAAACATGTATTCGCTAGTCAATTCTATACAACTGGCACCTCACCCCTCTTGAAATAGCCTTCCTCGGGAGGCACACTGAACTAGCAATCACGAGTGGTCCAACCAAAGATGGCCCCAAACCTAGCTTCTTCCACGCATGAGCTAATCTATGATATGATCCATGGTGGCGAACTATCTATAACTGAGATGGCACGGGCAGCTGGCTGCCACAGGAGTTCCATCCTGAGGATTTCCTCTAACATACGAATATTTGGCAGCATCAAAGCACCGCTCAATGAAGGTGGTCGGCCGAGAAGCATCACTCCAGTGATGTTACAAGCTCTCTGTGATCGCCTGCTCGAAAAGCCCGACCTTTATCTTGACGAGATGGCTAACGGTTTTCCTGTGGGAAGAGTTCGCCATCCAACCAGCAAACTCGAGTATCATTCGCGCTCTTGCATCCAAAGCCTGGTCAAGAAAGACTGCCCGATTCAAGGCCCGAGAGCGCAATCTAGACTTAGTGTACGTTATGAATACTTTCACTTTATCTCAGACTTCGCGATATCAAAAATCTATATGCGTATGCTCAAGATGGTATCGTTCTTTCACGGGTATTCCGGGGCTTGACCGACGCCTTTGTCTTTGTGGACTTCATCGAGCAGCTTCTTCAGCCCTGCGGAGGATGGCCCGACCCGAAGTTTGTGATAGTTATGGAAACGCATCCTTTCATTACTCCGAGCGTAAACAACGCACGTGTTCAGAAGCTGGGGTAAAGCTGGTGTATTTACCTCCATATTCTCCGGGCTTGAATCCTATTGAACATTTCTTCGCTGAGCTCAGGACCTTCATCCGGCGCAATTGACAGTCTTACGCAAGAAATGCAGACCAAGTCTTTGGGACATTTCTCGAATGCTGTGTTGATATCGCTGGTGCAAGGGAAAGAAGTGCAGAGGGGCACTTTCGAAATGCAGGTTTGGCCGTGGAAAAGGTATAAGACAGCTACTATATTCACGTCATTCATTCAGCATAGATCAGAATCTTGTTATGGTCGACTGACAATGTTCCGAAAAGAGATATTTCGGTGGTGCGCTGGTAGACTATCAATCACGAGAGTTTCACTATCCCACCGTGCCCTGTGGTGGCAAGGTGGCTCTAAAGTTACGATGATATATTGCATACCTGGTGCCAACCTACCACACCGCTGGTACCTACCCGACCGGCGCGAAGAAATGTGACCCACTCATTCTGGTAGCGATACTGCTCTGCCAGGTACTAGCGCATTCTGTAAATCTACGTGTTTAATACTATGGGCTAGAATGTAGCGGGAGGGAGGAGAGAAAAAGGAGCATGTGTTTTCCTCAAACTAATGCTTTGATACGAAACTAGTTCGTATATACCTATAGCTCAGGCTAGACAACTACGAATATTTGGCCGCTTCATGAATGATTTCATGCAAAACTCAACGGTGAATACTACCAGCTCTTTGTCTACTCACGCCTCTCTTCTGTTCCGAGTACCGGCGCTCAAGACCAAATTCCTGGGTGTGAGTCTCGCCTGGGAAGCGGGGCGGTCCACCAAGACTCGCCAACACGGCTTTGTTATTGGCTGTCATGTCGTCAAGGACGCTGGTTTCGTCCCGAGAAAACCACTTAGGAATGATCCACACTCGGAATGGAATGAGTGCTATAATAAGGACGGGAAATCCTGAAAAGGGCAGAAGACGTCAATAATGATGCAGAAACTAAAATGAAAGGAATTACTTACCAATTGCAGCGATGGTTTCGGATATCGCGACACAGGCAGCGACCCCAATAAGCTGGCACGCGATCCATAGCATGACCTTGCGGCTGCGGACTTTCAAGAGAGGTTCGTCGCGCTGCACAAACCGGTCCTCCTGTATTAAATGGATAGCTTTGCGCATGATACCGCTGCTCCCGATGGATCCCCAGCCAACAATGAAAAAAACGCCGGCGAAAACGGCGGAAGGCATAGTGTGGAGGACGATCAGAATAGGCCCCGTCATAGTACCAATGATAGCTAGCCCCATGACAAAATGTGATATGCGCTGTTCAACAACTGCAGTTGCACTGATGACAGGGCGGCGGATCTCGGACTCTTCGCCTTCCTCAGTTGGTATAAGTCGAAGTTGAGTGTGATAGACGGTCAAGGAGTCAGTATGCACAGGCGCCTGAGTCAGAATGTTAGAGTACACAAAGTGGATTTGAATGAAATCGATAGGCTATCTTACCTGTGGGACTAGTCCATTAGGAAAAGGGATTCCAATGATCCCGGAAACGAATGTGGTGCAACCGAGAAGAAAAAAGTCCCAATGAAAACCAGCCGGCTTTCTCAGAGGGAATTGTCGAGCCTGAGCCGTTAGGCTACTGACATTCTGTGACTGGATTAACACCACCGTCAAGACAGGTGTGATTGGAAAGAATCCGTACATGATCAAAATAGAATAGCAACATGATCAAGAATCCAAAAGGAAGCGCTGCGAACACCCACTTGGTATCCAATTCCCAAAATTGAATCAGCCAGTTTCGTGGCTGTGTGGGGTAAAAGGCTTTGCTGATGGGTACACGAGTGACATCTGCAGATTGGAGCGGTCCAGGGATATGCGAGAACCCGACCCAGAATACTGTACCAATCTAATAGCAACTCATTAGCGACTGCGTATGTGGAAACCTAGAATTTTTGATACATACCACGTACGCGTAATCAGCCAGCAAACCCCGAAAGCCGGGCCTCCAAACGGTGCTGGAACCGATGGCTTCTAAGCTGTAAATGGTCAAGAAATACAGAATAGCCACCATGCAGCTCATGAATCCAGCGATGTGCCCTTTAGTTGTGAACTCGCTGATTAGCTCCTCCACGCCCTTGCCTAAAATCTGGGTTAATGAACTTTCTTGCCGGAAGTGATATGATCGCGCAGATACTGACTGATATAGATGGTCCCGACATAGAAACCAAACGTTTCACTTGAGAAATCTGTCACATATCTCATGTAGTCACACATGTTGCAGAGCGCAACAATCCAATGGAAAATAGCTCCCCAGATTCCCACCCAACACATGAATTCAGGGAAAATGGAGGGTTCATAAAGCTTGACGATGTCATATATGGTGTAATTGAATAAAGAGATCAGTCCAGTTATGCCGACAATGGTTAGAGGCTGTACTGCAAAGACGCTGAATACCATCGCCGCCAAAGCAGACGAGAAAAGGGATTCATTGATGCCATAAAACTGCCCAGTTCTCCGATTCATATCCAGAGTATAGGCTATGGCTGGAAGCATACTAAACGTTCAGTTATTAGCATCACATTCGACTGCAGGCTTATGCCAACCTACTTCACGAAGTACATGCGAATGATACTGGCGACGGTTCTGTACGTCCACGCGTCGCGAATGTCACTGAAGTAATAAGGCAGGCGTCTCCGGACATCATGATACATCCCTCTTCCAATTCGAAGAATTCGAACGCTTTTCCATCCACTAATGCCATCATAAGTATAGGATACCGCAGACCTTTCTCTCTCAATGGGTGGTGAAACCGTATCAGCGCCGTCGGAATTGGACGGCATGATTTGAAGTGTTGCAAGGAGGAAAGTTGGTTTTCGAAGGTAGAAAGAAAGTCACTGGCCACGGAAAGGGGCAGAGGGGTAATTTATAATTTCGCCATAGTCAAGCTCCACTGGGTGTATTAGTTGCTGGTTCAGTCTGATTGCCCAACCCCAAACAAGAATGCACTTAACCAATTTCTACCGAGTCTCCATCGATATCTTCGCCTCTGCGCATCTTCAACTTAGAAAGTGGTATTTACCTTTCGGCCCAATTACTGATATGTAAAGTGCCCTCGGGTCTGTGCATAGTACTGATCATATAGAAGACGTTAGGGCTCAATAGGCCATTTTCCACAGTGCAAAGATCCGTTGTGTCATCATGATCGGTGCCAAGCTTGAACCGCGCAATTGCTGAGTCAGCAGTTTCTGCCCGGGCAGAATCGACTGCCTTTGCGTGAACAGAGCCACAGACTGTATTTTCCAAACCCTGGACGATGCATTCGCTTGCACACCATCCGGTCGTAGCAAAATTGTCGGAACTATTCCAAAATGCGGACTTTGTTACTCAGCTTGCATCTACCTTGGACTCTTTCAGCAAGCAGGATGAAGGAGTCTGCTTGCGTATTGATGCCGTCGTATGCTCTTCGGATCATGCCCAGTCGACCGTCACCAGGCCGACTAACGAGTCCCTGTCACTCGTACGAAGCACGATAAACACCATGTAATGACTGTTGTTAACTTGAAACTAGGGATGGTTGAGCATGAAGGAAGGTTGTGTCCCTGCGATGATGCCCGGGCAGGTTACTTATTCGAAGTCTCCGGTCAAAGTGGGTTCCTTGTGCCTATGCGAATCCCCCATCAAATTGAATCCATTTGCTAAGCTTTAGAGAATAGTCCAGCATCGACGTACAGTCTGGTCGTGAAAGCTGTCCAGTCACGGCCCCATCCATATCCCGGACCATCCATGAGAGACCAAGGCACAAGACCGTCAGCGGGCTGCGACCGTCAAAATCGCAAGCAATAGCTCTGGCGATGGAAGATGTTGAATCTGATAACGATGATGCGGTGGCCGAGGATTGTCTGAAATCGTCCAATGCGACCGCGCCGCCGGTCCGTCAGTTTCACTGTGATACTCGCTTCCCTCAACGCAAAAGAACTGCGAATGATTTAGCAACCCCAAAGTTGCAGCCTTCATCTATAGATAAATTTATTTTGGGAATATGGCGACAGGTACACTCTCCAATCACATTAAGTGTGTCATTTCCGGTGAGTATCTTGCCAGCAAAATAGCTCAGTATGTCTGCCAATGCTGACGATTGTACAGGACCGAAGGCCAGAATTTAGTCTCCGCACTGGTATCAGTCAGGAAGTATGTGCGGCATTTTCCTTATCATGGGGATCGGGAACCGAGTGATCTAATGAGACCAATTCGAGTCTTAGGTTTTCCGAGCCATTAATAGCCTGTGCAGAACATATTGTGACCAAAGCCGTTCGTCGCGGGCTCTGGAAATGATCATTCAATCATATTGGGTGGAATGCTTCCAAGCACGAATTGCATCGATCCGTATCGAACACCCAGAGTGTACGAATGTCGAAGCTCGAATGATAGCGCTGAAAGAGGCCTGCAGCACGCTCGGCTGGCAGGAAAAAGAGCTCAGAAACAGGATGTAAGTCGCTCTTTCGTATATTGCTTGCTTCGTCCCATCCCCTTCTTTCTTTTCTCCTCTTCAACATCATTGCTAATAGTAACCGAGGGCGGTGTGGCGTGGCTACAAAGAAGTTAAGGATTCGGGGGCTGGGCTTGTCTGATCTTTGCCGGGGCCGGTGTTTATCGCTTGTGCAAGTATAGGATTGGTTTTGATAATGGACTCACAACTCGGTTGCGCCACCTTGCACCCAGTCTCGAAGTCGCCGCAGATACTCTCCATCCCGGTTGGCGAGATCTCCTTCGAGTTGTAGACCAGAGTGGCCCCCGCCGATACACTGGTCACCCTCATGAATGGGTTACAGTCGATACCGGGCCAGCGTTGCCACTTCAAGATACTTACTCACATCTACCATTACCAAATGGCTTCGCGTATCAATTCGTTGAAGACTGTGTGATCGACCAGGACGTGTTTGGTTCGGAGGACCCTCGACGCGACCCAGGGTTAGACCCCGACCTGTGTCAAATATGCAAGGAAAAACAGTCGGATAATGCGACTTCCAACTGTTGTTCCTGCTTTCCAAATATATTTGGCTGTGTTCGTTGTCCCTCCCCGGTGCAAATATTTCACACGGCTACTGGAAAGAATAATGGAGTGGTTGCCCGCTGCGTATGTTTTTTGAAACCCCCTTCCTTGTTCAATCGCCTTCGTTCCCGTCTCTGGTGTGCATACTGATGCTTGGAAGCCATTTGAACGAGGCATGGCTATTGCAGAATTCGTTGGTTTCATCACTCTCGGAATTGATGGTCTGGATGTGATGGCCGGCGGAACACCAGAACGACCCTATCAAATTTTCCAAGGCAACCTAGGTAATTTCACTCGTTTCATTAATCATTCATGCCGACCCAACTGCCAATTCCAGAGATTCTATTGGTGTGGGGTGGAACGTGTGATCGTGGTTTCTCGCGGAGTTGAGGCTGGCAGTGAGATAACGGTGGACTATTCAGATTTCTACTGGAGAGAATTGAAAAAAAATTGTCTTTGCGGCGAGCCGGGCTGTCGCTTTGCCCATCAAGGCGAGATTGGGCTGTGAGTCAATCCGAATATAATGTCCTCGACTGAAGTACTACGCAGCTTCTTGGACAGAGCGAATTACATTCTTACGAGATGTCCGTCGTGGGAAATTTCGGCATCCTGGATCTGCTTTTACACGTTTCCCCTAGCGGCGTGGCATTGGAGTTTGACTGGGGCTCTTCTATACTCTGGTACAAATATTAGAAGAGGGGTCGGGCATGGGAAAGGAAAAAGCGGAAATCCGCTCCTGTAAAGAGTCAAAATATTATGTATTGAGGAGCTGGGGATACCGCGTTGAGCCGTTTTGAAGAATCAGCAGTTTGGCAGCACTGCAAGCAATGCGGGTCAGCAACAGGAGAATACTCTAATTTTTTGACCGGAGATTAAGTACTTAACCAGCAATGTTGCGTCCGCAATTGTGTTATCCTAGAACCAGGACACCAGGTGATACGAAATTCGGACATTTCATTCTGGGGTCAGCTGGCGAAAGTAAGTAGTTTGCCGTATAGCAATATTCGACATCAGTTTACCCCATACACTCACCAAATTAATGTGGTGTTACTGTACCTCCGCAAAAAAAGAGAAAAAACCCTTGCATACAGAAACACGTATGAAAATATTTGACACAATAGATCCACAATCAGTACTAATACAGTATAAATACAATGACCATCAAATGTACATAAATACAGTACCAGCAAGTGTTTTCTTCACTTTCCAACCCGTCACAAACAAAACGGTCTTGCGCAATGTCCCGCATCTTCACGGACCAGAGACCGCGATATGATGTTACCGATAAGAGGAACTTTTCATAAACAATTATCTGTGGGCCATATATTTTGGCATCAAATGATAGATCTATCTGGTACTCGGTAAGCCTAGTCCGTGTTTATGGGCGGAGACATCTTCATGAACGCCATTGTTTAAACATATTCTGATGGGTCTCGAGCCACACGCACCACACGCCCGTGTGAAGAACACAGTTAACTGAGCTGCCCCTCAGATGAAGACGAGATTTCGAATCGCTTCTTTATTTCCAGATAAGCACTTTGAACACTGTCCCAAAAATGGCACCCCCGTCTATGCGTGATGAGTACGCCGAGCTCATGAAGGGCGACAGCGACGGCCACTTCCTTACGAGGGCCAAGTAATTTTGGTAAAATTACGTGGGGCCGGCTAATATTTAGTCAATTCGGCACCAACGCGGGCAGGCGAATCGGCCAATCAGAGGCCGTCCTAGCGCTGGGGTTGTTGCCGAAATATAGGGCATCGCCGGAAAAGCTGTCCTAGTATTACTGGGAATAGTGCACTCTAATATTATTGATGGTTGTTGAAATATATATATGTATGTTGGGTGGAAAGGGGGGGTGGACTGTTCGGCTCATATGTGAGTTCCGTTAATCCAACATTTGCATTACCTCAGCCCCACCAAGGTCATAACTAGGCTGCCCAGACCACCCAAACTGTGAAAGTCGCCACAGGGGCCTCCCCACCCCAAGAGGTGCAGAATATTTAACGACCGGCGTTCGTTGTTTTTGCAATATCGTCACTCACAAAGTTGAAAGAAACGCTCCAGAATGGCCAATGGATTTCTGCCATACCACGAACCCGGAAGTTTGTACCCAAGCTCTATCTCAACCGAACGCTGCTCACTCCCCGTTGAACAATCACAGTCGTCGAGATTCTCATCATCGTTTCTTTCTTCTTCTTCCTTTCTCTTGCGAAATGGGTCTCCGCGAAGATCTTTCAAGCCGGCATTATAGGTCAAATCGCTGTCGGCATCATCTACGGTGTACCGTTGGCCGATATCCTTGAACGTAACTGGCAGGAGACGTTTCTCGCTCTCGGATATGTTGGTCTGATTCTGATAATTTTTGAAGGTAGGTGGAAAACACTTTCATCGGCTTCGGTGTGGACACTGATGTCATCTATTCTAGGCGGTCTTGGCGCTCGTGTGGATCTACTCAAGCAGAATTTCACTTTGAGTATGGTTGGCGCCACAACTGGGGTTTGTTTTCCCATTGGTCTCTCATATCTTTTGCTCTACCTTGGTTTTGGATATGGTTTGTTTTCCTTGTCTGGTAATCATCGATCCCTGTAAACAAGCTAACATGGGCAGGTCCGGTCGAGACATTCATCATCGGTGCTGCTCTTTCCGCCACGTCACTAGGTAAGCAATTTCATTCATTTCTATTTAAAAAGTTGACTGCACTTTGTCTAGTTAGATCGCTGATGCGTACCAGGAACCACTTTTGCTGTGATCAGTTCTGCGTCAAGCTCGATCAGTCTCTCACAGACTCGAGTAGGATCCGTTCTCGTGAGCGCAGCTGTCATAGATGACGTGGTAGGACTTGTTATGCTGAGGTATGTTGCTTGTTGAAACGAGGTACCATTAATGCATTTAACTGATTAACTCCATAGTGTCATTGGCGACTTGGGTAAACTTTCGGGAGAAACGAACGTCAATCTCGGCTGGCTCATTGGGCGTCCGATAGTGGCATCGATAGCCATGGCTATCTTAACACCAATTTTCACCAAGTGGGTATTTGCGCCTTTTTTCCGAAAGTTTGTCGAACACCATTTCGCGCGGTTTGACCATATCTCCAACATCATTCTCATGACCCTTGTTCTTGCGGCTTTTATTAGCATCGCTGGCTTTACTGGTACATCTGTCCTATTTGGAGCGTTCTTGGCGGGCGTATTTCTCACGTACCTTCCAAGCAAGCGCCCGGAAGGACCATTCGTTGTCATGAGCCGTGAGGAGGGCGAGCGCGAAGCGGACAAGAGTCCTACATTCATTCACACATTTGAGAAATATTTGTTGGGTCCTCAGGAGTATCTGATGGAGCCTTTGTTCTTCTCAAGCGTCGGATTCGCGATTCCGTTCTTGCAACTGTGGACTGGAGAGCGAATTTGGAGAGGAGTGGTTTACACGCTCCTTATGGCATTTGCAAAAGTAAGCAGATACTCGTAGAAGTTGTTAATGATCGAGCTAACAAGTTCAAAATAGTGTATTGTTGGGATCTGGATACCTGTATGGCAAGTTGTTGCAAGGTGTAAACCCTGCCACAGAAAAGAAATACGTGCGCAGCAGCTGAACCAGGGACTGCCCAAAAGGAATGAGGGGGGAAGGATCGCGATGAAGAACAAACCGAGCAGGGAGAGAGGAGAAGTTGGAATCGTGTCTGGCTCGCCGCGGTACTCTTAGGGTCTGCTATGGTAGCGCGCGGTGAAATCGGCCTATTGATCATCGAAATCGGACATAACGAAACTCCGTACGTCAGTGATGAGGGTTTCATCACTGGTGTCTGGGCCATTCTTTTGAATACGATCATTGGTCCTGTTATCGTCGGTCTCCTGGTTCGATTCCACGCGAAAAAAATAGGGGAGGGGGAGTGGGGACTACAGGATTCTTTGTCCGTTCCTAGCCAGGAGACCGGCCACAGAGCAGTATAATTGTTTCGGATCAAGATGATACACCGCATAGGGAGGTACTGCTGTACACAGCATGTGGATCCGCCATAGGTTTATTGGCACACCTCGGGCATATTTGGTGAATAAATTAAATGACGCCTGCAAGTGCATGAAGACTACCAGCAAAACAAGAAATAATACATCGCCAATATTCACTAGTAGCCATTTCTGCCAAATAATGCATTAGTGGCTTTCAATGAATTTTGCTTCTTCTTACGTGGACTTTTACATTCCGTCAGATTACCATGGTAGAATAATTCGATGACCTTTAATCTGTTTCATGCGATCTGTTTCGAAGATGGGCGAAAGACCAGCCCAGGAGGCAGTGAGTGGCCCAGCCCTCAACAATCTTTTCCAATAGCAGCCTCAAAGTTTTAGCTTTGGCATCATTCCGTTGAGTTGTATCCATAATGTGTGCGCTATGTCCAGGTGAGGGTGTGTTCCCTGGCCAATTTCTCAATATCGGACCAGGGAAAGCCTTCGTTAGGGTCGCTCCGGGACGTCTCTGGAAGAAGTCAAAACCGGACTTTTCTTAGCTTTGATGCGGAAAAAGACCCGCTTGGCCCATTTCCAGGCTTCAACGCCGATGAAGAATAGAACAGCCTCGACCGCCACAATGCCCCATTCCCATGTTATGGGCTTGTGCTTGAAGACAACATCGTTCAGCACGGGGATGTAGAGGATAGGAAACATGGTGATCCACCCAGCCATGATAGACCAGAAAAGAAACTTGTTCCTCCAGACATCGTACATCCACTGGGTGAAGTATTTCTTGGATTTTGGTTGCATGCGGAAGAATGACCGACGCATGTTAACCATTTCCCAAGCCAGGAATAACGCAAACCATGTCAAACACACGAACGTAGTGGCTCGTGCTCGGAAGACGAGTTCGCAGTCTTTGATATCTTCTGACCACTCTTTGTTGCAGCCACGGGCGAGGTTACCATCGCCAAAACCCCACATGCGTACAGAGAATGCCGCCAGACAAAGCGCTGCGGTCCAGACGCCATACACAAGAATGTCAATCACCACCTCCCAGGTGAATATGCCTTGCTTACTCTGGGGAGGGCGATCCATAATGTCAGGCGCAGCCACCTCCATGCCAAGGCCCATGTCTGGCATACCCGAGGTAATCATAATAATCCAGAGGATTTCCACCGGTGAAAGAGGGAAGACAGATTGGTTATCAGCGTCTTTGAAAGCCAATCCAATGAGTAAGGTACAGGCCTGGGCGATGTTTTCGGACAACAGATGAAGCACGAATTTCTGGATGTTATCGAAGATGCGACGACCCTCCTCGACAGCATTCAGAATCGAAGCAAAGTTATCATCCGTCAAGATAATATCAGAGGCGTCTTTGGCCACATCCGAGCCCGCCTGTCCCATAGCAATACCCACATCGGCATGCTTGAGCGAAGGAGAGTCATTTACGCCATCGCCAGTCATGGCCGCAAAACGACCACGCCGATGAAGGGCGTCAATCATGCGCACCTTTGTTTGAGGGGCACAGCGTGCGATTACCAAAGGCAGGGTGGGAAGAGCATCTACCTGCTCATCAGTTAGTTTGTCGAATTGACTGGCAGTCATGACCATAGCGTCCGCGACATCAGCCGCCACAGTACTGAAATCAACGGGAAGGATTCCCACTTGCTGCGCAATCGCTTTGGCAGTGCCGGGGTGATCTCCAGTGACCATGTGGACAATTATACCAGCTCGGTAGCAGGCCTGAATGGAGTCTGCAGTCTCAGGGCGAGGAGGATCATACAGCCCGATGAGTCCCAGGAAGCACAGATCATTCTCTACATCCTCACGTTCCAGGTCGGAATCTTCGAGCAGTTGTGTCTGACTAGTATATGGTCGATGGGCCAGAGCCAATACCCGGAGTCCCAGTTTGGCAAGTTCCTCCATGTTCTGAAAGATTTGTTTGCGGTGGTCATCAGACATTGGGACGGGGGTAGACGAATCTGGGTCCCAAATCACCGAAGTGCACGAATCAGCGATGCGCTCGACAGCACCCTTAGTAAATACCATTGTACAGTCCTCTTCTGGAGAAACTTTACTGAAAATCACGGACATTTTCTTGACTGTCGAGTCGAATGGAAATTCAGCCTTTTGGTGCCAAACTGGTTTCTGGCCCTTAGTCCAGCGGTCACGGTTCCAGTTGAACCTCGATGCAAAGACTTGAATAGCAATTTCTGTAGGTTCACCCCGTGCGTTCCATTCGCCCTCTTCGGACCTGTGCACATGAGAGAGGTTGGCCATAGATGCGACGTTCAGAAAGTCCTCGAGCTGGCGGTTTCCCAAGACTAGGCCTTCTGGGTTTCCCGCAGCTGGACCTTCTTTCTCGTTATCAAATTGCGAAGGAGATACTGGGGTGAAGGTAACATCTCCAACAGTAGGATTAAAAGGCTCGTTGGATGAGCCAACGGAGTATGTCCCCCGAGACGGAATCCATGCTTTCTTGACGACCATCTTGCCCTGGGTCAATGTTCCAGTCTTATCGGAGCAGATGTCAGTAACGGCACCAAGTGCTTCCAACGAGTCCAACTTGCGAACAATTACGTTCCGCTGGACCATGCGCTTGGTACCCACTGCCATAGTGATTGTGAGCACGACCACCAGACACGCCGGAATCATACTGATACCGGTTGCAACTGCGTACATGATAACTTCAGTATTACTGCTGAAGAGGTTTGCCGCCATGCACACAATGGCAAAAACAACAGCAACTCCAAACAGTAAACATGCCAATTTTGACAGCTTCCTTTGTAAGGGTGTACCGATATTGACACCGAGAAATCGACCCACGGCATCCGTCCCGGTGAGAGTCCACGCCTGGACGTACCATCGCCTTTTGGCCTCACCGTTGGGCCCACGCTTGACGGGGCGACGCTTGCTGCCGCTGGCCCGCAATGCGAGAGCAATGGAGCCGATCTCGGTGGACATTCCAGTACTGACGACGACACCACGACCACGACCACGAGTGACCGTGCTCGAGCTATAAGCAATATTGAGACGGTCCCCAGGGCCAGTGTCCTCTTTGAAAGTCGAGCCACATTCCTTCTGGACAGGAAGAGACTCGCCGGTAAGGAGTGCCTCGTCGGTCTCGAAATTGACTGCTTCAACCAGACTAGTACGGTTAGTAAAATAATAGACTGCCTCGGCAACTTTGAAGGCGCAGGTGCATCGTAACAGTAGACTCACCGAATATCCGCTGGAATGGTATCCCCTGTCCTCAGCTCGACCATGTCACCCGGCACGATTTCCGACGACGGTACCGAGAACGTCTGTCCGCCTCTTGTGACAGTCCCTGTAGGCGACGACAGCGAATGTAAAGACTCCATGGTCTTTTCCGCGGCGTACTCCTGAAAGAACCCAACGACGATATTCAAGATAATGACAGCACAGATCACTCCGCCCTCAATCCATGACTGAATTCCGAAACTGACCGCCATGGCCAGAATCAGCACCTGCAATAAACGGACTGGATCAGATTCGGAAAGTTCTCAACAAATTCCAAGATACAGTCGCAAAGAATAGTGGTGCTCTTACTAGCATCATTGCATTAGCCACCTGGCGCACGAAAATCTTAACCACCGATACGCCTTCGCCTTCGTCCAGTTTATTGGGACCATATTGCTCGAGACGACGACAAGCTTCGTCAGGGGCCAGTCCTTCGTCCAGTTCAGTGTTGAGTTCCTTGATCACGGCTTCACAAGTCAGTGAGTGAGCCGGCCGGCTCAATGGGCTGCCACCAGACCCGTGGTCGGGAGCGATGTCCTGCTTCTCTGACATTAGAGATTGTGCTTGGGTGAGAGCTTAGCTGTAGCTGAGATGACAACGGAGCCGTCTGCCCGTCCGTCTTTTTCAGCGAAACCACTGGCTTAGGAGAGTTTAAAAGAATATAGCTCTGTGCGGGGAGCAGGGGTTTTCTTCAGGTCCAAGCTAACACTGACACCTGAGTTCTGCTCACGTGAGGAGTCGAAGTGGACGCGAGCGTCCAAGCGCATCACAGCACATAGGTCGCCACATAGGTCGCCACCCGCGCTGGAGGGTTCGCAGGAGGCCGTCATTGGATGAGACGAGGTTTTGGCCTTGGCGCCAAGAATTCCGCCGAAACCGAGTACTTTACCCAGATCCACACGACAACGATTAGCTAATCAAACAGAATAGGTTAGTTAACTGAATCCGGCCCCCAAATTCTGGGCAGGACGGATCCAATGACAGCAATGTTGCCAAGGATATTCATGTGCCAAGACTGAGGCGGTCAGATTCCACCATTGTTTTCATCTCCGTCGCAACTGGTTGGGGCTGCATGATCAGTCAGCTCCCCGGCCATACTCTACGCTTGGATTCGTCGGACAGGAAAAGGGGACTGGGACGGTGGAGATATTCCAGATGATGACCGAATTCCTTAGCGGTGCCACGATTTTTATGTTGGACACCGCCAAGGGCAAAGGTCAAAGTGAATTTGGAGACATATCATGTCCTCCTTCGGGTCAGCCATTTATGGGGCAGAGAGCAACAAATAAGAATCCACGTACAGCCTGCCAAGCCTGCTCCGCCTTGTTTGCCAAGCGCTTGGAAGGGATTGCCAAGCCTTCCAGGCTTGGGCCGAGTTCTGAGCTTTGGCCACTATGAAATGGTTACGTCAGTGCGTTGCTTGCGGAGGTAGCAAAAAACCGCAGGCAACGCACGAATTGATTTAACTATCATGCGGCAGCTCCCTTAAAATCCGGAAGTAACGAACAGCAAAGAGGTAACTGAATCCCAATCTTATCAATTCTGCATTATGTCTTCGATATTTTGACAGTTTATTTGTCGAACAGCCAGACCGCAACTCCGGCCGGTCGGCGACGCAAGTAAAAATGGCTGAGCGTCTCCAAAAGTTGCTGAACTCAGTATCCTGGCTTTTCACTTTCTTCGCCGTTGAAAAACGACACGAATCCATTAGCGACAATGCTCTCAATTATGCGCCCATAGCTCAAAGTCAAACCGATCCCGAAGTGGAACTAGAGGCGAACAGAGGCATGTTTCCACCCTCAACGAACATAACCAAAAACCGCAGTTCTGGAAATGGAAAGTTCACACTCGAGAATGGAAAGCACGACCACTTCCACGAACCGCCCACGTCAAAAGAGCGGCACGTTGGAAAGAATAAAAAGGCAATAAATGCAAGCTGGTTATCTTCTAAAATAAAATTTACAACGTCTGGAAGAGCTTGCTCACGACCGCTGGTGGAGTTGGAATGGGAGAGATGGATCAAGAGTCTTTCTCAAACCGGAGCCACTGCAGGTAAAAACATGGCACTCGTGTCTCAGAAGTATGGCGAATGCTGCGATGTGATCGGTCACGGCTCCTCTGGAGTTATCCTACTGTCGCACAAGGTCCAAGAATGGCACCCGAACATTGATTCCTTTTACGCAATCAAGGTCTTCCGCCGCGGGACGGACACCTGCGAATCGGCTTATAAGAGGCGTATTGATGCAGAGTTTTCCATATCTTCTTCATTGAGGCACCAAAATGTGGTTCGGACATTCGATCTATTCCAAATTGGCAGTGGCAGCCTTTGTGAGTGCTTGGAGTATTGCTCTGGTGGGGATCTACATTCATTGGTGGTCATGAGAGGCCAGCTGGAGCAGAATGAGGCCGACTGCTTCTTCAAACAGCTTATGCGTGGTGTCAACTACCTGCACGAAATGGGAATCGCTCATCGCGACTTGAAACCAGAAAACCTTCTTCTCACATCAAATGGTTGCATCAAAATATCGGATTTCGGGACGGCAGAATGTTTCCGTCTTGCTTGGGAGAGTGATATACACATGTCAAGAACACGTCGCGGTTCACGCCCTTACGTATCACCGGAGCAGTATCTCAGCAAGGAATTTGATCCAAGATCAGTCGACATCTGGGCTGCGGCTATGACCTACGTTGCGATGAGAACTGGCAGGATCCTGTGGAAGATAGCGACTGATGTCGACGAGAATTTCAGAGACTACGTCGCGGACCGCAGGATTGGGAGAGGTTACTTCCTTATTGAGGATATATGCCATGTTAAGTACCTGGCCTCCTGACTTAACCGGTTGGATTGCTAATTTCGCAATCATAGATGGCAAGCCGCTGGGTCATATATTCTATGCTAGATATTGACCACATAAGTCGTCCCAGGTCAAATGAGGTTCTTCGTTCTCAATGGTTGCAGGAGATTGAAACATGTACAGATGACGACTCTAAACCAGTTTAGCGAGATACTGTCAATAGACCTCTTATCCTATTTTATTTTCGACATGGCATTAGTCGGATTTCCCAGAGTCGCTGCATGGAATCGCCATTAGTTGCACGGATAATTTTTACCATCCCTTGAAAATAGTCTTCAGAAGCTCGTCCACAAACAGGACTGGAAATCTAGGCGCAAGTTTGAATCTCTTTTCTGTGGCCTCGGATGATCGCCAATATGTGGGCGTAAGGGAATATTTTCGTGAGTTGGAATCTCAAGAAGCCAGTCTATTGGTGTCGAGCTGATCAAAATCACGCTGAGCTATTTTGAAATGATTTCTAGCTATCTCCATGCCCCAGCGCATGAGAGCCCATCCGAGACGAAGACAGCATTGCAAATCACAACTCAGTTGCTACAGCACAAATACATATAAGTATTTTGAACGGCTCAGGAGAGGGTTTTTCTCAGCATTAAGTATCCCTGATCAAGTGACGCTGCTCACAGTCTATATGCCTTTAATTCGATCGTCGTTTGAGTCATACATAAGAAATGGAATATCCATAATATTCAGAAGCAACGTGGCCGGTCAGAAGCGGTTACTGGGAAACCACCGTCAAGGAAAAGATCACCGAGTTCATTACTGCTTAGATGCCTGGCAGAATCGTGTGCATAACCGAGTCAGAATGAACGGTCAACTTCAGAATGAGCGGTCAACCTATGAGTATAAGACCCCTCTCCTAGAGATCGATATGCTTTAGTTCTTCAAGCGTTAATTCTTAAGTTTACGGGAATACACGCATTATATCCTAAGCCTCTCTTGCCTACCACCTAGTCATCCGGCGCCAACCAACCTGGCTTATTCCTCTACAACCACATATGAATTATTATCATCCTGATCCCCCTACCCAGGTGTTCAAGGTAGAGGTTGAGTCAAAATCCCTACATATCCAACAGCAGCAGTATCCCCTAGCCCGGGATGCAGATGAATACCTCCCGTTTGATACATGGAAGTGGTGTCGGACACAGCTCCTGGATATTGGATTTGATCCCCTTGATCCACCGCCACGAGGTCCCCAATTGGATTATTTTAATCAACATTACTGGGTTGAACTACGAGAGCAAGCAGTGGCGGTGAATCTATGAGGCGACAGCAGTCGCGCACCGTGTCGCAGTCCCGGGATGCTGGTCTGTCGACGAGCTTGCAGTCCCACGACTGGCTGCCCCTGCAGCCTGCAGCAAACGGCAGTGCCGTGGTGCAGCGGTCGTCTACCATCCGGTCCGATCAATAAGCATCGTTTATCATACGCTTGCTTCCATTGTTGTATTTATTGTTTTGACGTTACTTGAACTTATGTATGCTGTCATCGGTCACCACAGTGAAAGTCGAAGACAGATTCCCCTTCGGTGACTCAAATATTCTTCCGCAGAACGTAACTTATTTCCTTTACAATTGGTGTGAATCTTACCGGAAATCCCAGTCCGGATTAGTCGGGTGTCGGGTACGAGACAAGAAACAACGCGAGTCTCCACGGAAATCTGTTTTCGACTCTCTCTGTAACCTGATGAAGCAATGTCCGTGGTCTATTGCGTGGTGCTTCCCAGTTTGGCTTAAGTGGCTATTACATATGATCCTTGGAAGGCCCACTTGCTAATTAGAAGTGCCAGCGGCACTCCCAGGTGCGTATGGAAGCCCCTCAAAATCCCTGAGAAGTTCCTGGTAGCCGTATGGGCACCGAAATCAGTGCAGATATTCCCAGCCATAATCCCATTCCAGTTTGCTCAGCCTGATCTCATCTTTGACTGTTGGCCCAACTAGTCTATTTGTTGAGATTCTCCCTTTCTTTGCCTTTCATGCGCTTCAGTCCCAGTTCCGGCGGGTCAGCGAAATATTTAAAAGCAGCCCCAAACGTTACGGGATGAGTCCAGCCCTCCCTTTTCACAAGCCCATCAATACTAGAAAAAAATCCTGGACATCGTTCCAACCCTCTGCGACAACAAGATGGCTTCTCGACATTTCTCAGGCAGAATTTCCACCTGCTGAGTAATTATCTCTGAGAATCCCCCGGATCGTCTACGGTTTCACATTGTGTCATTGTTGATGTTCCGCTTCAAAGTTGGAAACCGGTGCCAGGGCTGCTACCATATACAATGATCAGAGCAAGAAACAATATGCACCCATCCAAGAGAACTCCATCGCACCTGAAGATGTTTATCTTCAATACGGAACCCAGTAAGAATATTTATCGGCCCACAGCCCCGTACCAACACAAACCCAGGATAGCACCAATAACAATAGACACAGCCGGAGGCACCTTAAACCACGCATTTCCGGCACAGGAGATGTAGTGACAACCACCCACCATGGCTCTCTAGCAAGACTCCGTCCAGCGCTATTCTGGGATGTCAAATAACCCATCTCCCACAACCGGTAGACAGCCGTAAACACCAACCCCATTGCAGTAGCACCTTGGGACGAATCGTTCCCTTGGGAATGGCAGCTAAGCACCGGTCAGCACACACCGAGTGAGCGCTGATGCCTCGAACCTAAGTTAAGCGCCTTTAAGGCCGTGGCGTGATCTGATACCGTTAGACGTGGAATTCGCCGTCAAGGATTCCCCAGATTATAAAGTCGCCTTAACCCCCGCAAGGCTAACCAGAACACGAAAGTGACCAGCTGCCCAAGTGAACAACTATCCTATCTGCTGGTTCCAATCTCCTAGAACACAATAATTTCATAATTTTACCCTACGGCCGAGTATGCGGAAGACCAACCTTTGGCACGAACGATTCTCGCCACCATGTTCTTAGCCGTGGGTTCCAACTTGGCATTGCGATCGGCTTGCTAAACAGCGGTGCTACATTCCATTTGAAGCGCCGATCTCTTAATACGCCTATTCTTCTCCGCTCAGCGGGTACTGGGGGTCTCATCGTGACCGGCATGGCGGGAGTTTGCCTCATCGCTCGGATGTGGGGCCGAGAGGAGATCGACTGGAAAGATCGCAGTTGGCGCTTACGGTATAACTCCGGCCAGGTGGCTATTGATAACTGGAGTGAGCCAACTGCGGCTATTGGGGTGCTTGCCGTGGCTTCACGGGGATTGTCGGGATCAGGAGCAGGGAATTGGCGTGGGCTTGTTAGCGGTGCTGGTATTGGATCATTGGTTGGGTTTGGTTGGGTGTCTGTATAACACGTCTTTTGGCATCATAAATAGGGGGATTCCAAATCGGAGGCTGTTACGTGTACTTCTGTGGCTGGTATATCTCACCGTGGACCTAGGAACTGTGGAAAGAGATTTTGTGATGGCCCTTGCTGTAGTAAATCACGCGATTTCTCGTATCCCGTGAACCCCGCAACTAACCGGTTCTAGAAGGTAAAATATGAACGTGTCATCCAGACTCCATAGTGTCTTGATGCTCACTTCGTCTTACTCGAGAAACAGTAAGCTACAAGCATATTTGGACTAAGGCGCTATTCTTCCCCCGTCCTATATACTGTTCACATATTGCTTTTAGCACGCCACCACTAGCCTAATATCCGTCGGCAAACTCACCACCTGCCTCTGGTTCGACGGCCGGGCCGAAGAAGCCGCCGCGTTCTACACATCTATATTTAAGGACTCCAAAATCACCGGACGCCACTATTACACCGAAGCGGGCAAGGAGTTCCATGGCCGCGAGCCGGGCAGTCTCATGACCATCGAGTTTGAGCTCAACGATCAGAAGTTCGTCGGCCTTAATGGTGGGCCCAAATTCCTGTTCACCGCGGCAATCTCTATCATGGTCAATTGCAAGGATCAAAGCGAGATCGACTACTACTGGAATAAGCTCGGTGAGAGTGGAGATGAGAGCAAGAGGCAGTGCGGGTGGCTCGTGGACAAGTTCGGCCTGTCGTGGCAGATCATCCCTAACGAGCTCCACAGGATACTAGACAGTCCAGAGATAGAGAAGCGGGACCGTGCGTATACTGTCATGATGCATATGCAGAAGTTCGACGTGAACATGCTACGCAACGCTTTTGACGGGGATCGACTTACGCTCTAGTGGTTTATCCACTGGGATACGTTGGCGCCAAAAAAGCCCTACTGTTGAGCCACGTGTACCAACTTGGCCCTGGACGGCGCCGGTGCGATCTTTTCAAAGTTTTCTTGACGAGACGCGTTTTCTTGTTACGTGCTTCAGAGTAACATTTCCAGTCGTAGGGGTCCTTCGTTCTCGTATGTCTGCGGCGAAGACGACGAACCTCTTTGACGGCTGTCTTGCACTTGTCGTCAAAATCAGAGTTCGACCACGCTGATGGTTTTGCCCATGGGGTTGAGTCCTCAATTGCTGACTGGACAGCTTCCAGTAGTTCCTGGCATTGAGCCTCTATCTGCTGTGGGTCTGCCTGGGATAGACGCCTTGCCTGAAGATTTTCTTCGACCCTCTGGATGAGTTTCTTGTTGTCAGTCGCATTCCAATTTCTTCGCTTCTGCTGTATAGCGATTGATGTCTCAATGTCAAGCGCGGTTCAGATCGGGAAATGGTCGGATGAATGTTCAAACGTCATCCACCCTTTTGCACTGTATGATTCAGGCTGGCGAGACCCGATGTGATGGAGGTAAGATCAATCACCGACGACTGGTCGTTTCGAGACCAGTTAGGCTTGTCTCTTTCGGTTGTCAGCTCAAGACCCCACTCATCGATAATTTCTAGTGGCTGTGCTGCAACAGGCTTCGGAAGACACTCAAGCAGTTTATTCTCGCTTGGGACCTTGTTTCATGGGCAATGCTGTTTATCAGCAGAGAGCTTCTCCCAAACAGCGATAGGGTGCTTACCGAAGCTAGAAAAGCCGAGGAAATGGTGCTTGATTTGGCTCACTGGCCACAAATCCCACATAGTATTAGCAACACCAATGGAAGCTGTTGTCAAAGGCCGAAGCACATCGTCCATAGCTCTGGTGTACAGTGAAAATCAGTCTCTTGCCAGGGAAGCTGTGGTTGCCGAGCCGGACACCTGATTACAACGTGGTTGTGCTTAGCTAAAATCAGCTGGATGGTGCCAAGCCCTCCAGAATTAGATCAGAAAGAGAAATTGAATAAAATTTCACGAAGCAGAAAAAAATAAAGGATAAAGCGTGTGCCTTCGCATGCCAAGAGCTTGGCTTTAACACGAAGAGAGTCGCCAATAACAGGATTGCTGACCAGCCTGGTGATCTCTTTTCCCGTGTGGGGGCGGGATCCATCTCTCTAAGTAGAATATCGGCCCCGCGCGCCAAGAGCTTGGCTTTAATACGAAGAAAGTCGCCAATAGCAGGACTGCTGAACAGATTGTTGATCTCTTTCTCCCGAATGCCTTCCACTTCAGCAGCTCTTGTCCTTTTTGGAAAAGTTCCGTGTTGAATACCATAGGACTTTCGCCCACAACTGTCTTAGTAAATAGCACGAATTGGCAGAATATGTATATAATATTCTAACTTCGGTGAACTGAATATTGCGAGATCTGACCGCATGCTTAGACCTATAAGTTTTGACGCAGATCATCCAGCTCTGCGGAAATTTCTCTCAGACACTGTCCCTAGAAGAGGCTTAAGACCACCAGATACGAACTGCCAAGAGATCGGCAGTTACTGGTAGAGATTTAACAAGATTACTTTTTGATGAACACATCTGACTTGCCGTGCAGGGCTTGAAACAGAATATTACCCGGCCCCTAAAAAGGGCGAGGATTCCCCTGGCGAAGTACAACTGTTCTAGTCGTGCAATTTTCCGCTCATCATGTTCTTGAAGACACTCCTTCCCCTCCTGACTTTGATTTTCCAGCCTGCATTTGGAGCCTGGGCTGTCACACAATATGTCATTGTTCGCAACATCACCACGGGTCTGATACCAGACTATGTGGAATCTAGCACCGTCTTCCCTACGGCGTCTGTCTCTCCGATATCCACTTCGACAACCGTGGCGCATGAATATCTTTACCCTACGCAAAATGGCAACGGAGTTGCTACGATCAGTGTCACCACCAGTTACCTTATGCTCCCCACGGAACCAGCTGATCTCCCTGTCGTGACCGAATCACCAACCCCCACCGAAACCCATTCCATTAAGACAAACTATTACATCCCCGTGACCGTGTCCAATCCGGAATCCTGCACCATGACCGATTTCACCTATACAGATACTATCGGGATCAGCCTAAGCAGTGCGCTAGCTTCAGGTGCAACAGATACCAGACTGGCTCTGTTCGTCACGACCTATGAGTCTACCATCAGCACTAACCTCGGCGGACAGCCCGTCACGACCGCAGTGTGTGATGTGTATTTCAAATCCAATGCATTTCCCGTTGATGATTTTCGCGTTGAGGATGACCATTTGCTCTCTGAGTGTGTTGACCCTCGACGACATGTCTGCACTGAGCTGGGCCAAAATTCAGCTGCCACAGGATCTGGTGGGTGTGATGGGCCATACCCTCCCACGGCTGGTAGCAATCAGGCAACCCCAACGGATTATGACTCTGCCGCCCAACCGACGGAGACAGGGGGAGCAGGAAGCTGGAGGCGCCAAAGTGAATGGTGGGAATTGATAGTTCTTCCTAGTTTCACGGCAGTGTTGCTTCTGACAAACTGAGAAAATCAATCAAATGAAAGGCGATCCCCAGTACGGGGGCTTTCGGAGGAGAGATGAAATAGTTAACTTGTTGTCGGAGCAGCAGGGCCTGTGGGACCCTGAGGATTGATATTCCTGTATCTCCTACTTTTACAAAGCTGAGTTATGAAGTTCTCGAGCAAGGTGGCATCCGTAGAGACACAAAAGACTGATGAGGGAACGATGCCATACTGGGCATACGTAGGCGCTTAAATGAAAATCAATTCAAGCTCTGAAAATAGAATTCTTAAAACTGCTCAGGACATGCTGACATTTTTCCGCCTTACTAGCTGCGATAAAGTTCCTCTACAGTCAGACCTGCATGCCGAAAATGTCCCGCTACGCTTTCCTCCCTCACACCAGCCACGTCAATACACCTTTCGAGAAAGTTATCGAATCCTTGCTCGGGATTCTCTTCGTAGTACTGCCAATTACGCCGAATGAAGGCTTTTAGCTCAGCAAAAGAACTTCTCAATAGGATTCAAGTCAGGCGAATATGGAGGTAAATACATTAGCTTTACTCCGGCTTCGGAACACATCTTTTCTATCAGTCAGAATGATGGAAGAATGCGTTGTCCATGACTAGCACATACTTCGGCTCGGGTCACCTTCCGCAGTGCTGGAGAAGCTGCTCAATAAAATCCTCAAAAAGAGATGCATTAATCGAGCCTCGGAATACCCGAGAAAGAACAATACCATCTTGAGCATATGCAGGTAATATCTGATATCGCTGATCACGATGAAATTTGGACACTTGGACTGGCGCGGTACCTAGCGGAGACCAGCCCGTTCGCCTGAAGCCTATTCGTTTATCACAGCCTGACTCATCCACATGGACAAGATGGTACGACTGGAAATCGGAGATAAAGTGAAAATATTCATCGCGTAGGTCTTGATTGCGTTCTCGAGCCTGAACTCGGACAGTCTTTTTTGATCAGCCTTTAGACGCAAGAGCGCGGCTGATACTCGATGTTGCTGCTTAGACAGCGAATTCGTCCCAGACAAAAATCTCCATCTCATGGAGATAAGATTAGTCTTCTCGATCAGGTGCTCGCATAGAGTTTCCAGCATAACTGGTGTGACACTTCGTGGTCGACCTCCCTTATTAGGTGGGGCTTTGACGCTGCCAAAGATTCTTATATTGTGAAGGGCCATGGTCGAATTGATTCAATTGAGCGGTGCCAATATGCTGTTTATCTGAAGCTTAGAGAAGTTTAGAAATAGGGGGTGGCCAGCGGTGACTAAATATCCTGGGGAGTTGATAGATTACATCGCAGGCTTGGCCTGGGCAATAGATCGGGACCTGAACCGTTACAGAAAACACCAAAAACCACCAAACAGCTTCAGAAACAGGTATCTTTGACCAAGGCCCGCCTCAAACAACGATCAAGAAGCCTTCAAAGCCCGTTAAAATCCGAGCTTAAACAGGTGTTCAAAGGCTATGAAGGCTCTGCTGTGAAGGTATGATCTACTTTACAGGGTAGAAGGCCTGTCAATTAGGTAAAGAAGAAAGCACTAAGTCCCAAGTTGCTTCAAGACTGTTTCTTAGGGTTTCTATAACCCACTGTGACTCAATTTATATACAGTCTCTTCTCTCAAACAGGAAGGAGGGGAAAGCCCCACAAAAGAGGGGTAGAGAGAGGAATACGAGATTATGCAACTTATAACAAGGTTCCCCCCTGTGGAGTCCCTTCACCGCATCACTATCGAAAGGTTGATGATTAACCACGGAGGGGCTGCCGTTCTGCCAGGATCCTCAGGCTACCGCATAGCCCTGAGGCACAACCGACATAGAAATAGCCTCATGGCGGAAATATTATAACATCTTCATAGGGAAATACTTTTAAGGGAGGAAAACGCTACTCTTCGCGCTGCGCTTGAGAAAAAAAAGCAAAAATTCTGCTAAGTCCAGACGCCAGATACCAGAGGAAGGCAAATTACCCATTCAAGAGGTTCAGGCTTTAGCTGAGGAGCGAGAAACACCGGCGGAGGCTACACAGCACTCTGTGTGACGGGCTACGGCCGAATTGATTCAATTGAGCGGTGCCATCATGCTGTTTATCTGAAGCTTAAGGAAAGTAAACATACGGGGCATCTAACTAGCGGTGAACTAGGTACCCCAGAGGCTTGGCGATCACGTGGTGCACGGGCATAGCACCGGCCATATCCTGGGCTTCAGCCCGTTACACCCAGGATGGGATCGTTCTCTCGCGTGTCTTCCGCGGTTCTACAGATGCCAATGCAATGGATGCAAATGGGAACCCAACCACATAGCTTTAAGCTAGATCAGAACGCCCTTAGTGCCTCGTCAGTCCAATCCCACAAGCGCGCTGCTAGAGAATTGGCCCTCGCTGTCTTATCCAACTTCTTCTGTGCTAACTGTCCCACAGGCTCATAGTACATTCCGTTCTTAATTTTCTCACGAGATGTGGTGGCCGCCCACACTTGGTTGTAAGCCCCCTTGTCTGGCGTGAGAACCTTCCCTCGGCTCATCGCATATATGAGAGCCCTGGTAATATAACCAGAACCGGCCAACATATTTGTTGCTACCATTCCGGGGTGGACCGAGACAGAGATGATCTCCGGGTATCGGCGGGACAGCTCTCGCGCGTAGAGGAGGTTGGCAAGCTTGCTCTGTCCATATCGTCGCCATGGTCCGCCGAACCAGTAATGCTGGACTGTCTTGAGCTTGTCGAAGACAATACCTCCCTTAGGATGAATCATCCAAACGTCAGATGTGAGAATGACGATGCGAGCGTCATTGCCCTCCTTGGCACTTTCCTGTAGTAGCGGGAGGAATTTCCGGATGAGCAGCGCATGTCCGAGATGGTTCGTACCAAACTGGAGCTCGTATCCGTCCATTGTTAGGGAGGGCGGTTGAGCCACGATTCCGGCGTTACACATCAGGATATCCAGCTGTGTGGTCTGGGATATGAAGGCTTCGGCTGCTTCCCTGACCGATGAGAGGGAGGCGAGATCGCATTCTACGAATGTGACGTTGGTTTTGGAGCCGCTGTCACGAATCAGCGCGACGATTTTCTGTGCGCTCTGGGCACTACGTCCGCTTATGTAGATGTGCGCTGCGTCGTGATTCGCGAGATGGATGGCTGATGCGGCACCTAAACCCTTGGTTCCTGCTCCCAGTAAGTCTAGTCAGCAGGAATTGGAAAGAAGTCGAACCATTGTCGTTGCGTACCTCCGGTAATGAAGATGACCTTCCCAGCGAGATCTGGGACGTCCTTGTCTGGATTGAAATTTACGTTAGGCATGATATATGTATGGTTCACTATGAGTTGTGCTCTGAGAGGACGAGTTGGGGAGTGTCATAACCCAGGGTGAAGTGGACAAATGCTTCAACCAATGGAATCTCGAAAGAGAGTCTAAATTACTGTAAAGCCCCTTTTTTGGCAATTTATGGGGGGAAAGTGACTAATACAAAGCGATCGGCAATCTAGATAATCCGTCTCCGATCACTGGGTTTTGACAAATAGGTTATGTCAACTTCCGTATAGTATCCGACCAATTGGAGATATCAATGACTCTGTATTTCCATTACCCCTATTCACGCTTTTTAACGTAATTCACCACCGAGCTGACCGCACCACCGAGCTGACCGCTCACCCGCCCTCTTCCTATTTAATAGCGTATTTATCAACCAAAACGCCGTAATATTAATAAAACTATCTAACTGAACATTTATTTGACTTATGCCCTATCTCACCACATATAGAGCAGGTAAATCGACGCTTCTGTAGGGGTGCTGCTGTAGTTTGAACCGGTTGAACTGGGTTGGGCAGAACGGGCTGAACCAAAGGAATAGGCTGCTCAATAGGTTGTGAGAGCTCTTGGGCCTCTTGGACTGATAGGCCTGTGGGATGTGCTTCTCGTCTCTGCGTACGTGCCCTTTTTTGCTTCTTTTTCTCGTTCTCTGAGCGTAAATCCTGGATTTCCTTCGTGAGAATTATAAGCTCTTGACGGACGTTATGGAACCCTTTCTCTAGCTGGTCAATTGCTTGATATGCTCGAAGTGATGGGCTTTGCGACCGTCGACGAAGAAAAGCTTTGATTGATGAAGCTTGACGACGTGCTTGAATGCTTGCTTTTGGGGTTTTTGGGCTAAAAGCGCTAGATCGACTGCTTGGTCGGCTCCGAGGGGGTGTAGGTGTACGAAGCCGAATATTTAGCTTTGATATCACTCGGTTGGCATCTAATGGCACCAAACCAGCTGCTGCAAAGCTATTTTGAATCGTAAATGATTTAAATGTTTCAATGCGCGCGAGTGGATATGCTTCGAGGAAATCAAGCTTGTCGATATGGTTGATACCAAGACGCATCTGACGCTCGACGAGCTTACCGTACGCGCGTTTAAGCGATGCAAAACAACCAATATCAAGTAGTTGAAGTAGGTGTGATGAATGCGGTGGCATACAAATCGATATAATATTGTTTTGAGCACAGATTTCGTCGAATTGTGGTGTCAAATGACTACCGTGACCGTCAAGGATAAGAAGTCGATATCTGCCTTTTATGCGATTATTTGTCGCTGGAATAAAGCATTTTTGTAGCCATCGAAGCCCAATTTCATCTGTCGTCCACCCATTTGCGCTTACTTCAAAGCGCCAGTCTCCTGGAAGATTGTCGAACCAAGCATAATGGTATAGCTCAGCTTTAAAGATGATTGTTGGTGGAAGCGTCCACCCGCTTGCGTTGATTGATTCGATTACGGTAACCCACTCGCGATTTCCGGGCTGTAAAAGCGAGCGCCGACCGTAGTATTCCGCCCGCGTAATGACTTTTGCGGTCGCAGTAAGGCCCATCGCGAAGCCAGTCTCGTCAAAATTATAGATATCTTCGTCAACGATACCATATTGCTGAATTGTAGCTTGTACGGTGTCGAACCACTGCTGGATAACTCCTGGATCCTCTTGCGTTGCGCGTTGATAGTCGTATCGTCGTGAGAAGCGCGATTTTAGCTGCTCAGGATGCCGTTTAATAAATTTTGTAACCCAATTTGGGCCAACGACTTCGATATTAGTTGAACCGCGCTTCGCGAGTAGTAAATCAGCCATTTCTCGCACCGTCGACGGTCTAGGTGCTCCACCGCGAGTATCCATTGAGATAATCCACTTAAGAAGCGAACCCTCTTCGATTTCTGTCAATTTATGGCCATTGGCGCGAGATTCGGCGCGATTTAGGGTGCCGCGAAGTCGTGTTCGAAGCGTAGAGTATGGGACTGAATAAGTCCGTGCCAGTACACGAATTGGTGATTTATCTCCATTTTTAATAGCCTGAATAGCTAGGAGGATACGACCCTCTTGTTCAATGGAATTTCGGCTTGATCGAGAGCGATTTGGTGGCATGGTGGATGGTTAAACATAGAACGACGCGTCTGGACGCGAAAAAGTGGGTAAGCGGTCAGCTCGGTGGTGAATTACGTTAACGTAATCAACCACCGAACCGCGGATACCACCGAACCGCGGATTTTCAATCCAATTTCTATTCTCTGTGTTTAACGCGTCGAATCTTCATCACCACAATACAATATGCCTCTTTCTAAAGAGTCGCGTATTCAGATGGCTATTTCAGCCTATCAGAATGGTCAAATTAAATCAATTTTACGCGCTGCGCAGGTCTTTGCGATTCCTGAAAATACTCTACGCGATCGGCTTCATGGTTCAAAATCACGGACAGAACGACGCGCCAATGGTCATAGACTTACTGAATTCGAAGAGGAATTACTCTTAAAGCGATTATTGGAAGCAGATACGCGAGGATTTCCAATTCGACCTGAATTCCTACGTGGAATGGCTCAAACATTGCTTTGCAATCGATTACAAGATTCAACGGCAGCTCTCGGAATTAACTGGCCTTATAAGTTCGTTAAACGCCATCCTGAGCTACGTACGCGATATACAAGACGTATTACCTATCAGCGCGCAAAGCAGGAAGATCCGAAAGTTATAAAACCGTGGTTTGAGACTTTACAAGCGACCATTCAAGAGCACGGCATACACGAAGACGATATCTGGAATTTTGACGAGACTGGCTTTGCAATGGGACTCTGCTCTACTTCAAAAGTGATTACTGCAGTTGAGCGCAGCGAGCGACCGCGCAGAGTCATTCAAGGCAATCGCGAATGGGTCACAGTTATCGAGACAATCGGGTCAAAAGGCATACATCTACCGCCAGTCATTATATTAAAAGCAAGCTTTCAACAAGCTGCCTGATTTCAAGAACCTAAGCTTCCTCGAGACTGGTGGATTTCTACTAGTCAGAATGGCTGGACGACTGATGAAATAGGCCTTCTTTGGCTAAAAAATATCTTCGAACCGCTTTCTAAGCGCTATATGACTGGTGCAAAGCGCTTGCTTATTCTTGACGGCCATAGCAGTCATTTAACTGCTGAATTCGATGATTTCTGCAAGCAGAATGCAATAATCTGTCACTGCATGCCTGCTCATGCTTCGCATCTTCTTCAACCGCTTGATGTGGGTGTCTTTAGCCCGCTTAAAGGGGCGTACGGAAAGCTTCTTGAACATCGTATGAAAGTCGGCAACAATCATATCGATAAAGAAGACTTTTTATCGCTATACCCCGATGCACACGCTAAAGTATTTACTTTAGAGAAGATTTGCAGCGGTTTTAAAGGGGCAGGGCTCAAGCCATTCAATCCAGAGCATGTTCTCTCAAAACTTACCTTCCGGCTACGTACGCCTACACCTGCACCATCACTAGTTGAAGGCTCGATTTCCTCTGCTTTTCAGACTCCACAGAATACTCGCCAGCTAGATCGGAAAGTCCGAAACCTGCAGAACAGCCTTAATAAAAAACGGCAGCTTTCTAGCAGTCCTATTGCTCATATTCAACATCTTGAGAAAGCTGCGCAAATGGCGATGCAAACCCAACTGCTTTTAGAGCAAGAAATCAAGGCTTTACGGGCTGAAAACGGGCGACAACGTCAAAGAAAGGCAAAAAAGCGTGGTAAACTAGGTAATGATCGCCTTCTTAATGTACAGGAAGGTCAAAATCGGATTCAGCAGCATGATACGCAGCTTAATGAGCAACCTGAAGAATCTACTCCCGTGCCTCGCCGACGAGCTCCGCAGCGCTGCAGTGGCTGTGGAACAGTGGGACATACGATTCGAAATTGCCCTAGTAAATAGCTATTTTTTATGTATTTAATTAGTCAATTCTAATGGTGTTGGTGGTTTAAAAGCTTCAAAAAGTGGTGGCTATAGCAGAGAATCCGCGGTTCGGTGGTATCCGCGGTTCGGTGGTTGATTACGTTATGGTCCAATATAGTTACATAAGCAATGCCGTCGGATCATCCATAGACCAGGTTTCATGCAGTATTCGTAAGGTAATGCCGACATATGGCTAAGATTTTGGTAAAATGAACGCTTAAACTGGCGTCGAGTGTTGCCGTTGTGGGCGTTCGATTTACCGTCACTTAGCGTTGTGGTGTAATTTCAGTCGTGGTTCACGTTGCAATGATTGTTCTTCTTTCAGAGATTGGGAATATGATCCATCTTATGAACTGTATCAGCAAAAACACTGTGCATTTTGAATATAGTATAGTGAGTATTTTCCTGGCAGATGGCGGTCTTGGCATTCCCGCGCGCCAAGACATTTGATCCCTCGCACTGAGACGTCATCGCATCCACAACTGCGCAACCCCTTCCTCAAGAACCAACTGACCAACTGGATATTAGCGTCTGCCCTCACCTCTCAAGCAAGACAGGATGCAAGTCGCAGAGATCTTGTCAGATATCACCTCTCTGCGCGTGTGTGTAAGTATTCAGTTCTACCTGCGATCTTCGCGCCCCACCGTGACCCGCGATAGGGTCTCAGTCTCGCGTCCTTGCGCTGGTCTCCCACAAATGGAATAATCTAATCTGCCATAGGGTCACCATGAGGCTCTAGCTTTGGTCAACGTGCACCGAACCGATTTTGACACTCCTGTTCGTTCGGGAAGCATATCCGCACCAAATGACTCGGCTGTCGCTAGCGAACCATCACAAACCAACAAAGACCTAGAACGGGCGAAGGAGCTGGTCGAGCTTCACTACGAGGTCAAATCACGACATATCGATGGCCAGGTGGATCCTGCACTACAGCAAGCACGCGCAGACGTCAACAAGGTCCTGAGGGAACTCTCATAGACGACTTAATCAGTCCTCCACCTTTTACTGTTCAATGACTTTTAGATGGAGCGATTTTGACGATGACACGATTGAATGGAATTGGGTATATTTATCAATGCAAAAGGAATTCGTAGTGATTAGTGCATCGAGCAGAAATCGACAATCTGGTCATGAGCCACCACGCGCCCTTCCGTCTTGCCGCAGAGTTGCTTCATCGCAGCGGACTTGGAACGGATCCCATCGTCACTCAGCACATGCAGCAAAGCCTTCGAGAACTCTGTCGACTCAATCCCGGGCGCGGCCTTCCGGCTTCCGTTGACTCCAATTCCCAGCCATTCGACGCGTGTCGCACAGTCATATGTATCGAGCCATTGAGGCAGGACCACCTGTGGCACCCCGACTCTATTGTGTTATGTTAGAGCTGCCACTGGTCATGATCTCGTAGATCACTGGCGCGGTTAATACTCACTTGCAGGCTTCGAAATACGAGTTCGCTCCTCCATGATGCACATATGAAACAATACGTCCAGTGTCGAGAACGGACATGATATCAGGTTGAATCCAGGATACCACCTTCACCGAGCCAGCGGTGATGAGCGGTCCCAGGACCTTTTGGAATGAAACGGAACTGTTCCAGTCATATCGGAGCTTCCATAGAACAAGCACATCCGGGTGCTTGGAAAGGACTGCTGCAATGCCCTTTGCCATCTGCACGGCAATTTCCTCCGTCAGTTGCACGTGAGAGCCCAGACTGATCAAAATCGTCGGCCTTTGGAGCCACGTATCCAGATCCGGTTCGGACTCGGACAGTGGCGCACACTCGCGAAGGATAGGTCCGCAGCTGATGACATTGTCCGGGATCTCAAAGGGGAAGTCCATTTCGGGGAATGCCGGTGTCAGCTGCAATGCGTCTTTCTCGTAGGCATTTGACAGGGGGAAGGGAGTGCGTCCTTCGGGCTTCTTGCCGTTCTTCAGCTCATCCGGCACGGACTTTCCAAATGCCAGGGTCATCACGATGCGGAATACCAAGTAAATATTATGAAGGACTAGTTTCCATGGCACCGGAAATGGGAATCCAGATCCCGTTCTAAATATCGCGATGTTAGCCACTGATACTGCGTCTTGTGGATGAAGCGTCCTCTTACATTGGATATTTCCAAAGGACGGCCGCCTTCGGTTGGTTAACAACCACCACGTCCTTGATTGGCACAGGCCACAGAACCGTGAATCTGGTTTTCGTACTGTGGCACGCATCTATACCAACATGGAGGATCGGATCCACCACAACCATCGCCGGCTGCACATTATCCAGAATTTCTAGACAGGCCTCGTACGCCTGTTTATACTCCGAAGGCCTCCAACTCTCCATGGCTCTGCCGACCTTGGCGAATCCCTCTTGGGCGCCCTTCACTCCGGGTTTATGGTACAGCAGGCCGACGCAGCTGCGAATCGCGAGGTCGGTCATCGATGGGGAAGGGATCTCGTGGAATTGCGCCATCTGAGCGCACCCGGCGCGATTGTGCAACCCCTTCACCATGCTGGCGATTGGACCAAAAGACGCAAAGTGTACCTGGAACTCGCCTCGGCGCAGGAACTCCTCCGCGACAGCCAGGGCGACATTGCATTGGCCCAGCTCACTGTTGGTGAGGAACAAAATGTTCCGGGTGGGCGGGGCCATGTTGAACAGACGCGACGAGCAGCGCGAGGGCGAAAAAGTCGAAATGGAGACTGATCCAAAGCATTTGTACGGGGGAGTCGCAATTATACTTATGGGTAGGTGGGATATACGATCGACCCACCGCGCTGGCAGGGTTCAGATTCGCCAAAAGTAATGGGTTACGCTAACATCCTTTCCCTTCTATTGCCTCTAGAATTGACCGTACGCCCCATGACCCCGTCGATAATCTCCACTTCGGACCAGTCGTGCTGGGAAAGGTTTCGCCGTCTGGGCCGCTAATAGGTTGGTTCGGCCACCGATCTTTACAGGCGCGCCTTTCAGCTCAGCAGATTCGCGCAAGCCGCAGTTTCGAGAAGTTCGTGGGAACCGAGGTTTATGCAGAGACCGTACCGTAAAACAAGCTAGAATGGCATTGAAACACCAGAGGCCCGATTTTTGAGGCGACACGAAAGAGTGGTTGAAGGTCGTTTCGGGTTGGGCGAGGAAGAATCCCCGATTTCTACTGATTCGGCGAGCCAATCACCAGTCAAAATTCATCAGGGAAGTGGGTCGATCGGCACTTCCGAAATCAGAGATTAAGCTTACTGACATCCAGACACACGTGGTCCCCTCCAGGCTCTTTTTTGAATCGAACCGTTGGCCACCAGAACACTCACAACCCGTGTCCAGCCGTATTGTGCCCGGCTAGTCCATATCTTGCCCTTGTCGACAATAAATATATCGAATACATTCCGGTGGTACAGAGCGTATAGTTGCTCGGGGCTCGGTCAGCGTCGGCGTTCCAGCATCTAGAACTCACCACCTCTATCTACCAAAGGTTAACAGTATCTGCATGAGCGACCGACCATTAAGGGCCGAACGTCAAACTCGGTAAATTTATCCCCCGGAGAGGGAATGATGTAACCGCACATATGTATACTACGAGAGGGACCGTCGGAGTGCGCGGATCCCATGTTTGAGAAAGTAAGAGTACTACCCTGTCTAACATGCATGATACGTAACTGAGATTGCGTCAACAAGTAGCATTTTGGCGAATGTTTCTTAAATTCCACACATCAAGGCACATGGTCCGAAACCACGGCTATTGTGCCTGGGGGCAGGCATCATACCCTACCATGGAACTTTCCCTCTTCTTCAGAGACTGAGACACAGGAACAGAATGAGATCCGCTGCTATCTATGTACAGAGGCCGAGATATTAAATACTCTTCCACCTTCTCCACAATTTTAGTGTCCTTGCGACAAGACCCTGAAATCCCACACCACCCGTGCGCTCTCAGTGCTGATCGTCGCGGATCACTTCGAGCAATGATAGATGATCGTTACCAGGGCCTCGGTCGCAATATGCCCCATAACCAAGTTTATCGCAGGGGACCCGCCCCGGCGAGCTACTTGGCGTCTCGGACTTGAATTATTGTCGTACCGACAGTTCGAGCGACAGGTTCATAATGCCAGAGGTGAAATGGGTACATAGAGAAACACCCCGCAAAATGACCGAGCGATGCCGATTATAGGAATGTGCTGGAATCAACGGCGTGTCAGATTGAACCTTAAGAAGTGCGACAGCGCCAGGAATACTCAGAAAATGGGTGGGACTTACATGCCAGTCATGTTACAACTGGTTTCTCCGTCATCTTGACCGCGAGGAGAACCACCAAAATTGAACCCGCGAAGATGAAACACGCGACGCAAAACACGAGCAGGAAAACGGGTTTTGGGTCAATATCCGCGTCTTCCTCTATTTCAGGAAAGGTCGATAGATTCCCCACGAGCGCGTCGTGGTCCCCATAATATTCGTAACGAAGATCGTTGGTTGTTGTCGGTGAGATCGTGGCATAGTTACGATCTAGGTAATTCTTGCTCTTCCACATCGTCCAACTGAATGGGGGCGGGGGACTGCGATCGAGATGGACAGGACATGTTACGCTGTCGCCGGGAGGGGCTTTTCTTAACAAACAACCCGTGTGTGACAAGGGAAAAAGCAGCGAACGGTATGCAAGGCTATTGAAATCGGGAAAAGCAATATAGCGAGGCGATCGTCCACGGTCCGTGCCGTTTGGGACAAGTAGTCGACAGATGTGATTTGTCAATTTGTCTACACGTCTTCTTTTCCCGGGGCCCCTTGCCTGCGACCGCACGGAGATGTTTCGGTTGGCTGGCGACGTGTACATTCCTTGCATCCTATAAACCGCGACGCGGTTCCGAATGGTGACGGTCGATTCTCAGCCGCCAAGTCGAATTGAAGGGAATTGAAGACAAATTTTAATTTTCAAGACATTTCTCTCAGCCGACGAAGATCTTGTGACCCATTAAGGGATCTACTAGTAAGAAGATCCTCTGGCTCTACCCTGACTGTTCAAGGTTGCTACGATCTACAGCGTGCATGGATTGCGACAGAGAAAAGGTAACACAGCATAAAAGCAGCTCATCACAGCCCACAATCTCAGCGAAACATGCAGTCAAATGATCTGCGTCGCAGCACTTTCAGCTCTCCACTCAGCTAACAGGGATTGTTTTCATCCCGCATCTCATCCGTCGAAACTATCCCATGTCCATTCGGCACTCGATGCCACATCAACATGCATGGTCTTACGCGATCCTGCAGCATGGCTGCGAAATTTTTTATCCCTCTCTCGCTTTTACGTTTTTCCCTGCCATCATGAGACGTGGAAAGTGCTTTTCGAGATGGAGCATATCTTTTTTATTGCCGTGGGGAATACCCCGCATATGAAATGACTGGTGGATTACACAGTCTTCAGTTCCGGAGCATCACATTCCTCCCATGGATGATCCGTCTCCACAGACATTATCAGAGCCTCGTGAGCAGGCGAACGAGGCTTTATATCGAACTTCCAAGGAGCCGGGTGGCTAATGACACCAGGCTGGAATTCCGGATTCACATCCACAGTCTTCCCATTTTCCTTTGCCTTGCTAATGTTGAACACCGCGAGCGATCGGGCGACGCTGAGGAACAGTGTGTTGTCGGCGAGAAAACGACCAGGGCAGACGCGACGGCCGAAGCCGAACACGATCGTGTGCGGATGTAGCTCGGGTTCCTGACCATCTGTAGCTAGAAAGCGCTCGGGGTTAAACAACATCGGGTTTTCGTAAGTCGCGGAGTCATGTGTGAGAGCCCTGCGTTTGTTAGTAAATTATACAAGTTTCCTTGTCATTGTGAACCTACCAGATGTTAGGCATGATCAATGATCCCTTCGGGATCCGATATCCTTCCCAGGTGTCTTCTTCAACAGACATATGGGGGATGCCCATTGGTGCGACCGGGTGCCAGCGAAGGACTTCCTTCACAAGAGCGTCGACATATGGAAGTCGAGCCCGGTCGGCCATTTTGGGCAGCTGACTCGATCCCAAAACATTGTCGATTTCCTCCTGTGCCTTTTGCTGTATCTCGGGGAAGAGAGTCATGGCTAGGAAGAAGGTTTCGATGGCACAGACAGTCTATCGATTGTTAGTCAATATTTTCATCATGCATTTGCAAAGAGGGAAAGTACCGTGTCAGCGCCGCCCGTATAGAGTGATGCCGAGGTCCATTTCGCAACTATCTCCTCCTCGGTTCCGTTGGAAGGACAGCCTTCTTCCTTGAAGAAATTCGACAGATACGATGGCTCGAACTTTCCTCGCTCCATGCGCTTCTTCACGAAGTCGTAGGGCTTCTTCGCGACATCCTCCAGGTTACTCTTCCACTCCGTTGCCTTTCGCTTAAACCCGGTACCGGGGAGCCAGGCAGGAACATATTTCACTTCAAATAGAGTCAGTTATCTTGCGGAGCTCACGTTGCCGGTGGAGAACTCACATATGGGTATCATATCCACTAGCCAAGCACCCGGTGTTCCGGCAATGGAAAAGTGTTCCAGGGCAAGGTTCGCAATGTGTACCAAGGGGTCTCGCTCATGCGGATCAATGGTGTATCCATATGCGATTTTCAAAATCACCGCTCCAGCTTCACTAAGATAGGTCATTAGTGTCACAACTTCCCGGAGTTGTGGGTACTCACGTTTGAATATGCTGGGCCAGCTTGTTTTGACATCTCAGAACACGAAGTAGAAACCGGTGAGCCTCGACTTCCTGCAAAGAGTTGTACTGCGCAACTGCTTGCTCAGAGCCAAGATAAGGCTGCATGGCCTTGCGATAGGCACGGAATCGACTGGAGTAGGGTTGCATTGCTAGAATATGCTCCCACCCAACCCTGGTGAATTGATCATCAGTATTAGATCCCTTTGTGGACTAGCCGGGCGACTGACATATCTGACGCGAATACCAGCTTCGGGCGCGAGGAATGGATGGCTGAGCGCTTTCCTAGGAGCTCCAGGGCGATTTGGGTATCGTTCACGATTATGATGGTCTGGCCCATGACGGTAACCGAACTGATGGGGCCTGAAGAGTGGAGGGGATGATTAGCTTGCCATCTTCGGGTCCTTCCTTCCTGACAAACCGGTAATGTTACTCACCATACAGCGGCTTATGCTTCAGCCAATGTACCCAATCTTGTGTCCCTGGCGCAGGCAGGTCCGAGATGTTGCCAATGAGAGGCTTTCCTGGCGGACCTGGGGGCAAGGGGAGGTCATTTCTCTTGCTTGTCAGTAGCCATCTAGTCGCGTAGAGCAGCAGCGCCCCTAAGATTACGCTCAAGAGCGTGGAAAGGGACATGGCGGGGTTGACCTGACATGCAGGTGTGGTATGGTCGGGCAGGATAAGGAGGCAATGCGGAACAGAAGAAGTGGAAAGAGGTGTGGAAATGAGTCTGCGCAGCGAGTCCAAGGTCAAGCACCAGGCGGCGATCCTCCACCTGTCATCCACCTGTAAACTGAAGAAGCAGGAAAACGAGTCAGAAGTGTGAGGTTGGGATTGCCGGGCTTGCATTATCTGCTCTCGGATTTGCCAGCAGAGTCCGATTTATTTCGTTCAACTGTCTGTTGAGTGGTTGCACAGCCATCCCCACTTGCATCGCTTGGGCCCACGACGACTAGCCCCCACACTGGCGTGGCCAGAGCAATTGACATCTCGATAGCTCCAGCTGAGAGGGATCGGAGCGTCTCCTTGATGCTGTGAGCCCGGATATCCTGGCTTGTCTCTTGATGCACGCATCTTCGCTCCGATCAGATCAGGTCAGGCCCTGCGTTGCCAGGGGCGAAAAAATCGGTCAAACGGAGGCTCGCAACACGTCAATCTGGGCTCTTGGTGTGATCAAGCCGGAGAACGCCCTGTTGTTTCCAGTTTGCGATTGTCGTTCTCGCAAATGGGATAATTTAGAGGGCTGTGGGGGGCCGTTGCAGGTTCCAGGGATTGTTCAGCCTCACCCGCCCACACGCCCTCCGCGCTCTCCGCTCTCCATACTGCCCCATCCGTCTCCTTTCCTGTTTCTGTTTCATCGGGCATCTCACAGCCAGATCACATCAGTCAAATCGCATCAGCCAGATCGCATCAGCCAGATCGGATGCAATTTTCAACCTCAGCCGTTATCTCGCCCTCCCTTGATATTCGAGGAACATGGCATCCCTGTCTAGGTCGCATCTTGTTACATGTGTGGAGTGGCCGGGATCCGAATCTCTGACACATTGACAGCGAAGATCGTCACGGCATGAAGTCATTCGCGGAGCAGCACATATTCTACATTATCTGATGCTTTAGTACTCATATCACAATTTATTGAAGGAGTATACGGACTTGACGCGCCTTTGATCACCACAACAATGCAAAAAGCTCTTCCTGTCGCACGACCCTTGGCTCGATACGACATATACTCTCACTTTCTAGCTCAGAACGCCGTCATCATACAGGGACCTTTCGGAGCATCGCTAATGTTGGTAATTGGCCATAATTGGACAGAGTGCCATCCATTCCTCTCTGTTCCCCATGATCCCATCGCCGTGTTACTTCATACTTGGCTTCCCGACTAAGACGGCCCAGAATCAAATGAAAAAGCGCGATCAAGTGGTCAATTTGCTTTGATGAAAAACTGTGCTACCCACCAAACTTTACCAAAGGAACTTAGGCAGAGGTCGGCGACCAGTTCGGGATAGGAAAATGCATTCGTCTCTTAAAATCAGGACAGTTTCCTTTCACGACTTTTGCTGTATCGCAATGTGTTCTCGTCGGCCCTGTGCCGTTCCGTCTTTAAGAGCTATGAGTAGATATCGACATCCTGGGGATTCTGACTCTATTTCTCCAGTTTGGACCTCTTGAGGTTCATCCGTGATGGCGTCGCTGGCAAAGGGGCCATTCGGCCACTTGCAACCATGTGCTGTATGACACCTAGGTCTCCCTCATGCCAGGCATCCTCATAGTCGCTCTCCAGCTAACATGATCTGAAATAGTTAAATTGCTTCAATGCCGCACTCAATCAATCTCTATGCGCCGCATCCAATTTGACTTGTCTTTGTATGGACTCAACTTTCTTCACCTCGGCCACCGGGTGCACGTCGTCAGAATGTGGCATCAAACCAGGCTTTGGTACGTGCAATATCATGAGACCTTCTGCCTATCTCCGTAATTCTGACTCCGTATACCTCAGAGGCTACAAATTTTACCTTGTCGACATGTCACGTACCTGAAGCCAGTCGGGCTTTGACAGCCCCTGTTGTCGCCGGTATATTGGGAATGCTGGCTCTTCTGATGGTACTACTACGATTAATTCAACGAACTGTTTTCAACAGGCTTTTCGGATTAGATGATGGCTTCATTGTCGCTGCACTAGCCTGTGCCATTCCCTTAAATTGTCTCATGTTTCCAAGTTTGTTCTTCAATTTGTTCCTCGATTTGTACCAAGGCTAATCGAAACAGTGCACAAGTTCGGACTGGGAACAAACATCTGGACAATCCCGTTCGACCATATCACTATTCAGCTTGAGGTGAGACCCACATCCACAAATCCCGGACACCCCTTATTGATGCTTACTACAGTTGCTATATGTGGCCGAAATCTGCTACATGCCCGCCGAGGCCTTGACACAATTATCCTTTCTCGCCTTCTATCTCCGAATATTCCCATCAAAGATATTCCATCGCGTTGTCTATTTTTTGATGGCTTTATCTTTCTGCTTCGGAGTTTCTAACACGCTCGTCATGATTTTTCAGTGCACGCCAATCCCGTACTTTTGGTCGGGATGGACAGGCGAGTACCACGGAAACTGTATTGACATCAATACATTCTCCTGGTACAAAGCGGCTATGCAGATTGTCATGGATATTTCTATCATCAGTCTCCCGATTCGACCATTACTCAATCTATCACTCAACAACAAGAAGAAGATACAAATTGTTCTCATGTTCTGCACTGGGTTTTTGTGGGTCAATCCGTAATTCAATTCCTTGCATTTATTGCTGACAAAAACAATAGAATCACGGTTGTCAGTTGCTTGCGTTTGCAGTCTCTCGTTAAGTTCTCCAAGTCATCGAATATTACATGTAAGCCCGATTTGGTCTTACGGCGATTCCTCCAGTCTAACAGCGCATATCAGATGATAATACACCAGCAATATACTGGAGTGTTGTGGAATGTGATGTCGCAATCATTTGTGCTTGCATGCCTTGCATCCCTTCGCTGTTGAAGAACCTTTTTCCTTCGATATTTGGCTTGCCCACAAATGACCGTTATAATAATGTCACACCTCCCCAAAATACACCTAGTGGATCTGACTCGGTGCCCTTGGACAGAATCCAGAAGAATACGTCGTGGCAGATTACTAGTTCGGACAGCGACACTCAGTATATCAATGAGTCGGCCAACAAGGAAACTGGTTCGTCTTCGTCAAAGTAATGTAATTCAAACTTTGGCTATTCCATTGAGGAATAGACACAGTATAATGAATGATATTCACATCAGTTGGTCAATCGAAATCTTCATTCTCCTCATGACGCGTCTCTCATAGCCTCACAAATTTGCTCTCATCGGCATGAGTGAGCTTAAGGAAGCTTTCGACAAGACGCTCTGGCTCATCAGCGTTTGCCTTTGATATGCGATCTTGTATACTCTTGCGGCTATCAAGCAGTCTCTTGGAAATATGGCTCCAATCTAGGTCCTGAGACTCAATATTCACTTCAGCCATAGTGGGCGCAATTTTCACCGGAACCAGTCTGCCGCTCTGCTTGCGGATTTGCCCATCAACAATAACCATATCGATATCCCGTATAGAGGAATGTAGAACGATAGCAGCCACTGGATCCTGCTCCGATGCACAAACCATACCGGGACTGGTTGCATCAAATATAGTGAGATCAGCAAGCTTTCTAACTTCAATCGAGCCCACGCTTTCCTCCATGCGGATCGCTTTGGCCCCCTGGATAGTCGCTAGTCGGAAGACGTCTTGGACGTAAAGATTCAAAGAGCGAGAGAACTTTCCCTGTGCGATGATCTTCTCATTCCGACTGGCTCGTTCGTGTTGAAGGGCTAGTCGCATCTGTGACACCATGTCCCCCGAGTTGTTGCTATGGCAGTCGATTCCCAAGGAGCTGATGTCAGCACAGCCCTCTCGGAAGCAAACAATATCTCCGTGGCCCATCTGTAGCTCTGTGTCTGGGGTCGACGAGATCCATGCTTGAGCTTGTTTCAGTGTTTGCTCGTCGGAGCTGGTCAGGTTCGTGGCATGTGAGAGCAGGATGTCTGGGCCCAGTAGACCGTATCTGTCGAGTAAATCAACCAGCGAAGTGTTATCTAGACCGTGTTAGTATGAGAAAGAGATTAGGAGACCCTTGGATACGCTCACCGAAGTAGCCGCCGGCATAGTGCGTTGTGATCACTTTGGCACCAAGCACACGCACCTTGTTGTAGATTGAAACCACTTGGTCCTGTGGCAGCATGAATCCATCAAATGCGAATCCAAGTTGAACTCTGCCGTCTCCCACAGGGAAAGAGGCGCGAAGCTTTTCAAGGTGTTCGACAACCCAGTCATCCAGTAGCCCACCAGTTACGGTCAGATCCGGCTTCCAGTCCTGGACTCTCATGGTCGGCGCATAGCAAAACACTGACCGGATGCCCGACGACACTGTGGCTTCGACTGCATTTGAAGCTAAAGCAAGCGATCAGTCATTGCGATATGTGAGGGTATGGGCCGCTTTACTGTGAGCCGCGGAGATATTCATATGAGCGTGATCCACCAAAGTTGTCGTCCCTGCATCCAAAGCTTCAAGACAGCCTCCCAATTCACCCCAGAACACATCTTCTGGTGTATAGTTGGCACTTTGCATATTCCCTGCACTCCAAAGACTCGATCAGAAAAGTGTCATCTTTCGCTCGCGAGTAGACGAGAAGTCGCCTACCATTGGGAAGGTATTCAAGCAAAGTCTGGTCGGCATGGCGGCCCTTCAGCTGAGTCTGCCACACATGATGGTGTGTATCAATGAAACCAGGCGATATTATTTTGTCCGTACAATCAATAACCTCTGTACCGGCTGGCGCATCGATCTCGCATGCAATTTTCGAAATCCGATTGCCTTCGACGAGCAGCGAATGGTTCCGTAGCGGTTTAACATAGCCCTTCGGTTCGCCGGAGGGGACGAGAATGGTCGCGTTCTGCAGTAAAATGTGGGAGGCCATGTTCGGAGTCCGTTCAATATCTCCGATGGTGGCTTCGGTTTAGCTCCGGATTCGAGAGGAGCGGTTTGGCGATTTATAATGGCGGAGTGGGGAGTCGTGCCTCGGTCGCTCGATGTCACGAACGGCCGAGCGACACGGCAGATTTATCTCCGAATGGTCCCAGTGGGGATTGTCGCTGCATCCACAGGCGCCTGGCCAGAAACTCGGATCTAAGCGCGGTTATCGAGTGAAGAACGGTTGAATGCTGGGGAAGACCCTGCGCATGACGTCACCGGCGACCGTGTCGCAGCACTACTTATTCCTTCTACATACCTCGAGTGTTATTCATTGCGTTCAACTTCTCCCTCTCTTTGTTCCTAGTTGATCTTTTTGCATCTCCAGTCGGCTCAGCGAAATCCCTCTCACCAAATCCCACCGACCTCAATTATCGTCTCTATGAAACAATTCATGTCCACCAAAACGTACACAAATGTCCTGGACTTCTGGTTCGGCTCCAAATCATCTCGCGAATACCTCAAAGAAAAGGCTTTCTGGTACGGCAGCCCGTCAGACGATGCATACGTGCGTAAGCACCTGGGCGGGCCATACGAAGAGGCCCAAAATGGGAAGCTGGACTCGTGGAAATCGCTGGGCGAGGGAGAAGGAGCACTGGCCCTGATCCTACTGCTTGACCAAGTACCGCGCAACATCTTCCGCAATACTCCCCGCGCATATGCCACCGACTCCGATGCCATTTCAGTCGCTCGTTATGCCATTGATCGTGGTTGGGATAAGAAGCTACCGACTATTCAGAGAAGATACATGTACTCGCCTTTCAATCACTCTGAGGACCTGAAAGATCAGGAGACGTCGGTGGAACTGTTTACAGAGCTTGGAGACTCGTACCATCTACACTGGGCGAAGGACTTTCGGGATCAGATCAAGCGAAACGGGCGATTTGTACATCGGGATCGCATTCTGGGGAGGTCTTAAGCACGGTGAACAGCTTCTTGGGCCGTGCGGAAAGGACAATTGATAGAATCGGCTGCAGGGCTACAAAAGACAAATCGGATGCTCCATTTTCTGACTCGAATGGCATTTTCAAATAAAAAATATAGGGCTGGAACCGATTCTTTCTGCTTTCTCGACGTATAGACCGCGATCGGCCCACCATCGGCGAGTGGATCATCGGCCTCGGGCCGTGAAGGATTTTGTGATCACGTTAGAAAAGGGGCATTCAGCTTGGCTTCTGGGCACTGATAATTCCCACCGGCTTCTCATGCATGAATCATGTACGGGCTACATGAATCGACTTCAGCAAATCTTCTGGACTTTGTCGGTTTTTATCTCATCCAGAATGCTTTGCCCGCGGTGATGATCGTCGCCACACCAAAGCAATCCCCGATTCGCCTCTTGGCAATCGGTGCCATGATATTAATTGCCAGTCGTTTTATACGGCCATTCGCTCCAGCTGGCAGTCCTGCTTGGTGTCAAGCTATTTGTCAACTTGTCCTGGTGTCTATACAAGCCACGCACCTCCTGTTAATTCGTCCGCTTGATCGTTGGGATATCGCGAATGCTTTCAGAGGATCGCAGAGCATAATCTCGCATATGTACAATGCGATGAGGGCTTTGATTCAGACCCGAGGAGTTGATACTCCCTGGCAGGTGAAGAATGTCCCATCGCATTCGAAATACTACCAACGACGTGGCATGGATACACCTCAGCGGGTTCAGTTCATAACCCGTCAGGCATTGATTCTGGCGTGGCAATATCTGGCTCTGGACATTACTCAAGCTGCATCGATTCAGAGTTCACTGTCCCAGCAGAGCCTCAACGTAAAGCCAGAGTGGAATATTCCACTGAGCAAGTGGGCCGAACGAGGAACCACTCACCTAGCCATCTGGTTTGTCGTGAACCGGTTGATTGGGGACTCTGCATATCGACTACTATCAATTCTTTTCGTCGGTCTCGGTATAGACGATCCATCAAATTGGCCTCCTGCATTCGGAAGTGTGGTTGATTGCTACACACTACGAAATTTCTGGGGGTATGTCTATTTTTATCCTGTCAGATTATAACATCTCTAATTCGAACTCACAGAAAATTTTGGCATCAATTCATGCGCCAACCATTTACATCTCTTAGTAAATTTGTTGCAAGGGATATACTTGGGCTTCCATTTCCGTCCGTCCTGGAGCGATACATGAATCTATTTCTTGTATTCCTTTTCTCGAGCATGTTTCATGTCATTGTCGACTTGCTGCAGAGTGTACCGATCGAGCACTCAGGCTCCATCCCTTTTTTCATGACTTTTGTCATCGGTATTGTGGTTGAGGATGCGATTCAGGAGCTTTGGCAGCGGCTGCTCCCCTCTGATGCACAGAGTGATTCTGCCAAAACTCCATTCCCCCCGTTGTGGCAGCGAATCATTGGGTATACTTGGGTCATGGTATGGTTGGCCATCACGTCTACATGGTACTTCACTCCGATGATCGCTTTGACTGGCCAAGACATTACTATGGTTCCTTTCAGCTTTGCTGGGAAATTTGGTCTGTTTCCTATCGTGGGGCTCTCCGTCATCAGTGGCATGATCATTGCTTATGTATATGAGGTTGAACTTTGAAAATGCATTTTTATCAGAAACGAATATAGTCATTTCAGACAAATCCTCGGCAGTCAAATTGAATATCTGATGTTGGTCTCTGCAGTCATCCGGTCTTGGAATATCAACTCGAACTCAGATGTCCGATTCCGAACTCGTGATTCTGAGCTTTCCTTTGTAAACTCGGAAACACCAAAGCAACAGCATCAGTACGACATCAGAGAAGTCGAACGTCATTGCGCCCCCAAAATGATGGTGTAGTATGTCCAGGACTGCGATTTGGAAATCCGAGTTATGGTCATAGTGATCGCCCAAGGAAGCATCCAGAGCCAGTTCGAGCCAAAGGTACCAACGACGGGAGGCCGCTAGCAGTACAGCTGCAAGCTAGTAGTTGAGACTGTAGAGAATGTAAGTCCAGTCGATTGCCTATTTACCATTATTGGGTAGCCTTTTCGCAGTGGGAATGAAGCGACTCACTCTTCACATTTTTTGTGTGATAATTGCCACCCCCTGCGAACCGGATAGGTAACGTGCGAAAAATTCAATGCCGCCGAAAGACATGGCGATGCAGATGCAACTTCCAAAATCAGTGCAATCAGGCATGACTTCAAAGCCGCACGGACGATTCCTGTTTACGATGTTAGCTGCTTTTGAATCTTTTTTAATGCCGTCTCTTAACAAGAATCTCTTTTCTGGAAGCTCTTTGGTAGCTCGTGTCCTGATCTGCTCGGAATTGGCCCCACATATGCCCTACAAAAACGAGAGTCGATGCCTCCAGTACCTCAACAGGGACCATGGCTAGTCCCCATCGGACGGTGTTAGAAACATCCCATGCAGTGGCATAGTCCTGCCCCAGCTGTATTATGTTATGTACAAGCCACAAGTATATAGCGTTTCTGATAGCTGACTCCCCAGATATGAAGTTACTTGGACGAACCAAAGTCTTCAACGCCGAAAAGCTCATCTGGAGCCGTCTGTCATCCCTGAATTCCCGTTCTCTCCGTTTCACCACCACGAACACAAAGTAGAGCAGCCCCACGAGAGCAGGTGCGCTGTCGCAAACATGCCGAATAAGTGCCTGGGTCACGACGGTCGGCTTCGATCTGCCAACATGGAATTTTGAGATGATGAGGAAATCCAAAACGATATCGACGATAAATTTGCTGGAACGGATTATCAAGGGCACGTCCGGATTGTCCAACCGCTCTGGTCGAGAACGACTGAGCGGCTTCAGCTGCGGGTGTCAATGCCTGGACGGATGAGATCCAGACATAGGTTAGTTAAGCATGTCGGACATCGACTGGGACGAAGGCAGCTCTGAGATTTTGAGATGTGGCCAGTATGATAATTGTCATCAGCAGTCCCAATACCATCATAGAGGTGATCATTGTATATGCCAGATTTAGCCTCGAGTGTACCGTTCTTGTCGTATTGTCTCCGATTACAAGCCAAGCAGAACGAGGAATGCTCTCATTCAGTACTTTGACAATCACGCTTATGTAGGTGTAGATGTCTGTCGTCACAACCTGCGATGAGTCGATGTTCGACACCCATAGCTTCCTGAGCGTGCTGTAGATGGCTGGGAGGACAAATGATCCAAGATTGAAGATCAGCGACCCGTAATAACTAACTGTACCATACCAGCGGACTTGTCATTTATTGCTTCACAGTGGAAAAAATGCACTCACGTATCGCGGCTCCTTCTCCACCCACGTACCAGGATTTGGGTACCATGTCAAGGGTCTGTTCAAATGAGACTCAGAATTTTTGTTCGGATCTAGATTCGATGAGGATACTAAGATCCCTTTGCCCGGTGCCATGGTTGCTGTCAATAGGAAACTCCAAGATCCAGAGATGCATGGGGTGCTAGTGAGCGGTTTTCTTTATGAAAGGTTTGCTTTGACGCTACTTTATCTCGGCTATATGTGATTGTATTAAGACATCATCGGTTTTTAGGTCTCGATATGGTCATCAAATGTCTCACTGTCACTAACTATTGCCGTCGCTTCTAATAATTAAGAGTGTCGATCAGTAATGCAGGAAAGGAGCTAAACAAATGCAAAATACAACTCATATAGATTTTTGCAAGTATTTCGAGTATCTGGACCTCTATCCATTGTGGGTTATTATTATAGATTCCAATCAACGCCAGCCCGGTATCCTCTACTAACCTAGTTAACTGACTAGTTATCATACATGATCTTATGTAAAAGGAAATGTGGTAGCGGCCCGCTCCACATACGAACCTCAAGGGGCCAAAGCGGCAATTTCTCGCCGATTGATGTCCATTCCTCACTCTCACTTCCGCCCTTTTTTTCCCTCCCCGCATCCTCCAAGGTTTGACACATCCAGATATGCCGTCAAATCATAGCTCAGTCTGTACTCACCAGTCGATCTGTTTTGATTGCTCTCGTCATGCAGCACAGGCAGGCTTCGAAAGACCTGGTCTGGAAGAGCGTGTCTCTGCACAGAAAGAAGAAAATGAGTCAACTCAATCACTATCTGAGGACAATCCTGAAGCATTTCCTGCTCCGTTGGTGCTACCTGGTGATGAGATTGCTGAAGATCCTGAATATCCGTCCCAATCTTTCCAGGAGTGGCTAGATAAAGAGGATCGCAACCCAGTCAATACTCAACGCAAAATCGTTTATGTGGCTCCTCCACCGCAAATTGATGATTCCGTCGAGTTTCTGCGATCATTGGTTCAGCCGCAACAACATGACAAGGGGCCACGAGCACAGTCTCCCCACCATGAAGACGTACACGGATATGTGTCTGCATTCTATCATGGCCTTCCGGTCAAGCTTCTGCCTCAATCGACACTCCGTCTTGTTTCATGGGATTCTGGGAGAAAGCCATCCAAAACTGCACCTAGCACCAAGCCGGCGAGACCAAGATACGTCGGGCTACAGACAACCCAGGAATGTGTTCGAATTCGTCTTCGTCCCTCCAAAGATGGCGTCTTTCAAGGACAACTGAATTTGAATGACCTCCTAGATGCTGCGATTAGTATGCTGCCGAGAGATGCATACGCACTCCTTTTATTGGTTCATCATGACATATACGAAGATGAGAATGACGACTTTTCCTGTGGCCGCGCTTACGGAGGAAGCAGGGTGGCTGTTGTGTCGAGTGCTCGATACAATCCAGGTTTGGACGAGTTGGAATCTGTTGAACGTCTGCATGCCTGGCCCGCATCACATTGCGGTAGCTATATTACCCGTTTTTGCGATGCAGCAGAGGAGGACTTGAGAGGAAACCATTCAATCAAATCAAAGAAGCCTAGAACCAAGAAATCCAAACTGCCGGCCGTTTCTCCTGGATCTGGGGCCGGTCCCATGGATGCCGCGGTGTCGGTCCACCGATCTTTGCCCACAGAGAACATGACAGCGGTCTCATTATCTGCACTTTGGCTCGGTCGCTTTTGCCGCACAGCATCTCATGAGCTGGGCCACTGTTTTGGTATTGATCACTGCATGTACTACGCTTGTTCCATGCAGGGAACTGCCTCGGTGGGCGAAGACGCAGCCCAGCCACCCTATCTTTGCCCTGTCGATTTGGCCAAGGTTTTGCATGCCACTTCCGGTGATGTAGTCGACAGATATAGAGCGCTTCTGGCATTCTGCGAACGGCCGGGCAACAAAAAGGCGCATATCTTCGCGCCATTTGGAGCCTGGATCCGGGCGAGAGTGAAACAACTCAATGTCAACAATGATGACAGCTGACCACTCGTGCATCTGTTAGCTCTGTTCCATTCATTATCCCTTTTCTTCTCTTCTATTTCTAGTATTAAGCGATTTGAAATAATTTTACAAATGCCACAACAGCGTGAAATTACAGCAAAGCAATGGTTATTTGTGCAATCACAGGACTTTTGCCTAGATGACCAGGCGCCAAGGCCGCAACTGAGCGGGCCGCGGTTACCTAAGCGGGTCGACCGCCCTTCACTTATTTCCTCTTCCTCGAGCTTCCTCAAACCCCCACAGCATTCGCATTCTGTCGCAGTTTGCGGCTTCGCTCCCTGCAAAATGGCAACTCCCGTGGATGCCAAGCTGCTCAAGCAGACTAAGTTTCCCCCGGAATTCAACCAGAAGGTAGACATGAAGAAGCTCCACATTGAGGTCATGAAGAAGTGCGCGCCGTTCCCCGGGTTTCGATGATGCCGTCGGTCAGTGCTAATGGGCCTTTAACACAGGTGGATTTCCGAGCGAATCTCAGAGATCTTGGGTCATGAGGATGACATCGTCGTTGAGCTTTGTTTCAACCTACTGGAGGGATCACAATACGTACGTTCCTTGCCAATTCTACTAATTCTCAACTTTGTTAGAACAATTTTTGTCTAATCCGTTTGTTATAATGAGCAGCCCGATATCAAGTCCCTCCAAATCCAACTCACTGGATTCCTCGACAAAGACACCCCCGCGTTCTGCAAAGAACTCTGGGCACTTTGTCTCGATGGCCAAGCAAATCCCCAGGGCATCCCCAAAAAATTGTTGGAGGAAAAGAAAGAGGCCCTTAAAAAGGAGCAAGTGAGTCGCCACAAACGTGTAAGGTCCAAATGCAAACACAATATTCACAGAAAGTCGCAGATTCGTCAGTCTGAACTTGCCCGGAAACAGGAAGAAGAGCGAAAGCGAGACGAGGAAATGGAAGAACTGCGACGTCGAGAGCGTGCAAATCGTCCTACGCCCGGCCGCCATCGCGACTTCGGTCGACGAGAGCCGCGATCTCCGCCCCGATACCGAGATCGAAGCAGAGACCGATATCGTGAGCCCCCATCTCGTCGTGAGTACGATCGTTACGCGCCATCCGGCAATGACAGAGGTCGCAGACCAGCCCGCTCCTCCGATTCTCGCTCCCCTCCTCCCCGACACTCTTCTCGGTCCCCTTCGCCGCCGCCTCGCCGCCGCCGCCGAAGCTACAGCAGATCTAGATCGCCGCATCGCCGAGATCGCAAGGAAAGAGGACGGCGCAGCCCGCACTACGGTGATCGATACAGTTTGAATTCCCGCAGTGAATCATCCCGCTCACGAACTCCCAGAAGAGATCGAGGCAGACGGCGCTCTGTCTCGCGCAGCGTAACTCCGCCTCGACACCACGATCACCACAGAAGACACTCTCGCTCACGATCTCGTACTCGCTCCGTGTCACGCTCTCGTGAGCACAGCACTGGCCTATACAGAGGCCGCCATACTCGCCGCTTGAGCCCCGGGCGCCTGAGCCGCAGCCGTAGCCACAGTCGTGAGAATAACCGCCGGCGTCGACGTGCCACTTCAAGCCGGAGCCGAAGCCGCAGCCATAGCCGTCATCGTCACCGCCAACCTCATCGTGCCACTTCAAGCCGAAGCAGAAGCCGCAGTCCTCGAAAGGATCGCGCCCGTCGACGATCAATTGAAAGGTACAAGCCTGCTATGCGCAGAAGACGCAGCACGTCTTCCATTTCTTTGGGCCCCAATGAGAAGCGACAAAAGGTGGATGACGAGGACAAGTATTCAAAGCGTCATTCGCAATCTCCAGACCCGAAGCCATCGATTCCAGAAACCGCGGAGAAGGATGGTTCAGAGGATCTGCGAGAGTGAATCATTGTGTTTTTTCTCATACCTACTCGGCATTTCAAAATGCCCACGGATTGTTTCTGCGTTACGCTGGTGTCCAATGGCCGTCAGCTTTTCTCTTTTCAACCAGACAACTGGTTACCACTGCACCGTAGCAGTTTTTTTCACGCTTTTCTCGGCATTTTGAAAATGCTCACTTCTACTTTCCGTGTTTAATGGGTACTTTCGGCAATGAGTATCTTTTCCAGAACGATCTATCACTACATCAGGGTAAACCACAATGAAAATTTTCAAAACATCTGGCATCCGAGCTTCGTAGAGGAACGTATAATTCTAGGTGTACACCAAAAGTATACATTTCCTCTTTTTCCCTTTACTCCAACTTGGCTCCGAGGCTTGGGCCACCTCGGGGCTTAATGAATTTGGATCGCTCCTCGGCAGGCTTCGCCTAGAGATGTGCGATTGCCTGGTAGCCACGCTGAGTAAAAGAGAAAAATCAGAAGAAAAAGGGGATAACCAAAGTGAGTGAAAATGTTGCCTAAGCATTGAAACGCATCATCGAACCAGAATGTCAATTGGTCTGTCTGGGTAAGAAGTAGAGATTCTATATCGTCAAGAATAGGGCTCACTAAATAACATAAGTAACATTTTGAGAGAACAAGTATATCAATGGCAGACTCGAGGCCTCGAACGTAGAAGGAATGTACTCCATTGAAGGGGGGATCAAAAAAGGCACAAAACGACAAGTCTTCAACCGGCGCAAAGGCCCAAGCCGCAAACCGCCCGAAGCCGTTCGTCCATATACATTTACATGGTCAGGCCAGAATCTCCCAGAGCAGATTAGAATTAGAATTAGATATCTACAGACAGGACAAACGCGAAGGGTCGAACCTGAGTTCTAGACAAGGGTATCCGCAGGCCACGCGCCTTCCCAGGGGAGTTTGAAGGTCATCTTGTCATGAGAAAAGTAAAACAAAATCGGGAGAGTAGCTCTTTCAATGGGATGCTGCTGGAAAGCGTTTTCAAGAGCCGCTTACTCGCAGTTGCAGACAGTCGAGGTGACGGTGACAGTGGTGGTGCTGTCAATCTCGCCGCCGTTGCCGCCGCTAGGGACGGAGGGAGCGGTGGTAGGAGCCGGGGGCTGAGTGGCACCAGAGCCACCGGGGATGACGGTAGAGGTGACAGCGGGGATGGTCTCAGTCTCACAGGGAGTGCTGGCGCTGGCACCGGGGCCGGAGGGAGAGCCACCGCCAGCGACGGGGGTCTCAGAAGGAGAAGCACCCGAGGGCGCAGGGGCACCGGGGATGACAGTCGAGCTCACAACAGCGCTGGTCTCGGTGTCACAGGGGGTGGTGGCAGATGGAGCAGGGCCACCAGGGACACCAGACTCGGAGGGAGAAGCACCGGAGGGAACAGGGCCCGAGGGAACGGAGCCAGACTCAGCTGGGCCACTGGGGGCGGGGCCAGAGGGCACAGAGCCCGAGTTGGCAGGGCCAGTAGGAGCAGGACCACCGGGAATGACAGCCGAGCTCACGACAGCGCTGGTCTCGGTGTCACAGGGGGTGGTGGCAGATGGAGCAGGGCCACCGGGGACAACAGACTCGGAGGGAGAAGCACCGGAGGGAGCAGGGCCCGAGGGAACGGAGCCAGACTCAGCTGGGCCGCTGGGGGCGGGGCCAGAGGGCACAGAGCCCGAGTTGGCAGGGCCAGTAGGAGCAGGACCACCAGGGATCACAGTCGAGCCAACAATGGAGCTGGTCTCGGTGTCACAGGGGGTGGTAGCGGGTCCAGAAGGAGCAGGGCCACCGGGGACACCAGATTCAGATGGAGAAGCACCGGAAGGAATAGGGCCCGAGGGAACGGAGCTAGACTGAGCAGGGACACTGGGAACGGGGCCGGAGGGAACAGAGCCAGAGTTGGCAGGACCAGTAGGAGCAGGGCCACCGGGAATGATAGTAGAGTCGATAATGGAGCTGGTCTCGGTGTCACAGGGGGTGGTAGAGGCGGCAGGGCCAGAGGGAGCCGGTCCAGAGGGAACACCGGGGGTCGAGGCAGGGCCGGAGGAGAGGGGAGTGTTGACGATGCTGGTGGAGGAAGGCAGGCTGGGGACCGAGGAGGGCTTGGGAGCACCGGGCAGGCTGCAGCCGGTGAACCACTCAATAATGATGAGCTCGATGTTGATACCGATATCGATGCTGGTGCAGCCACCCAGGAAGGCAGCCAACTCAGCGCGAGCCTCCCAGGAAAGGCAGGACAGGCTCTCGCCAGAAATGAGCAGACCAAGGGCACCACGGAGGTTGACGCTCAGAGTGGCCAGGACGGTCTCAGTCAGGAAGCCGGTGATGTCGCCGACAAGGCCGGTGACAAGGTCAACGGAGGTCTCGGTGACAGCCAGGGACAGCCAGAGCAGGACAACAGCCTTCAGCTCAACGCCGAGGCTGCAGTCAGAGCCAGACAGCCAGACAGCGAGAGCAGTTCGAGCCTCAACGGACAGGGAAGTAGCGAGGTGACCCTTGGCGCAGGCCTTCAGGGCAAGCAGAACGTTGGCGTCGAGGTTGGCGGAAACAGCAGCCTCCAGGAAAGCAGCAATGGAAGCCTGGGCGTGGGTGGAGAGAGCGCCACTCTCCTGAACGGAAACACCGACGGAAGCACCAACGGAGATGGAGGTCAGGGCATTGTCGGAGAGAGACCCAATGGCAACAAGGTCAGCACCGGATTTGCCATGAATCCAGGCAAGGACGGTGGCCTTGAGGTCAGCATCGAGAGAGCAGTCGCCACCCGTGAGCCAAGCAAGCAGGGAAGCCTTGATGTCAGCAGTCAAGCTGCCAACAACACCGCCGTTGGCGCAAACGCCCAGACCGGCCTTGACATCGGCACCGAGGCTCAGGGTAGTCTCGAGGAAAGCAGAAAGAGAAGACTGAGCAGAGAGGCTCAGGACGAGAGTAGACTCCAGGTCCACAGCGGAAAAGATACCGTCCAGGGTAACGTAGATAGACTCCTTGGCGGCGATCTCAGCGCAAGTAGGGATGTAGACAGCCAGGGCAGCGAGGATATCAGCGGACAGGGTAACATCTGCATCAGCCTCACACCACGACAGCAGGTGGGTCTTGAGGGTGCCAGTGATGTGAGTCTGGCCGTGCAACCAGGACTTCAGCTGGGCACGGGCATCGGCGTGGATGGTGCCAGCACTGCATCCAAGAGCACCACCCTCCAGAGCAGCAGCACCGTGGGCACTCAGGCCGGAGAGCAGAGAGACGGAGACGTGGGCACCACCACCCAGGATGGCCTCGAGGATACCACCGACGTCGACAACGGCATCGCCGAGGATATCAGCGAGAAGACCGAAGGTGCGGCGCTCGTGAGCGATGTCTGCAGGGTATGCGAGAGTCGAGCTCGCCAGACCGGCGAGCAGAAGGAGGGAGGAACGCATTTTCGGGCGTCACAAGTGTGTATAGCGAGTGTATAGGCACAGCAGGCCAATGACGGTACAAAAAAAGCGGATTTGACAACAGTCAACCCGTGGGAAAAAAGAGAGGCAGACAAACCACAACGGCCGTCCAAAAGGTGATTAACGATAGACTGGATGGAAAAAAGAGATATGAAAAAAGAAAAGAGATAGAGTAGTGACATCGGGAGAGCGAAGATCCTCAATATTTATACACCCCTGATCGTCCAGGAACTTCGCGGCCTACTGGAAGCCGGATCTCCACTTTCGATCCAGCATGTCCAGCACATCACCAGGGCCGGATGGACCAGGAGGTGCAGTGCACTGCTACCCCGGTCTCGACGCCTTCAATCCACATTTGGAGCTATCCACCTATCCACCCCCTTAGGCTCACGGATATCGGGGGGCAGACCTGGATCATTCAGGGCCGGGTGGAGCAAGGCTACCAGTGAGAATTCACCGGGTCAGGCTGGATACACATGGGTGGAAACGGTGCCCGCTCGTGCCGTCTATTTGTGGCGAGGTAGTCGCAGAAGGTGTCAGGTACCGGCAAAATATGGGGAATCTGTGGCATTTTCATCCCGACTATTGATCCATGGCCTGACTTGTCTTTTGAGTTAGAGCAACAGCGCAATTGCGATTGTTGACATTGTATCATGACTTGGACGAGCATCTCCCACCAAGTTCGCGGTCAAATTTTGGTATGTTGCCACGAGTGCAGCCGAGAGGAGACATGCGAGTCTTGGCCCGAAGAAGGTAACCGCGGCGAGGATCATAGGGAGAAATGCAGTCATCGCCCACCTGGCGCAGTGTGCCAGGGGAAACGATCGTCGTGACCCACCAACGGTTGACGGGCAATGACCCGAAAGAATATTGGGGTGGGCTATTTTCGTCCTCCCCCAAAAAGCAGTGCCCTGGTCACGGCCAGCCTGCAAGGAAAAGGGGACTCTGGTTCTTCAGTTTTGTTCAGCATCCAAAAAGGGGGTCCTCCTCCAGGTAGCCAGTCGTCGTTCGGGGTTAGTCTCGTCCAAAAGACCCAAGAAGCCTCGACCGGGGCCCAGTAGCGACAGGCATCCGAGTGGTCCGTCGTGAATTGGTCCCGAGTTCCCGAGATTTAGTCCTGATCATGATGCACCGGCTTAACGCTTTTGGGTCTAGCCCTGACGCAGCTCGCTCTGCTTTTCAATCCCTGAGGAGAAGAAGAGACATGTCGAAACACCTTGACCCAAGGTCCAGCGCTCTTTCGGTGGCTACCCGACTGAATTTTCGGGCCCTGCAGCGCTTATTATTCACGGGTCACGCAGGGTCGGAGAGTGACCGGATGCCGTTGGATGGCCCTTAAGGTTGTCCTGCAGTGCCACGGACGACGCATGGTATGTTCTATGCTTGTTTTTCTGCTGGCTTCATCTTGTGTGACCAGGATGCAGGTACGGCAGATTTTTCGAAAGGAATCAGCATGCAGCATGCAAGCTGTCGGGGCATTGTTGGCAGCTCCACGGGGCGAAGTCTGATTCAGACAAGGATGTGATCAGGAAATCAAGGCAGTCAGGAATCAGGATGTGCTGAACACCGCGATCCCAGAAGAATCTCGACTCGATTCCTTCCAAGGATGAGAGCTGCACTATGCAAGCCACCGTCCGTATGGCAACGATAGTTCTGAAGTTGGAGCAACACTACTGCAGTTCGACTTGCAGCTTTGGACTCCACTGACAACAAAGGCGTCCGGCGTCGCGAAAAGTACAGAGGGACCCATTCCAGGGCGATTTCCTCAAAGCCGAGTGGCTCTAAAATGAGCGTGGAGGGAAAGCGAGTTGCCCCTGGACCCAGGGGAAGGATATGGCTCCACCAGGCTCGGCGGAGGTGGAAACTGGCGAGACGCAAGTCGCCAGACAGTGCAAACACACCTTTGTTGACTCGAGGGCACCCCCTCTGGTCGCGCTCGTCGTCGAGTGGTCTGCCTAAGCTTCTTTGTGCGCGAAGCCCCCACCGACTACTGCAGCGAGATGAAACTAGCGTCCAGGCCCTTCTTCCCTTTGGTCCTGTGAAGTGGAGAACCGGTTCGTTTGATTCTGGAGGGCTGGAGGGGCTTCCCGAGGATCTCGACACGATCGTTGTTTCATCATCACCCGTCCCTCGTCGGCCCAGGCGCAGGGCTCGCGAAGCTCAGAGACATGGCGCGACGGCGTGGGTATGAGATAGAGTGTCGTTCGAACGATATGGGGAAGAGAGTTCACGATCGCATCCTAAAAAAAGCAACTGGTTGCGATAGAGTACCGATTGAGTGTCCCATCCTGGCGGGCTGGCAGACAGCAGGTTCCAGCAGTCAGGAATGCTGGTGGAAGTCGTCCGAAAGGCAAATTGCGATGTGTCCGATTTCAAACGCGCCCCGCCGGGAGCTACATACCCAGCCTCGAGGTGGCATATCGCAAGTTCTGCGTCCCAGCGGTCGGCAGCCGATGGATCAGGTACCCGGCCCTGCATGAGAGTTGTCCTGAGGGGAAAAACGGGGAGGCAATCTAATTAGGTTCGGCAGCTTCAACCGCGGCTGCCCGGCGGTGTCTTGGCCGGCTTCGTCGGATACGCTGATCGATCGATCTTTGTCCTCCATCATCCTGGACTCTCACAACAAAAGCAAGCATCAACAGCATCCTGAAACATTGCACCTCGTAGAATATTTCTATCTCCCCGATGGCTCAGTGCGCCATGCTCCACCTGCAGGAAATACTAGCACTCGACGTAGATGATCGGATAGTACATACTAGTACATACCCTAAGTAGTCTTCCCTAGGGTGTAGTACATCGAACACTCGTATTTGATCAGGAACTCCTCACGGACCAAACTATAATCCCGATCGGGGACTTTGCACCGAGCTCTGGACGGGTCTGGTCGTGGATCTCTGCGAATCTGATGGATCTATACGGCCCTCATCACATGGCAGGACCCAGACTTTGATTTTTTCCCGTGCTCCATCGCCATCCATGGCGACATGACCAAGCGTATCCCTGGATTGCCCTTCGACACATTGCATTCTGCACTCGATACATCGCAGGCATCATCTCGCATAGTGCGTGCACGAGGTAGCATGGCTACCTATCGAAGAATTTTCCTGGCGGGGACGACAATGCTGCAGGACCGCATAAGTGGATCGACCGAAACGACCGCACGTTTATTCATGTGAACCTCTCAAAACCGTTCATTTATGGCGCTAGTAGCCGATAGTGTGTGTCATTAAAATTGTCCAATTCGAGTTCGTCTGCGCCACTGTCCCGGCTCCCAGCTCGTGTTGGCGGACTTGCAGGCGTACCTTGCAGGCGCAACCTCGGGAAGTGCCCAGTGTAGTGGCTGGGCTGGTTGTGCCTTCAATGTTTATGCGTGCATCGCAAAGTCATACCCTACCCTAGGGTACTAGGTAGCCCAGTGTCGTCATTCAAATGCTGTGCACCAGTGTGGTTCGCAAATTGGATATTTGAAAATAGAAAAATAAAATAAAATAAAATAAAATAATCATCTACAGTATGTAGTTCAGATTGAAAATTGGGCTTTGCATTATTCCTATTAAGTTCGATTTTGGGAATCGTCATACATCTAACTGTTGTCCCCATCACATATTGTTGTGAAGCTGGCCTGCACTAGTGTACACTATGTAACGTGATTCCTAAACGAGTGGGCCACCGAAACGAGTGGGCCACACATCAACAGTACACTTACTATACATATATATATATCAACCACAACGTACTGATATTGAATTAATTACTGCTTTTGACATGTCCTGATATCATGGCCTGTCTCTCGACACCCACTGCACCGTGCTTGTGCCCTTTTTGGTTGTGTATTGGCCTGATTTGTCACCTCCGCTGTGCCCGCTGCTTCGGTCGGAATTGCATGTTGAGGGCTCTCTACCAACGTAGAGGTCTCATGAGCAGCTATACTGCTATTATGAGATATCCGACGTTTAGATCGAGTGCGCTTTTGGGTTAAATTTGCCACAGTTGCACGTAGGCCTCGAACTTCTTCGGTCAAAAGCGCTGTTCTGTGCATATGTAACTCTGAACATTTAACGAGCTGGTTTAACGTGGTTTGCACAGCTAAAGGAGGGCTTTGAGACCCTACTTTGAGGAGGCCTTTCATCAATAATGCCCGTCGCTGTAGCTGACGGGTATTTTGAGGTGTTTTTGCAATTGAAGAAGTGCTCCCTCGGCTGGGAGGAGGGGTGGGCGTTTTTAGACGAATAGTCAATTTAGATAGCACGCGATCAGGATTATATGGTACTAATCCTGTAGCATTAAAACCGCTTTGGATTGATGCAGTAATAAGTGCCTTTTGCCGTGCTATTGGATATGTAGATAGGAAATCAAGCTTGTCAATATGATTGATCCCGTTGTGGATTTGCCGTTTAACTAAATCGCCGTAGCCACGTTTGAGGGTGGCAAAACAGGCCACATCTAGTGGCTGGAGTAAATGCGATGAATGTGCTGGCATGCATATTGGTATGATGTTGTTTTGGTCGCATATTTGGTCAAATTGAGGTGTTAAGTGGCTACCATGCCCATCAAGGACTAGGAGACAGTATTTGCCTGTTAACCGACCTTGAATAGCTGGTATAAAGCTTTTTTGAAGCCATTCGAGTCCGATCTCGTCTGTTGTCCAACCATTCGGGCTAATCATTAATCGCCACTGGTCTGGAAGCTCATCAAACCAGGATTCGATAAAAACCTTGCCCTTAAAGATGATATATGGCGGGAGCGCCCAACCAGTGGCGTTGATAGCTTCAATAACTGTCACCCACTCGCGATTTCCAGGCTGTAAAGATGCCCTCCGACCGTAGTATTCAGCCCTAGTGATGACTTTTGCGGTCGCAGTTAGGCCCATTGCGAAGCCCGTCTCATCAAAATTGAAGATATCGTTAGGTGCGATGCCGTATTGGATAATAACCTGTCGAATCCGGTCGAACCAATCGCGAATAACCTCAGGATCCTCGCATTTAGCCCTTCGATAGTCGTATCGGCGCGTGAAGCGACTTTTTAGCACATCTGAGTGCCTTCGAACAAAGTTATTGACCCAATCTCGTCCGACCGTAAGTGGAGGGTTGGTTTGACGGCTTGTAAGTAGTAAATTGGCCATTTCTCTCAACATATTGACCCTAGGAGGATTTCCACGTAGGTCCATAGAGAGTATCCATTTCACAAGCGATTCCTCCTCATTGGCAGTCAATTTGTGGTTGTTGGCACGCATTTCAGTCCGAAATTGTTGGCCTTGTAGGCGTCTCTGTAGAGTCGTACGCGGGACGGAAAAGACGGTCGCAGCTTCACGAACAGAGGTGATCTCCTGATTTTTGATGGCTTTGATAGCTAATAGGATCCTGCCCTCTTGTTCTGTAGATTTTTGGCCAATTTGAACGCGATTTGGTGGCATTTTGGATGGTTGGAAATTGCCAGAGATCAAAATTGGAGATACGCGTGGACGCGTGGCCCACTCGTTTCGGTGGCCCACTCGTTTAGGAATCACGTTATACCATAGAGCGGAGGTTATATATTTGACATCATCTCATTTCTACCTGCCTTTGCCTTGTAACACCACAATCACATATTTATTTTTGGTGACCGTATGCACGAATACGATCCCATTAAAATCGCTGGAACGTTTACTTGATCACGCAGGCCAGTCAATTTACATTTTAAAGCCAAGACAACATTTCATTACTTTGTTGTTTAGTATCGCATCGGCCGGAGCCTCAATGTCCCTTGCGCGGCGGTAACCGAGCCCCGGCCCAGGTGATGGTAAAAGCGAATACCAATAAGCAGCCGAATTCCAAGGGAAGAGAGATAATGAAAACACCACGGAATAGTTTATAAAAGCGACAGCAATTGAGCACCTATCTATTGATCCCAAGACGGTCGCGACGAGTCGACACGTCCATCATGACATTCTTTGTTGTTGGCGTCGCCATGGCAACTAGACCACGTGACCTATAGCGCGCCGCGACGGCACTTCGAGATTGGATGGACTTTCCCCTGCAGCGACACAACAAACATCCGACAACTCGGCCATCGCGGGCCACATTGATCCACGACTTCAATGTAGGCAATTGTCGCCATGGCCTCGACGAATTCGCTTTCCTCCGCCTACCAATCCGGCGGCCCATTTCAGCTGCCGTCTCGTCCGATGTCCCGATCCGCGGTTTCACGTTCGGGATCCAGACGGGCGTCACCGGCGCTCCACGCTCAGCCCAAAACAATGTCTCGACACTACTCGGGGGACAGTTCGGATGAGGAGGTTCCAGAACCGAAGTTTAGTGCCTCCGTCAAAGCCCTTTTGGACGGAGATGGATTGGGATCTTCGCCTCATCTGCAAAAGGGACATGCGGCATATGAGCGACGAGCGGCGGTCGGATCGAGGCAGGGTAGCCAATCGCCCCGAACTGCGTCACCTCACGATCGATCAACGGGCAGCCCTGCCCCTAGGGTCGTCCGAATTGGGGGTGTTTCGTCCGCCTCCAGATTTTCTCGCGAAGGATCTCCATTGTCAAACAGCCACAGTGCGGAGTCCGAACCACAAGATCGCCCGAATGATTTCATTACTCCCGCCCCACGACCGCGCAGCGTTCGGATCAATGCGTCGCGTAGCCATACGCGATCTCCTTCTTCCATCTCACCACTGAAGCGTTCAACGGAACGTGGATCGGGCGACGAGTATGGAAGTGGGGAGCGATCTGATAGTGACCGGAAATCTCGCCTTGAAGATGACCCGGCTTCTCACATCGGCTCTTCATCAGTCCTGCGAGGTCGTAATGGAGACGATATTGGGCCCCAGAGTTCCTTGCGAGTGAAGAGGGTTGGCCGACTTACCGGCACATTCTTGAACGGACCAGCACGGCGGGGAGTCCTGCGCCGCCAAAGCGAAGAAAACAACGAGGAAAATTATTTACTGAATGGGGATGTGAGAGAGGATGCCGAGCGTGAAGATAATAATGTTGAATATCAAACCCGGAAGCCATCATCGCCCAAAGTATCATGGGCGGACCCGAGCCCACCGTCGGAAAGAGAATCGCATCGCTCCGAGCTACCAGCAACAGGTCCCGAAGAAGGTCTCTTTTCAAGATCATCGTCACCCAAGTCTGCTGGATCTCAATCGAAGTCGACACCCGCATCCTCGGACAAGTCGTCTAAGCCCTCCAGTGCGCAGGAGCAGCCGGCATTCAAAGTTCCATCACTGCCGCCACTCCCGTCGGTAAGGGATCAGGAGAATGAGCCTCCTCCAACGTTCAAGCGTACCAAGCCCCAAAGCTTTAACCTGCTGGACAAGCCCGAGAAGTTCTCTGTTGTGTACGATGCCGACAAAAAGGATGCTGTGGAAGCGCCAGCAGGAACCACACCTCGCAAGATCCTGTCGACTCGGAGCAACAACACCCCTCGCCGGCCTGCTCCTCCGCCCCCGAAAATGTCGGTGCTTGAGACAGCCACTGCTACCGCTGGAGCATCCACATCACAGTCTCGGAAGAAGCGGACCCAGGTTTCTATCAACCACAAGCATTTCACTCGTCTCGACTGCATTGGTCGTGGGGGAAGCTCACGTGTCTATCGTGTCATGGCTGAGAATTATAAAATCTTTGCCCTGAAAAGAGTAAATTTGGAGGACGTTGATCCGCTGACCTTGGCTGGGTACAAGGGTGAGATCGATCTTTTGAAGAAATTGGAAAATGTTGAGCGCGTGGTCCGTCTTTTTGACTGGGAGCTCAACTCTGAAAAACATTCCCTGAGTGTTCTTATGGAAATTGGCGAATCCGACCTTGAAAAAATCCTCACATACCGTCTTAACGCTGAGGATGCTGTATTTGACATCAACTTTACCCGTTTTTATTGGAAAGAAATGCTTGAGTGTGTGCAAGCTGTACATGATTTCAACATTGTGCACTCCGACTTGAAGCCTGCCAACTTCCTTATGGTTCAAGGCCGGCTCAAACTGATCGATTTCGGAATCGCTAATGCGATTCAAGACAACACGGTCAATGTGCACCGTGAGCAACAAGTTGGAACACCAAATTACATGTCACCCGAGGCTTTGGTCGACTCCAATGCTTCGCTTGGTCTGCCCGCCAGCGTCGGGAAGGTGATGAAGCTGGGCAAACCTAGTGATGTTTGGAGTTTAGGCTGCATCCTGTACAAAATGGTGTACGGCCAGCCCCCATTTGCAAAAATTGCCAAATACTACGAACGTATCATGGCTATTCCCAACCCCCGTGTACAAATCGACTTTCCGTCCCATGGCGTGGGCGGTGTCCCTGTTCCTCCTGGTCTCGTCCGCACTCTCAAACGCTGCTTGCAGCGTGACCAAACTCTTCGACCAACCATCGAGGAGATGCTCGGCCCCCGTGATCCATTCTTACACCCTGACGCCCAGCTCGAGGGTGCAGTTCCCGTCACTCAGGACATGCTCGGCCGCATCCTCGCCAATGTCGTCAACCATTGCAGGGCCCGCGGCATCCCCAAGGAAGAAGAATTGGCAGCTTGGCCTGCGGGATTCTTTGCCAAGATAAAAGCAGCACTGGAAGAAGAAAATTCCTAACCGGTCCCTACCTCTCTCCTTTGTCTTCATGTTCCCAGACCTTGTTCCCTCTTTTTGCTTTTACACAAGAACGACTTAATGACCGGTGTTGGATGGGTTTCGTTTTCTTCCGTTTAGAGTCCACTGGTGGTCGATCTCACCAATATCTTGACTGCCACTTATTATCTTTCCTGTTCTCTTCCCTCTTGCATAGCTCCTTATGGGCTTTGTTTGATTCAATCAACAGTTCGCATTGGCGGCTCAGCACTGCGTGTGGAACATCCATTCTGTATATGAATTCTTGTGTTCATTTCTCTGCTTGCATTGGGATATCGACTCAAGCATTGGGGTTATTGGAGTTCTTCTTGGTGCCTTCATAGCGCCCTTTAATTCATTAAACTTTCTGTCAATTCTTCTACCATACCATATGAAACAGTAGACTATAGCGTAGATAGAGCGATATGTTCAACAATTAAAAAAATATTAGCATTCCCATTCTCGCTTGTGCCAAACGTAAGCTTGCTCTCTGCGGGGGCAGCCTCGGCAAGTGGGACTTGAGCCAGCCAACACCCGCTTACCAACGAACTGAGCCTAGAAGTCATTTGCCACCGGCAAAGCCACTGCTGAGAAACTTGCTACACACGATCGCCGGAATTGGATATATTGGCCTAATCAATTATACCCATGTGACCACTTCTCTTCTGAACCATGTTCCGTTTTCATCGAGACTATGTTCCTGTTAAGCGTTGCTGAGTGATGTTTACGCGTGGCGACTGATTCGGATTATTGAAATAGTTCCATCGAGATTCTTTGCTGAGATAGTGTAGAAAGAGACATGTCTATATAAGATGTCGAAAATCCCGTAGTCAAGACACTACCAAGCATCAATCCAGATCAACCTGAGTACTTTCTCAAAGTAGAAACTACTATCTGCCCTATCCATTACACATCATCGCCACGTCGAACCCAACCACGATGTCTTTCCAGTGGAAGTCTGTCAGGCAACACGTTTCGGACTTCTGGCGATCCCAGAAGAAGTCCATGGCGGCCAAGGCCGACCGTTGGGACGACACCGAGAATTAAGGCGATTAAGCCTGCAGAGATAATATTTCAATCGGGAACTGCGAATAGCATGTCGACTTATCAAAACGTGAGTTATTGTTACTTCTCAGATGATTGAGAAGGGAAAAATATTGACTCAAGCTTGACTGTAGCAGAGGATCAAATGATGATATCACATTATGCGACTGATTGGATTTATCTTGGGTACCAATATACGTGAACATCACCTAGCTTCATACAAATAAATGTACGAGAATTGGTTAACGATGGGACATGTATTCTATTTTATTTTCTTTCGATGATATAAATATCAATTTTATCTTTTCCCTCGAGTCAAACTACGCTGAGTTTCTAGTATTTTTCGACAATGGCTCAGCACCATATGAAGTCGTAGAACAAGATATACCTTCTAGAAGATGGAAAAGACCTTAGAAACTCGCCGATGGAGACTTTTTTAAACAGCAAAAGGCATTTAGATCGGGAATATTCCGGTATGTATGTGTAGCTAAGCTAATCTAACTACATCCCGCGAGGGATAAAGCATGCAGTATACTTTTCACCCAAAGACCAAAAAGACTTGGGAAAATGCGCCATGAACACCGAAGAAATAGCGTGGTCTATCAACCATGTCATATGAACCGTGAAACAAATAGAGCATATAATGCTTAGGAAGATGGTAGTGGTATCGAAGACAGACGGGGGCCAGTCGAGAGGGGAAAGGGAAGGGCGATCTTGTCATCAGGGTATGAATCTAGACGAGGAGAACACTGAAGATTGTTGTTAGTATAACGGTAACATCGGAATCATAGGGAAATCGGGAACTCACGCATTGACGCATCCGTCGTTCTCGGGACTAGTGGAAATTGTCAGTAAATGTCAGAAGAAATTGTGACCGTTATCAGGAAACCTACACGTTGGTGATCTGAGCCCATTTACCCCAGACGACCTTACCGCTGGTCGTAACGAGACCAAGCTCGGAGACGTTGACCTCGACAATAGTACCCTTAGTCAAGACACCCAGCTGAGTGTAGAGAGGGTTCTGGGGGTTCTTCTTGACCGAGAGGATGGGCAGCTGAACAGTGACACCAAGTTCGGGGCTGGAAATAGATTAGTACTCTGCCTGGCAATATCACACTGGACCAAGGACAACATACTGGGTAACATTGGCCTTCTTGTAACGCAGACCCATGGGGCGAATGAAACGCTCGTACTTGACGGGTCGACGAGTGAAGTCGTTGCCGACAAAGGTGGGCTTAGTGATCATGCGCTTCCAGGACTTCTTGTGGGTCTTCTTTCCGGTGTTGACGACCTTGAACATCTCCTCCTCACTAATACCCTTGACCTTCGGCAGAGGAACAGCGAATTTGGCGGCCTTCTCATTACGCTTGTCCTTGATAGCACTGGACAAGGCCTTGGCGTTGGTGGCTTGCGAGCGGTCGAGCAGGTACTGGGGCAGAGGGGTCTTGGATGGCTCGTCGGGAGCGGAGGACTTGACGTTCTTCTCCTCCTGCTCCTTGATGCGCTTCTTCATCTGGATCTTCTCCTTGTGACGCTTCTGCTGGTACAGCTTGGCCCTCAGGCCGCGCAGATTCTGGGCATCGTGCGACTGCTTGTGCGACTCACGCGCCTGGCGCTTGCGGGTGCGCTCATCGTGGTCGAGGCGCTTACCGTGCTGCTTCTGCCAGCGCTCGATATACCTAATGGTGGGTTAGCCGGGTTGTGGACGGGATGGGTTTGTTGCGGTGGGGGATGGACGGACTCGTTCTGAGGCTGTAGGTGAAAATTTTTGTTAGTAAATGAGCATGAGCAGAGTAACTCAAAGTCATAATCCAGCAACTTACCATGATGAATGCAAACGGAGTATAACTGGTGGGACGAGGTTGGGTCTGCAAGATCTAATCGCGAGAAAATTGTCGGCAGCAAAGATAGCGGGGCACGTGACCGTCTTATCAATTTGAGGCACCAATTTGATTGCTGTCGCAAAACCAACGAGCCACAGAAGGTAAATTTTTCTGGTCCTCAAAGAAGAGTGACTAGAAAGTTGCTCGTAAATTCCGAGGAATATTTCAAATATACACATCGTATAACTATCAACTCAGGAAAATGGAGTACACTGGGAGTAGTCACGTGACACTACGGAACACGAGGCGGCCACCGGCGCCATCGTGATTTTCTCGACGCAACGGAGAGCCGCCTTTGCATCCCAACGACCACAGAACCATTTCCTCCCTCAATTTCTCTTGAGCGCCGAGGCAGGTTCTATCACTATGTTCTCTCGCTCCATTCTTCGGAGTTTTACCTCCGAATTGCGATTCACAGCACGCTCTTCGATTTCGGCAGCTCCACTTCCTCAACGAGCTTGCCTGCACCAAACCTCCTGGCTCCGAACAACGCAACAACAATCTCAGTCTCAATCTCAGTCTCCAAACCCCGAATCCCCTCTCGGAGCCACTCCCCGTGCACAAGATACCCAGCCGGAGATCCAGCAGGGCTCCAAGGCGCCTTCCACCCCGACATCCACATCCAATACCATCATTCCTCAAACGCGCGCCGACGTCCCAATTGAAAAGCAGCCCGTCGCACCGAACTTTGACACTCCTCTCGAAATCACCAAGTCTCTCATGTCGAGCCTTCCCCACCTCGCCGGTCAGACACCGCACTACGTCGTTGCGGAGTTGCATGCGCGCCCCTACCTTCTGACGGCCGGTGACCACATTCGTCTGCCGTTCCTGATGCCTAAGGTCAAGCCCGGTGATATCCTCCGATTCAACCGCGCATCTGCTGTCGGATCTCGCGACTTCACTCTCAAGGGCTCCCCATACGTTGACGAACGTCTGTTCGAATGCCGTGTCCGCGTGACTGGCACCGAGTCCGAGCCTCTGCGCATCAAGGAGAAGACCAAGCGGAGACAGCGACACACCAAGACTGCCAAGAGCAAGCACCGATACACCATCATGCGCGTGATGGATGTGCGCGTGAAGACACCGGAGGAGCTGCTGCAGGAGGGTGCCGTGGTGGTCGAGGATACGGAGAACACAACCAAAGTCGAGGCTCGGTCATGAAGTGACGAAGGCGGAAATTGATACCGCGATTTGAAAGGAAAATACGCCAGATCCAACAGAAAGCATTGTCGAATGCCTGGCGAAGATATGATGCATTAATTTGCAGCATGTTTTGTACAGATAGATGGATCTATCAGATCCTTTGTGTGCATTGTATTTTATATTTATTATTCAAATTCATCTGCGGAAATTGGAATTTAGTGTTATTCTTTCTCTAGTGTCTTCGTTGAGTTTTGGCTAACAATATATAAACTTGTAGAGGATCACAAATCGAGACTGATGTTACACCAAACTCTAGGGGAATAACAGCAGACGGGTTTGTGCTCAAGCAAACGTTTCAGGACGGGGAATCTGTCTTTTCACATCATCACCAAGGAAGACTGGAGAGGTAGGACTTTTGGGACGCTGATCAGGCTGCCATGACTCCCGACCTCTAGATCCGAGCAATCCAGATTCCGGGGTAGCTGATTTGCTCCCAATCGCCTGCTGCGCGCAGACTGGCTTCGCAATCCCAATATTATTCTCTTCATCCCCGGATGACCCACGGAAGGGGAAACAAGATCTGTTGGAAGCAGTGGGCGAAGCGCTATTTCTCTTCGCAGAGTTCCACGAGTTTCCATTCAACTCGCGGACAAGCGGGCGGAGGGTTGGCAGACACGCGCAGATGATTCCGACTGATTGCTCAATAGAGGACCAAGTCGATGGACTAACACTGACGTAGGTTGCATCCTCGAGAGAACTAAAGCTGAAGCTCGTTATCCGAAGAATAGAAACAACGCAGACACTGTGTGTTCTTAGCAATCTGCGTCTTGACTTGAGCTTTGACCAGAGCACGAAGAAAAGGGAAGAACCTACAAAGCTCCTAGCAGAAAGATTCCGGTGAGAATAAGCTTTTGCCGCGGGGAGGTTTGCAGCCTCCAGGCCATGGGATATGGCAGACAAAGAACCAAGATGTCCAACGCCATGTTGCCGAAGCCATTCCACCGGAAGAAGGCAACTTCGTTGACGCAGTACCCAGGCAGGCTTGGGTCCCAGAATTTGGAGACTGGAGAGCATCCCGCAATCGAAACTGTTGAGGCGGCGATGAAATAGGCAATAACCAGGAAAAATGAGATTGCAAGGGCCCAGCGAAAGCCACGAACAACACCGAAGATTCGGTAGTAGAGGAGAAGTAGAGATGCTTTGGTGAAGACGGCATTGGTGAAGTAGATGACTTGACTACCGAGTAAACTCTGCTTACACATGAGGTCATGCCAGTATGTAGGGGAGCTTGGAGGACGTACCTTTCCAAAGCTTTGGAATACCGCTGGAGCTATGTCGTAGGCATGTTTGCCCAAACCAAACTTGGCGACTTGGACGCATCGCAGAGACACCATCGCCCAGTTAAACATCTAATACACACAGACAACAAATTAGTATTCCTGGAAGTATCATATTGACATTTACTACCCAGGTAGTATAGAGCACCTACCAGAGACACGGCGATAGTATAGTCATCCCACCAGAGCCCAGCACGCGATACATACCGGGCTACATACCGCAGAGCCACAACCACAGTGGCAGGAATGATAGTAGAAAATGCTCCCACCCAGATGCGCCAAGAAATGTCATTATGAGGAAGGTCTTGGAGTGATTCCATGCAGGCCGAGACTTATCCGGGCTACAGAAGCTGGGGAGGCAGATCGCGTCTCCATGACGATCGTCCTTGTTTATAGGTCATATATATCCCAAGCGTATAAAATCACTAATCGCCACAGTGCCGCCATGACTCCGGGCCCAGATCCTCACAGTGTGGTTGCTAAGCCTCGTTTTGTTTTTTTTCTCGACCGGGTGGCTTCGGCCGGGGCGTCATCCCTAGGCGCAGATGCGATCGGTTTGCCGTCGTCGGGCGCTTCCGGCAGGGCTTGGCGCGGCATCCACCCCGGCCGAATCTCGCTTGAATGGTAAATCCGGGGGTCTCTCGCGGAAGACATCGACTTCTGGCATGATAGCCGGGGAAGAGGACCTTACTTACTCGAATAGGTCAACGGCTGGGCCCGCTAGGTCCAACTGGCTCCGGTACCGCGTGGCGCAATATGACAGAACGGGCTTGTACCTGCATAATGAGTTGCATGATCCCGCTTTCTCTTACAGACCCCGCGGTCGGTCTATTCAGATCTACGCGTACTAGATCGGAACCCTCCGGCACTATCTAGAATTTCCCTCGACGAAAATCTATACGTCGGGGAAGAAATTCCTGAGCCGAAGGTCTATGCTGGCCTATGAATTGCATATCCTAGGGAACACTGGTTTGTTTTTCATGAGCCGAGTGATGATTCATTATGCACAAGTGTTCTAAAAATGCTCCTCACGTCTGAACTTGACCTCGCGAATTTATTACTACTTCGAGTCAATCATGCCCCACAAGCCATCCTAGAAAAGAAGGTGACTTTTGCTACTTAGCGACGGGTATAGATGACCCAAACGAAGCATTCTTGACATTTCGAAAGTTAAAAAAAAATTGGGAATAGTATAATGTTATTTGCTGGTCATGCATTTGTTACTAAGGGCGATATATGACGGAAATGATTGCCAGGGCCAAGATCTTGAGAACAACATCAGACCACTAAACAGCAATTTCCTTCAAACCAAGTCTCAACCGACAAAGCTCGAGCGATTCGCGCTGCATCTCCGCATATAGGTGAAACTCGTCCGCAACACGGGCTCCGAGGCAGCGTTGGAAGCCATCAAGATCTGGTTCGGCTCTCATGATGAGCTGTTTGGATTGGGAATCATTACCAAGGTTCGAGTTGAAGATCCCACCTGCCGATAGTGGAAGGAAATCTTCGTATGTCAATGGCTCATAGCTCAATAAGCCATTACTTAGAAGGTTCTCCAGTGATGATGATTTGCCTCTCAGAATATTTTGCGCATCATCTGCCTGCTCCTCGCCGGTCGGGGTGAGTCGAAAGTTGAAGTATGCCAGACCTTGGGTACGTAGATTCTCTAGGCTATCTGGGAAAACCTTGAAAGATTCCTCCAGAATATAGTTATACTCAGAGCTGTTCATTTTCTGCTTCACAGCCCCTGCGTTCACCCGGTCCAAAATCTGATCATACAGCTGGCGTCCCTTGCGTGTAAGAGCATACCCTCGTTGCTCAACCTCACCAAAACGAGCCGTGTGAGAGCCTCTGACGTAATTATCAGACGAGTCACGAAAGTACACTGTTTCTTCCAGGGCTTTGAAGCTAGTTTGTCGCAGAAGTATCGGACACACTCGCTTGGGTGGCCCTTCGATTCTCTCTTTTGCGGGCATCCCATGGTCGGCCATCAATTTCTGGACCAGGTCGATGTCAATAGTTCGAGGTGTTAGGTGATTAATATGTGCGTTGGGAAAAGAAACAATGTCGGCGATCAATGGATGCTCGGATTTGAGACGCATGTATTCGCCCAAAGTCACCGTGGTTTTGGAATGCCATCTGAATGTCTCCAGTCCATTTTGAATAAATTCAGTACACTCCGCAGGAGTCAAATGGCCCTTTTGATCCACAATGTCCAATAGAGCAAGGAGCCTCGGTGTAAAGATATCTCTTTGGCTCAACGCATGCTGTGCCAGTTCGCGAGTCCTTTCGGTCAAAAGGTCCATCCGTAGTACGGTTGTAAATACCCGGAAAGGATGCTGAGCAAGGGCAGCTTGCGTATTGGGCCTAAAGGCAGTCGCGTGCATCGGAAACCCAGCCAGACTGAGGTCATAGTAGCCCACGGGGTACATCCCCATCACGGCAAACATGCGTCGGATTGTGCTGAGCTCATATGGAGTACCCAGTCGGATCGCTCCGTGTCTCTCCACCCGATGCCGCGATGGTAAGACGTCATCGGGATTTATGGCTGTTCCTTTCGACCCGTCGCTGTCCTGGATTGCCTTGGTATCAGCTTCCAGAACGACATCGACCAGGTCGCCATATAAGGGAACTTCAGTCTTGTACATTTCTGAAAGAGCATGGCAAAAACGTGCCCGAAGCACGTTTTGATCCCGGTTGTTGGTCATACTGTGCTCGTGGAATATCGGAAGTGTTATCAGGCAATATGCACAAGGGCTTCTATGACCGGACGCGGGAATGTATATTGGGACGCAAAATGTTGAGAAAAATAAATATTCTGGAACCTTGGTTCTCTTTGCTGCGATTATAGCTATCCTGGCTGCGCCAAGTGCTCGGATATCTGATTATGACCTCTAATCGCCGTGCTTATCCGCCAACGGATGTTCCGTCCGGCCCCAGTCACCTACCATGCCGATAGCGTTATCAGTATTGATAGAATAAGATGTGGCTGGCTATCTTGGATACGATTCGAAGATTCGGACCCCAGGAGCGTTTATCCTCGGCAATCAGAAGTTCATGCGGGGCTTCGAAGCAGCGCCGGTTTCCATGACTAAAAGTACCCCTTCAAGGTTAGAACATGATCCTCGACAATACGAGTTGATGTTTATGTGTGGAGCTCCAGCTTGCCGCGAATCCAATAGGATGTAGGTCCGAGGGAAATAATGCATTGCTTTTAACGCCGACGAATCGCCGTATCGCCGATGTTACTCTTTTAGATCATTACCTTCCACTTTAGATGTTCCTGATACCTCATACAACAGCGATCTCTCTGAAGAGGTAGGCAATGATGCAACATCTGATCGGGAGGAGATAAACACCAGCTGAAATTTTGTGAGGGTCCTTTGGGGTTCAAAAATGTGTCTTCGGTTTCAAGCGGGCCTACTTTCTGGACGGTCAAGTCCTCCACATCTTTCAGTTCAGGCTCAGTCGTTACTGCCCGGAAATCAGACTCTCTTTGATTAATTTCTACAATCTTTGTGTAAAAAGCCCGGATGAACTACCTTGAGCTTTTGGTAGGAAACAGGGATTGGAATGGCTGTTCGGACAGCAGTGGCTATTGGGCTTGCTTCGAGTATGGCTTCTTTACCTCCACACGAAAGGAAAGAAGCAAAGCGTACCTGGTGGTAAGTACACTATACACCCACGCCTTCAAATTTTATCTATTAACATTGAACTAGGTGCATCTACTCACATGAGATGTAAGCACCAGATCCCATCGCACTAATACGACGTAACTGACTCCACTAGCGAAATGCGCTGTGCCTCCGGACGACTGAATAGCATGATGGATCTCCACTACTACCAAGTCTCGCTGCCAAAGCTAAAGGTATGACAGCACAATCCTTGGAATGAACCCGCCTAACAAAACCCAGTTCAAACGGGAGACCACGACCCCGATGTCGAAGAAAACGACATAGCCATGATCCCAAAGATGGTCTCCTTAGCCCAAATATAATGTCCGAAGTCTCACACCACTATACCACTCCTCCCGTGGCACAGCAAGCGAATTATCCAGTTTAGCAATGTCCCTCGATAAAAGGCTACTGGAGTGGAAAGCAAATATCCCGCCCCTTTCTAGCGCTAGATGCAAACCCCCTCAATGACCCCGAGTGAACGTTTAAGCAGAAGCTTGTTTTGCGATTGCGTATGCACCCACTCCTCTCTCCAATAAACCCGAAAGTGTGAGCCCATGCTAATGGTATGGCAGGATACTATAACACTCGCATCCTAGTCCATAGACCCTTCCTCGTCTTCGCAACAGCCAACACCTCGTCCTCCGACTTCAGCCAACACCTACACATATCACATAAGGGAATATATAATATCTAAATACTGTATTATAACAGTTAGAAAACAGTATTGAATTCTAATATAGTATCTAATTCAGTTTCGTTAAGCAACCGTTGTGATAGCGAAAACTGTATTGAAGTTTTAATACGTGTTTAAAAGCTAATATAATATTGAAATCTGAATCCCGTATTTAAGTAAAGATACGGTTATAGATTAAAAACTGTATTGGCGTACAAGACTGTAGTGAAACAGTATTGGGGTTCAAAAAACGTACTGGCGGGCCAAAACTGTATTGGGTGGTCGAAAACGTATTGGCGGCTAGAAAGGTATTGGCGATATTGACCCGAGTGACTGTACACGTGATTCATGCTTTTAATGCTCTATTACTAATAGTGTTTGTACATCACATGATCACGAGATCTATCCTGCCCCCACGCCTTCTGGTGCTCCATATATCCCGGCCCCTTTCATCCCGGCTAACCCTGGCGCCACGCCTCTCCCTATCCTTCTCTAGACCAAGCAGTACGCCCTCAATCACAATACAATACCGCGATCCTGTAGGATTCGTATAACTGAGTTATCACTGGGATTAGAATCGGGTTGCTGTCAGAGGTGGTGCACTGTAGCACTGTTCTAGCTCAGTCTGAAAGCTTTGTGATACCTATGCTCATAATATGATATTGGAGTCGGATTGGAGTCGGATTGGAGTCAAATTACACCAATATGGAGTCGTATCGCAATAGAGTATATACTGCACAGCGTATGTGACAGTAGGAATCTGGAACCTAATGCCTGTATCATGGTCAGTATACTGCCAATATGATGTAATCTGGAAAAAGACTGGATCTGTCGTGACAATGTACAGACTTTTCCTGGATGTACCCTGCAATAATTGCTGTCTGTATGAGAGATGAAAGTACATCGCATGTTCTGTACCATCACATCATAATACAGCACTAGGTGTGTGGAGATACACTGGGATCATACAACCTAGATTTTCCGGATTGGGATATGTTGAAGTTATCCATAGCATGAGTCGGTATGACATCTGTTGGTAAGGAATGATGTAGAATCCGAGCCTGATGAACGCTAATTAGCTCGATTCAATTTTGTTGGACAAAAAAGTCACGAAAGGATAAGGGTATCCTTATCTTTCGAATATCTTGGTGCTGTCTGTACTTGGAAGGTTGTGTTGTTGATCTGGGGTCCATCGTTGATACTTCAAAGTTGATAGCAAGTCACCCACAAAAAGAGTCCCCTATGACCACACTCCAAGATCCCATAATATAGTATGGGTGATTTTATCTTGTGTGTAGGAGTATGGCAGATGCGCAAAGTTATGATATCTAAAATGATCAATGTTAGCTTAGGGTCAATAATTGAGTTGTTAGATCCTTTATGCTATCGCACTGTTATTAGCTAGAAGGAGAATAGATCTTGCTCTTGCCAGTCTGTCGCTTAGCCCCTCTAGAGGAAATTATTAGCATTGCGGCTATCATTTGGCTTTTGGTGCCCTTGTTTAAGTACAAGATTCCCAAGAGTGACGTAGACTCAGAGAGCATTTATTATTATCTCTGCGTTTTTGTTTGAAATGTGGCCTGTTACTGTGGGTTTTCAATCAATGTCCTGGGCTAGTGGCGTTATAGGGCCCGGCTGGGCTTTAGATAGAAAGCCATGAATATAATTGGGAACCTCAGGCAATAGTATTGCCAAATCACTGTAACCTCTATTAGTATGTGGTCTGAAATATCCACCTTAAGGGATTCCAAGGTTGTCAGAACACAAAGATCTGTTATATCACCTTCCAGAAGAGCCATAGATGCTCTTATTCCTACTATCTCCCTACTTTATCCACCTATTTGGTATTATTGTTCCCCATCATCTGTGAACAAGGTGATATGGTCGCTGGATCGGATCATGTCTCTTCCTGTCCTTTTAGAGGGCCAGAGAGGTCTAGATAGAGAATAGAGAGTTGTTGAACTGAAGAGTCGAGATACCTAAGGGCTCTGCTCTATTAGTGTTTTATCCTTCCACGGGGGTAAAACATAGGCATATCAGGGGTTCTTGTGGCTCTGAAGTTGAGCTGGATTGGTCGATCGGATATATCGAAGGAAGGAAATATTAGGTGGTGAGACAGTGAGTTGGATCGATATACAATAGAAACTCTGTATATAGCGGTGGGCCAATACTGGATAACGTGAAGTGGTTTGGTTTCTAGAGTAGAGACATTAAGTTAGTTAAGAGCTAAGACATGTGGGAGCTTGTGGAAAAACTGCATCATGGTCCACTTAGAGAATGGAATATGAAAATTTCATTTCCCCTTGGACTGGAATGTCCATTATATGATAAACAAAATAATAAGATGGCTCATGGATAATGGCAGAAGTGATGTTGTGGGCATAGAGAGTGGTGTTGAGGAGGTGAAGTCGGGAGAGAGTGAGCACGCGTCCGGGGAAGAAAAACAACACACTTACGCGTAACTCTCCCGATAATCTAATATACTAAAGGTAAGCTTTTCGCCTGAGGCGATGATACAGTCTAGCGTAGTATTCTTTAAGAGGTGATTTTCGTAATTTTAGAATATACTTGAGGCCACGACAGGACTATGTTTACTCTCTGTACTCACTTCTACAATATAGCCATTCTTATGAAACTTTTAGTAGTGTCAGAATGGTTTTTTCTGATCTACATGAAGTTAGCAATTAAGTAGTTCTGTAAAATAAAACAAAACCAGTAAGGTGAAATCAGCACTGTATATGAAGGATTACCAAGAGATTGACATTGAACACTGTGTAATAAAATGACTAGACTTGTAGCAAGCATCCTGTGGGGTCCTATAAAGGCCCTGCTTTAAAACTTGGACATTGTTTCAATATGCGATCAGTTACTCTAGCGTGGAGGAAAGAAATAGAATAGACAAAAGGGGGTGGGGGCTGGGGGCTCCTAGGGAGAAGCTTAGGAAGGCCGCTAAGTAGATTCTGGCTTTGAAAATGAAACCAAATCTGGTGCACGCCGATCCCTATCTGGTTGTTCTAGAAGAACGAGATCTCCCAGGTGCAATAAACCAGTACGTGTCCTGGCTCCTTGTCACCTATCTGCTGCCCTTGGATGTTGGTGATTTTTGCAGCCCTTGTAAAGTAAGGACGCTCATCTGTAATTGCAGGGAGCCCGACAACGATAAATTGGTCTTGGACAAGAATGTAACGCGGGAGGCCCAGATCAGGGTCTGTAGCCCCTGGACCCACAACTGGTCGGACTGGATGCCCGTAGAGAAAAGCCCTCAGTTTCCCCCCCAGTAACTTGTGAGTAAAAAAGTTAAGGATGAGCACAAAGCTTCCATTCTGGAACTTGGCGAACTGGTTTGTAGACAGAGTTGTGGTTGATGTCTTATCCCTATAAATCAGATTATTAGTGAGTGTCTTGCGTCAAGGAAAATTTATTAATATATACCTGTACTGGAATGTTATCTTGTTGTACCAGCGTAAATAGCCTGGACCTGGGTCCACAATGTGAGGAATCGAATAATCGGCATTATAGGAATGACGTAAAAGGTCCAGGAAAGAGCTTTTCATTCGTAATAAAGAAAGCTGGTTGGGGATCCCAAAATGATCCTGGTAGTTAGGAGACCACGCCCTGATGTTGGAGTGGAATGGAGTTTCAGCTGGATTCTCGGACTGTCCTAATATGCTTTTTTTCTTCCGAGAATTTGAGCCAGTTTTGGAAGGATCATCTGGAATAGCAACACCGTAGCGAGATCTGATTAGAGAAGGACATGTCCGGGCGACCTTACGAGCCATTTCAGTTCCATCTGGGTCATCGATAGCATAGGCTCCTTCCATCCAAAGCTGTGTACCCCTTTGAAGGCATTCATTCAAGAGCAGGTGCTTTTCTGGATTCTGATGATTGGTCTGTTCTGCAAGCTTCTTCAGATGCCTAAAATTTAGGTTAGTAAATAGATCAGAATTGAACTTGCCGTCAAGGTGCTCTAAGACTCTAGATATGACTGGGGTTATTCTTACCGATGCTTGTTCTCTCCAGGAAGGACATTGCTATTGAAAGGAGTGGCATACTCCTCTAAGTCTTCTTCAAAGTGAAGCGCAATATGCATATTTGGCCTTGACAACATATTATAGAACTTATCCCCTTGTTTAGTCAAATTTGCTGGCTTTTCTTTGACTCGAGGGATAGACGAAGCTCCATGCTGTGAAGCGGTTTTGCTAGTCTGGCGTTGAGGAGGTGGAGCCCTGATTTGCGATGCTGATGGTGATCTAGATACTAAGCCACGTCCTATAGTTGCCCCATAGGCTGCTTTCAGGAGGCTCTGTAGTTTAAGCCGAGGAAGTCTCACAATCTTATCAAACTCTTGTCGGTCCATTGATGAGATTGTTGGTGATACCAGCACTGAATTGCTTTTTGCAAATCCTGCATAAGCACGGATAATTCTGGCTTCACAAGAGACCTGGGCTGCAACTGGGCCATAGAGGAGGCGGTTATAAAACTTATCATTGATCCAGCTCCTCTCCATTGATTGAGAGAGTATGAATGGAACAATCACACTCATTCTTGCATATTCTTGCAGTTGAAAATTTGCAAGATGATTCGTAGGCGACTGGATCCGTGTCCATCCAGCTGGGAAGGGGTATGTCTCAAGGATTTTAGAAAACGCTGCACAGCCTTTGGGACTGAGGATTCCTTCAATTAAGAGCTCAAGAGCCATTTTGCATAAGCCACCATACTCGGAATGACAGGGGTCTATCGGGAAAAATGTCACCAAGTTCATACATGGCGCAATTCTGAAAAGAGGGGTAACCTCTTTCAGGCTACCGATCCCTTTTTTAGCCCTATATTCTTCCCTGGCACTTTCATTCCGGATCTGGGATGCATAAAGGTGCTGCTGGAGTAACTTATAATGTCCTCGTCTTTTCCGTCGTATATCGAAGTTTAAATTGCCCCGTTGGGACTTAGAGACTGTACATCTCCGACAGCCTTTCTCTGCGGTAGGCCCTTTACAGCCAGCACCCTGCTGTTGTTGTGGGAAATCTCCAAGCAAAGAAAAAACAAAGCCAATGATTCTCATCGGCTGGCCATCAGTCCAGGTAATGTCAATACCATGGTCTAGTCTGCGGAGGGGATCTAGTGATGCAATAGTATCACTAAAGTTTGCCCCGTATGGTCCAAGTGTGAGAGCTATCCAATTTGCCGAATGAACACGCTCTACACACGGTAGCGCAGCACAAATCAAGTAGATTCCCATCAGAGTCCGATACATATTTCGATACAGCCCAAAACCATCAATAAATAGTTGGTACGGAAAGGAAATATATCGCACTCCATGTAGACGTTCTACCAGATATTGCCGACCATAAAAATCAACTTCAAGTTCGCCTCGTAAAGGAGAAGAGTTCCTCAGTGGTGTCACCAATTGTTGATTCTCATGCTCATTGAGTATCCGAGCAATTGTATAGATATTTGGCAGTCTTGGTGACTGGATGTGACTGTTTGGGCGATTCTGAAACTGATAATCACGGCCAACCTCAATCCTTCCTAGGACTTGATGGGGAGAGATCAGGACATCCTCATTCTCACGTAGGACAAGTTCATACTGGGTAATCTCAGGTCCTCCTAGCTGTACTAGCAGCCCTCGTTGTTCATCTGGGATATCCTCCCAGTGATAGGTGCGTTGAACTTGTAAAACAATTTCCTCAGTGGAGCCCTGCTGGTAGGCCCCAATCCAGAGAACACGTCCTATTTCAAGATGAGATGGGTCAACGATATCAGGTGACTGATATGAAATAACATCTCCAGGAAAGATTGGCGTATTGTCTGTAAACATCGCGAACTTTCCGGAGGTTGTCCGAATGGAGTTTCCCCAAGCTTGTGATTCCCAAAGTTCAGACGGCTCCTCGGTTACCTTGGCAAATCCTTGATAGATCTTACCAAGGAACTCTGGTGATTGCAAAAGCCTAACCACAAGTGCAATTGGGTCCATAACATAGATACTTCGCATTTCAGAATTCACAAGGCGTCGCTCTGCTGCTGAGAGTGTTGGCAGTTTCGTTGGAATAATTGAGATTTGTCTCTCTAAGAGTGGAATTTGTCTGAATTGACCCCTGAGACGTCTTTTCAAGGTCCCAAGATCTGATGGCAGCTCTGGGAGCTGGGGTAGGTCCTTAATACTTTCAAAAAGCTCACAAAGGAGCTGAAAGTTTTCTCGAGATATTGCCATCGTAATCATCAGCAAAGTGAGTGCAGCACTGAATGCGTCCATTGGAGTTCTTGTCTGAGGAACAGGAACAACATCCAAGGAGACATCCTGGAATATTGGTATGGCTGAGTGATATATGCCTTTGGGAGGAGGCATAGATAGTTTCGGTGTTGATAGAGAAGCGGAGATGGGTGTTGTAATAGTTTCTGTGTCTGACTCCTGTGGCCCTTCCTCTTCTTCAGACTCTGGTGAGGCTAGGGCATCCTGATTTAACTGAGCGATTCTCTCTCTGGTCAGGGTACTATCCAGAACTTTCAGGGCAACCATATGACCAACATCGCTCTCAGGCTCAGGGCTTAGGCTACCGTCTGATTGCTCTGAAGAGGAATGCTGTTGTTGGGCTGGGACTGAATCCTGATCGCTCTTGATAGACTAGTAAAATATAGTTAGTAAGTAATTCAACTCAGGTGTTGTCGAGGAACTTACTTTTAAGCTCAGTTGCCGCGAGCTTAAAATAATAGATGGGTTATCATCACTCGTACTGACATCAAGCATATCCACGTCAGCATCACCAGCTTGATATTGCTCAATAGATGGTACTATGGGCCCAGCAGGGTTCGATGTCTGCATTAGTGTCTGCTGGTGTACTTGAAGGGGAATCTGAAGTCCCTGAGAAGGATCGTGCTGTTGTTGAAGGTGATATTGCTGCTTCTGGCTACGAGATTGCTGTCCTTCCTCAGGGGCATGGCCAAGCATTTCTTGGTATCGGAGGTACTGAATGGGCCGGCGATGTCCGCGTCGCGACATTGTGAGGATGACTTGGTGAGGCTGTGGAATCAAGATAAATAACAGGGCGAGGTCAGGCCTAAAGTCTCGTTAGCTTAAGTATGGAAACTTGTTGAGATAAGCAGAGTGAGAAAGGACCCTGAAATCCTGATGGAGTGATCACACTGAGAAAGTTCAGTCTGCAAAGCCGGTAACCGTTTGGCACAGGCTGGGACAGTGTGTGTCTTACCTAGGGCATGGGGAAATTTCTGGGGCTCGTGTGAAATGCCAGCGAAAATAGAGGACTGGATACTAGGAGAGCTGATGAAAAGGATTGTTGTTGACAGAAGAGCGTGTGTAAGTAAACATATTTGTTTTGGCCTGGCACTAAGGCGCCCTGTAGTGTATAGCAGGTGTGGGCGGCAAAATCCCACGCGTGCCTGCCTAAAGTGCCATATTTATGGTGCAGTGTTGTGTCTGGTGGTAGTATCACAAGATACTGGACCAGAACGGTATTGAAAACGTAAATCGTAGCACTGTCGTCTAGAAACCTCATTTTTAGAAGTAAGGAAAATTTTTTAGAAGTGATAAAAATATAAAATAAAGATTGCAAGCTGTTTGGGGTTTTAAAAATAATGAAATTCACATTTGAGCCATACTACTTCTATATGGACCGTACTATAGAGTATGACGGGTACACTGCTGATTACAATACTGTATTGTACTATTATGGACTGCCGCAAAACGCGACGCCAACTATCATAACACATCCACAACACCCTTCTCACATCCTCCATCCTGACTTAATCACTGCTCCAACTCTCCGTCTGTCCAACAAGTCAACTACACTGCCCTTTTAAGGGACCCCAAGGCCCAAATTCAGTATCATTCAGCAAAGCTCAACTCTGTGGGTAAGTCACTCCACTAGTCCTAACCTCACAGGTGCTGTGTGAGGAATGGTAATTGACTGTTATAATGGGCCCCTGGCTAACATTTCTACAGTCCAACATCTACTATGCCTTCAGGAATTTCTGTCGCCTCACAGTCACGGGGCAAAAGTCTCAGCAAAAGGGTGATTATTCATACTTCCAAATCTGGCTTCAAGATTCAAGAGACTAATCAAAATCATATAGGCTAGAATCTCAGAGTGCGAAGATCCTCCTCAGTTCCCTGAAGTACAGACAGTTCGACCGCGAACCACAGATCAAGAACCCTGCAGCTCATCCCTACAAGAATCATCCCAGGCAACAATAAGCACTACTAGCTTAGCCATAAGTCAGGGAAAGACTGAGCCATGTGAAACCCCGATTCCGACTGATGTCCCAACAAGCGAAGATATCATTTTATCGACCCTCGAACAAGATACTTGTTCTATGCCAGGGGGGATGGAAATAGACAAGTGCAGCGAAACAGAAAAAGAAAAAGAGGAGGCACTCGACCATATCATATTCATGCAAAGTTCCCACTGGGAGCTGAGCAAGAGAGGGCCCTCTTCTACGAGCGGCAACTTATCTACTACTGCCGTTGGCACTACCTATTATATTTCTGGGTGGATGCGAATAATGTTGATGAACTTGTGCAGAAAGCACAGCCTGGTTTAACGCCAAACCAACCTGAATGGGGGTCACACCTCACCCATGCCCAGAATTTGGTTAAGGTTTGGAAGTCTAATACGATTAAGAGCATGCAGGTATAGTCCAAGGCTACCTCCTGACTATCTATAGTTACCCATGGCTAATTATCGCAGGCATATGTTCGGGACAGGGTCAACTTCACTGATTCAGAATCTCGGTCCACAGAGCGCCTCAGGGCCATCACGAATCGAAAGAATCTTTACACCTATTTTAAGGAAAGATTCACATCTCATGACTACTTTCTTGTCTTTTCGTGGGTCAGAGACATAGTAGACTATGATCGATCAACTGCAGAAGGACAAAATTATATCAAGAGTATATTAACCCCGGTCCTTATCTCCACACGTCATTTTCTACTGGCATAAGCTAATCTGACTTTAATTATAGCTATTTTTGCCAACCTAGCATCCTACTGCAAAGCCCACTATGACCTCTTACACTCCAGTGAAAAGGTTATTCGGGACACCGCCCCCGGGTATCTGCTGAAGATCGTTAAAGAATTCTTTTTCAAAGCACCTCATAGTGTGAAGCTCAGAAGCATTAAAAGGGAAGATTTTGCTGAGATCGCAGTTGAAACTGCGACTGTGTTGGTCAATGACAGCGGAGATGAAGAGGTCGATGATGAAAATGGTGCTTTTTTTGATTAAACAAGAGCCTATCCAAGATTGTACTAAATTTTGCTTTTTGGTTTTCCAAAGACGATGGAGGGGTTGTCGATTATGCTTTTTTCTGTATTATTACTCAGTCAATTACTTCGTCTTTGATGATCAATGTAATATTTGGGAGATTACCACTTTTCCTGTAGACTCCTTTAGATGCCAAGGAAAAGAGAGTCCTCGAGGATATATTCAGGATCCGGAACATTAGAGATATTTAATTTCTTGCCCCTATTGTAATACTTTCTTTATCCCCTACCAAGACATAACGCCCTGAGACATAGGCGACCTCATAGCAACTGAGCTTGCACTCCTATTCTGTACTCTCCTGAATAATTGGGTGGCTAGTGCTTAACCAACCAAATTAAGCTAAGTACAGGAAACATCATAAATATATAATTAGCTCGTGGTAAATTAAATCGTATACATAGGTAGTATAATTCTCTCATCATATAACCTTATATAATGCGCGCACTGAAACTTTGGTATCTCAATACTATACTACACTAATAAGAGCTATATAGTAATGAGGAATGGCACTCTAGCACTGTATATAATCATTACACAAAGTGTGGAACACGCTATACAGTCACCTGATATGGAACCTCTATAATGAGTAAGCGAATCAGTTTTGCGATACAGTTGTGAGAGGGTTGCCAAACCGTATTGAGGGGCGAAACGTATTAGGGCAGCAAACCTGTATTGAGGCGGCAAAACCGTATTAGTGCAACAACAGTATCGAAGACCATAACCGTATTTTGTCTTTAATACTGTAGTGTCTTCAATACTATATTTAATCAAAAACTGTATCTAAACTATATTGACACGTCAATATAGTATTCTAATTGTTTTAAATCTACTACTGTATCTAAACTGTACGGCAATGGTATTCAGATATTATATGCGCCCCTATGTGATGTCTCAAAGCCGCGCAGAAAAGTATCAACATGCAATACGAATCCTTCATGCATAGAATTTACATTCGTACTTGGTACTACCACTTGTATTTTTCTTTCAAATTAACAATAGCTAACTTAATCAGGTGGTACAACACAACGTACAACCTCTACGGCTCAATGATCCTCCTCCACCTCATCCTCTCCAACTACCCCGATCTACCCGACGAAGAGCTCCTCGAATATGTAGAGAAGTCGCTGGAGATCTTCTCGTCTACGGCGGATATCATTGTTGCGCGGCGGTGCGCGGATATGTTGAGAGAGGCTCTGGAGGTTGCGCGAGCTTGTCTTGCCCGTCGACGTCATGATTTCCCGTCTGGTACAGATCCAAGAATGAGATCGGGAATGGGGGTGTCCGGTGCATTTAGTCCCCAGATCCAAGCTTCATCTGGAGGATTAAATGCACCTGGGATAGCCGGGGATACCCCGGAGACAGAGATAAGGACTCCGCACACGGCGTCTGGGTCCTTTATATCCGAGACAGGACACTCGGTACTGGAGAATACGTCCCTTCTGCAGGATGGGGGAGCCGCACAACCTGACGACGATTTCCTTTTTTCTTTATTTAGTTAGGGCCCAGCGAGACAACGGCCTGACTCGACGAGGACGGAGATTTTGGCGAATTCGGTGAATCCGTCGATTTTGGAGGATTTTGCGTTCGGGGGACAGGAGTTTTCTTTTTTCTAGATTCTCACATTAACGTATTTGGTCTGATGTCGTGAGCTGGGATGACTGCTTTAAGCCATGGTGGACATACTAGTTTCCTACTAAAGAGAACGTGGAGTCAGTCTACTTCACTTCAGGGCAGCTGAGAATATTGATCCATATCATAATTCATAACCATCTATGCCTGTCTCTAAACAATCCAAAATCCAGCGCGTTCCGGGGTAATCCAAACAGCTATTGCTAAATCAATCATTCAAAGCGTGGCCTGCCACTAGTGACAGTACAGAAAACCACAGATGCTAGTCAAAATCATGCGCTTCGTTGCGTTCCTTCAACGCCAGTAAATCATGAAGTGTGGGTATTAATGCGAGAGAAGAGGAGGGAAAAAAATTAGAGCATGGAGGCATCGTTGTCTTCCATGTCACTAACAGAGGTTGCGGGAGAGGCCAGTCCTGATAACACGGATGAGGAAGCGGCACCGTGAGTGGCTTCAGCTTCAGCCATGGCGTCGTCGTATGCGCCCATCATGGAGATGCGAGGGGCCTGCTTCGTCGATGCCATCAATTCGTCGATGTTCGGCTTTGCGGGGACGTGCTTGTCAAAGGCGTTGGCATTGTCCAGGCTCTCCAGGGCGAAGCTCATGAATTCGGCGTTCTTGTGGCTGACGCTTAGAGTCCAGCGGTACTCGCACAGACGGATGCGGTAGAACTCAGCTTCCTCGTTGGTAGGCGCGGTAATGCGAAGCAACATGCCGAACGAGCCGATCAGCGAGAAGTTGGTGCGCGCAGAGGCCGGCCAAAAGGGAGCGGAGGTGGGCGGGGCGGAGGCGGTTGACAAAGTCCATGGCAGAGATGAGACGGGTCTTTGCAGCGGAGCGGCAGATATGAGCGAGGTAGGAGTCGGTGCCGTCGGCAGAGAGGGACCGCACGATGCAGCGGTGGAGGGTGATTTCGGTGGCAAAATATGCGAGATGAAGGGCCCCGTTACGGGCATGCTCGTCGGTGATGGTCTCGACCAGCTCCCCAGTCGAGGATTCCATCTTTAACGCGGCGGGAAGCGAGGAGAACCATTCCTTCAGCCGGATCTGGGCCGGCTTCGCCTTTTCCAGAATCATGCGAGTTTGCTGATTGCCGGCGGCCTGGAAGTCCTCAATAGCTCGCAGGGTGTAGAAACGATCCAGAATATCAGATAGGATGGTGGTGAGCGCAACCATATGGCAGAACAAAGAGAGGGCCATGTCCGACAGCTGCAGAGTCGTGTGCAGAGTCGGTGCCAGACAGGAATGCATCGGAAAAGTCGTCTTCCACGAGATCCTTGACGGTCCAGTTGAACGCAAAGATCTGCGACGGACGGCCATGCACCAGCGAGGACCATTTGTCCTGCATGTACAATGCCCACGCCAGACGTTTTCGAAGACCCTTCTCCCAAATCTGCATCCGCCAGTTTGAGCAGTCTTGGTGGAGGCCCAGCTCGAAGCAGGCGGTCACCAGCTGTCCATTCAGCGATGCTGTCGCCAATGTCGATTTTTGAGTCAACAGCAGACCGGCCTGAATAGTGGAAATACTGGGGAATGGCAGTGATTCGATGAGTAGCTTCAATGCAGTGCTTTCTAACCGGGCGGCGTCGGGTCGACGGGCCGACTGTGTCGAAGCACCCACGTCCACGAACTTCAAAGTCAACACATAGACCGCAGCAAGCAACAGCGGTGACAATTGACGGCGTTCCCGGTATGATTGACGGAAGGCATCCTCCATCAGAATCGGAAAAGACGGGTGCACGTGCTCGAAGAACTTCTCGATCAGGGTCGACCCGTACGGAGCAACCAGGCTCTCGATGGCATCAAGTGACACGGCCTGCGAGTCACCAATCGGGACGGTGTCGACCACGCGCATAAAGGTGCAGTCATCGGCGCATCGGCGGATGCGGGAGTTCGATACGGTGCATTCGTCGTACTCATCCAGCGGCAGGAATTCGAGGAGGGCCGGCTCCAATTCGGTGGTCATGCCGATATGCTGGGTGGATTGATTGAAGAAGCCGGGGCGGATCATGGCGCCGTGTTGCAAGCGGACCGCCTCGTCGTTAGGGGTGGGTTGGGAGGATTGGATGGAGGACCTTGGCACGTCAGTATATCAATTCTTGTCCGCGGCAAGGGATGGATGGAGAGGCATCACATACCGTTTTACGGAGTCATTTTCCCGTGGAGAATCCTCCAGCTTCCTCTTCTTGGTTGGGGCCTCGGAGTCGGCAGAGAGGGTGAAAGTGCACTCCTGGCGGTGGAAATCACACGAGTAGCACTTGTTGACGAGTTCGTTCATGGCGCAGCGGCTTTTTCGGCGGAGACAGGCGTCGCAACTGGCTCCATCCCGCAGACGGGGCAAGGACGAGTGACCGGAGACGGGGGAGGGCGAGAGGGTCGAGGCGGTTGAGGCCGTGTGCCGGCGGCGGAGGTCGGGGGGAGGAATGAGAGTGCGAGTGGGAGGTCGGGCCTGCCGTGGAGGAAGGCTGGATTGTGATGACGGTTGCCATGTCCCGGTGCTCAGGTATATACTACCGCGACCTCAGGGGAAAGTACAGGTAGGGTCGAGATAGGACGATAAATAATCGAGCGGCTGCGATTCGCGAATGGCAATCGTCACGTAAAAAGAAAACCGGGGACTCCGCACGGGGAAGGCGTGAGGTCCAAGGAGCTTTGGGTTTCGTCAGGGCTGCTGTCCCGCGATAACAAGGTCCCGGGCAGGTATACCATAGGTCGAACAGGTCGAGTCGAGGAAATTGGAGGTACCACATGCACTCCAATCTGTGCAAATCCGATGGGTGATCGCTTATCACGAAAAAGTGTTATCTCCGATCAGTGATGCAATAAGTCCAGATATGGATCAATGCTAAGTAGATCTGATATCAAGCCGACAAGCCCGCCAGCGACTGCAGCAAGATGAGGTGCCGGATCGTGCGCTCGGTCATCTCTTTGTGAAAAAGAGAGTGATCTGGAGAAATGGGGATGATGACATCGATATAGTCGCGCGTGCTGGCTTCCGCTGGGCGACGAGCATGCCGGAACCAGACGATCCTCTTTTTGCTCTCGTAACAGAATGGTCCCAATTAGCACCGTGAAATTGTCACGCCTGATAAGCGGGTGGCGGCTGATTGGTTGCATTGCTCAATCTGCGTGGATCCTTCGCCGCATTACGTACTGCCAATCAGTCCCGCCTATGAGAGCCCGGCTTATCTAATTCGTGGTAGGTAATCGAGCTTGCTCCGCCGCCAGCAGCCGTTGCAGCTTCCGTCCGCCCAGCAGCGTGCGACAAGGAGCATGTCCTGATCCAGCTCGCTGCCATCCTGGCTCGGTCGGTGTTAGGTAATAGGATGCTGGCCTCGAGACGGTGTGCAGTCAGAAGACTGGAATCTACATGTGATTTGAGTCATAGATATACAGCTACACTAACTATATTAGTAGTCATAATACTATCTATGAGTACATCTCTACAATATTATTGTAGTACTTATATCGTATTCTCTGTTTCGTCAGGGTCCAGGATGAATACTTTATGCGACGACAGTACACTACTCCGCAGACACCAAGGATCAACTCGCCTTCAACCACCAGCCAATCGGTTGCCCGTGATAACAGCATTAACGTGGCCAATCACTGCGCCGTCGATGGGATCAAACTGCAAGTTTAACGAGTTTGAACCGAGTTAAACGGGCCCCACGGTGGAGTCCGGAGTGCTGGACGCCGTCCCCGGCATGTGCTCACCTGCCTCGAAAACGTTGACCCGGGATGACTAACCTTGGTCATAATGTTAAGTAGTGATCCATCCACTACTATTGTAGGCTACTATACTTAGTATGAAGTTTACTATAGTAGTGCATGCAAAGGGCGTAGGGGAAACTCGGAAGTACACTACTCTACACCGCACTAGTGTCTACTTAAATAAAGCACTCGGGGTTAAAACGGGGTTATCGTATTGCATCGTAAATGGGCGACACCTCATCGTGACTATCGGACATAGTAACGAGGGTAAATGGCAGATCTGCGGTTCATTGGTCTGTTCCGCCCGGAAATCCTCTAAACGCCAAACTCCTATGCTCTCAAAATCCAGTCGCCGTCACCGCAGACATTTCCCCTACTCGGTGAAGTTGCGGAGCTTGGTCAGCTCATCCAAAAGCTCCTGCAGATCGCCGTCGCTGATCTTGTTCTGCAGGCTGGGAATGAGCGACTTCGCCTCCTCCGCGTTGTCGCAGCACAAACTGCCTGTTCATTCGTCAGCCGAGGTCCTGGCCCGATCCAGCGAGGCTCATCTCTGGGCATCCCCCATAACAGTAACCGGAGTCCGCCACTCCCTTTCTCCGAAACGCCACCAGGGGAGAGGGGGGAAGGTGATATGAAGATCGGAACATGGCTGACCAACCGGGTGTGCAGATAGCGCCGGGGGGTAAAATCACGGGAAGAAAATGGTCACTCACCCAGTTGCGAGCGCTCAAACATCTCCAGCTCCGTGTGGGAGTTCAACAGTCGCTCCACCGCCTTGATGTTCTCCTCGTCCTTGAACCGGGCAAACACGTCAAGGTAATCCAGGGTCTTGCTCAGTGTCCTGCGCAAGAACAGAGTATTAGCACTAATCCCTCTCCACATTTCTGCCCGCGCAGGCCAACAGTAGCTCCAATTTGCAAATGGGCAGTACATACTCGGGGGGTTCATAACGGTTCTCGCCGCGTTGCTTGTTCTCCAAGACCTTGCGGATGACCAGACGAGCCTCCGACAGCGAAAGCGTGTGGGTATGTTGGTCCGCGCCCAGCTTCAGCGTCGAGGAAGCTTCAAGTTCGCTTTGCGGCACCGTGCGCTGGCGATAAGTAACGGGTGGGAGTTGGACGCTCATGGTGCCGGTCGACTTGTTCGTGTTCTTGTCCTTGTCCTTGTCCGTATCGGGAGGGGAATGATAAGGGGCGTAATAAGTCCAGTTACCGTCACGCTTGATGACTCGAAGTTCGGGTTCTCGTGCTGGCGGGAACAGGAGCTTCATTTTCTCCTCCTTAGTCAATCGGCGCTTTTTCTCGGCAGATTGAGGCGGTGAGCCCCCAGGGCTGACGTTGGAGCTCCCATCGGCGCTCACCGCCTGGTCGGGGTCATTCACAGTGTCGTCGTCCATTGGGTTGGTGTGAGAACACAGACGAGGAAGAGATGGTAAAGTCGAATGGGGTGAGAGAGAAGGAGGAAGAAATTGAGAAGATGTTCAAGAAGTCAGCGAAGCCAACAGCCACGCCGAGGGCCTCCAGGTGGAAGGTGCGATGGTAAACGGCTCGGCGACGTGCGTGCCTTCCTTTTCGAGAACAACAACTACTCCAGGCTACAATGGCACATGTGAACGTAGTACTGAGGCCTGTGGTACTAACATTTTGGAGGACCCTACAATAGTGTAGTCATCGCCAGAAGCAGCTGCGCTTTTGCCCATGTTCTATACTTCACATCCAACACCCAGAGGTAGAAATGCTTATAATGAGGGTATCAGTATTCATAATTTTGTACTTGTTGGCAGCCTCGAGGAGGCTAATCCAATGCCGCTATACATCTCCATCTCTATACTTTGCGGAACGCGACGTCTGGCGGCAACCGGAAACTGGCGCAGAACATCTGCTTCTTCGGGCTGACCAGCCGCACGTTATGAATGTTAAGCTCGATCGCCGCATTTCCACTGCCATCTACACGATCTTCCGGGGTGATCTTGTATCCAATGCGCTCCGAGATACGCTCGCAGATGTTCGCGTGGTCATCCACTTCATTTTCCGAATGACCGGAGAAGCAGTACACATGCACCATGGGGAGTTGTTGGGAAGTCTGCGGCGCAAAGTGAGCTTCCTTGCCAGTATACAAGCCTTGGAAGGCGTCGAGGAATTCAATGGCGGTGGCGGGCAGGTTCATCACGTAGTGGTCGACCACAGAAGGCCGGTTATATACCTTCGCCGGCGGCTGGGGGTCTTGGCTCCCGTCCGCCTTTCTCTTCCTATCCCTCCGCACCTTGGGGTGGATTTCCACAGCGACGGGATCGGATTCGAGGAGCTGCGTAGCGGAATTGCGGATGAAATCCCGACCGTCCGAGTTGAAGGGAGTGACAAAGTCCTTGACCTTGTTGCGCTGGACAGCATCCATCATCACTTCATATCCGTGTGGGTTCAGGTCATTGGCCCAGACAAAGATTCTCTTCTTCCCGGCAGGCACAGCAAAAGGCCCAACGCCGGCCATCACGTCGCAGACCATCTGCCCCGGTTGAAACTTCTCGACGAGTCGGCGGTGCTCGGTCTCAAGGCGGCTATTCCAGTACACGCGGGAGTAATCGAAGTGGAATTCGCAGTCTTGCTCGTGCTGCACGACGTTCAGGTCATTGTCACCGGCCAGCAGTTCAAAGGGGAATGTGCGGAATTGGCTGGTCGAGCCAACATCCTCGGTTTTGTTGATAACCGTCCGAACGGTAGGATTCTTATCCTTGAGCACCTCGGCAATGAAGTGCTTGAAAGGAAGCCAATGCTCGCGCAGGTTCAGATGGACTTTATGCTGTTTTAGCTGTTGTTCAAAAATGGTCTGTCGGGCAGAAACATACCCACGTGCCCCACTTGCGTGAACCCTTGAGGGACTTCTTGGTTCTCCTGCTCCGGCAGAATGGCGTTCATAATATCGGCTGTTGCATATCAGCAATTGAACTTCTCGAAGTCAGAGGAATGCACAAGTATAGTCATACCATAGCTCCAAAAGTCGTAATCCAGTGTCAGTTCGTAAGGTGCAACAGCCACAGTTCCCTTCTCCACGAGCTCGGTCACCTTGGGGGACCACGTTGACTTATCTGCATACGAAAGCAATTAGCTCGTTTCCACGCCACAAGACAGTCGCCTGGTCAATCACGTACCATTGTGCATGAGATCCTCCCGCAGCAAAAGCGATTTCAGGACCGAGCCATCCGCCTCCTTGAAATCCTGCACGCCCGACAGGCGCGGGATAACCAACAGATCTTTCGATGCGCCCAATTCCTTGCGCACGCGCGCAATCTCGGATTTCTGGAAGACCTTGGCCGTCGCGAGGGGAATCGTCTTGCGGAAGAATGACCGGTCGAGGGTCCGCATGGCCCGGTTGACGGGTGGGCGGAACATGGCGGGCAGTTCACGGGGCACCTGGACGCTTGATTTCTGTTTGATCTCCATCGAGAGGAGGGTATGGTCCGACGGGCGAGGGAATTGACGGTGGCCTGGGTGTTCAATGTGGTGGACTTGTCGCGTTGGGCGATAATTTGTTTCTTATCAACCACGTGACATTTAATTATCGCTGCAGATCGGAGCCGCCATGCCGACCGAGCCCATGCCTAATCACGCTAGCATGGGCTCAACTGGTCGTACATACTACCCTAGGTAAAAGGTCCCTCTTTACCTAGGTAGGGTACTATAGTAGAAGAGTGCCCATATCATCATACGGCCAATAAAGACGCTTTTTTCACTACAGCTGGAGCCCCTGGACATTCTATACCGGATATAGAGTCGCGAAATTGCAAATTAGTGCCGTGTCGAGCGCCACGAGAGCCTCTTTTGGTATTGAATTTCGTATTATTCTCAAGCCCCAAAGAATTATCTTCGGCTTCTTGCATCCTGGGAGTGGTTTAGATGGCGGTTATCTAACTTCAAGTTCTCCCGTACCGGGTGGTAAAATTCCGGGTTGAAATAGGCCTTCGGAATCTTCATCTGAGCTCCAGCAGACGTAGGTATGAAAGCCCAGTCCCGCATCCAAACTGCGGTTTTTACTAAGACAAAGTTGTTAGCAACAAATAATAGCTAGTTGCAGATAGTGGGATAATGATACATACCAAAGTTGCTTTACCCCTTCATAATAAGACCTTGTCATCAATCGTTTGCTCCTTTTGCTGAGATATTAGGAAAGGCCTCGTGCGATCTGATTATCATTTATCGCGTAGTGTCGGGCTGGCAGGTACACCGTTGTCTTTTGTATATCGAGTCCACTTTTCAGCTCGAAGTAAAGGATGCCACCAGTTCGATGATCGTTCTGGGAGAGCTCTTGATACCCTGGTATGTCTCTTCATTCAATCCGAACACGCAGCACCTTATTCCTCGAAGAGGGTTTTTCTCCTCGTTCAGTTTCGATGCCAGCCATCCAAATGCCATAGTATCAAACACGCTTTTCAGAGTTGTCTCTTGGCATCGAACATATATCTTGAGTCGCCACTGGACCGGATCCAAACAGACGATGGCCATTATTTCCGCCCCCGGCCGAGCCTCCTCTGGGAAGGACTTAATAAAATTCACGAGAGTATCGAACTAAGAAAGCAATGATCCTGCTATCGTCGGGAGCTGTCTCAACTCATTTTCTATGACAGCGAATTTGGATGTCCCATTCAGCAATGCTCGGCGAGCTGGCAGATAGTATTGCTTGACCATGACAGTGGCCTCCAGAAGATCGAATGCCATGAAAGTCTGTGACATGGGGACGTTGGCGATATCGATGTCTCCAATAACACCGGGACAGAATTGAACGTTTGAGATGCCTATGCAAATATAGATCGATTTCCGGTGCCAGCGAAAGCGCATCCCTTAGCAACCCCACGCTGGCAGCCGTATTAAACGGGTCGACCGGTAGCCCTTCCAATCTATCGATCGGCTCTACTGAGGAGCGAACCGTAGGGGTATCATGAGACAGACCAGCACCACTTAATTTCAACCGGGGTGCAGTCGTCTGTCATGAAACTTTTCAGGCTGTGAATTTGCCAGACGCTCTGGGGCGTGGACCTAAAGACGGGGCAACAGACTCGCGGAAGAAATCTGTATGTACAGGGCATGGGCTCAACGGGTATCCCGCCATTTTCAACATACGGCGACGCATTGTTTCATCCTCTTCGTTCCACAAGTAGGCATCGGTTTTAGTCGATTCCAAGCGAGAATCCGGGATCCTGATCCCCTGAAACCGATTCGGAAAGGAACGAAAGTAAACATTATATGATGCAAGATGTCACCAAACTCACTGTCTGAGTGCTTGAGGGCCATATCTCTGTGAGAGGTTTGACACTATGGAGCTCGTTAGCATCGCATCGATAGGGGCAAGATAGGACTCGTACGGAAATATTCCACAAGCTTAGGCCTCGGCGGAAACATTTGGAGGGCCGGTCCCCCCGGCCCTCCGCCCGGCCCTGCGCCCTCGGCTGGCGGCCCTCACCCGCCCTCACCTGCCCTCGTTTGCATAAAAAAAAGGCAACCTTTCCGAATTAGGGTGGATAAAGTTGCTGTTTCATTCTATTAAATTACACCACAACACTAAGTGACGGTAAATTGAGCGCCGAAAATGGCTACATTCGACGCCAGTTTAAGCGTTCATTTTACCAATATCTTAGTCATCTAAACAGCACGTGATTGCAATCAAACTGCCAGCGTGCTGCATCCGAGGATCTTCCTCTGGCGTGGATCAACTATAGTCCGGGAGCCACGTGACCACCACCAGGGTGTCATATACTCCATGATGGCTTAGATGACCAATAACAACACACATCTCCCTAACACAAACCAGTCTTATCGCTCGCTCCCGGATTGCTCCCAGATTGCTCCCGGATTGCTCCCTGAGCACTCATTGAGTACTCCGGGATCAGATCCACCCTACTCAGGGTGCTCTGGGTAGACGATCAGGCACGTCATCAGTTCCTATCCTCTGTCGTCCGCTTGTAGCCGCTTGTACAAAAATAAAGGGATGACTTTGCCAGGTGTTCGAGCCATCTCAAGCTTTCGGCGATCCATAAATAGTCCTTGCTCCCACCTGCCCGTATTTCTTTTCAGATATATTCATTCAAAGCACCCTCTTTCAATTATCATGTATCATGTCTCTTTGACTTTGGCTCGGTCGCTCGCTTTCGTTTTCTTGTGTTTGATTTATGCAACTTTAATCTTCCTCTTTGGTCCCTTTCATCTCCAATCATCCTATTAGTTTTGCCACCATTGTCATCACAATATCTGAAGCCTTCTTTTGTTTCCATCTTTGGCTTCCTCGTTTGCTTCTTGCGGACGATATCCCCAGTTATGTCGATCCTTGAATCTCCTGCCACCAAAAGGGCCAAATGGCCTAGTCCCGAGTACTACCGGCGACGCCGTCAGCAATTGCAGAAAGGCATTATCCAGAAACGACATGCTGTTTCAACCAAAAACAATATTGACCATATCAAAAGGCGATGGATCAGGTAACACAACACTCTAATCGTGAATCCTTCGAAGCTAATCGCCCCAGGCACTGCGAGTACTGGGAAAAGATCCTCTGCGCTTTCTCGTTTCAGCGCGGAAAGAAGACATTATGATATTTCTGGAGTGGATACTTGATAACTCAAAAATAAGGAAGTTCAGCAGTTTGCATGAGCCTTGGAGACAATGGTGCCAGCTATATCGCAAAGCAGTTGGCCGTAGCCTTCATGCAAAATGCAGCCAGGATATCAATGATGTGAGTGTATTTTGCCTTCACGTGATGCTGCCGTCTTTCATCGTACTAAAGCAAAATCCGACAGTACATGAAAGAGAACCTGGTTGCGCGCTACAATCTTGACATGTCCGTTGGAGAGAAGCCGGTTATGAATGTTGACGACCTATACATTGTACTCCACCACCATTGGACAAAGGACAAAACACCCTATCCTGATGGTAGACAGATCATACAACTCGCATTTATCCTTCTGGTGTCGGCATATACCGCTAGTCGACCAGGAGCTTTGGTCTATCTCGAAAGGAAAGAGAAAACTAACATCCAGCATTTCTTCGGCAATGCTGATGATGATGACAGACCACCCGAAGATGAATGGGACCTAAGGCACGAGGATCTAAAAACTCTTTGTTACGGGCAAATCAACTTGATTCTGCTACCTAACCCAACTGGAGAACGTGACCATCTTGTGATGGAAATTGATTTGAAACATACCAAGGGCCATCATAGTAGGCCAAAAAGGTGAGATGCATGGATACTCTACTTGACATCATTTGAGCTGACCACACCCTGAAGAAAAATATTTCTGATGTCCGAAGTGAAGCAACCAATCTTCGATGTCATAAGTCTCGTTCTTGCACTAGCAATCCTTGATGACGCCTTTGAATCGGATCACATCAGGTCGGTTGAGGACATCTTCAGAACTCGTGTAACCCTTCCACGTCGGTCGTTGAATATAAGATTCAAACAAAAACTTCTCAACGTGCCCATTTGCCGGCAGCCAGTTTCGACCTCCTCCGGGATGACTATCGATGACATCAAACCCTTGAGGTATCACACATATTTATATTTCCTTCAGCGGCTAAGCCTGGCCGTGGGAATGATTCGAGCCATGAAGCCGTACGACCTTCGGCGCGGTACTGGCGAGGCCGTCGACAGTAAGTCATACTCAGTGGTCAAGACAGATTCTGAAAGCTGACGTATCATATCCATCCAGAAACCGCATCGCTCCCCCTGCTCCAACATGTGATGGGCCACGCCTACGCCAGCACATTTCAGGCATACATGAATCAGCGCGTTCAAAGCCATGTTCAAGCTGCATTCCTTGGTTTACCTTCTGAGGATGCATTAATGAACATCTTAAGCCACCAAAGCCGATATATCGACCCTCGGGCTCCCTCCAGATACGACGACCTGCCTGAAGCTGAAAGGAAAACGTTTTCAGATGACTCTGGCATAAAGCGCCTACAGCAAATGCGTGATTCACTTGCCATGGAAGCTAAGGAGCTCTACGGATCCATAAAAAATGCAGAAGGAACAAAGATTGGCGAGCTGAAGATGAAAGCGGACGCCACTCTGAGAGCAGCGAAGAAGAAACTTAAGGAATCGAATTTCACTGGTGCTCGCGAAAAGTTTTTTGCTACCATTGATACATTGGAAATCAATAGGCAGCTTGACCCATCGCTCCTGGATATTAAACAGGATGCTTATGAACCAGAAAGAATTGTCCACCGCCTCAAAGAACGCCGCCGAGTGGCAGAATTGATGCAAATTCCATGTCAAGAATTTTCTGGGCGCAAGGATACGACTCAACGAATTACATTGGTTGGTGCCCTGGTTCGGCTCGGCCAAATCGAAAGAGTTCCATCGGAAAGACCAATCCAAGAGGCCAAGCCACGCAACACGGCAGTTAGCCAGGTCACACCAGAAGAATCATTACGGCAGGACTTCTCCCCTTCGCCGGAGCCCCGTATGTGTCCAATCTCTCTGACAAATAGACATTGCCTCTTCTGCGTCTTTGAGCCAAATTACCAGTGCTATTTCGCCTCTTCGCGCAAAGCCAGGGAGCATTTTGAGAAACACATGCGTGGGTTTAATCGGGACGAGCCTATAGAATGTCCTGATAGATTTTGCGGACTTGCTTTTGGTGGACCTGTAGCACTCAAAAATCACGCCGAAAATGTCCACTCCGTACGTTATTTTGCAGAAGCGCAACGTCTAAAGGCAGGATTCTAGAAATAGCGCATAGGGAGATCATAACATAAAGAATAACATGGATATCAATTGCTGGCTTTGTTCTCGGGAACTTTTGTTTGGAGTAGACCCCGGCTAGAACATTCATTTCAACAATGATTTTCTGTGCGGATTGGGGAATCACCTCCGCTACTCGTGCTTTCCATGCGCACTTTCGTGGCTAAATCCAGAGTAGCTTGTCAATTAGAATGAAGTTTTATAATAAAGTAGGTAATTGTTCTACGCACACTCCACAGATGCCATTGCATCAGCGAGACATTACCTTGCCGACCAAAGCTAGGGAATCGAACCAAGGAACCTCAAAAACGATGATGTACGCAAGGCAGGTTCTTGGCAATACACAAATGCTTTAACTACGCCGCATGTTGTTGAATACTTATTTTTTTGGGGTCCTACCCATTGGTTAATGTCAACTCTGAGAGAGGTAAAACACTGTGGATTCTCCACTGCTCTTGGTTATTCAGCATCCACCCACATTGCAATCGTAATTGTATGGTAATTCGGGTCATTCTCGGAAGAACTGTGATGTAATACGCAGTTTATAGCCCCTGGATCATTTTCAACACACAGACACACTCTCGTTAATCCATCTCATGCATCAATTGGCCGTCCCTCGATACTAGATGATACACGTATCCGACATCCTGACAGTTAATTCTAGAAGAATACAGCTCACTCTCCGATACTCATGGTACATATCTTTACAGAATACGTACAGTACTGTACTGTACATTGCACAGCCACACCCTTCTTATTACAATTACTAGTGTAAATAACGTCTTGTATATAATTACCTGTCAGATAGCTGTTTTGTATTGTCTTATTGATTTCTGAAGCAGGTCACAATCCATATCGTAACTCATTTGCCTGCTGAAAAAAATCATGATCTGTCCTGGCCGAAGTTTGAGATGGTGAGGGAAATTCTCCATGCAAATTTCCATTGCTCTAGGTAAATGGGCGCTCTGAATATTCCATTCTCTCAAATGATAACTGGCTCTGGACGAATTACAATCTTGTAATCAAATAATTCCAAAGGGTGTCTTTCCAGCGTCTCAGACGGAGTACAACCTGGGTATACTGCACGCAATCTACTGTAGTTGGCCGTTTCGCAGTCCTGGTCATTATTTCTGCCAATGTAAAAAATGAATGGGTTTTCATCGAAGAGCTTCACACGGCATTTGGCAACCGAGTAATCCGGGTGAAAAATAGATCCTCAAAAACTGACCAGGTACTGAACCCCCTTTCTGCGGCCAGTTCAGGCGTCCACTAATCATCAATTCAAAGCAAATTCGAGGTGCGTCCACAATCCACTGCTACAAAGGATACTGTACTAATTCAATCAATAAACTTGCGGGAAAGAATTAAACGTGTGGTGCGAACGAAATCGCGGACGATGGGATTCAGCACTCGGTGTGTGCCCTCTCTTTTTCACCACTTTGCTACAAGGGGGCTGGATATTTGGGCAATCTGTACAATTGGCCGTATATTAGTCACGGCTTCCGGGGATCCCAAGACAATAAGCCCCTTAAAAAGCTGAGGTTCCAAATAGATTCATGACAGATGTATCAAAAATCCACATTCTCTATGCACTAAATTGAGGCCTCTTTCAACTGAATGATGTCTACTGACAGATGGCCTTCTCATTTTATCAGACATATTTTAAGGGTTAAATGCTGCTCATTCTCGTGAAATAAACTGACCACCTCTCCCCGCCTACTTTAGAATACTCTCCTTCATTTGACTATGGTTTCAATGGCCAGTAAACGAACTCTCGAGTCCTAGAAGAATCCGAAATTTCAAACCAAACTTATTCACCAACATATCAGCAGAGGTGTGTGGGGCACACAGTACCTGCGACAAGGACGGCGGAACGCTATCTGGACTACTGGCTTGATCCCAACTTGGAGTTTCAGCATCACCGCGAAAAGGCAATTTCGAAGGCAAGTGTGTCCCTCCAGGCGCTACGAAGCTTGGCTGGCTCGACATGGGGGCCTCTCTTTCAGCTATGCGCAGGATCTACCAAGCGGTAGTCATCCCACAGATGCTCATCGGAGTATCGGCCTGGTACCACCCAATGATTGTCAGCAAGATGAAGGCACGAATGATCAGTCAACCGTTCGTGGCCATCCAGAAGCGGGCAGCATGCCTGATCAGCGGAGCTTTCAGAACGACAGCAGCAGAGGCACTGAACACAGAACTACACCTACCACCACTTGCGATCCATATGAACCGCCTCGTAAAAGAAACAGCTTTACGGTTACGGACTGGACCAGTATTCGCTGTCCCACCAACAATGCTACGACGCCGACCCGTGGACGAGAGAGACTGGTCTGGATGGACACCGATGGAGGCGCAGGCCTAGAAAACGAGCGGATGCCTTACGGCTCCCCCGGGAACTTTGGCGAGAGACTGGGAGAGTCGGAAGGCATTCGTCCAGGCACCATGGCAAGCGCCGCCAGAAGTGTTCATCGAGGACAGAGAGATGGCAGTGAAAACTCACGACCACATTCTATCCAAAGACCCAAGCGAAAGACCCTTGATTCTCTACACCGACGGGAGTGGGATCGAGGGAAAAATTGGAGCAGCAGTAGTCGTTGATCTCGAGAATCACCACGCTCACAGCCAAATGGGCGGCGAAGAAACGTCCACTGTATACGCTGCCGAGCTCAGTGCCATCGAAATGGCACTCAAATTAATCTTGGAGACCACGGAACCGTGGGCGGCACAGGCGAGAAACGGGCTTGTCATCTTTGCAGACAGCCAAGGGGTATTGAAGGCGCTCCGCCAACCACGGATGCCATCAGGACAGGTCTACCTGGAAGAATGCCTCCACCTGGTAAGGCAACATGCAGCCAATGGCCGTCAAATCCACCTCAGGTGGATACCTGCTCATCAAGGAGTGGCCGGCAATGAACGTGTCTGTGTCGACCGACACGCAAAGGAGGCGGCCCAGGAACCAGAAGGACCACAAAACCCAAACAATCGTTATATTCGCCTTGCAGCCGCAGCTAAAAGCCGCATTCGCCGCGAGGCAAAAATCGAGTGGGAAAGGTCATGGTCTATAGAGAGAACAGGTCGACCGACGAAACGCTTAGTCGAACGACCAACAAAGAAGACCCTGGAATACTGGTCCGACCTGCGGAAAGCGACAGCGTCCATTCTGATGCAGCTTCGTACTGGACGAATTGGCCTCGCTGCCTACTTGACTCGCATCAATCGGCGCGAGTCAGAGAGATATGGTTGCAATCTGGGGAACCAGACCGTCGATCATATCTTGCTTGAATGCCCACTACTCCAAGATGAGCGCAACTGGATGAGAAACGCTCTGTCCGACCGCGGAGTTGCTCTGCGACGCGACGAGCTCCTGACGCGGCCAGAGGCTCGCATACTTGTGGCCGAATTCATGGTCCGGACAGGTCTCTTAAACCAGTTCCAAGCAGTCGACCCATTGGCTCTCGGCACGGAAAAGGCGACGAAAAAGGATGACCCCTCAGGACAGTGTGACGGAAGGAGAAGGATGGTGCCCGTTAGGAGTGCAGTGCCAGGTCCACTGTACTCCCTTGATGCAAGCAAGCGCAGGAGCGGCAGCCGACGGCCCAGAGGGCTGCGCAGATGAAGGCGGTGGGGGATGAAGTAGATCAGAGAATGAAGTCTGATTGTGGAAAGGAGAGTGGGTAGAGGGGAAGCGACGTTCTTTTTGGATTTCTTTTGTCTATTTTGTCTATTTTGTCATGTTTGCATACATTCTCGGGCGACCAATCAGGGGCTTGCGTTGCAACCCATGGAAACAATCTTTCAGTGGGCTGGCGACCACCTTCAAGCTGTCGGCAGGCCTGACAGCACTCCCGCATAGCAGCATATATTTAGAGCAAGCTACATCGGGCAAATGAATTCATCATCATCATCATCATCATCATCATCATATAGAGAGAATAATTATGCATGTCAGCCGGACTTTCTCGCCATCGAATTCTGTTACAACCGCGTTTTCTGTACAGTACCTGGCAGACCCAAATTAAGTACGAGAAGACCGGAATGAACTTGAACATCCTTCGTATTTGGTACTACTTGATGTTAAACCTTTGAAGGTATATTACTTTTTTCGCGATTGTATGCATGGAATTCCCGGAGGTCCCTTCTTTATCGCTACGCCGATGTTTGAGTGCGGTGGGCCCGCAGAAATCGATTGGGTCAGCTGTGTTTTTAACATATGCTAAAGTTAGCCGGACTGAGTGATGGCTGGACGGCCTTAAGGCCTCCGAGACATTGGATCGTGACTCAACTTACACACCCCACATATCATTACATGGCGAACGCCTAGCAGAGTAAAACACGAATACTAAATAATATCGACAGAAGTACAGTGTCCAGTTTAAAATGAAACGAGAAGGAACTTCTTACAAGTGGCAACCATCCGAAAAAGGCTACCCATATTTATTAGAGACATCAGACATAATTCCGGAGCTTCACAACGTAAAATCATTGTGTATGAGGATGCTTAGTCTAGTAAGCTACAGTGTCCAAAAAGTAGTCTTGGTACATATTTATTTGGAACCATGGGGTCTAAAGTGAATGAGCGGGGTCTCTCCAGGTCAAAACTGCGCCGGAACGCACAGCCAATTATGAAACTCGCGGGTATCCTTCCCCTCGTTAATACGTATTTGTCGGTGATTGTAGCGTGTCGGTTAGAGTGGAGGCTAACGACCCATCGGAAAGCGCCTCAAATCCTACCCACCTTACAGTTTCTGTAGCCGAACGCAGACACTGCAAGTTATAGATACCCTCATCTGCGCAACTGAGCTTTGAAGATCTTTCTCTGCTTTACGCAACTTCGGTCCTTACCGTAGAGAATGATAGAAACGTGCGTGATCGCGCGCGGAGTAGAGGTGTTCCCTTGCGGGTTTTATTAGCTAAGCATTCATCACCGCCTCTTGTAGCATGTGTATGATGGTTGTATTGTGTGTGGATCTGTGGGTCTCGGACCCGGTTCTATAGATACAGGTCTAACCCTAATGCATGAGTAGTGTGTATCAGGGTGACAGGACAATACCATCAGAACAGGGGATCCAACACCGCCCTAGTTATAGAGTTATAGATCCACTAGAAGTCTTGGCGAGCCTTCCCAATGGCTGGAAACTTTTCCCCCCGAATAAAGTTGTCTCTTGTTGTCCTTGCTTGCTGGGGGGACCGAATATCTGATCACAGGGTGCACCACTGTACCTGGACCATGTGAACTTGGGCTAAGGCAATCGCGAATGGTATTCAGTGCGCCGTCTGCACTTTTCGTATATATTGTATATATGATTGTGTTGTTTAGGCAGTCACAAGGAACAAAGAAACGCCCCCACAAACACTGACTCGACAAAGGGGGGTAAAAAAGAGAGAGAAAAGATAGAGAAATGGGGCAGCGCATCTCCTAACAATGCCCGATTTCCTTAGCCTCTATGCAGGTCGCTATAGTCGGTTCACCATTGGGCCGCTCGTAACGGCGTGCATCCACGGAACGGACCATAATACTTGCCTGGATTAGCCTTGTCCAGTGTTGCGGTGCCGTACCTTGTACGTGGATTGACCTGGGATGCAACATTGCACTATTCCATCCGACTGGGGTGTAAATATTTCCGTAAAAGGTGGTAAACACATTTGCCTGACATTTCTCTACGATCCAAAGACTTTAATATCTACAATCTGTATATGGTATACCAGGAATAATTACAATCAAATATGACCGACCGACTTTCAATTCCTTCTCTTCTCAGTCTTTACACCGCTCGTGTCGATATGCACACTTGAAGAAGCGTCGACAGGTCCAGCACTAACAGCCATCCGAGTTACAAAGCAACCACCGTCCAGAAAACGAGGAAGCCCGCAGCTGGTCACGAACAAATTGCCCTCTCCGAATAGTGGCGATCAATCCTACTAAATTTCATCGGATATTACAGTACCATCTCAAGTATCAGCTCTATTATATTAGAACAACACTGATCCCCACCAAAGTCAAAATGGGAATAAAATCGCACAAGAATCCGATCTTACTCCTTGACGCCTTCGCGACCGGCAGGGATATCGGCTGCGGTTGCACTCCATCCTCACTAAACTCGGTGCCGTGGAGAAAGGGAAAGAGTGACTGACAGCTAACCAATCTATCTTGGCACGCGCTTCTCCTCCGCTCCACTTTGTGAGGGAAGGTGAGACATCAAGGATGATTTCAGTCAGAAATTCAGAATGAAAGTCAGACACTAGTCACGATTCCAGAACGGTAGCCCGACCTCGCTTAACCTGGCTAGTCCGAGCTCTTAACTCTCATTAAAAACTAGAACGCGAGCAGCATGATACAAGCGGCCAATGCATTCCACGGGTCTAATTTCATCTTACCAGAAGCAAAGCAATTGTGAGGCCCTTTCTCAGGAGGGTATCGTCGTCTGGTTATTGGCTGGAGAATAACTGTGTTAAACGATTGTGGTGAACTTGGCAGGTTCCTCGCAAGATGAGCGGGGGTATTGGTGGGACTATTGAGACGCGGTCTGCGAGCTGAGGGAGGTCCGTGCGCTTGAAACCACTCGCAACTGGTCTTCACTGGATATTCTTGCACATTAAACTTCATCCAATCATTCATCAATTACGGCAGACCCAGTAGTAATCGTATAAGTCTGCATCGGGAGAACCTCTTTAATCAGTGAGCCTCTTTAAGTCCAGGGGCTCATTCCCACAATACAGGCCCGTTTTTGTCCACTTGTTGTACTGGCATAGAATCTCGGACGCAACCGCCAGTCCTGTCGCTGATTATGAATGGTCCTAAAGCTCGTCTTGATCTCCTCCATTCCTCCATTCTCTCCCGAGTCGTGGGATACCTCGGACCTTGGGATATTGAAGTGTTATCCTGCGTCAACAAGCGGCTCAGGGCAGCGTCTCTTCCCGTGCTCTTCCGCGCAGTCAAATTTGAATTTTCCAAAACCGGGTTGAATGGCCTAAAACGCCTCTCGGGCTCCGATATACGCCAATATGTTGTCTCCTTAACATACGTCGCCCCGGAAATCCTCAAGCCAGGTATATTCCATTTTTCTATCCCTGTGCATGGTAGTATTAACATTCGTCGTCTAGAAATTCTGAACTTTGAGAGCTTCGGTTCTGAGATATTGACCCCTGATGACTATGTTGACTGTGTATTCGGCCGGGATTCCTTTCTTTGCGAATTTCCTTCATACATGCTGGCTTACGATGTTTTGCGCGACATCTGCGAAGAGCAGCGCAATATTGTGGGAAGCGATCTTGAACGCATTGCGTTATCCTCTATTTTCACGGAGTTTCCTACGTTGGAATCTCTGAATGTATGGTTCTGTCGGACTATAGAAGAGGAAGAATGGATAGAGTCTGTACTGGCTCGAGGTTTAACTACCGAAGAATCCCGTGAATACTATTACGATGCCATTCGAAATGCCATTAAGGTCGCAAGGGAATCTGGATCTATTCGGAACAGTATCTGTCTCTCCTACACTGAGCTGCCTACCTAGTCAAAATCTCAGAGGTCGAATTTGCCGCGTGAAATAATGAAGAAAGTCGGGTCTTCCAGATAGTACCTACAAAATGGACCTTTAGTCCACATATCAAACTAGTCCTGGATTAACCGAGAGAGATCTGTGCTCCGTTATGAAACGGTTTGCTCCAGGGACAGCTTTTTACCGTCTAGTTGATTGTCCTTCCCGATCAATGGCGTACAGAATGTACGATTGGATCAGGAAGTGAATACGGCAGGGACTGGTCACTGGATGGTTTGTGGAGAAAATATCTGAGTTCTAGTGCAAAAACACCAGTTACTTATGATATTGCTATGCCAATATGCAGGATAAAATGGTTGCCTGACATTCACGTATCGTTCAGTATCCATGTCGACCTTTTACCGCCTGCCTTAAGTGAGCCCACCTCGCCCTTCCTAATATAGTGGCTGAACCAGGGCGACCCAGTGTAATATATAACACAATATTTACACTCTCCTTTGCAGCACTTGCTTTTGTGCATGAACCATTAACGGTCCCTGCTCGAACAGACTCGTCAGTCTGCGCCATTAGTGGCATAGAAGCATGAAGCGTATCAATCTCGTATAAATCGACTAAAATAGAAGCAAACGAGCAGACAAACACAGTAAGCAAAAAGCGGGTAAATTATTAAAGCTCATATTTTTCCTTTTATCCACGGGCTGACTCTCTTCTGAGTTTTAAGTCCCCGTGAACTGATCAGAATTACATCACGGCCTTGGAAGTCAGGTGTTAAACTACTTTGACTTCCAACATACCTTCTCTTTTCTTTTTGAGATCAAGGGTCTCGAGTTTGTTCCATCATAAGTTGTTCGATAAACCTAGCATGTTTTTCTCTCGAGAATAGCTTCGTCAGACCATCAGCGATCATTTCAGATGACTAGACCCATCTGATACTGAGTCGCTTAGCCTGAACTTCCTGTCTTATCCAAAGTTGGTGGATGTCAACATGACGCAATTTGGTCTGGAAAACTGATCTTTCTTGTGCTAGCAGATCAACAGTCTGTTTGTTATCATATCTGATAAGGAATTGATGCTCTGGGTCAAACTCGATAAAAGAGAACAGTCTCATCGTCTAATATAGCTGTTTACTAGCCGGCGAAAGGGCTAGTAGTTCTGCTTCCGTGTTCGAGGTTGTTATCATTCTCTGTCTTCGGGCCATCCAGTCAATCGGGCCGCTAAACAAACCGAATATAAATTCTTCTGAACTCTTTCGATCTGGATTATCAGCGAAGCTTGCATCTGATGCTGCGGTGAACACTTCAGCATATTCTCTCATCCCATCATAACAAATAGCAAGATCTCTCGTCCCATATAAATATGAGATTAGATGATCGATCGCATTCATATGTTTTGCTGTGGGTTTTGTGAGAAATCTCGCGAGAAGCTGATTCGCGAATGCAATGTCTGGTCGAGTCCAGAGAGCGGGGAAGAGGGTAGAGCCGCTTTTCTGTTGATAGAGTTTGATGAACTTATCATCTAATCTCTCTTGGTCTGATTTCTCTTGATTTGATCTCTCTTTATTTGAGGTCAAATTAAGGATATCAGGTGAAAGCAGAACTCGAGGAGTTCGATAGTGAAGTAGGTGAAATTTGGCCGTTATCTTCTCGATATACGCGGATTGATCGAGCCATGTTTTCCGATTCGCTCGATCAGTGTTATCTGGATGCCAATAAATTGAGTAAGTTCACCACGATCTTTCATCTCGAATTGTTCCTGCAGCTTTCGTTTGATCTTGATCGCATGTCGAGTATCAGATCGACAGTAGATTGCGAAATCGTCAACAAACACCATATTCAGCATCTTCCTATCTGAATATAGGCATGGATTATCTAGGTAATGTGTGAATCCTAGGGAGATGAGTTTTGATCTGATATCATCCTCCCATCGTTTGCCAGCAATCCTGAGACCATATACTGCGCGTTTCAGTCTCAGACATTTTCCTCTCACTCCTATACCTGGTAGATAGTGGCAATATACGTCTTGGTCGAGTACACTGTTCAAGATCGCATTTACCACATCTATCTGATATATTTCCAGATTGAATACTGTGAGGATAGCAATCAAGGTCCGAAACGTTCTCGCCGCGAGTGTGCTTGTCCTCGTATTTCGGTTATCTGGAATCTGCATATCCCCACGAACGCAGAGTCGTGCTTTGAACTTCGAGATATAACCATTTTCATCAGATTTATAAGCGAAGACCTATCGCATTGGTATAATCTGATGTTTCGGGCAGGTCTTCGAATCAGATGATCTATCTGATCTGAACGGTTTTGATTCATCTGATTCGCACTGTTTTGAATGAGACTGATGCACACCTTTGATTGTGTATGTGACGAATGCTTGCATCTGAACCAGTTTGGTAAACTCAATTTCCTTTGCCTCGAGGAACTGTCGTCGGAAAGTGTGATTCGCAAGTTTCAGTAATCTGATGGTGCTGGTGGAGCTGCAGAAATTGCCACTTTCTTAGGTTGATCAATCTGATATGTTGAGAATGCTCAGATGAATGGTATCAGATTGAGACCTTGATATTTTCCTTCTGGTTCTTTTGGCGTTGGTGAATCGATCACGTTTCCGAGATTACTTGAAAGTGAGAGGTTGATAATCTGATATGTCAATATTCGAGTTATCGATCAGAACGAATAGTTGAATTGCTGTGTATTGATGTGTTCGTATTTCTGGGTTCTGATGCGTTTGGTTTTCCTGACTAACCTGATCATCTCGATCATCTGATTCATCCGATTTTCCAGAATCAGGTGGCGTTTCTAGTATATCACTAAGGGTTAGATCTTGTGGATCTGTTTTATTTCTATTTGTCTGTTCTGGTGACTAGGAAGTGTTAGGTATATCAATATCTTCGAGGATTGGTTTCGTTTCATCATGGTCGAGTAATCAAATCTGCTGAGATTGATCGTTGATAATGCTGATGTTTTTGGATGGCTGGTGATTAGGCTTATAGAACTTGTTTTCATCAAATTCGATGTCTCGGGCCCTTATAACCCTTCCTTTTTCAGGCATCCAAATTCTCCAGATATTCGAGGCGTCATAACCGACTATATAGCCGATTTCTGCTCGAGTGTTCATTTTTTTCGAGTCGGGGAATGTTGTTAATTCGGACGAAAGCTTTACATCCGAATACTCGAAGATTCGATAGATCAGGTTTATTCGTGAGACAGGATGGTCATTGTTCTGGTTCGAATTCTTCGATGTGGGATGCGATTCTGGATATAGATTGCCGTTTTGCATGCTTCGTGCCAAAGATTCGATGGTAGACTCGCTTGAATCAACATCTGTCTTCGCATCGATGAGATCATACCGCCATAGCGTTCTGCATAACCATTTTGCTCTGGTTGATATAGTGGAGTGGTCTCAAATTTGATACCACATTTTCTGACCTCATATGTGATAGACGGAATATGCGATCGTTCGCCATCGCAGTGAATAGTCTGGATTTTAAGATGAAATTGACTTGCGACGAAATTGATCTGGGCGATCAGTGATTCGGGCGAGTCAGTTTTTCGAGTAATATCTTCACCAATTTGATACTTCGTTACTGGTCAACGGAATGAGACATAGTTCGTTTTGGCAGCTAATTTTCCAAATAAAGATAAGTCCTAGTGGATAGCTTCGAATGGTCTGGTGTACTCGAAAGGTTGTCGAGAAATCTGTCGATTAGATCGTCCAATCTTGATTGTTTCACAGATATCAGATAGTGTCGAGTTCGAGTCAACTGAGATGTTCTCTGTATGATCCTGGACATGAGATAAGACGTCTTTTCCAGCATGTCCGAGTCTGATATGCCAAAGATCATATGAACCACTGAGACTTTTCGGCCGAAATGAATTATTTGCCGCATATCGTTTGAGATCAGATTGATCTTTAATCTGGAGATAATTCGACTGACCTTCTATTTTTAGATGATTCGATTCATCTTCAATCTTGAGATCGTTGATCTGATTAGATAGAGATTGAATTGAAAGCTAGGTCGGGGGCGATGGCGCTTGTGAGACATGATTAGCTAAATGATTAATCTCTAACGTGATTCCCGGCTAGCCGGTCATCCCGGCTACGCGGTCACCGCCTCGCAATTTTCGTCTCCGTAGTAACCCTCTGTTTTCAAACAAACACCATGCCTCCAAAACGCTCAGAAAAAGCTCAAAAATCAATTCAACAGGAAGGTCGTATTCTGCTTGCTATCAAAGCTATTCAGAATGGCAGATTTACCTCGGTCGCTGCTGCTGCTCGGTCTTTTATGTCCCACGTACAACTCTCGGTGCTAGGATCCAAGGGCGAAAAAGTCAGTCCGGTACTCGCTCAGCTCTGTATAAATTTACTCAGCTTGAAGAGGACTCTATCCAGGATTGGTTAATATCTATGGATCAGAGAGGTGCAGCTCTCACAATCTCTATGTTAAGAGATATGGCTAGTTTACTGCTGCAATCTCGCGGTTCTAGCTCCTCTTCAAACCCACCAACTGTGGGTAAAAATTGGCCAACTGAGTTTATTAAAAGGCATCCAGGCCTGAAAACTCGTTTCTCACGCAAATATGACTACAAGAGGGCCGAGAATGAGGACCCAGCCATAATAATTGAGTGGTTTAAGCTGGTTGAGAAAACAATCCGAGAAAATGGCATTATTTCGGACGATATCTACAACTTTGACGAATGTGGCTTTCCATGGGGATAAATGCGACTTCGAAGGTTATCACGCAAGCATTTTTCCATGGTCGGAGGGGTGTTTTGCAGCCTGGGAATCGTGAATGGGTCACAGTTATCGAAACTATCTGCGCATCTGGGAGGGCCCTTCCACCATACATCATTTTCAAAGGCAAGAACTTCATGGCTAGATGGTTCGATCACCTTCCAAAGCAGTGGGCTCTTAATGTTAGTCCTAGAGGCTGGACTAGCAATGATATTGGATTAGATTGGCTCCAGAAACACTTTATTCCACATACAACAAGTCAGACAAAGGGAAGTTCA